TAAGGCGTCCAGACAGAGATAGGGCAGAGAGTGAAAAACATGAGATAAGTGTATCAGTGAAATGACCATGTGACAATGAACAGCCCGCTATTTCACCTTCAAATGTGAGAATTCATTTGTATTTAGAGGGGGACAGTACTCATATTCAAATCTTTGTCTCTGCTGGTCTCCTTCTATTCCTGTTTTTCCTCAGGTCTTTGCAGATATGGCGTCTGTCAGAGCTGTGTTTCATGCCGTATAAATCACATGGCATAGATGTAGATGTCTAATGCAGGATATGATCCTTTGCAGCAGCAGCAGCAGCACTATGGCAACATGAATAAGATGTGTTTGCTTTGGTACACAAAGCAGACCTGCCTGGAACTGTGTAACCTTATAAACTGAAATCACTTTATGTTGTTTACTCGGATGCAAACAGTATCGTCTGCTTTTGATTGTGGAGCAGGATTCTTGTCTTTTCTCTCCACATAAATACAGATCTATTGTGACGTAAAGTTGAAATAATTCCTCTCCTTTTATCACAAACTTCAGCTGAAAAAGAGAAAAACATCTGACTGAGCTCCTTTGTTTCTCCTAACAACACTTTTAAAGTCTACAGAGACAGAGGAAGCTTTCCAAACTTATTGAATCTTGATACTGAAAGCATATTAATGTTTAAATTTATGAAACAAAATCTCGCCTTGGTTCAACTTTGGCACATCCCCTCTCACTTTTTTAATCGTCTTTGTTTTTCTCGCTCATTTCACCGTGACCTGCTAAGTGGTTCATGGCGCCAGAAGACAATGTAGCGCTGAGCACAAAGAATTTTTCTCTCTTTTGACTGAATCCACATTTCAGACTTATACTGCTTTTTCAATATTAATTCTGTTATCTCTGAATCAATCATAATTAGTCTTGCTGCTTGCCGACCAGCCTGGCCTGAATGCAGTATGAGGACCAGGAGTGGAGGCGGATTACTGCGGATGAAACTGCAGATTTCTACTGCCCCCAAGTGTTCAGCAGCTGAACTTCAGCGAACCACTCTTGTGTAGACAGTACAGCTGCACAAAGGGGCTTTATGACAAACTGATGCAATGCTAACAAGCAGCTAGTAAGTTTCCAGCCTCCAGGGGTCAGTCTGTTGGATTTCTCTGATAATGGGTGTGATGTTTGCACAAGGACCTCGCTGTCAGCTGTAAAATGTTTTCTTCCCACTAGGAATTTAGTGCTCTGGTTGCTTTTCTAATGCTCACATAACACTGGGAAAAACAGACTTACAATCTTAACAGTCCTCCTATATATTATATATATGCATTAATTTATATAAGCATGTATAATTCATGTAAGCATTGATTTTCAGTTAAGACAAGAGTTTACAGTAATGGTTTCATGCAACAGTTGTTTCACCGCCAAAAGCTTTCTCCAGGGTTTATTTCAATTTTTAATTCATTTATCTGCGTAGAGAATATCGAACACATAAGCCGGTTTTCTTATTTCCAGAAATAAGATATTCTCATTCCCACGTGTTGAGTAAAGGTTCAAGCCCCCTCCCTCACTCCCTCTGCCTCTAACCCTCAAATCAAAGCAGGCCATCCAGCGCACTTTTGGTTTATGCGTATTAATGTATTCTATTTGTTTCCAGAGCTGCACATCTCCTCTTCTCCTCCGCTGCAGTGCTATAAACCCTTTAGGGGGATCTCGGGGAACCAGTTGACAGATGGTGAAGACTGGAGGAACATGTTGGAAGCTGCCAGGCTGTGAACCCTGATCCCCAGATGTATGCTAGCATATTGTCTTCAAACAGACTTTGTCACTGTGGCAGAAATCCTGAAAAGTTGAGGTGAATGCATTTCTAACTTGTTTTGTTGTCTTCTTCACGGCCTCGGGGCTTCATCCTCCCTGACCACTGCAGAGGAGCTCGTGTGCAACTAAAGAAGAACTTAATTTATCCCTGAGGCCAAATTCAATAGAATAAATGGACTTAGACTGAATTAAGCAAAATAACTTTGAAATATGTTCATGCGTCAATAACTTCATGTTACATCCCTTACCAAAAGAAGTATGTTGAAGTGTACTTTAAGTATACTGTTTTTAAGCTAAGTATGCTTGCAGTTTACTGTTTATGGACTTTCTAGAGATATACTTAACAATGTTAATGTTAAGTATACTTGGCTTGTACTAAGAATTATACTAAAAATAAATATATTCGACTTATACTTAGACATGAACTTTTGTTCAAGATATGCCTAAGTATGTATTAGTGCCTTTGGATTAAGTATACTTGGTCAGTGAATACTTCCATATATCTCTTTCAGAGTATACTTTTATGGAGTATACTCTTAAAAAGATAAGCAGTACAAGCCAAGTATATACATATGTACTACTATTGAAATAATAGTATAGTAATAGTATAAATAATATGTTTGAGTGTACTTTTATTTATTTTAGTTTAAGCGTAAACTAATAGTATACCAAGATGTTTACTTTCAAGTATGCTTCAAGTGTTCTTGTATAAACTAAAAATGTTCCAATTTAGTCTTTAGAAGAAGTATTAAATTAGTATACTTTTTTGTACACTTAAAGTACATGGTTGGAAGTGTACTTGATATACTCAAGCATACTTAATAAAAAGAACTTTTAGTATACTACTTTTTGCAAAGGGCTGAGCTAATACAACAAAGAAAATTGAGTTATTAGCAAAGTACAAGTAAAGTTACATTAATGGCGTGTCTCAGCAAACTGTTGCTGTTAGGCCTCTATAATTCTACACAATATAACAAATAAATAAGTATAATGTAAATAAGACACTTAAAAACAGACGATTTTTTTTAAAGTCTCTTAGTACATAGGTTTATGGTTAATAATGTTTGTATAGCTTAAAAGAGTAAAATCTGATATTATGGAGTTGTGTCAAAAAAGTGAAATCCTCATCGTTGGAAGATCTTCAGTCCAGATCTGAAATCCTTTCTCTTGGAAATGCCAGCACTTTTAAGGTTTTGGTTAGGTCAAACTGTTTCCTCTCAGTTTTATGTTTTCTGGATGTAAAACTACTTGGGAGAAATCCTCTAATATTCTCCAGAAATACTGACCTTTCGTATCTGAAGTGGTGTTATTCGCACTTTCTACAACTTCTCTGGTGATTACACAGAGATCTGTTTGAAAGTTCAAAATGTCCTTAAAATTCTTTTGGCATTTGATTTAATAACTGTGATTTTAGAATATTAAAAAGAACATCATCGATGAGCTATAAAAAAAATAAACATTATTGCTTTTTTTTTTCCATCAAAGGGTAAGTAAATGCCACCAACCAAAGCTCACGAAATATTCGTTTTTGAAGAGGATTTTCAGAAATGTCTCCCCCCCGGGAAGAATCTTTCCACAGACAGCGCTCCTTCCGACAGCTTTTAAAGCTATTAAAAAAAAAGTGTATGAGTAAATATGTTTTAAGTCAGATTTTAACTCATCAAATGATCAGAGCCTTTCAGAAACCAGTCAGTGGTGCTGTTCTTTGGAGGCGTACGCCCCCTGCCTCTTTCACCCGAGTCCATCTGAAAACCCCGCTTTAAAACATTAATGTAGCATCAAACTTTTTACAAGCTATCAGAGCGTTTGACTTATTTTGTACCTCATCCATGTCAAAAGGCTCACTGCTAACAGAGCAGGAAAGCTCCTCTGAAGCCTGAACTCTGCGTCTTGGCTGCTTTCCCTGATCTTTTAAAGTATCAGCTAAAGAGACGGTGTTTTTCAAGGCAGTGCTTAAGAGCCGTGAACCCAGGAAGGAGACAGGCAGACAGGCGATGTTCAAAACCCATGAGGAGTATTTGGACAGGGCTGTTGCATTAGCAGGCTGTTACCTCTCCTCTTCTGGGTCTAATATGAGGTCAGCAGCCAGACTCCAAAGAGGCTGGCAAGACCGAATACACAGAGGACCCTCGAAAAGGTCAGACGAGAAAGAGGATTGCAGAGGCAGGAGGCCAACACTTTTATCAAGCTTGCAAATGTGTGCAGAGAAAGTGTTGTACAAACTGCTGGGCGCACAAGTGCAACAACACGGACATGCCAGTAAAGGCGGCTCTGTACTCAGTCAGGTATAGTGTCCGTGGAGAAACCCTCTGAGGTGTGTCGGGTCATGACACTTGTCTACACAACAGTTGTGTTCTGGTTTCGTCCCGCAGTGTGCAGACTTCTCAGTCCATCATGAAAGAAGCTTTTTGAAGTCACTGAGGGAACAAGCTGATGTCTAATTTCTGCAGAAAAACCAATGACCATGGATAGGACTTGACAGGAAGTCGCTCATGCACACTTGCAAAACATTGACGTGCATCTATCCTGCAAGACGTGACACAGTGTTCACTATGTAAAGATATGATTTTATCTATATTCATGTTTAAAAGCATGCCCAACACAGAGATCTGGTAAGAGCCCTCAGTGATTGGAGTCACAAAAACTGCCTCCTCCTCAACACCTCAAAGACAAAGGAGATGGTCATAGACTTTCCAAGGAGAATGAAAAAATAAAGTATGGGAAATTATTCATGTTTCCAGACTATTACCACAGCTCTAAAATACGTTTTTGTATTTCCAACAATAACTCTAAAAAGTAGGGTATGGAAAAGTATGGACATTCAAACTGTGTAGGAACCCTGACCATCAGATGACACTTGAACTTTGGTTGGCCTGTAGGTTAATAAACTGGACTTTGCTGATCAATAGCATTATGGTTGTTAAAATGTACCTCTACATCTCCAGGTGTGTTTGTTTTGTTTAAAGATGTGGTTCAGACTTGTGCACAGCAGGAGCACAGATGACGGGGTATATTTAAAATTGTGCGTGTAAATGAAATGTTTTGCCATTTCCAAGAGAGTCAATGTTTTGTGAATATTTAGTCCTGTAATTTACTACATGGAGTTTGTACACAAACAGGTACACTCACAAAAAAAAGACAAAAATAACCTGTGTGAAATAAGTCACAATGGACAAACAGCTTTCTCCTGGTGGTTTTTATTTGCAGTTCTTTACATCTTAGAAAAAGAATCCAAGGATTTTGCCTCCTGTGTGTTTCCGTCTGGCTTCTTCGTGATCCATGATGCCAGCTGAGGTGGTCAGCACAATGTATCTGTGGAGACAAAGAATCGGCACATCAGTCTATGAGTGTTTAGTTTAAGACGAGGATGCTCTTTGAATGTAGGCAACTCTTGACAGGAAAACTGATGAATGCAGGGATTAGTCAACACTGTCAGCAAATAAAACAAAAACTGACTTAGTTTTCTGACTGACGGATCGAACAAACGAAATGACAGATTTGTCTGAAATTGTTTCCCAGAACAGCAATCCACCTATCCTTCAATACCATCATGACAAGACATGCAAATACAAAAAATAAAATGTTTTTTTTTTTTAAAGGTAGAATCTTCATTTTGATAAACTGGAGGTTGCAAGAAATTTTCAGTATCAGAGCCTCCTGTAACCATAGAAACAGACAGAGTTAGACTGCCTACATCTGCAAAACTCTGGACTTAAGTGACTTTAAAGCTGCTTATACGTTTAGTAAAAACTTAACATGCATCATGATCATTCACGTCATTGGTCCAACCTTATTCGCTGCATCATTAGCCGTCAGATAGCAAAGAATAGCGATTTTATATGAACACACAGGCTGCCTAAATGCTAACATGTCTTACAGCTGCCAATTTAAACCAACAAGACTTGAGTTCAAGCTCAACGAAAACATCAGCACAGATACTAAGATATTAAGTATCATCACATCTTGACCTGCAGATGTCCTGAAAACCTGATTTCAAAAACCTCCTGTCAGAAACCCTGAATTCTGGAGACGCTTGGAAGAATCACAGCAGCGGTACAGTTTATTTGACTGTTGACGCCGTACTCAATCATTTAACACAAAACTAAAAATCACTGCATCCCCTGTGATTACTACAGTAACACACTTAAATCCTTTAACCGGGGTCTCTGCAGGATTCAACAAGTCACATCTCAGACTTTAAGACCATAATGAATTCAATTTAAGACTCATTTTACATTTCTTAAAATCAATCTTTGTTCATTATTCATCTGTAAGAAATGTTAATACATTTGTAAGACCTTTAAAATCATATTTGACATTTTATGAGATTTTAAGAGAATTTCTGACATTTTAAATTAAAATTCTTGAATTTTTGACATTTTAAGACTTTTTAAGACCGAGCAGATACCCTGTCTTAAATCAACACAAGGTCTGTATAGAACAGGAACCAAAAGACGGCTTGATTTAAGACTTTGTGTCCCACTTGAGTTTAAATAAAAAACATATTTTTAAACTGAAAGATATTTAGTAATCTTTAAGTTCTTTATCTGATTTGTCACTCATCATCTAAAAGTGCAGCAGTTTTTGCTCCACACACTCCTCCCACATTGCTGCCTGCCTTTATCTACCATAATATAAAGCCATTTTTCTGCCTCTCAACAGAACTTCACATATTTTATGCAAACTGAGAGTGTGTTGGGACCATTCAATCAAACAGAAACGCAAAACCATCAGCTGGTTTCACACTGAAAATAAGACACCAGATTTGGAGTTATGTTGTGCACCTATGAATTGATGACAACTAAAAGGAAATACAAAACTAGGACAAAATAAATGTGGGTTACAACCCTGCTGCTTCATTTTATCACGGGATAAAATGCATAAGAACTGTTCCAGGTACAAACTTAGCGTCTGCTCAATTTTTAAGAGCTAATGTCCCCCCCACGTTGTCTTTGTCCTGTCAAAATCGAACCTCCTACACAGTAAAGACAACAGCTTAAAAAAGCGTCACTTCAATGACTGCATGAGGCCAGCTCCCATGAACAGTATCATCTTCAGCAGCATTGAAAATCAACGACTCTGAAACAGGGGTCACTCAATAAGGACGTGCCTTCAGCAGGTTCAAACTGAGGACCAGAGTCACTCTGGTGGTGAATCAGACCGTTCTCACAGCTAAAGCTTTCCCACATTCTCCTTTGAGATCGCCAAAGACTTTAACTGTAACGCTGGATCAGAATAACAAAGACCTGCTATCAGTGAAAGGGTGTGACTCTCTTTAAGAGGCGTGATAAGACAATACATTCTTGATACAGATAAAAAAAAGACATTTTACTTTTACTAAACATATTCTAAACAAACACTGACTTGATTTTTCTTTTCTGAGGGCTGTTCTCGCCACACTCACAAACGTGCAACTGTTTCTCCACTAAAACACCAGCTACCCCACTGAATCCAGGTTTCTGGGATCAAGACCTCATGATACAGGGATCAACTGAGGGGCCCACTTCATTCTGTTCTCTATGGCCACACAGAGGCCTGACACGTGTTTACTTATCCCTGACATATAATGATGTAAATGAGTGAGAGCACATTCTGCCTGCGCTCCCCTTCTCAACATTTGCATTACATTTAGTTCACTACCGAAACACTTCGCTACGTACGTCCACTTGCAATACAGGGACACCAGCAGACATCTTTTTACTTACAACTCCACAAATGAGAAACGGCATCGCTTTAGTCTCTTCTGAACCGAGATCTTTACCTGCACAGATGTGGTTACAGTGGAATATATGCTTACACCTGTTGATTTAGCTCGCTGCAGGTGTAACGGGGCTAAAGAAGGAGGGGGAGGCTGTCTTTTCAAGAGATTAATCCCAAATTCTTGATTCGCTGTCAGCAGACAAGAGAGAACATCTCCTAGTTCCTGCAGGTTTCCTATTGGCTCTGCCCTGATGACAGCTGACAGTGAGCTTCAGTAAGCACTGAGCTATACCCGACACCCCGAACAATCACATTAAGAAGAAAACAAGATAACCGACAAGGACGTACTCTCTACAAGCACCATGGTCGGTTTGGAAATCAAATCAAAACACCTGAATGTTAAACATTAGTAAAAAGTGCCAACAACTTTTGAGAGGTGATTTAAAACAAGAATCAATTTCTGTTTCAATTTCTTTTACAATATTGTACCAAAGTTCAAAACTCTGGTAATGAGACTAAGAGGTTTTAAAAGACACACCTCTGCTTAACTCTGTGCAAAAACAGCTAAAGTCTGATTTAAAAATGTTTACAAAGTTCACTTAAAATCACTTATTAAACGAAAATACACTTTAACAATCCTTGATCAAAACCATCAGCAAAACCTCATTTCCAAGCCTCTGTGTCGAATTAGGAATCATGGAGATTTTGTAAAGTTGTCCAAAGCAACCACACATGAAAACACACTTGAGAGTCAAACATTAACAGCCAAGGAAGAAAATGATCAAGACCATTAAGACTGCGGTGACTCAAGTCTCCCCCTTTTAAACACAAGCCAAACACCATCTTTTGGCTTAAAAATAATCGAGAATGATCCTCACCCAAACTGTCTAGAGGGCAGCAGGTTGTTCTGCCACTTCTCCAGGTCCTTGAGCTGGAGATCAAAACGTGGACTGATCACACCACACTGAAAGGAAAAAAAAAATCTTGTTGAAGCACCAAAAATGAACTCTAGGACAAGCAGGCAACAGAAAGACGAGTTTACATGTTCGCTTAAAAAACAAACAAAAAACTCAAAATAATCACCCTCCAGTAAGTGACAAAGCTAATGCAAACATTTTGAAATCAAGGGGAAAAAATTCTTAAATTCTATACATACTATATCTAGTAATTAAATTTTTGAAAAAGTCAAATAAGATTGTACTCATGTGATTTATGAGAACTTTAATCCCTGAATTTAACATTTAAAACAAACACTGAACGGACACTTTATTTTTATAGCACATTTTAAAAAACATTCAAGTCGACCAAAGTGCTGCACAATAAAGTTAAAGGAACAGACAATCCTGAAAACATCAAGATGAAAAAAATTAATGCAGGTAAAAAAATAAACATTTAAAATGAAATAAAAACACAAAAGCATGAAAGAAATAAAAGTGATAAAAGGACCATACAGGACATAAAAGGACAAAGATCACACAACTCTCATGCTGAACTAAACGCCAAGGAATAAAAATGAGTTTTAAGATTCTTTAGAAAGATCAGATGAAGATTTTTACCTTGTTCAGCCTGCCTGTGAGATTGACGACAATTTTTCCGGCTCGGTGATCATCAATGATCTCAAACTCACCAATGTAACCTGAAAAAATGATGAAGAACACCATTGAGCTCAACAACAACCGACGCTAACATTTAGTGCGTCTAGCAGCTCCTCTGTAAAACAAGCAAATGCAAAAAGAAATTCCTGACACCAGTTTTAACAACTTTTATTCCACTCGTTGACACTCACCGTGCTTCATCATGACGGTTAGGAAGCGCACAATCACCTTGGAGCAGGGCCTGATGAGGACCTGGCGTTTCCCACGCTTCTCAGCATTGTTGATGCTTTTCAGAGCATCTGCGAGAACGTTCATGCGCACCATGATGCCTGCAGACACAATTAAGAAACTATTAGACTAATATAGATGTTAGAGGTACACAAAAATCTCACATTACAGCCTCATACATCAATCTCTAAATGAGTCCCTGTCAGATTCCTTCACTTCGTATGACGTTACAGGGATTATCCTACTTTGTGACCACCCTCAGTTACCATGAGTTTGTTCCCTTCTGCAGTAGGAATATGATCAAAATTATCATTAAGCTCTTTGAGATGCACAAGATCCACCAATAAGATCTGGGATCCACCAAGTCCCAGACAGCCAACAGCGTTTTATAGCCATCTACGTCTCCTGCAGACTAGTTTACTTCGAAACAACACTTTAGGTGATATTTTCCCAGCTCGTCTACATACTGTGACCGTGGGATTTTATTGTATCTGCAGTTTAGAGACGGTAAAGCTGTCTCAGGAGGACTTTCACTAAAAGCATGGTCCTTTACGAGCGCCCAGTCAACTGATTAGCATAGCCACCTTAGCATCCCCTCACACTAATATATACAACAGTCAATACAATGTCCGTTATATATAAGAGAAATACACGCGAGTTTCTTCTGATAATCCACGAGAATAACTTGCGAACACGCGTGTTTTCTGCCGCGAAGCTAATAGTTACCCAGCCGCCTTGAAGGCACCGAAGCTCTGGGCCGGACAGAGGAGCTGCGAGGGGAACCTTAGAGCTTAAAGAAGCCAAAATCTACCAACTAATCAAGACGATACTCGACTAGAACTGTTACTTTATTCATCCGCTACAGATTAAACACAGAAACGGTACATTTAATGTTACGATGCTTCAGATATTTAGTAGATTGACATAAACGGAATAAAAAGGCACCTTACCGGTTCTGCAATATGGCGGAAAGAGGAAGTAGAAAAAACCTGCAATGCAATATGGGAAAAAAATCAAGTTTTTTTTAAGCGGAGATGTCCGACCGGTCAGAAAATTTTACTTTTTTGTGTGTAAAGAAATGTTATTTATCTCCAAAGAGCTCATGAAATATTCAAAGATGTTACGGTGATGTATTTTAAACGGGTTGAGTGTTTACAAAAGATTTCAAACAGGTTTAGTTTTATCGCATTATAACGCTTTTAAATAATATTACCACCTTAAAATGACTCCCTTCATGTCCAAAAATAAACCATGAGGCGAGATCAAAAACATAGCTCTACTGCAGCTAAAAAATATTTCAAATGACTATTTTCTTTTTGTTTATCATACACAGCTTTTATACAGTTTTATATTTTAGATAACATTTTTGACGAATTAACTTTTACTTCTTGCAAATTCATCTGTTATCAATATCACCCTGTAATAAAATGAATTCGTATTTTTCAATAAACTTAATGGAAAAAAAATACATATATATACAATACTGAGTTGGCTTCGTTTGAATTTGTACAGAGTTTGAAGCAGCGCCACTTGTAGTTGCGGATGAATAATTGCATGCAAAAACATGGTTGGCCACACGATCCACTCCGAGTACGTTTGTTTGGTTAATTCCCAGAATCAAAAAGGGATTCAAAGCATCCAAACTGTAGGAATATAGTGTGTTTTTTACTACTATACATTTATGTCATTCTCAAGCGTTATTTAAAGCTAAATTCAACTCACTGGATACATTTAAGTACTTATTGATAGCCCTGCAAGCCATGTCATATTTGGCACAATAACACCTAGACTTTTGGAGGGAAAGGGGAAGACAGAGGAGTTGAATATGATAAAGTCTTAAATGTTTGGGCGTCAAACATGTTGTTGTTTATGCTTCAAAATCACACTTGCTGTCCCCATGATCCAGAAAGCAAAACAGGTTAAAGTCCGTTTTCAACATTTATTGTTGAAGCTATGGTTACGTGTCTCCTTTATACCCTTTAATACCCATAGGCCTATCTGTTTTTAGGCAGTGCCACTTGAGAACCCAAGGATCACTTTCATTCAGTACTAGTTTTCTGCCTTGACCCTTAGTCCAGCTTTTCTGAAAATAACATTAATTAATAACATGATCAACCCCTCAGTTTTTAGTCTAAGGAACATTATTCTGAAATTATTCACGCATTCATTAACCCATTCCTGTCTTCACATCTAAACGGCTCAACCTGAAATGCCTTTTTATACCCACTAACCCTCTGCAAATGAACCTAATTAGTTGGGAAGATGTTCCTTCAAGTGTTTTTTTTTTTTTTTTAAATACTACAAAAGTGCCCCGTCTTTACTTTTTTGAAAAATATTACCAGCATCAAATAGTGCATATATTTTCTTGTCACAGTGATATTTTTCAGCTTTACCATTTAATGTTTCATCTTTGCACTATTTTCAAACACATATAGGGTTTAAATGACTAACGATGCATGAAAATATGTTTTTATGAACAAATTAGACAACACTGGAGTTGTAAAAGTGCAAGAACATGCTTAATGCACTTTTTTTTGCACTTCTCAATAGCTTTTGAATCACAAAGTAACTAAATTTATATATGTTCAATATCTTTATTGTTCTAATTTGTACCTCAGCTTGATCTGGTGTCATTGCTGGTCTATTCCTCATTAGCTGACACAACTGAAAAGTGCATAGATGAAAAAAGAAGTGAGAACTGTCTGAATCACTCACAAAACAATGAAGCTGTAAGAGTCTTTTCAGAGCTAAACCAGTAACAGGGTCACAAGGAATAGTCTCTTATGTATTTCTCAGGTTACACACACAAAAGTTTTTTTAATTATTTTTTTATTTTTGAAGGATTTTGATTTTTATCATAGCTCACATTTCAATCAGGCAAACTCCTGCTGGCTATTTTTGACACCAAAAATATCTAATCACGCTTTCCTTTTACATGCACATAAAATATGTTTTATATATTATGTATAATATACAGTATATTTGTATAAGTTAGCATGGCATCAGAAGCTACAGACTAAACATATCACAAAAAAAATCACAACAAGTATCAGTGGACCTGTGTGTGCAAAACGGTTATCAACGAAGTGGGAGTGCAGTTCTTGAATGCTCTTGTTCCTTTGCTTTTCTGTACAAATCAGGATTTGAAAACTCAAAAACATCATGAACTGCTTCTATGGTGGGAACAAAATAGCAGCAGGTACAGAGTATCCCTCGTCTGAAAGTTAATAACAATGCTCACAGCTACAGTATATAGAGTGTAAATGTTCAGTATTCAACTCTAGAGCCATATTTAGAGTTTAATGTTCACGTTGAGTGGTCAGCTAAAGGGTGTCTGTTAAGATGCACAGTGTTTCTGCTAAAACAAGGTTTGTCATTCAGTACAATTTGCATTTTCTCTGGTGTCCAGTAGAGGGACAGCTAAACCACTGCAACTCAGACTCAATAACCACCTCTAGCCAAGTCTGCACTTTAACAGAAACATGAAGCATGATGGAATGCTGAGCAGCATGAGACACAGTTACCAGATTTCTGTTCTATTTCTGTGGTTATAGTAACATTTCAACACATTTCACCCCATTAAGCATTTGCTTGTAATCTCTTTAGAGGCAAAACATGTCAACACTTAGCCACCATTGCTGACCATGCTGGCCACAGAATCTTCTTCTCCTTGGGGATCCAGGCCCAGCTTCTGGGGGTCAAGCCCCATGGCTACTAGCATCTGGAGCAGGGTGAGCTCTTGCTGTGTGGCCTGGTCAACCAAGGCTGGGCAGGTGGGGTTGCACTGCGGCCACTGGCAGGAGTCCAACAGGTGGAAAGGACAGCCTTTAGCAGGGGTCCTGTTGTTGCGGGTTGCCTCCAGACTTCTGTCCCAGCATTGGAGGGCACGTGGCAAGGAGTTGCCTTTGACTTGGAAACTTTTCCAGTTGCTAATGAAGCGAGAACATGTTATGTTAACACAATTTTGTACTGTGAAACATGTTAAAGGCATGGTTGACGATTGGAGAGATTGGTAATTATTATATGGCGATCATGGTCCTATAGCGTAAGTAAAGAGAAAAAAGAACGGAAAAAATCCGTTCACCCTCGCAGGTGCAGGGCTGCAAAAACATTGACCAATTTGTGGTATTACAGCTCTTTTAAAAACAATCATCACCCTTAATAAATAGCCTGACTTTGTTTAGACAGCAGAGCAGAAAATAATGAGTATGTTGAAGGGTTTGGGAAAGTGTGAAGAGGTACGTGATGAATGTCACTGATGACAGGCTGACAAAAACAGCGGCATGAGCTCACAGTGTATGGATGATTGTGCGGGGGAAAGAAAAAAATACACACATACATCAGGTATCAAAGTATGAACAACCAGAGAAGTCAGACATGCTCTTACCTCCTTGTAATGAGAGTATGGGAGAGACAGGAAGGAGCAAAAACAGCCCTGGAGATAATAACCACACAAAAAACACTAGTTAAAATCTGCCTTTTCTTTCTTTTTTTTTTCAGTTCTTTAGAAAAAAAAACTCTGACACAGGTTTTTAGAAACTTACGTGACATCTCTCAGTGAGTTCTTGAGCAACCTGCCCAGGTTTCGTATGTACTGCCACTGCTCCTCAGACAGACTCTGTCCTCCCATGAAAATGTTTTCCACTCTCAGCTGCTCCTCGTCGAACAACCACTGCACGACGAACAGAGGAGCTACAGGGAAAGAAAGAAAGGGCTCGGTATGTAAGTTGTTCCAATCCATTTACTCATGATAATATTGGAGAGGAATAATTGGACAATCACGCAAGTTTTATTATTCATATGACCAAACATTCAACCACAGCGGGCAAGCATATGGAGAAAAACAGGTCTCTTTCCACAGGCAAAAACCTTCAACAGACCCAGACTCACTGGTGACAGCCATCTGCTGCAACCAATCATGAAATAACTTTATGAAATCACATAATAAAAAAAAACAGGTATTACAGAATTACAGTAGACATTTCAGTGATAAAGTTAGAAATTGTCAAATAGAGTGATCATGGCAATCAAAGTAATGACACAACAAGGACAACTAAAAGCTTTTTCAAAAACTGAGGTTTTCCTTCTTGTTTTTATCTTTAATTTAAAATGGGACTATTCTGGTAAAATGGTGAATAGTCTACATATTAAAATCAAATATTTACACACACACTTCTGGCTATGCTGGCAATCTGGGGCATCATGTGTCTTTGCCTAAGGACACTTTGGCAAGTGACTGCAAGAGCCTGGATCAAACAGCCTAATCTTCTAATTAAGAGATGACTGACTGAAACCGTGAGCCACAGTCACAGACAGCCAACACCCCTATTGTGCTTTTGAATGCCAACATTTCACTGTTTTGGTTCAATCTTAAACTCTTATCAGTATGACTTACAGAAAAAGCAAGCACTCAAGTTTGCAGCAAAATGCATCCCCAGATTAGGTTGAATACAAAGTATGCTGTTTGTAGAATCACAGTAAATATGAGCAGAAGCGAGTACTCACAGGATAAGGTAGAGTACAGTTTGTGGCCGAAGAAGCACTGCCACTCCTCTCCTCTTTTGTAGAGCTGCCGACATCTATCAGGCACAACCCCGTTCCACAGCCTGAGAAAACAACACTGTTACAGTCAATAACGACAGATTTAATGATCAGACACATAGACTGTATATAGAATGGACGCCGTCTGCCTCCTTGCTGAGTGAAGCCACCGCGAGAACAGCACCCTCTGGTGACGGGCTGCTGTATAGGTCATAAATCCCACCTCCTCCAGCAATCCCTATGGAGCTGTGGACAAACTTTAGAAATTTATTACACAGAATATGAATGTTTCTCCCCCCCTGCTTGTGATGTTGACATGTAGTTACTGTAAGACTGGTTTGTGCTCAAGTCCTCTTTTTTCTGTGCAGCTCCATCTTTAAAAGTTATTAGGTGGTTCATGTTTTCTATGATTGACACTTGACACAGCCCATGGGCGTACAAAGTTTACGTAGCTCAACTGGGGGATACGCTGTTGGAGCAGAGCGTCACCATAGCAACTCTCCCGCTGAATGCATACAATGCAACTGCGCAATGTTGATTTCAGGAAGTGGAGAAAAAACCCAGAAATACCAAGAGCTTTTCGGCTTCAAATCCGAACCAAGTTGTCCATAGTATATACAGTCTATGGTCAGAAACTTCCATCCTTTCAAAATAAAATAAATTACAACCGAACAGTACAGAAAAGACAGCTGACTTTACAATCTAAACCCAGTCTTTAAAATTATTGCACAAAAGCAGTAATAGTTGACTAAAAAGTCCAACTCTTTACCTGAGTCCTATCTTGATTGCATCCTCAGGTGAGCAGGAAACGGTCTCAGGGCAGTTGGGGGATCTCTGCTGTTGACTCTCTAGAAACCATCCAGAGTCAACAAGGCCTCGGACTTGGGTCTCTGCGCCAAGTTGTGCGAGCTGGTTGGCCACCCTGTCAATGTTCAGCAAAACACCTGTTCCACCAGCGCTGTGAGGGGGGGAGACAAGAGAAGTCATTAAAAAGTTTGGCTTGAAAGTGCAATATTTAGGAGTGGTATCAAACTGTCAGGACAGGCCTGCACATATCTGGAAAGTCAAAATTTAGACTGCTGTACCGTCTGCAGATCCATTTTTAGCACTAGAGGATGTCCAAAGCACCATGTTACTAACCTGGGAGGAATGTTCACCATTACAATGCTAGGCCCTTCAACCGACATTATGTCATTGTTAACAGTTGACTGTAAACGTCTTTATTGTTGACAACAGGATGTACCAAAAATAGGGCCTCTCTTGTGCAACATGGAGGTGGCCAAGGGAGGAAAAAGAGATGCATAACATCACCAGGGATCGGACTAGAGATGATAAAACTCACCTTGTACCAGACAGCATGATGACCTTCGCCTGCTTGATTCCTTTTGGGATGAGGTCTTTGACGACCTCTTGGATGATCAGAGATCCCATGAAGGTATACTCAGCTGAGATTGAAAACACATCACATAATTTAGAGGTTAGATTAAAATGACTTTAAGTGAAATAATCATGGTAAATATGTAATGATATTAATGATATTTACTTGCGTTAACATTTCTCTCTCGTTCTTTTTCTCTGCCCTGTCGCTGCCTCGGAGGAGGAGTAGGAGCGGGCCCTGTGCCGCTCCATACGTCACTGGAACAGTAAGGGATGAACCTGTGGAAAAAAAAGAGGAAATCACATTTGTTACACTTTCTCAGGCTTCAGCTAGTTTCTCCTGTCGTACATCAGGAAGTGACAGACATGAGAATAATGAGCTATTGATCGTATCGGACCAAGGAGGGCTGGAGTAGCAGAATCTAAAAGTGTTTAAGATGAGGGAAGAATATATTTCACAGCTGAAAACCCAATTTTGCATTGAGATGGGAATTACGGCTCATTTTAGTGAGCCAGATCATTCAGTTTAGCTCGACAAGAAGAGCTGGCTCTTTCGGCTCCCAAACGGCTCTTCATTTTACCACTTATACATTTTCTAATTCAGCCAAATTTAGCGTTGTTTGGCTTATGATATGAATATGTATTAAAATACTTCATCCCGTCATTCTGCCTTGTAGTTTTTTTCTACGGCCACAGATGGGAGCTGGCTCCTATCATTTATGTTGAACAAACCAAACCGATTCATTCGCAACCAACACGTCACTAATTTTGCATCATCTAATCATGCCTCTACGAGATAGTCGTCTGAGGAGTACTGAGGTTTTGGTTTTTACAGCCTGCAGCCTTAATGTTGATCTACACCCTGATCCACCTTTTTTACCAGCAAGCTTCACAACCCCGGTGTGCACTACCTTCCCAGCACCAAGACGCAGAGTTATCTTACTAAACTCAAAGAGCAATAAGCAGCTAAAGAGGCAGATTCATTTTTCTCAGTCAGCAAAAAAGCTAAAGAAGGAGAGGAAATCAGACAGCAGCTTTTGGTGGAAAAATGTAAACACGAAGAATCCAAACAAAACCTGTTTCCTGTCATTTTTAAATTATTTTCTTATTTTATGTGTGAATAGCAAAATACCTATACCTTACAAATATGAAAAGTTAGAACTTCCTGTATGCGATACTTTAGGTCCACAAAAGAAGACAAACAGTGAAGTACTTACACAATATTTGCATTATGCCAGTGTGGGTTTTCCTCAGCTTGAGAGGACAAAATTCCAGTTCCTGTAAACCAGCAGTCAGATTTGATATCAGATAACTTGCTGTGTCAAGTTTGCATTAAACAAACGGCATAATTAGATGTAGAAGAACATATGTGGCTGTTGTGTGTGACACACATGTGGGAGCGTTGGTCGCCTGACCTACCTCTTTTTGTTTGGGGCCAACCTGATGAGCTCATTAGTCGGGGTATATTTTGGTATCTGGAATCGCAGGTCTCTTTGCTGTAACAGCACCAGCCGCCTTTAAATAGAAGAGCCTAATATTAGATATTCACATCAGGCTCAGCAGGGGAGACCCTTGTTAGCCCATCATAGAAGAGCGTGAGGAATGGATAGAGACAGGAATGCACCTGTAGCCTGGTCTGCTGACTGGACCACATTATTAGACTTGGTCAAAAATACAAACAATCCTTTCATTAGTGTCTGATTTGTTGATTGACTTACATTGAAAACCAACAAGAGTTGTACGACAAAGACATAAGGGAAGCAAAAGTCTTTTTTTAGACTCTAGAGTAATATGTTGATGAATACAGAAAGCAACTTGAACATGATAAATGCATTTTTGTTCTGTTTATGCACATGTAAGATGAGCTGGACAACAATCTACACAAGTTTCAAGTCTATGAGAGCGACAGGAAGTATCCAAAAAAGGAGATAAACAGAAGATGACAGTACAAGATGACATCCCCATCAAAATTCCAACGGGGGCATCACGCCAAAACAAGCTGACCTTTGGGGACTAAATTAACCAGTTGAGGCGCTAAATACTCACCTTCCAGAAATAACAGCCATCGGCGGCTTCCTCTGAACTCCTTTAGGTAAAACCTGCAGAACCACAAATATGTATGGACGCTCAAACACTCTGACAATAAGCAAACTGATCAGATACGGTAAAATATAATATCCAGAGAATCTCACCCAGCTGCAGTTCCATCATTACATGTAACCTGGGTGTTTTTTAGGAATTGCAGCCTCATATCTTCTGCCTGTTGTCCAGCTGCTCGAGCTCCTGCAGCACCTTCCCGTCCAGCTGCTTCAGCCGAGCCTCCGGTTCCTCTCATGTTTTCAGTGCTTGCAGGAGTCAAATCAGCCGCTGTGGGGGACTGGACAACATCACCTCCTTGGGTCCCAGCAGACTTCTTGCTGGACTTTGCTTTAGCGTTGCGGTTGTTCTGACAGCAGATTCCCACAAGCAAAAGCAAGAAAACTGCCTGGCCCAGCAACTTCATATCTGAGAAAACATATGTGCAAAACACAGTTGTTGCATTATTGCTCAGTCATAATTAGGCAGCATCCATCCTTCATGTAGAACTTTTTTTTTTAAAATCCATGTTTTTTTTTTCGTCATCTCTTTCTCCTCAATAACATGTTTTCTTTATCAAGTCTGTAAACTTACCGTATCCAGAGGACTAAACTGTGAAGATTAACGCTGATAGACCCTGGGGTCAATCAAAAAGCGAATACTGCTGGGAAGAAACTGAGATCTCAGAGTGTAGTGGCCAGGTGTGGGAGGAGGCTGCCAGTCATGAGTAGTGATCCAGCCTTGACCAGGTTTTGATGAAGCCTGAAAATCAGCTGTGAGCTTTATAGTGCCACCATATGGATCAGATTTCCTCCCATTTACCCTTGCAGCTCCTGCCAGGGCCTGAGATAAACTGCTGACGACACCGTGCGAGGGGAGGTGCTTGATGGTAAGCGGTGGGGAGAAAAGATAACATACGTGTCTCTTCAACATATTTGAAATCTTCGCTCACACCCACCAACTAACTCTCTTCCATCTGACCATGACACCAGAATGAGCTCTCCTCCCCACAATTGTTTCTCTCCTTTTTCCCCCCTTCACCCGTATCTGATTGTCCATGTTTTGATTCAAACATCTAAATGGTCAGCATAACTGCAGAGCCTCTTAGCGTGGCATGTGACCCCGAGGTCACTGGAGCACACACCTCAAACACTTTCTGCCATGGGAATGAATAGTACCTTAAGGTTCCCACATGGTCAACAACTCAGCAGACTCTCCAAAAGCACAGGTGTTGGTCACTCTCATTCGCTCTAGCACCAAAAATGTTACGCATGCTCCATAAAATATAGGTAGCAATTTCTATAGTGATTAAGTTTAAATAAAGTGTTAATTTTTTTAAGAAGTGTGGTTGTCTCGCTATCACAAAGATATAAAGTCCATAAAACAATGACACAACTTAGTCAACAAAATTCACAAATGTCGCCTCTGAGGACACTTGAACTGTAAGTTTTGAATTGTTGTAACTGTCATGACTCCATTTATAACACAACTAACCTTACAGACTCATTTAAATTGATTGAGATGTATTCATTGATTATGGGTATCAGAAACCAAAGCCTGCTGATTTATTGTTATTTATTCTTATGGTCTTTTGTGTCATTTATTCTGAGGCGGGGACAAACAAATATCCATTTCTGAAAGGAAAGGTTGCAAAATGATCTTATTTACAATTACTAAAATGGGAAAACATTAAATGGATAAACAGAAAAAGCAAAGCCTAACTTTTAATGCATCATTTATTCATATATTTTTAACTTGCACAGAATCTGACTCAATTTATCAAGAAGCTGAAGACTATTGCTTCTCATGTAGTGCATTAAATAATGCGTATTAATTAGGCTCAGCTCATACTATGATGGTTCTGTGACTTCCATACTTAATTACAGATTTTTCCCTTCTGTTAACAACCAATCAAGAAAAAAAATACTATCAATATTACTATATATGACTATATCAATTGAAAGCCTTAAATCAGGGCACCTGACTTACAGCTTGTCTTGTCTCCCACTCTCTTCTTCCCATATTTTCTGTCTCTCCTGTACGGAAGAAAATAAGTGCTACTGAAAAAAAAAAGGTCTGATGCAATTTTTAAAAAAATTATTATTCTGACTTTTTCCTCAGAACTCTGATTTTAATCCCAGAATAATAATTTCAAAAAATTATATTGGACTTTTTTTTCCCAGTGGCCCTAATTCTCTTCTGTACTCTTAAGCTGTAAATAAAGGCTCACAAAATAACTCATTAAATATTTGCAAAAAAAAAAAAAAGTTATCGCATGACATATTTAGGGGGTTTAGACTAAGATGCTAAGCAGCAGAAAAATACCCCCTTTCAGACCAGAACAAGAGCCCCTGATGAAAGAGAAGCAGAAAAACAGACGTGTGTCAGTCAAACAGACACTCAGGGAGACTTCAATACAGCGACAAAAGTAATACAGGCCTATAGTGGCTAGCCAAAATCACATTACCTGTGTCATTTTCAAGGACTTTTCTTCTGCAGAGCTCATGTAGCTCCATAGCATCTGCCTCTGAGCCGTGGGCAGAGACAGTGCTGCTCTGCACACTCCTCTTCACGCTAGCTTGTAGCCTAACATTGCCTGTGTAGTAGAAGTAGCAGATAACATAGGAGCTATTGAACTATTGGACACGAATGTCTTTAGCGGCATGATAAAAGCTAATATCATAATTAGCACCCTTACTAGCATTGCAATCCGCTAGCACACACGCTTGTTCTGCGATTGCCCTCTCAACTTCTCCAAGTCTTGCCTGCATTAGTGGGGCTCTGGGGGCGGAGCTTGCAGTTGTGACATAGAAAATCTCACTGTCTGAGCATGCCGTTTGGGTCTGCCAAAGATTCACAGTGATTTGAATGCAGAAATACTCAAAAATGCAATTTTGCACTTAGTTTTCTCATGATATGTCCTTTAGCACCAAGAAAAATTAACATATGACCATGTAGACAACAAGAAACACATGATTTTCATCAGACTGAGTCATTAAGGTATTTGGTTGATGATCTTACTTCAGCGGGGCCTGGCACACTTGTAATAAAAAAAGGAGAACATCTGAGATACCCGCTTACTGTATTGGGTTATCCAGCTTTGTACCAAAGAAACAACTTTAGGATGACAAACTACTGATGGATCTTGAACCAGGAGCCCAGGGCTCAGAAATTCAGCAGATGCTTTACAGGGCTGCTGGGGTTAAAGAAACATTGACTACAGGCCTGAGAACAGACTGAAATGTGAAATAAAATAGTTAATTAAGAAAACAGCACTTACCTTTCCACAGTCAAACTTGACATATAAAACAGCTGATGCGCTGTAGAGTAAAATATATTGGAGAGGCATTCAAAACATAATGGCGAGATCAAATATGCAAGATATCGTGAGTCTATAAGAGTGACGTTGAGACTTGCAAACAAAGCAGAGGGATTCAGAATGTTTGTCTCATTGCTTTGGCAGACAATTACGGTATTCTTGTATCATTTTCAAGCATTTCATGCTACTTTAGATACTTTCAACCAAAGCCAGAAAGAAAACAAAGCTACTGAAAATATGTCTGCGAGATCGTATGCACCAACGCGCAATAAAAATGTACCCTAAGGTCATCACTATACTGAATTTGATCTACCGAGCTTAACAATTCCTCATTCCTTCAGTTGTCTCGAAGCAGACACACCACCATCTGTCTTCCCAGAAATCAATGCAACAATCTGTTTAGCAGATACTTCAAATAGCTGAAAAACGAAAGAAGCTGCCGTAAATCTATCTTCATTTCACTAGAATGTCATGAACAAAGAGATGGCATTGCTGCTATTTTGTTTTTCTTTGATATGGGATCGGACAGAATGATATGTTTTTCACAGTGGGCTTCAGATCAATGGAGTAAAGTAAATTTGTGTTCTACATTTTCAGGGATTTATTTCCTGCAGCTTTTCGTGGATTAAACTGCTGGTTCTATAGAGCCGCGTTCAGAAAACACACTCACAAATTTTACATTTGTTGTAGCTGGTACAGGGCTCATGAGATGTGTTGAACTTCACCCTGGCAGAGGCAAAACTGTGAACCCTAGAGCAGCATGGAAGGCATTCTTTCTCCCCTCGTGTTGTTGTATTTCCAAGGTCGGGACACCTAAAACCCGGGTGGTCCGCGCACTTTGTCTGCTGAGCATTTGTGTCATCACTGGCCTCAAGAACTGAGGGCCCGGCTGGGAGCGAGAACATTTCGCGGTTGATAGCTTCAAAGAACATTGAGCCAGAGAGTGCTGTTGTGTGAGGAATTCTTCTGCCTGCACCACGGCGCAGGAAGCGCGTTTAACATCGTTGAAATCAAAATAATCAGGCAGCAAATTCAGATCTAAGGCTGCTCTATTTTAGGACCGATGCATGTATCAAAAATGCCGCACAAAGACCCACAATCGGGCCGTACACCACAAAAGGCGAAAGTATGCCTCGCAGCACCCCTTGCCATGTTGCGTGTAATTTGACAATCTACAACAGCATCAGTCTGAATCTATGTTGTCAACAGCAGGCGAGGGCATAGCTGGGAAAGAGGCCCATGATTAATAGGAGATCAGAGTGGCATCTTTACAAGCCACATGAAAACAAGCCTCAGGCGAGAGATACGAGACCTGGCCAGAGCTACAATGCCAGCGCTCTCCACTTAATCAGTGAGGATGACAGACTGGGGTCTTACCGGGATCGGTGTAAAGTGCTACGCTACTGTAATGTGCTAGACTACAAGCAGGTGGGGTGGGCAAAACCAACCCTACAACCAGGTGTTAAGAGGCCTTGCGTGGTGACCTTCTGCAAACTGCCAATGCATCAGTGTGATAGATGAAGGAGAGGTGAATGGCAGGGATACATGGTATTGGATTCAGGAGGTTTGGAAGGGTTGAGGTTGATGTAACGACAGACGAGTGAAAACTCTGCAATCCATTCAGATGAGTATAGGTCTATACTTACACTTGTATACTCTAAAAACTACTTAGTCATGTATTTATAGCAGCTATCCAGCTTGTAAATACAGACAATAGCTGTGTTTACATGGGCACAAAAAATCGGAATAAATGCCCGATCGGAATAAAAATGCATCATGTAAACATGTTGATCGGAAGATTCTGATCCAATTCGGCTCAATCGGAAAGAAATTGTATTCCGATCGAGAGGGGTGGTTTATGCCGATCGCTATCCCGAAACGCGTCCACGTAAACACTTATTCCGATCATGATTCTCTTACCTGATTCAGTCTTCACTCTTTAGCCTTTGGCTTATTTATTGAGGACAGTTCAGGAGGTTTCATTATTAACACTGTGGCATAAAACACAACCGCAGGTACCGTGTCTGCTCCTCCGATAACATAACAAGGTGTACATACGGCGTAATGATGTCACATCTGCGTGCACAGTACAACCTTTAACAGAACAGTAAAATAAGTAAGTAAGGGCCCCATCTTGTGACAACATTTAACGGGCGGAAAATCCTAATTTGGATGAAGTGAGCCACTACAGTGTTTGTTGGTTTGTTCAACAAAATCAGACAACTCTGCACGTGTCCAAATGCTCCTAATCTGAATAAAGCTTGGTGCATGTATATGCACGTCATGATCGGATTATTTGATTTTGCGCCCATATGAACAGTTGGATTCAGATTATCCGATCCCTCAAATTTTGAATCGGATCAAGAAATTTTGCACATGTAAACGTGGCTACTATCAACAGCTGATATCGTCAACAACATATTGACACATGACTCATAAAAACCATCAATTCAAATTCTGCAGTCCTCCCTTCTCAGCATTTCACACTTCTCCTTTGCCAATACTACATTTTGTCTTATTGTTTGCTGTCTAGCTTCAACAGGATCACATAAAGAGATGTTGTGTCTCAGTAAAATCTGTCTGGCTAAATGAAGGTTTGAGTAATCCCACTGGTTCAGCAGGGGGTTGGGCTGTACATACAGTGTTTGAGTAAACAGCTTGAAGTGTCCCAGGGTTCATGACACCGAGGAGCAGCAACTCAGCATTGGAGTAATGTTGCACAAACAGGACTGTCAGCGAAGTGATGGATAGTGATGAAGTCATGCCATGCTCAACACACACTCCCCCAGGGTTCTTCACATACACTAAGTCTTCACACCTGATCTATGAGATACAACTATCACACATCACTGAGTAGAAACATTAGCACAAACCCCCATCTGATCGGGGGTGGTACATGTTGATGCAACCTTGGTGCTTAATGTGTAATAGTCTCAAAACGCATACATTATATGACTCCAAAAGCTTTGGGGTATTTTGCAAACGCAACAGAAATGAGACTTTAAACAGAGCAGTATGAAAACAAGACCATCCCTGAAGTGAAAGAGTGAGTGAGTTAGCACATTGATTTAAATGCTAGCTAAATTGTGTTTACGTAGCGCTAAAACGCTGTTGATTATTGAGTATGATTGGAAGGTTAGGGTTGATTGACGGGTATAGGTGCTTGTATTTAAAAAATGTAAATGAAAATGTTTATAAGAGACCTGATAACCATCCCAAAAGACTGCGCTGTTTGTTTTTCTACTTCCAAAACAAATCGATATTTAGCGGTGTGTAAATGGCGGCTATAATTTATAGACCTGAGCTGAAGTGATGTCAGCCCTTTGCCTCATGTGTCGCTGCTCCAAACAGTCCAGACTCGTGGTCACGTGGTCGCAGCTCTGTCGGGCGACACACACCTCACTCATCAAAAGGATTTATGAAGTGGTGAAATCCACACGAAAACGCACATTTGCAAAATATATCTGTTAGCGCAAGAACATCATGTGCAGTAAGTGAAATTTCTTAAAAACAAATTCAAAATGATGAAGAATAAGCAAATCTTTAGAAAATCTGACACAGTAATCTAAAGCATACAGTGACATCACTCCACGGGTATTTTTAGGAGTAGTTATAGCACAGAACAGTAAAAATGTTTACCGTTTTCTATTTTTAGTTGTCAGTCTGAGTACGGCTGATGCTGCTGTATGTGAAAAGTTGACCCGGATAACTCTAAGTGTATTAAAAGCTCATGTAGTCATTTCAAGTTATTGGCCCCTCATTTCTTGGAACCCCTTGTTAAAGGGTCAAGGCAATGCATTCTCTAATAAGTATGCACATGACATATATGTAAAATTTACGGCAACATGACAGTTAGCATCTGTGTTAGCTTTTGCCCCAGGCTGTTCAGGAGGATGAGCTCATCAGACAAAACATAAGACAATATTTTGATGTTCCCAGAATTCAGGTTAGAGCCGTGCTTAGCCGTGTTATGTCAAAATACAATGATGGAGGAGAAGCATTCAATTAAATACTGAAATCTAAATCTAAAATATCAGACCACAAATATAAAAATCAAATAATCATGTTTGACTCTGAGAGGAAGTAGGCCGGTGTTTTCAAGCAATAGAAAAAAAAATGCTTGTTTATAATCCTGCAGAGATGTGAGAATGTGTCCTATACGAGGGAGGATAAGGGCCGGTGAAAAGAAAAACAAAAGAAAAAAATAGTCCTATATGATTTTTTAAATGATTATTATTGTGGGGAAAAAAGTCAAAATTGTGAGAAAAAAGGTCAGAAATATGAAATTGAAGTCAGAATTCAGAGATTAAAGTCAGAATTGTGAGGAAAAAAGTCAGAATTCTGAGAAAAAAGTCAGAATTCTAAAATTAAAGTCAGAATTCTGAGATTGAAGTCAGAATTCTAAAATTGGAGTCAGAATTCTGAGATTAGGGTCAGAACTGTTAGAAAAAATGTCAAAATTCTAAGATTTAAGTCAGAATTTAGAGATCAAAATCAGAATTGATAGGAAAAAAAGTCAGAATTCTGAGATTAGAGTCAGAATTAACAAGAAAAGAAACCGTTTTTTTAATCCCTGCAAAACTGTCACAGTAGTGTTTTTAAAGGTGATTCAATATTTACCCAATCCTCTTCACTATCCAGTCCTACAGATGGGCCTTGTGTTACCTATTAGCCTGCAAACTGTTAGCACATATCAAAGCCAACATTAGGGGCCCTTAGACAGTCAGCAGATATTAAAAGCCAAGAAGCAATACAATCTGTATCCGAAAGTTTTTATAACTCACAAGGATTTGTAATATTTGTGCGTCAGGAAATTTACAACTGCAATTGTTCATGGTTAGCAAGACCGTCCCAGTTTTGTTTTATTGCCCTCTCTTTTTCTTTTTTTGACCCGTATCTTAGTCGGTGCCTCAGCAGATTCCTTTGACTGTGATTCTGAGAGAAGGACTTAAACGTAACTGTGTCATAACTCCTCTTTTTACTTACTGGTAATTTCATTGCCTGAAATGGAGCTACAGTTGGGACTGTGGATTTTTTCCTTTTTTTATAACACTGTCAGCACGATTAATCCTGGGCTAAGATGCTGTATAATGATCTACCTTTGATTTGCAAAGCTGCTAACTGTCTCATGTTGCTTTATGTAAAGTGGGTGACCTCCCATGACTCTTTGAAATGAGTTTAAGGATTGAGAGGCTTTAAAATCAGGTATGATAAAAAATAAATTGTACAATCAATGTACACTAAGCAAACACGACAATTTAACTTATTAAAGGAAGTATTCTGTATGAAATATGGCGACCATGACACTGGACCAGTCCTCATCCATGCAGATGAACTTTATTGATTACAAATGTATTGTGATTGGCTGACCCAGTCACAGAAATAAAGAGTATGAACTCTGCGCTCAGTTTTTGGTCGCTTCCACTCATGCACTAATGATTTAGCTCTTAATGTCAACCATTATAGCAAACATGGCGAGGACATGCTTGTTTAACTTGAGCTCTTACTCGCACCGTCAATCTATTTTTATGGAATGATTTCACACAGCACATTAACCCCTGAGGTCAGGTCTCACACAAACCAAGCACAGCTAGAATAACTCCTCTGACCTCATCCTTAGTAAAATAGATCACAGCCTGTAAACCTGGGTAACGCCTCATCCTATAGGAGACGTATTTGTACAGATAAGGATGTTTGGGAGAGGATGATTATTTCAGTAAACTTTGATGGTTATTTCCTGGATCTGTTAATTATTAAAGTAAAAGTATGTATGTACACAGTGTGGGATTAAGCTCAGAGAGACGATACTAAGGCACAGCAGTGATTTGAGGTTAACGCTTACATGTTGGAAAAGTGGCATGTTAAAAATTAAGATAAGACAACAGCGAGACATCTGGCTAATTGACTTTTTTACAAGAAACAGATCTTAGGGTCAGAGCCGCTTAAATGCATTTTCAGCCAGTGCTTTGGTCCATCAGTAGGGTTCAGAGAATAACAGACACTAGATGAAATGTAAATTATAATCTCAAGTACAGACAAAACAAAATATTCCACTTTCAACTGATAAACTTTGATAATCCATTCAATGTACTGGTACCTTCTTTGAAACAACTTCATAGTTTAAACCACAGATATAGATTTAGAAGACTAGATACGGCGGACCGCTGTAACGGCCTACTAAGCAACGTGCCTACGTGGCAGCCATCTTAGTGGGGGCAACCTTCCCATTGAGGTATTGTGTGTACATTGAAATTAATGCTGCAGTTCTACTTGGAAGTCAGGATTTCCAACTGGAAAGCAGCATAAATCATGACTTGCTCATGGTTTTCTTTATTTTCGATGCAGGAACATGGGCTATCAAAACAGAACATTTGATTAAACTTTAGTTATTTTTACTCAAATGTTCTGGATTTATAGCACATGTTTTGGTGTTGACAGTAAAGTAAACTGCATGAAAATCGGTTAAGAAGTAGTACAAGCATTGCCCTCAATGGGAACGATGCCCCCACTAGCTTAGCCTCGCTGTAGGCACACAGCTCAAAAGGGTATATCGTATTCATGTTTTCATATCTATGGGTTAAACAAATAGCAAGGACAATTCAGTGCCATTAAACATCTCCAAAGTTGAGAAACTTAAGGGTTTCTACTGTGTTTACTTGGATATATGCTGACATATTGTGCCAGTGGAGCCAAGAAGGAATCTGGCCTGTAGACAAAATCAATTCTTGAATCGATCTGAAGCAGATACTCAGGCCACAGAAAATTCAATGACTTGTGTTCGTGTCAGTGCAGGTCCTCTACTCTGCTGATCTGGATTATGTTGCATACGTAAGAACTAAACTTTGCCAAAAATCAATTTATGCTCCAAAATTAGCAGATAAATCCATGACAGAAAACATGTCTGAAATAAAATGTTTGACATGCAGTATATTCTAGTTTCCTAGTTTAGCCCATGGTACATCAGCTACAAAAGAGGAGGCAGGCTGTAAGACCCAGAACTCCAGCAAGTCAGCAAGAGGCTCCAAAGATCCAGCTTTACACAGAAGAGCTTCTGCTATGAACAGTCATTCCTCATACGACTATTCTGATTATTATTCCCTGTTCAAAATGCTCAGAAACTCGTAAAAGTTTGCATGTGCCCCAGATCTGGTGAAATACGGGATATTTTATGGGTTTTGAACATGAGCGGGAAGAATTGGTTCAGTAGTGCCCCCCTAACAGTTCTTGAGAATACAGCCCCTCCCAGCAGTTTCACATTAGAGATGGGATTTATGGTTCCTTGAAGAGAGCCGGATTGTGAGGAGCCGTTCTTTTCTAAGAGCCGTTCAAAAGACTGGCTTGTTGCTATATTTATTATATATTTTAAAGTTTTTCCCCGTTTTAAAAACTTTGAAGCACAATAAAAACTTTACAGGCTTCAGATAACTTTCGTGCAAAACAACTTTACGGTAAAATTTCCCACACAAGAACATTTTAACAAGACAGAAAAACCGGTTCTCATCGTTCACTTAAAAGAGCCGTTCAAATGACTGACTCGTTCACAAACGTAACATCTCTGTTTCAGATAGAAAGATATACACATATCCGGCTTCCCAGAACTTACAGAAAAGTCCCCAAGCATCATGGTAAAATGCTATCAGTGCAGGTTTACACGCATTAGAGACCCAAACAATGAAAAACTCATGAGCTCTCACACAAAAGAAAAGGGGCGGGGCAAAAGCAAACCCACAAAGTTCACTATGTTGTCATTGGACAGGAAGTATATTTCTCTCATGCATCAAACTCAGACCTGCATAAAGCTGCAAAGGCCTGCTAAATGCTACTTTTCCCTCTGTATAGGTCAGCTAGACAAGCTTTGGTCATGATAGGACTGGATGAGTCAGCTTTAGATTTTAAGAGCTCTCGTGTAGGTCCTTTGGTCAAAGAGGTTACTGATAAGGATCAGGGTTGGATTGCGGACTCCTTCATGAGAGAGAGTTCAAATTCTGAGTTCTAAAGGTTTGAATTAGGCTACTCTTAGAGGTTAAAACTCCATAACTCAAAGATTATTGAACACTTTAACCCGAAAATCCCCTTAAAATATTGAAAAACTCCCAGCCAGGATTGAGATAGAATAGAGTGTCCTGAAAAGAGCCATGAAATAAGCAGATTTAAATGGACAAAACCAAGATACTCATTTAGTCAAGAAAGTTAAATATTGGCATATTATATTATCATCCCATTAGTTTAAAAAATACAACAACTTCAGCTTTAATACAGCTGTGAATACCTGCAGCGTTCGTACTTTTCCAACAGAAACATTTGTTTTCTGACATTAGCTTAAGTAGCGATCGAGGCGAGACCATCTCACCTGAACTTAACCAGAGTTCAATAACTGCTGGCTAACAGGTCTAAGAATCACCTGTCCAATTTCAGTGTTGTGTAGTCCAACCACAGCCAAACCCCTTCCTTTTATTTGAACATAGGTTAACTGTACTTCTCTAAAAACTCGGTAATCTCTTCTAACAGAGGCTAAAGATAGTCGCCAATCAGAGAAAGGGTTAAACATTGAACAGTGGGTAAGTGAAACTCTAAATTGAGTTGTGATTTATTCCTCTTTTGGGTATATCCATCTTTCTTAATCATACTCCACAACAACAAATGAGCAAATAGTTTTTGAAAGACAGTTGTCACACAGACGTGAAATAACAGGACCGAACCCCAGCAATGAAACTTCAGCTTTCCATCATTTTTTCACACATCTGTCTCCAGGTGTCATAAATGACCACTGCATCTTGTGCCTGGTACATGAGAAAACACCACCACGGTTGAAATGGCCTTTAGACAGGACTCTTTGTACAGTGAGGATAACCTGATATTGACCAGTGTGGGAATGAACACTTTGCTCTAGCTGCTGAAAGGGCTAATAGATTAGGGGCCCCTAGACAAGCCTCCTGTCAATTCCTCCTTTTGAGTGACCTAATGTACCCAGAACAGCTGTTTGAGGGCGCTTAACAGTTAGGCCAGGATGACAAGTCATTTTTCAGCTTGATCTATTGAACATGAGAAACGGTTTAGTGTGTTGAAAGGTTCAAAAGCAGTGTACATGTTACACCGTGTCCTTATTACGTGTTTTTGGAGAGAAGAACTAAAGCCTTTATCAGTGTTTTTGTCCATTATTGTACTGGCAGATACAAGATAACCAAAAAATACTTGAAGAAAACAGACTGTGTTACATAAATAAACATGATGTTTGTATTTCAATATTTCCACCAGCGTTGCTTGACAGGAGTATTTAGTTGTAATCCCTTAAAACCAAAGTTTACCCTTTAATACTGTGAACAATACAAATGTTATCTCTTATATTTGATGCTACTCTTTGATAAACATGCAAGGAAAGACTAAAGGGCACAAATAAAGCGTTAAATGAGACAGCAGAGAACAGATCTGTGATTTATTCCTCCACATACTGTGACAGCCCATGTATGAAACCCTACTCAAAGTAGAGCAATGCAGCTTCATGTAGAAGGCAGTGTTGCCAACTTCTCGGAAAGTAAAGTTGCTAGATGACGGCATCGCCTAATTTGCGTAATTTCTCAGTCAAACCCTCCCGACAAGTCGCTAGATTTGTCCCTAGGCTCTTTTTTTGAAAATTAGTCGCTAGAGGGGTCTGAAAAGTCGCTAGGTTGGCAACACTGCACAGAATGTTTATATTACAAAAGACTGATCAAGTGTGGATGAGCACAAAGCTTAGTTTACAAAGAGATAGAGTTTGGAATCAAATTTAAATTTATATGAATGTATTTACACAAAAAGGAGTCCATGTATCAAAATAAACATCAGGGCGATTTCTGAATTAATTCTCCATCAAATGTTAAATACGTTGTGAAACATAGATCGCAGCCTTGCACCCAAGCTGTATTGCACTTTTAAGTAACCAGTATCCAGGTACCTAAAAAAGAGAGAGAGGGAAAAAGAGATAAATTCAGAGTTGTTTCAGTGATTTGAATGGAGTTAATTAATGTGACAGTCTTTGGTGAAGGTTTCAAGAAAACACAAGAAACATGAAATACAAGCATGATGATTATAAAACAACCAAAATTCAGATCCATGTCATGAAATAGACTTACTGATTCAGCGTCATGTTCTAGTCCTGTGTCGTGATGTTCCATCTCATCATCCCTGAATTCCTTTATAACCTGATGAAACATATACCAGCACCATTTATGAGATGAAGTGAACACATAGAAATCCATAAGCCATCATTTTTAAACACACTAAACTACAAATACGCCCTGGGATTCACCATTTTTTGGATGAGATCTACCCTTCTGTACTAAAAGCTGGTTTTATTAGGGGTATATTTTATTCATACCTTGCCCTCTTAGCCCCCTCTTAAAAAACAATGGGTGTGAAGTTAGTCATTAATGGTAATGTTTCCAAAATCAGGCATTATGTCAAAACCTTAACAGACATAAACTGTAACCTGTAAAAGTGCATAATCCCAAAGAAAGCAGCTACACAGTTAAGTGAAGTCCTACATCTGGTAATAACAACCATACTGACAGATCAGAGGACACTTGTAAGTACTAATATGAATGCTTAATTCAGATCCTCTCCCTCTCATCCATATGTTTTCTTACTAGCATTTGCCCTTTGTATATCATTTAATATTTATTGTCACATTTTGCTCAGAGTAGTGTTGTTTTTTTGTGATATTGTATGCTACAAGCAGTAAAAACTTACTTGTAACAGTTCGGTGTATCTCTCAGGGTCCTTCTCCATTAAAGCTCTTATTTGGCTGTTGTAATGTTCTGAAATACTCTCCTCTACTGCCACAGTGCAGGCCATAGCCCCCTCTTTTCCCAGCAGTGCACTGGATGCACCTAGAGTGGATATACTTTTTAGATATAGAAAAAAATGCACAGCTCCGTCTTTACTTGTTTTTCAAAATCCTTTGCAGAGAAAGGGACACTTTCAGCAGCAACATGTAACTTTCTTTCTCAATACCAACATTAAGCATGACTGTTACTTTTGCACACACTCAAATGGGACACTAACTTAAACCAAATTAAGCTACATATGGATGAATGAAGTCAAAATCTGCAGCAATTAGTTTTTGCATGTACCAACCTAACACAAAGCCAGCAATATTCCAGAGGGGTAACAGCGCAGTGGGGCGAACTCTGTTCTCAGCCAAAATTTCATTGAACTTCTCGAGGTGTTTCTTTTCCTGATCCCACATTTCCTGTAAAAAACAAACACTGAGTCAAAAAAAACACTGGCGGCTTACTTCCATTGTGGCTTTTTTCAGTTGTACCCTTTTATTTTCGCAGTAAGTCCCTTTCCTTTTTCCATCACCATTATTTTTTCCGTTAACTTCCATTGTGGCTTTTTTCTTTATCTGCACAGTTTCTTTTTTTATTTGCAGCGGGCCTTGGTGTATTTTTTTGCACCGGTAACTTCCATTGTAACTTTTTTTTTTTGTTTGTTTTTTTTTGCATTCTTTTTTTATTTGCAGCAGTGGAAGTTCTCGGCTACCATATATTCAAGAGTAGAAAGTAGAGTGGTCAACAATATAACTCAATCATCAGAGATACCTGCAGTCCTGAGAGGACTGTCACAGGTCTCTTCCTGATATTCTTATTTACTGAGCTGCACCTGAACGTATCACTCTAACTCCTCTTCTACCTGGATGAGCGGTCCAGTCCTTGACCGACCCAACACTGCCATCTGGCCGGCGTAGATCCGGTTGGCCCCGTATTCACCCGCATGGTCCACCCGCAGGATCCGGTGCAACATCTCCTTCTCCTCGCTGTCGCGCGGGGGCGGGATCACACTGTAAGCGCGTGAGTTCAGCTGCACGGGCACTGCAAGGTAACAACACAGAAAAAAAAAAAACACAATTTAGAGAAAACAAACTTTAAAAGTCCTCCAAAGCATAGTTTGTGATAAACTCTTACATATTTGTTTAAAACGCAACAAAAAGTAGAGGAGTTTCGTAACACTGAGTTGGCAGCGAACACTTATGAAACACAATGTCCTGTAAGATGTTTTTTTGTGTGTGTGTTTTTTGTTGTCATGCAAAAATAAAAGCAGGACAGGCAGTAAAACAGAGATTATTCTTATTATCAATGGCACAATAGCAACAGAAAACGACACTCCGCTACATAAATGTGTGTTTTTAGCATGTTGCTGCTGTTATTAGCCTCTCTGCTTTGGTCAAATACAGACTTGTTTCTGCTTACCTCTGCATTTCAAACACTGGCGGATCATCATTGGGACGACAAAATTAGACCCCCTGCACAAAGCTGTGTGTGTGGCCATTTGCGCGGTAGTCAGTCAAAGTTATGACTACCTGTGGTGGATATTTAGTGAGCTATCTTGTGTAAACTGTCATTGAAAGTTGTTGTAGAGGGTGGACGTGGCGCAGTCTTATGACGCAATCACGCTGCTTGTACAAGAACGTCAACTCGTCAGTAGGATTTTTTCGTAGGATGGTAGGGTAAGGTCCCGCCGTCCTTCGCTTCTGATTGGCGCCTTATGGCTGTGAAACCTCATCGTCTGTCAGGTTAGGATCAGGGTTAGGATAGGGATTAGGGTTAGGAGATTCAGAAGTGCGATAATGTTCTGTTCGATGTATAGAGCCGACAGCCCGCGCTCGGTTTGAGCGACTGATGACGTTCCACAGCCAATCAGAGGCGAAGGAGGCGGAACCTTCCCCTACCTAAAAATATTGCCTCCCTGTCACTTCCAGCTGCACTGACATCTTGTCACAGCCAGACCCGCTTGTAAAATACGAAACATTCCACTTGTTTTCCACCTATGTCAAAAGTAAAGTCCTGATGTCGAAATTATGGCACTTACTGTGAAAAGTGATATTATAAAACAGCCTAGACTTTAATCAACTATTTAAACAGTAGGGGAGAGTGGGATAAATTGAGCCAAAGGTTAAGTTGAGCAACCCCCTGTTGCTTAGAAATGGTAAAAGAAATTGATCGTGTGACCAAATATTTAGGAGATGGGCATCAATTCATGGAGTCTGTGAAGGTTAAAAGCACATGGGTGAAGGGGTTAGACATTTATCTACAAAAAACATTTTTCAGTCTTGAAAGTGAATTTAGTCTGTCATAAGTTTTATTAGAATTGTGTTCAGACCAAAAAGATCATTCTAAATTTGTTTTATACATCAATTGTGGTATCAATGAGCTACAACATGAGGTCAAAAACATAAAAGTCCACCATTTTAGCTTTGAGGACTAATAAAGTTATAATCGTAGTTCTGGGATAAGTTGAGCCAGTGGTTTAACTGAGAAAGAAAAGGAGTCTGATGAGAGACTCAGAGTTTCAGTTCAGATTGTTGAAATGTTTTATTTTTTCTTTTCAAAAATACAGCTGAGAATGTTCTGAATCAACGAGAGGTGACTGTTATTTAGAGCGAGAGAAAGTGAGGGAGGGCTGAGGTGGAGAGTGGAAGGGGTAGAGGGGATACGGCTCAACTTACCCCGCTCTTATGGTCTACTTACCCCATTCGCAGGGTAAGTTGACCATAGCAGATCACTTGTTTTTTTGTCATGCTATATTATCAAGACAGTTATGTTTACACTCATTCTGTTGGTTTGCAGGGATGAACAACATCTTGAAATACATGCAGATACACTAGTTAGAGACAAAACTATGATCGCCTTAATGTAGTGATCTGAAATATGAAAAATGGCTCATCTTACCCCATCTCTCCCCTACTAGCAGGTTCTCTTTCCTTGGACTACAAGTTGACATTGAGGCTTTCAAAATGTTTCTGTGGACTGAGCAGTGCAAAAATAAATAAAGTTAGCCCAGATTCCCCAGTGTGCAGTATCTATGTTGTCGATTATTTCATTTTCTTTTTAAGAAGCACTGTATTCACAAGGTAAATTGCACTGTAAGTCGCTGAAAGTGAACTGTTTCTGCATCCTCCAAATGGGCTTTATTTGTTCAGGGGTCCATGCATTGGCGATGCAAACTGTAGCAGACTAAACAGTGGAGGTAAATATGTATAACTTAAGTTTCTGCAGCTCAAAATGTTTTAAACATTTTATATCATACTCATGCTAAGCAAAGCACAATTTTGGATCTACACATAATCGTCCATCTGGTCTTCACAGCTTCTTATTGCCGTGCAGAGTCACAGGATCTGCATTCTGGACAGGTCACAAGTCTATCACTTTTCCCTGACACAATACAAACAAACCCACACTTAGCAGGCAATTTAGAGTTCACATAGTTCACCTGACCTACATTTTTTGGGTTTGTGGGAGGAAACCAACTATTTAAAAAAGAATAAAGTAAATACTGAAAATTACCTTTTGGCTAGACACTCTGTTTTTTGTGTCAAACAAATCACAAGTGGCCATTTGTATAAGTTTGTTATGTAAGAGCAAAACTGACAAAAAGGCAATAAAGCAAAGAGTTGAGAAGATGTGTGGATCAAACAAATACTTCTCGTTGGTCTACAGATGGCAGTGTTGCACAGACCAAAAGGAGGAGAGTCGTGCTGGCCGTCTTCTACTCCAGTACCTCCTAGATTTCACAAGATCTTTGTCAGTGCAGCTCCTTACACACACCAAACAACACAGTATGAAAGACAACTGGATTTTAGCTGTAAAATTGTGAAAATAAGAATAAGAATAAAAGGGAATTGTCAGCGTTAAAGTGAAGTATTAAACTATTGGATCTGTTTTCGCTAAATTTCGCCATCACAAATCACAACCATTCACTCTAGTTTCATTAGTCATCATTTGTTTACGCGTGTACAGCTTCTGTTTTACAGAGCAGCAAGAAAAACACAAGTGTTTGAGTAAAGCTCATAAAATAGTGGTGGGACAGAAGAATCCGTGGAATGATGGGGTTGACGGCTGCAGAGCTGTGATGGTCATGGGTAAACAAGGCCAGGACAGTGAATGGCGGGGTGTGCCGGCTTGTATGTGTGTGTTTGTGGTGAGACACCGGTTATGTGTTTCCCTATCTGTCTGTCTGTCTGAATATGGGTGGCTGTGCATGTGCAGCTGCACATCTGTAGGTTTAGGTTGTCTTTGTCCTCAGTAAGTGTACGCATATAGGTCACAGGTGTGAGGGAGTACTCAGTGAAGCAACGGCAGCCCTGAACGCCCGAGGGCCTTAAAAGCTTTGGTGTCCTCAAATGTCGTTGTGGTTTGGGGAACTCAAGAAAAAGTTTGTTTTCTTTTTTTTTCATGGAAATTGGTACATTTAAGGCAAATTATCACCCCAGTTGATCCCTTATTAAAAAAAAAAAAAAACTTTCCTGCAAGAACATTGTCGCAATAAACTGTAAAAGTGTTTGTCTACTAATTCAAGACACAGACAATTCACTCTTCACATGAGGTAAAAACAGAGGCTTCTTATTCTTATTTGTCTTTTCTTTAAAACCCACAAAAATACAATTTTTTTATGATTTACTGCAAAACTGTCATATAATTACATGTAAAGTTGATAAGGCATACTCTCTTACAAGCATTTTGTTGTTTGTTTGCCTTGTTTTGTACTTAAGTATTACCATCTGTGTATGTTTCCTTGTGTTGGGCGTGTTGTTCACTTATTTTTGGTCATTTTGGAAGTTCCTCGAGTTTCCTGTTTATATTTGCAGTCTGATTCCCTGGCGTATCAAGTTGAGTTTTGAAATATGTAGTTTGAGATCCAACCCATTCATTACTTCCATTGTGCAACCAGGCCTAAATCTTTAATTTGTCAATTTATCATGATAGTTTGGCCAGATAAACCAGATACAGTCAAACATTATCTGCTATTTGGAAGTCATGTCCCCGGGAACCTGATTGATTAAAGTCCAAATGTCATTATCTTTGTCTGTGGGTTGTTACCAGCCCCTGTTTTTTTGTAACTTAATACATTAACCTGCTAGTTGTTTCGGGTTTTCTTTGACTGCTGAAAACAACACTTTGAAATCAGAGTCAGTGAGTTAAACTGGTAAGTTGCTGCTGAATAGATTAACGAAGACTTGAAACTTGTGTTAAACACAGAGGCGTGACCACATTCAGGCATTTTAACACTGCTCTCTGTTACATACTTCACCTTGTACATCACTCGGTTTTGGGCGCTTTATTGGGTTTCTTGTAACCTCAGGAACTTTGTCGAAGAAAAACACATTTCTGCTGCACTTTTAGGGTAGGTTTGGTTCACATTTCTAATCAAAACCGTGTCCCAAAATTATCACCCAAGTTTATAGACAGAAAACCTGGAAACGAGTGGATCTACTCCAGCACAGGATTGGCGGTTATTGGTGTCATACTGGCACACTTCGCCCATAAAGAACAGCTGTTTATTGACTGCAGTATAAGCTGTGATTAATTGAAACCAAAAGTAACGTGGGAGTTGAATATATTAAAAGCTCTGTAACAGGTTAAGCCAGGCTTGAGTGCGAGTAAATACCTGAACGTGATGTGATTCATTACGATGTAAGATCCAGCGGGCCTTGGAGTGGAACTTGAGGCTGGGGTTTGATAGCTGTGGGCACACGGGAGTGGATATGGCACACTCGGGACACGTGTGAGGATTTGTGGTGAGAGAAAACTGAGCTGTTCAACAAAAGTGGCTTTATGAAGAGATTTGCTGAGCTGTCAGACAGGTGCACCATCTAAGCCGAAAGAACAAACACCTCCTGTGAGATGAACAGATCTGTGTAGTAACCAGCAGGAGGGGTTCACAGTTTCTTCAGGGCTATTTATTGATGGAGCAAAGTGAATGTTTGCTCGACTGTGTTGTGACTGATGAGTGGATTAAAGAGAAAACCACAGGACTGGAGAAAGAGTGAGACTGGCATGTATGTGTCTATGAACCTGTACGCATGTGTCTCTGACTGTGTTTGTGTAATGTTTGCATGCATCCATGGACGTGTGTGTGTGTCTGCACACCCTTGCTCCGAGGCTCTGGTCAGACAGTGCATAGCTGTGGTGGGTTCCAGGCTAAGCGCCTCTAGACTACAGTGAGTCAACAATGTCTGCTCTCACTGAGAAGAGACATGATAGGTCTTGTCTCATTTGGTCCCCGACTGGTGTGGTGGGACACCCAAGATTGTGGAGGTGTTTGTGTGTGTGTGTTTAGGTACATAATTTTGAGTCAAATTTGTGTTGTTTTTTTTTAACCAGCAGAAGAAGAATATATGACAGCAGCATACGTCAGTGACTGTGTTTATACACAAAATATTGTTCCAGACAATCCCTCCTTCTGTCAGTGAGGAAGTATGATGAAATTGGTCAAAAGCTTGAAGGTCAGGGTCTGGTTTAGTCCTGGTATTCTGCTTCTTGAGAACCTGATGTTAGATTGGATCTCATGAGTGTTTTGTAATATATTTCTTTTACACAATGATGATATATGCAATTTAAAGCTCCCATAGGGAGTTTTCGGACTTCTACAAAATAGAGTGAAATTTGTATTAATGTCTTTTTATGATGTCCAAAAGCAAACCTGACCATAATGAACACGGTTTATGATTATTATATAATAGTTTTTAATACCTGAAACCAGTGGGAGGGGGTAGATGTCGGCAAAGGAGCAGAAGAAATTGTCCTCTTTATACAAGGTCTGCACAAAATGTTCCCAGTGAATTATGAATTTGACTGTCAAAAGTCAGCAAGATGACAATATAAAGCTACAAGTTTATAACTTTTTTACTTTTATATGTTTTTAGTTTTTATTTCAGTTGGTGAAGTAAAGAATTATGGAGTATCTGATCAACATTTAAGGTATTTTTAGATTTAAAGATTTGAAGCTGAAAAAAGGTCCAATATAAGTTTTTTTAATTGTTGTTCTAAGATTAAAGTCATAATTCTAAGTTTAAAGTCATAATTCTGCGGAAAAAATCTGAATTCTGACTTTGAGGTCATTATTCTGAGATTACAGTGAGAGTTCTGACTTTTTTTCTCGGACTAAATTTTTTTTTAAATCATATCAAACCTTTTTTTGATTTTTTTTTTTTTTTCAGTGGCCCTAATCCTCTTCCATAATAATGAGAATAAAGTTGTGACAAAGTCCTGTTGTTACAAGAATATGGTCATAGTGAGGTCATTATGTTAAAAGAGTAAAGTCATTATGTGGAGAGAATACTGTCATAGCTTTATTTTTGTTTTTTTGTTTGTTTTTTGGTGAGCAGTCAGTTGCCTGAGCCAAAATGCGGAACGTGTAGCTTCTTGTTAAACTCGCAGCTACGTAAGCTAATGTTTTGGCACAGCAGCACCACATTGTCATAAGTATCAGGACTTGAAAATCAGTGTGCAAAAAGCTGGGAAGTGTGGTATCTGCTTTTTAAACAGCATATGTGGCCAATCGTTGACTAAATTGACAACTTTATTTCCATGTCATAATGATTTAAATCTCATAACGTAACATCGGAGATGGAAGCTCTCTGTGCTCCATTATGAACTTTATCAGAAACAGTGAAAGTGTCCTCAGATGGCCCACGGGCTGGAAGAGGTGAACTGTGTTGATACTCAGAGATATGGGTTGGGCCGCCTCGGACAATATAAAGTCTAAAACTGTTCAGTAGTCCCCTTGAAAACAACAGCCAGTTATCCCAAATTGTTCCAAACTAGGTTGAGAAAGAAATTAAAGTTATGCAACAATGTTTAAAAAGCTGACCATTTTATGGTTTGGTGGTATCCCTCTGGAATAGGCAAGATGTCTCATAAAATATTCAGAAAAAAAGAAAGAAAATTTAAATTCAGCCAGTTTCCCAAAGAAAAAAAAACCACCTAACCCTTTTTATAGATGGTGCGAGATTGAAACCAGAGGAAAGTGATTTCTCTTCCTCTATTGAATTGTTTACTCTCACAAATCTATCTTGTGCGCTACGCAGACCTAGTTTAATCACACTCTTAACCGCTTGTTTTCATGGACACTGGAGAGTGTATTTAACTTTGTCTGGTACAAGTTAAATGGCCCTTGTCTGTCTGGCACTATCCTTGCAGTGATATTTTTTTTTACACCAAATGAATGGGAGATAATGTTTAAATCGGTACCTTATTGCAGGGAGCTGAAAACTCATGCAGGTTCAGGCAATCCTCATGAAGACACCGAGTGAGTTTTCTGAATGAACCAGTGGGATAATAAGCTCCATTTAAGATAGGAAGCCAATAAAAGAAATGCATGCAGGCCACCTGACACAAGACTATTTAGAGCAAGCATGTAAACAAGCTTGGGAAAATGAGTCAAAAGTACAGCCCTGTCAACAGGAATTAGATTTGACTCAATGGCAGGCTGAGACACAGCAGCTAGTTTACATAAAGAAAGCGCTTTCTGCTGGAGAAAAGAAGAAATGGATGTATAACACAGAAGGAGAATCTGGGTTAACTTTTTACCCAGAGTTCATACTCTTCATTTGTCTTAGGGAAGAGACAGCAGGGTTTTCAACACGGTTCCAATTTTGAAGCACAGAAGCGATCCATTTGAGGGGTGTGATGGCAAAAACCAGCCAGCCTTTCGTTTATGAAACCTGTCATTTAAACAGTATTTCCTGTTTGCCACACACAGGATGTGGTTCTGCTTGCTTTACCGTGCAGGCCTATGCTGTCCTGTATGGATTTCCGGAAGTAGTTTTTGTACTCTTTGATTTACAGAGTGCAAACTGTTGGTTTCCAGCGGGTGCCTACATACTGTTGTACAAATGGCCTTGTAATAGGAGTGGTGAGTGCTACTGTGGAATTTAGGATCCTCCATGTGGGCAGATGTGTGATTTCCTGTGGTGTGTGATGCTGCATATAAATGGAGATAACTGCGGTGAAAATAATGGCATGAGGCTCCTAATGGCTTGAAATAATGTTAACTTGTCAAAGACTGAAGTTGCAAATAGAGTTTGACTCCTGGCACAAACATGGAGCAGAGATGAAGGCGTACTGGCAGATTTGTTTGTTGCTGTTATTCTGAAACAGCCAAGACTCTGGTTGCACTGAAAGGGCGGGAGCAGGCCCAAAGACATCAAATAAGAGGCAAAACAGGCAAGTATTAAGGTTGTGGTTAAATTCTGTGGTAGTCCAAACACTGAAATATTCTAGAACAACAAAGCAAGAGGAAAAAAATCCACTGGTCATCACTTCATCATTTTACCACATTGTACTCATCCCATTTGTTTTCCACCTTGGAAAGGACAGTGTTTTTACAGCCTGCAGGGAGTGGATGGTTCCATTACAAATGTCAGAACCACGATCTTGACCTCCCCCTCAGTTTTTTTGAGATTATTTATAGACGGGGTTTGTCGACGATCCTAAAGTAAAATGGCAAAAAGTTGTTTTTGTTGTTGCTCTTACCACTTCAGTGTGGTGACTCGTGATGAGCTGGTGCCTCCATACGTCACAAGAGGCCGGGGTGAGTGGGAGCAGGCTCCGGGCTCTATTAAGGGGGGAGCCAGTCACCAGGGTTATTGGCCAACGAGTGACGGGGACCGTCCCGTGAATTCCACTCGTAGCTGTTTTAGGGTGGTGGCGGGTCTGTTTCGAGTTAAAAGAGGAGCCACAATATCCTATTAAGCATTGTTAAAGTAATTTAGCAGAGTTTACTCAGTAGGACTGCCATGTTAAACCGAGGCTGCAAAATCTCAGCACACACTTCACAAGAGCCTGACAAATAAAACATGGATGAACGGATGGATGGATGGATGGATGGATAGATAGATGGACGGATGGATGGATGATTGTACAGATGGATGGATGAATGGATGATGGATGGATGGATGGCTACATGAATGGATGAGTAGATGGATGAATGGATGGATGAATGGATGGATGGATGGATGGATGGATGGATGAATTACATAGGAATGAATGGATGGATGTTTGATATGAATGGATGGATTACATATGGATGGATGGATGAGTGGATGGATGGATGGATGGATGGATGGATGGATGGATGGATGGATGGATTACATAGGCATGAATGAATAGATGGATGGATGGATGAATTATATATGCATGAATAGATAGATGTATAAATTATATATGGATGGATGGACAGATGAGTGGATGGATGGATGATAAATTACATAGGCATGAATGGATGGATGGATGGATGGATAAATTACATAGGCATGGATGGATGGATGGATGGATGGGTGGATGGAATATATACGGTTTGATGGATAAATTACATATGCATGCATGGATGGATGGATGGATGTATAAATCATATATGGATGGATGAATGTATAGATAGATGAAATAACCCCTTTCTGCACACCTTTTAAATTAAATCTGCTGTATGTTGATTATGTCTCTCAGTCCAAGAGGAACAGCTTATTTCGTCTGTCTCTTAGGAATGGTAAGCATGGATTTGTGTTGTTGTCAGCGTTACACCAGAAATGAAGCAGTGTGAGTGTAAAGCTGTGATTTCATGCCTGCAGCTGCAGGAGTCCAGCCATGCTGTGGTTTACTGGCTCACATCCAGCATCTCTACTTTATTTAGAGGCTCTCCAAACCCAGTTGGACTGTGGCTTGGTCAGCTGTGAGGCACAGGCAGGTCAGACCAAACCAAAACTTACCACTGACTGACACATAAAGCACAGCTACCCAAAACTGGGCCTGCAGCCGGAATTCAGTCTCAAAAATAGAACCTCCAAATTATTCTAAGAGAGTGTACATGTTTTGATGCATCCACTATTTTGACCTCTATATGTTGTTCAGCATTGCTGGTGCCCTAGAAGTGCAAATTGCTCATTTTAGAGGGCACTTATGCATCCCCATAACACCATAGATGCTAGTTTTTAAACCATACAACACATCATAAAAGGGTGTGGCCCACCTACCTTAAATGGGTAAAGGTCGAAACCATGCCTGTTCTTATACAGTGCCAATTGTGGGTCCTTCTAGCACCCTGTCTCTTTTGTTCCCCTGATTTTGTGTCACTCTTTCAACAGCATCACTTACTGTAGATGATGAAAACCTAAAATTCTTAACAGTTTTATGCTTAGTTAGATTATTCTAAAATTACTGAGCCATCTCCTCACATAAACCCCCACAGAGTAGTGACCCTCCTCCCATCTTTACCTTTAAGAGACTCCGACTCTTTAAAAGCTCGTTTTATACCCGGTCATTTTGCTAACCAGCTGCGAATGAATCAGATCAACTTTTACGTCATGTGCTCACATTACACAACTTTCTCAAAGTTGTGTTGTTCCTGTTCCAACATTGTTGAAACATGTCACTTCATCATATTTCAAATGGGCATTTATTTCTCATATAACGATACAATTACGCAATTTTAAAATTTGACACGATGCACCGTTTTTGATAAAACACAACACATTTTGATTAATCATTATGAAGTAATCAAGTATCAAAGTCTGTGACTCTGGTTCATAAACTTTCAGTCATACTGAGTGACTTGTTTACTTGAAGGAATATACACTGAAATACACTTGTCTATGCAACTTGGCAGACTTAAAAGGGAACTCTTCCAGCCATCCTTTTAACTTAAAAGGAGTAAGATATGGTGGCAAATGGCGGATCTGGAGCCACTTAAAGAACTCTGTCCAGGTTATAATGAAAAATGGACTCCCAAACTAAAAATCCAAGGCACTTCCCCGAATCCTTACATTAAAAGAAATGTCTCTTTGCATATCGACTCAGCTCAGTCAGGAGGAAGATCATATGTTTGTCTTCCTGCAGTCCTCAGAATCCATAATAAAAATCTAAGTGTGTAATAAACCATATTTATATGCATATTCTGTACACATGCATACTTATTCTGTGTAAATAGTCATGTATATAATGACTTTGACTTTGACGATGTACATAACAGCTGTAAATAACACTCATTTATATATCTTTTTTAATATCTTTTTCGTCATTCTTTAATGTCTCTTTTGTATTTATTGCTGTCATAAATTTAATAAAGGAATACCTTATCCTTTCTCTTAATTGCTAAAACAACTTAACTGTTTATAAGAGGATTACAGTTATTTGCTTTTGTAATTTGGACAACTATAAAAAAATTAAAATCTGCTGTAATAATAATATCATATTTGCATCATGTGATATGCTTTTAGGTGTGTCTCCTCGATAAATATTTTCAATATCAATCAAGAAGTATTAGTGTCAATAAGTCAGACCAAGCCAGAATTGAAAATCCAAGGCATACTGACGCAATTCCCCAGATCCTTCAATCAACAAAAGTGTGTCTTTGCATATTGACTCAGCTTAGTCAGGAGGAGGATCATACATGTAAGTGCTTAAACGACTCAGCTCAACTGTTTACCAGAGGATTTAGTTATTTGCTCATGTAATTTTGACAGCTATAAAAAAGTTATCATTTTCTGTAATTACGTTATTGTATTTGCATCACACGAAGTGCTTTTAGGTGTGCTTCCTTGGTAAATATTTTCAATATCAATTAAGAAGTATCAGTGTCAATAAGCGTCAAAAACTAGCGTCATGGTATTAAACTTAAAAAGTCTGGTATCAATCTGTGAACAGGTTTGGAACCGCTCGGTCTATTTCAGTTGTTTGTTCTTGTTCTGATGAAAAAACATCTCCCAGTTTATTTAAAAATAGCCAACATAGCAGATTCACATGGTGCCATCTTTGTCACTATTGCTACGTTTCAGTTGTACTCGGAAGTCGGGATTTCTGAGCTCTGAGTCGAAAGTTCTCTGTAAGTCGGATGATCCTCAAAAAACCCCGACTTGACGACAACGTCAAAATCCAAGATGGCAGCGCAGTGCATCAACAGTGAAAAGTAACAGTGAAAGCTCTTGTAATGTATTATATATTCACACTTTTTTAGCACAGCTGACAATTGTAAACAACAGCTAACAAAAGCTAACAGTAGGCGTCCATCTTGGTTTTCCGACTTGTTTACTGGAATGCGGTCAACTCTGATGTTTAACGTCATTCCCAGCTCCGACATCCGACTTCCGAGGGAACTGGAACGCAGCAAATGTTTGGGTCATTACACACTCTCAATGACATGTTTTAGGTCCACACGACAGCAAAAACGATCGGGAACTGGCGCAGTAGATCTTGCAAACTTATGTTAGCTTTTACTGCTTTCTATCCTTATTAATTCCTGGGGTTGAAACTCTGTAAAACATCATGTGACACAGGCCAAAATGGCTGACAAGTTTCCACACAAGTCTGTGATGAAACACAAGAGGAAGTAGATAACAAAAATACATTTATATCTTAGGGGAAAAAGTCACTGACACTTATGACTCTTCTCATTTCCCCTTCTTTGTAATGTCAGTGTTGCAAGAAATCTCTGGACTCCTAACCAGTCAACACATACCATCCTGATATTTAAAGTTTGCCATGACACAGAAGAGTTTGTTTATATGGTTTCATGAAAAATGGGCGCTCCCAACCAGTTCCACATAACCCCTGCTGTTCCCTCAGCTGGCTGTCATCCCCGGTGGTTTTTCTTCTGATGGGTAATCAGAGCACCATCTCATTCAGACACCTTCTGCTTCCAAAACAGTGAAGGAAATGTTGGGAAACCATCTGCTGGCTGGGGAGAAAACGAGCATCATAGCTCCGTCTGAAGTTTAGAGACATTTGGTTGAGGTTACAAACACGCACTCACAAAACCAAACAAAAATCCAATTGTCTTACCAGTACTGAACCGGTTATGTAACAACAATCTGCTAATGTCGTGATTCAAAAATACATACAGAAGAGCTCGGAAAGGCCAGATTTACTCCTTCTTTTGTTTAGATTAGTTCTCTGTGTGGTATTTCAGTGTTTGGGAATATAATTTCCATTTTACAGTAAACTTAAAACTTCCACCAGCCTGTTAGTTTAAAACAAAAAATGGAAATAGCAAACTATCTCTGTCTGAATAAGGTGGAGAAGATTTTGGACAATATTCAATTTATTTCATTTTTAAAAAATGTTTTATCCACCATTAAAGACCCACTCATAAGAAAATCTTGTTTTTCTCTATTTCTAAATGTTCATATGGCATTTTTCTGATGCTACAGGACATATCATGAGAAATATAAGTGTGAAATTGCATTTCGGATTATTTCTGCATTCAAATCGTTGTGAACCTCTAGTAGACCCAAACGACACAGTGACAAAGTGAGATTTCCTATGTCACAACTGCAAGCTCCGCCCCCAGAACCCCCCTTTGCAGGCCAGACTCGGAGAAATAGAGAGGACGATCGCGGAACAAGCATGTGCGTTAGCGGATTGCAATGCTCGTAAGAAAGCTAATCATAATATTAGCTCTCATCATGTCCCCAAAGACATTAGTGTCCGAGAGCTGAATATTCCTATGTTACCTGCTACTTCTACTACACCGGCTATGTTAGGCTGCAAGCTAGCATGAAGATAAGTGAGCTCTGCTGAAGAAAAGCTCTTGGAAGTGACATAGATAATGTGAAAGTCAGCTGCAAAGATATTGTAAAATAGCAGGAAGCTGTTTGAAGGGTCTGATCGGCTCTATTTATTGTGAATCCGGGAAGTTAGACTATCAGCTGCCAAATTACCCACTTTTGCTTTCTTAGGCCATTGGAGTCCTTTTGTTTTAGATCTGATCAGCTGTCTCAGTCTGCAACTACAAGAGGCACAAAAGAAACAACCAAAGAGGGAAATTAGTGTTTTATTTTGGCAACAACAACACAGGACAGGGATCCTTAAACACTTGTAAATGATAAGTACCGCATACAACCCCTCTTTAAATAAACAACACTATCTCCTTGGGCTTTTGTGCTTGCCTAACTGTGTATGTAGCTTTATATTTGCTATGCTAAACTCAAAATTATACTGGCATTTCAAACTGTTACTCCAACAGAGTATGAATGATCAGGCAGGGAGTATTAGGACTTCTTATGAATGAGTTCTCTGCCAGCGCAGCAAGGTGGTAAATACTTTTAGGCTCATATCACTCACACGAGCATGCGAGACCAGTCTGAAGTCTGCAGACGGAGGAAACAGACTCACACAGATACACACACATGCAGTCTTAACCAGGTGTCTTTCTCATCATATCTACAAAACTTGTGCAATACAGCGGTCCATGGACTGAGTCAAAGTTTAATCTCATCTTTCGAGTGAAGTGAAGTGAAGTGAAGTGAAGCGAAGCGAAGCGGTGGGCACAAACTAAGATGGCATTGTGGGTAAAAGCAGGAGGGAGAGAAGCGGAACACGGAGCTCAGTTATAATTGCTTGCGTGGGCTGACACATCTGAATTTACAGGCTGTACTGGAGCAGTGCCACTCATTTAAAATGTTATTTAAGAGCTAAGGGAGAAAAAAAAAATACAGAAAAGATATTTTGTTCACTTGTTTCCTAATCTGTTGTATGCCCCTCCCTCTGCTTTGCTGTTGCTAAATTCGTTCCCTCTTGCTCAAACGTCAGAAGCCAAAATGACACCATTATTTTGACTAGACTGTTTTTCCTCCCAGGGAGAGAGGCCAGAGGAAGTGTAGGTGACCTAGACTGGTTAACCACAGCTTCACGACGAGATGGCTGGGGCACTGCCACCCCCGCAGCCACCCTCTGCATCCACCGCCTGCCAGGGCCACATTACTACTACTACACGCCATGACCACATGTGGCACAACTCCAGAGACAGCCTCCCATTGGGTCCTTGCAGGGTGTCTTCCCTCCCCCCTATTGGTGTACACAGTCTGCTGTCTGCCTGTCGTCTGGCGTGGAACTCATTTAGGATCCTATTTACAGGCGGAACGCGTGTATGTTTGTGTATGTCAACCCAACTTGGGTCTATACCTGCAATTTTGCACAGCTCTGCCTCTTTACTGCATGTATACAACTGTGCATTTGGGATGTTTATGTGCTACTTTCAGAGCACCTCTGGTCTCAAGCCGGTCTGGTCTGGAGGAATCAGCTGAAGAGGTTTGGCTCAGAGTCCGAAATGAAGCTTACACTTGGGAATCGGAGAGATACACTCACTAACAACCTTATTCCTGGCCTCTTTGGAGAAAAGTTCTCACAAACCCCTAAAAATGTCCTCCAGATGTTGACATCTTTCGACCGCTGATTAGAAAACACAAACACGACCGGCCGCAGAGGTGCAAGCATGTCAGTTACATGACATTAAACAGTGTGTTCAGCCCCGGAGTATGAATTAAATCACAAAGGTGTTCGGTAAACACTCCTGCCTGTGTTAAAGTCACACATACTTACACACACCACCCACCCCACTGGTTGTGGTACACTGCTTGAGGTGTTTCGCTCCATTTCACGGTAGTAGTAACAATGAACTCAGGCTGCACCGAGACATAACACAACACAGGCTATGGGAGGTTTTTTTTTAACTCATCTGTCTTCACTTAATTTCCTGTGGGTCAATGTTGAAATCAGAAAGGTAAAGTTCTGTGAAAGCAAAAGTTAAGTTTACATTTAAAAAAAAAAAAAAAAAAAACACCCACGCCACCTCAGCTCCAAATATTTATTTCTGGCTAACAATTTTTTTTTTTTTTACCAGAATAATTGTCCTGGCGTCTTGCCTCGGCATCAAAACACCTCAAAAATTAAAGCTCCCTGACGGTCGTATTCACACGTGTCAAGTTACATAATTCATTCGGCACCGTGATGGAGCTGAAAGTGCTGAATAAAAAGCACTCGGTCTGGGAGCTTTGAGAAGAGGCGCGGCCTAAACTAATGAGTCATTCTGCGAAGAATAATAATCTAATATTTGCACATGGCGAGACGCAGGCCCTGGTGGTGGTCTGCCTCTGCGCCGAACTTTCCATGTTTCTCCTCTGCGGCGATGATGGAGGTGGTGCACACAGACGCTGTCATACTTTCCTGCTCAGCTGAAGTGCTCGGAGTTTTCCCCTACGTCTCCTCACCAGAGCGACCATCATTTGGTGCCATTTGGTGATGCTTTCCAGCAGACGAAAAAGAGCTTCACGCAAACGTTGTCTTGTTTTTCCGCTCTGTTGAAAACACACAAGTAGTGATCGAAACACAGATATGCTCTGTTGAACTTGAAGGTCATGTCACTGTCCTCCATCTATAGTCTGAGTTCCTCTTTTTTTCAATGGCAAAATGATCGCAGACTTCCAAACGTAACATGTGACACTTAGTGTCCAAGTTGATGACGTGATGACTTCACATTTTCCTTTGACAGTGCAAGTTTCAGTCCCATAAGATGACTAATTAACCCGATAGATTCCCTGTTTTTTCCCGAATCAGCAAGTTGGGTTTTTTTTGCAACAGTTGCTTTACATTTTCTGTTTGACAAAAGGATAAAATCATAAAAAAAACAACTTATTTTTGGTTATTTAGTCAGTTCAAAATCTGTGCTGGTGTCCACTCAAAAACACCACATGTGGATTATGCACCACACTGTTGATACAAGTGCACCGTTGCGACACAGCGAGTTATTTGTTTTGCCTATATCTCGAGAAAATGAAGGGTCTTAAAGTTGTGGAATTAGAGTGTTATAGGTCTGAGTTTAAAAGGTATGTCTGTGAACAAACAGACGCAGTATGGTCAGACGACTGGTGGTTTTTTGGGATGTGGGGAAAGGCAGGAGCGAGAAAGGAGGTGAGGGGGCAGTTAGTGAAAGTGGGAGGAGTGTGTCTGGGTGTGGGACTGTCATCCCATTGAGGGGAGTAGCTGTGGTGTTTTGATCGAAATCCAGCAGATGTGGGAGAGGAGAGAGGGGTGAGAGAGAGAAAGAGAGAGAGAGAGAGGGAAAGAGAGAGAGATTTCCACCCACCCAACAAGGAGACACACTCATAAACAGCAGGCACACAGAGAGCGAGTCAGAAAGACACAGGATCTCAGGGCAGCAGCAGTTCAAACAGCCTGGCAGACAGAAAACAGAGTTTCATTGAGAGAAGATGTTTTATTAAAGGGAAGAAGAAGAAGAAGAAGAAGTCACACAGACACACTCCAACACACACATACTTTAATAAAGACACAGAGCAGGCAGAAAGTCAGTCAGTCAGTCAGTCAGGAGCAGGCTGAATCCAAAATATACCAACATTAGCTAGAAAAGTCTAATAAGGACACACTCTTAGCACACTGTCTTTCCACTTCTCACACACTCATACACACACACATCAATTCGGTGCTGAGTGTGAGCGACCAGTGTGAGGAGGAGCAGGGCTCATCAATCCCAACAAGTGGAGCATCAGGGAGGAAGGAGCAAGCAAGTGGATGGATGCCTTTTGCAGACTCAGCGGCCTGGACCCTCTGTGGGTGAGTTCATGATGTGTGTTCACTGACCCTGATACATGCAGCGGATGTGTTTACGTTCATGTGTGTGTGACTTTCCCCTGAGGACAGTTAATGCGAAACCATGTTCGGTCATAAAGATGTACGATTTGGGGATGTTATGTTGAGTCAGCTGAGTTTCTGCTGAGTGTTAGCGCCGCAGTGTTGTGTTATTTCAAAGACTGAAAAATTACAGTTCAGTGTAAATCTGCGTTAGCCACATTAGCATGCTTCTCTTTTGTCAACAACCCATCAGCATCAGGCAGATTTTTGCTCTTTATTAATAAATAATAGGAAGAGAGCGATAGGGTTGTGGTCGGTGGAGGGAAATGTTATTTAGCAGCACTTAGAAGCAGAGGAAGAAAATCCCCAATGGTACACATTGACCTTCTCAGTTTGCAGCCCCTTGGTATGTGAGTGCTTTAGAAATCTAACCTAAATCAAGTCTGAATGCGAGACTTTACCTCTGGAGCGTGTCAAGAGTTGCATTTACCGTCACTCCGCCGTGTGATTCAGCACGGTGAGATGCTGAGAAGTAGAGGTGTGTCAAACTGAATGAACTGCTGCTGCTTAGTTGCTGCTGGACAGACTTTATTGTCTTGTTTAGTAGCAAACCTCCACATTCTGAATCTCCACTCGAAAGTAGGAGAATGGCCTCAATCCAAGTGGAATTCCAAAATTATTGAATGCTCACTCTCAGCTTGCCAGTTTCCCCCTAAACTCTCTCTTTCCCTCTCTGTTTCTGTTTCTCATTATGCCTTTTTTTCCCCCTCCATGACCTCAAAACAACAGCCGTAAAACTGTGTCAAGAAAGTGAAAGTGAACTACATCTCGTGGGCTTTTGCTCTCTTTGCGATCGAGTTCAGAAATCAAATATAATGTTTTGAGTTACATGACATTGATCACTAAACAAAGAGGATGTTTCAACACATGTTTTTGTCTTGTTTTTGGCTGCAAAGAACATTCGGTTATTAAGTGTGGCAATCAACCTTTCACATGCTTTCGGAGCAGCGTCATTGCTCTCTCATTGGTCACAGCCTTGGGGTAGCAGTGGGAATTTGTTTGGCACCAATACAGAGCTGCACATGCACAATCCAGCTCAGAGGAAGAAGTTTGATCCAGATTTACAATGCTGTTAAAGTGTAGAGAGAGTGGACACGTGCTTATTCAGCTTCTTACTTTTTGTATTAAGTCGTCCTGTAATTTCAGGGGACAGACGATGTCTAGCTGGAGCTGTTAGGAAAGTAATCGAAAACCACCACAATTACAGTGTTTGTTGTGTGAGGAACAGGGATTGCAGTTTGTTTCATCAGATATGTTATGACCATATCAAGAGGTTGAAGTAAAAAGCAACATTTAAGGTTTAAGTTTGTCCCACCTTCACATGACGGTGTATGAAGAGTCACCTCGCAGCCGCCAAGCTGCCCTCATCTCCTTAACTTCGACTGGGCTGTGGGGCTGTAATCAACCAAGGGAATTCTTGGTCGACTAAAACCCTGAAATTTTCAACCAAAAATCAACTAATCGGGGGGATTAGGGTTAGGGTTGGGGTTAGGGTTCTGACTCTGACTCTGACGGCAAACCCATCTGCAGCGGTGGATGACGCGGCTCATTGAAGTCAAAATATCCAAATATCAGCACAAGAAGGCAATTAAACACAAAACACAAGTTGAAACGCTCAAAACAAAAATAAATATTCATCAAACCACCGGACATCGATTAATGTTGACGCTCTTCAATCTTCCTGTCTCCAGCCGGTCTTGATTGGGCGAATCCAAAATGGTGAAAACACGGGGGGTGTTCTGACACCGGTTGTTACCTGTGAAATGGGGATGCTCTGAAAACACCCCCATTAGCACTTGGTACGTTCCTCCTCATGAAATTAACCACAGACTGTAAATTGAAAAAAATTGAGTCGACCAATCAGAATTTTGGTCGACTCAGCACGTTTGGACCAATAAGTCGACTAGGACTTTAGAGTCCTAATGGGGAGAAGGCACAATGAAGTGTTTGTCAAGAGTTTGACAAGATGGATATCTAACAAATGTGCCTGCCACTGACCGCAGGAGTCAGAAGGATCCGTGAAAGCAGCCTCCCACTCACTGCCTCTTCAGAGTTATCACAAATGTGGATTTTGATACAAGAGTCCTCACAGAGACCAGTGAACCGTAGGTGCAAAACTTGAGTATTTATTATGTAACCAGAACCACTTAGTGAAGCAAAATTTGAGGGGACTCTAAAGTGAGACGTGCAGAGATTTTTGCGAGCTTTGATTGAATGAATCACCTTCAGTCATGATGTGATTCAGACTTTTGTGGTTTCAGAGGCAACAAACTGCAGCGAGTGATGGGAAACGTGAATCAGTTCTGTAAAGGTTGAGACATGCTCGTCTCCCTGCAACATATCTGTCCATGAGGGCCTCCTGACCCGACCTGGTTTACCGACAGGGCCTTGTGTGTGTGTGGGGGGGGTGCTTTTTACATAATGATCCTGCAGCTGTCACCAATTGTGGCCTCTTTCCCCTATACCAGCCTCGAGTCCAGCAGCACGACCAGACTGCCCCAACCATGCTGGAAACCACTTCCTGTGGTGACTCCGCAGGGCAGCCTCGTTAGCACAGCCAGACACCCTGCCCCTCATTAGGCCGGGGAGGTGATAAACAAGGGACACAAGACAACAACAAGCCACTGAGTTTCCGGAGAGGGGCTTTTTTTATTCACCTCTCCTGCTCCTGCGGCTATTACATAATCACAAACTTTGGCAGCATTTGCCAAACACACCTCGTCTGCGAGCTTTACAGGCTTCATTATTGCTGTAATCCCTGACCTCACTTTTTAATATGTTTACAGCCTATATTGTCCTGCTTAAATTAACTTACAAACTGGAGACATGGTTAAAAAATTCTCCCAAATTGTCTCAGCTCTGTTGCAAAAGCGAACCTCTTCCAGCTCACAGCTTCACGGCACTGGGCACAGACTCAGTTTCTGTTGACCTGCTGCGGTTTCTCTCCACACCGCCTTGATGGATGAAACACAGGGCCCAAGTCTGGATCCTCCGGACTTGGCTTTCGCCTGCTCTGTCTCTCAGATGATGAATATAATCTCACAGTTTCACCTCACCTTCTGAGTCTTAAGCACATTGTCTCCGTCTGAACTTTTGACCTTCTCTTTGTTGCAGGACTGGAACCGTACGTGGTACACAGCCAACCCAGACCTGACCCAGTGTTTCCAGAACACAGTGCTGGTGTGGGTCCCCTGTATCTACCTGTGGTTGCTGGCCCCTTTCTATTGTCTTCACCTCTACTGCCATGACCGCGGACGCATTCATATGTCCTGCCTCTGCACCGCCAAAATGGTGAGACATCACTTAGGCTGTGGACGGGCTTCAGTCCATTGTTCAGATGTTGTTTTTCAGAGTGACACATGGGCCAAATGTCTGATATTTTCTTCCCAACATCAATTTTTCTATAAGGACAAACGTGACTGTACATCCAGAGAGTTTCTTTAATCTGTTTTCTCTCCGGTCTTGCTCAGGTGTTGGGTTTCCTGTTGGCCTCTTTTGGCTTCGTGGAGTTCTTCTACATCCTGCTGGAGAGGAGCCAGGAGATCCAGCAGCACATGGTCTTCCTTCTCAGCCCCATTATTCGCAGTATGACTGTGGTAAATAGAGTGACATTTTCCTTAAATTTTTGACACATTTACATTTGTCTAAACCGTGATTGACGACTAAATCAGGATGCAGTGATTTCAAAAATAATTTGGGAGTTTTAGAAGTAAAAGCGTCTTCTTCTTAACCTCATGACACTTACATAACTTTACCAAGGCTGGATGAGCAGCTTCCTGATTAATCATTAAATGAAGATCTAATATTAGCAAGGATGATGACTCAGGTTCATTTGTGGAGTTTGTCACTGGAGAGAAAAGTTGTAAAAATATCCAAACTGGCGGAAACCAGACTTTATATTAAGTGTTGCACATATTAGCTGTGAAGACAGTCAAAAGGTTTAAATTATAGACTGTATATAGAATGGACGCCGTCTGCCTCTTCGCTGGGTGAAGCCACCGCGAGAACAGCACCCTCTAGTGATGGGCTGCAGTATAGGTCATAAATCCTGCCTTCTCCAGCAATCCCTATGGAGCTGTGGACAAACTTAAGAAATTTATTAAACAGAATATAAAATTTTCTCCCCCCTGGTTGCGATGTTGACATGTAGTCTTTGTAATGGGGCGGTCGCACGAAGCGCAAGTAAATATCATCTACTCGCTTGGATGAATAGAATCTATTCGCTTTATTCTACAATAATCTCTGCCAATTCAACCAGCAGGATCAAGTGAAAACAAAGGTGTTTTTACAATTTACCAGGTAATCCAACCTCCTCACTCACTTGCATAAAGGATAGACAAACGCTAAATTAGCTAAACAGTTGGAAAAAATGGTTTAAACCACAATATATTGTATCGCAATACTCACTGTATTGCAAAATCTTAAAAATCGCAATAATATCGTATCGTGGGGCCACTAGTGATTCCCACTCCTACTGTCCTTATTGTTGATTCAGCTCTTTGCATTAGACGATAATTCACCAGATAAAAATCCCTCTGTCATGAAGAGGAGTAGAAGCAGGTATTAAAGCCATAACCTCTGTGTTCACTAAGGTAATTAATCACATAAGAGAAAAAGGACATTTACTCTTTGTTTCCATGATATCAGGCTTCTTTAAACATCCAGATAAAATGCTATTAAGAAAATACTGCAGACTGAGGCACCTCCTCAAGAGCCTAGATCCACTTTTCATATACAGTTTGACGCTGATTTGTGGCTAAAATAACACGTCTGACGTCTTTCCTGCGTTGCTCTAGGTAACAGAAGAGTTTTGGGAATATTTCAGCCTGTGTCCTGCTGGCTCACATGCCAAAGGCACAGAAATGAAAGAATATATATCCTCTTCACAGTATGTTGGCCAGACACCGAGGTGCTAAGATGCACAACAGGGACTAGATTTACAGTGCTGCAGGCAGTGCAAATATTACAGTACCCTGCAAACACAGCCTGTATTTGACCATCACTCATCACAGCGCAGAGGACATATGTCATGACATCAGTTACTATTTGATGTGGAATGAGCGCGGCGGTATATACGTGGAAAGTTGAAATACATGAAAAATGTGCATGTGAGAGAGCACATGTATGTAAAGCTCATGCTAAGAACAACGGCGACATTTTGTCACGTTTGGCTTCAAACCGTGTTTTAACACGTGGTGTGAATTGTTGGAAGTCACTTTTTAGCACATGTATAAATATTAAATGTTGCACCTAAGTGTTAAATATTAAATCTAAATATTGAATCTAAATCTAAATGTTAAATCTAGATGTTTTGGGTGAAACTAGATATTTAGCTAATATGCAAATTCGAAATGCCGGTAACCGGAAGTTCCAAATTAAAAGCAGGAGGAGGTAAGAGTGTGTTTAGAGTGTGAAATGACATTTTATCTGAAGAAATTGACTATTGGACATAGATTTTACATTTAACATTTAAATTTAACTTTTTAGTATGTTTCTAAGTTCACAAATATTGTTGTAAATGTGCTAAAAAGTGACTTCCTGAAGCTACATGTGACAAAATGTTTATATTATTTTTAGCATGAGCAGCTTTACAAACGACACCCCACACATGTCATTATGAGGGGATAAAATCAAATGAAATGAAGTAAGGGAGTTTAGATTTCTAACATAAATACTATGTTTTCACCAAATCTCTGCAGTGAGTAACTCCTAAACTAATAATCATTGCTCGTCCACTCCTGCAAGAAGTCGTCGCTTAACTAAACATTTATTTAAAAACAAACAGGCTTTTCGGTGTTGATGGTAATCCTGAGTAATCCTCCACTTTATACAAGGTCATCTAAAGGTCTTCCAACTTTTTGGTTCATCTTTAAAAAGCACCAAACCACCAAATACAAAGGTGATGATTCACAATTGTAGCCTCAGTCAAACCTAATTACATAGAAAAGGTTCGGTCTTTATATATAGGCTACAGGTGTGCTGCGGGACTCAAAGTTGTGTCACAATTTTTTCATCTTAAGCGCCATTGTTCTAACCAAAACTGTATTTAAGGTGTGATGTGATAAGTTGCAATGCCTCTGCACTAAGGAGGGAAAGAAAAAAGAGAGAAACTTTTATCAATAAGAAATAAAAAAGCAGATCTGCATGTGTCAAAATTTTCAAACATGTAGAAGTTCAGATCATTTCTTTTTCTCAAACTATAGAGTGAAACTTTGTGACTTGGATGGCATTTGGGATGGGCTGCAGAACATCTCAAAAAAAAAAAAAAAAACACGTCTGGTTTGTAATCAGAGAAATGTTTTAACGTGACTAGTTTTGATGAAAGGCCCTGAGTGTTTCTCGGAACATTGATCCCACTCATTTTCCTCAGATTTTAAATGATACTTAACGTTGTCAGAACAAACAGAAAAGGGGTGCAGCTCACAGCATGGGTGGCGAGGCAGGATCCAAATGCTGTTTATCCTCAGCAGAAGAAAGAATTACAACAGAGAAGAAAGAGGCTGGCTTAGGTGTTGAACCCCAGCCGGCCTCTAAAGCTGACCGACTTCAGCTTTACTCACAAAGCTTCCTCTTTCTGCAGCTCCTGCACAGTCTCACTCTCTCCGGGTCAGACAGCTTTACCTACCTGTGGTCTTTTCAGACTCCTGAGTAAATAGCAGCACGCGTTTGGGTAAAAATGCACTGAGACGTCTCTTGTGTTTAGGATACATTGAAAAAAAAAAGTCATTTATTTTAAGGGTACCATTTATCGCTCCAGGAGGGCAGACAACAAACAGCCACTAAATCATATTAAGAGATGTCACCAATCTTTCAATCTCTTCTCCAGACCTATCTTAAACAAAGGTTGTAATTTCCGTGATGTCGATTGTAGCCACCCACCACTAGGCCGGGAACACTGAGCTCTTGTTGCTCTGACCGACTTGTTTTGTTGCCCTTCAACTCAAGTTAATGTATGGGAACCATTTCACCCCGAGTCAGCCAGCCCAGGAACAAATCGTGGTCACTATTGATGAAAAGTGCATGCAAGATGCTGACTATAATCAGCAATACCATGACGTAAAGTTCTATTCCCACCTCACCGCTGCACACTTCCCATGTAATTATAAGGTCGGGCTTTGATTTGGGGCTTAGTGATAGACTTAGTTCCACCCACTGACTTGTACAAACAGATGGGCTGATGGTTTGCTGCAATATGGCAAGTCAGAGCGGAAGGCCAGGAATAGGCCGGTTCTAACCCTTATATCCTGACCCAAGGTCAGCTTTACGTTCAAGATTTGGTTTGGGGCTGATGCAGCCTCAGCCTCATCAGTCCAGGACTTCAAGTCCTGTACCAGGAGAGGACACAAAGTCCTAGCGGTGGGCTTAGTACGACTCACATATTGTGGATCTAATGATGCATGAGACATGCTACCCAAAGATTTGAGGCTTTTTATTTAGTTGGGGACAACGGTGCAGCACTAATATTCAACACTTTTGTGATTTCTTCAGGAAATCAGTATTTTGGAAATAAGCACCTGTAGAGAAAGTTCAGCAAACGTTACAAATCTCTTCAAACTCATTAAACAAAGAGCTCACACCTTTGATTTTCTTCTTTATTTCACTTTTACTGGTTTTGTGGATGCGTTTTTCTAACTCTCTCAACAATACACTCCGACGAGCATGTCGCCACTTGAGCACAAGCTAGTTTCCTATCCCAGACAAAGATTTTTGGACTGAATTTGGACAAAGTTTCTAAAACGTTAAACTGCAGTTTGTGTTGGAAACAAGCAGAGTCAAGTATTCATTATTTTTGTTGTATTTTGTTTGTTGTACATTCCAAAGACACTCAATCAGGTGGACAGGAGTCTCTAAAATCCTCACTGGCATCATTTTAAGTGCTGGTCTGTCTGCAATCATCCTTCAATATACAGACAAGTATAAATATAAGATAAATGAACAACAGACTGAATAATCAGGCTGTCACCAAAGAAAATACACGTGTTGCCTGGATGTTGTTTACCTAAATTCCCCCTCCTGACCACCTTACAGAGATGAGTACATCTTTCTCTCTCGGTGGAATAAATCAGTGTCAGTCGATCTAGAGAAGCTTATGTAATTAGGAAACCACTCTAGTTTATAAGAGGACAGCACTGTGGTTCATCCCTGAGTAACCAATGCGGTTGTCAATATGAAACCCAAAGCTGCTTTCTACAGACTTGATGATGAGCTGGCATCACAAATTGGCATCTCATTTGGCCAATTACTCGGACAGGGACCTGTCAAGGTGGTTCAGCAACGCACACATGACTCCTCTGTGGACAGACGGCCTTTTTTTAAATCACTGAAAGAGTCTGTTTTTGTTTGCTTTGGTTCGGTTTTCAAAGTAAACTCCATAACATGGTGAAGTAACATGATCAGGTCATGCCTCATGCACAGCGTGTGTTACTTTTCCGTGGGCCCAAATCAGCCGGATCACATCTGGCCAGGCTGCGGCCAGGGAAATCCCAAACCCAAAGTTCTTTTTTGAAACCAGCATCAGCCGCAATAAATCAGAGCGAGACTCTGATTAAAGCCTCTGAGCTCCGCTGTCAACAACAGAAACGTCAACAGCTAATATTTGTGGGTGCAGCCTTGTGTTTTTGGATAGTAGTGGGATGAGCTAAATGGAAACTTGGAATTAAACACTTTTTTTCATACCTTTAAAAAACGCATTTAAAAAAATCTCTGAGATTTGAGATAAGGAAGTTCCTCAACTGCCTGAACCACATTTTTAAAGTCTGATTGTCCCTCTCTGCATCTTTCTATAGATCCTGGCATTGTGCATCATCCAGTTAGAGAGAGTGAGAGGATGTCGGTCATCTGTATTCCTCTTCCTGTTCTGGGTTTTGGCGGTCGTCTGCTCCCTGGTGCCGCTCAGAGCAAAGATCCAGCTGGCCATGGACGAGGTATGTTTCTAGCTTTTTTAATCATACACAACATCAACAGTATGACTTAATAAAGTATCTTGAAAGTTTTACCACTCGGTATTTGAGGCATGTGCACTTTACAGTGAAAGTGAAGGTGTTAGTCCAGTCTGAACTCAGTGAACCTGCGGTGTCAAAACATCGTGCAGAGATATCTAATCAGGTCCACTCTTACCCATCGTCTAGACACCCGACTCCAGCGGCACAGCTTGAGCTCTACCCTGTGTCAGCAGAGAGTTTCTATTTCATCCTCTTATTTTAACCAAGGTAACCTAAAGTTAACCAAGTGTTGGAGGATAATACTGCCAATTCTGGTCAAGCATGTGTGTGTTTAAGTTTTCCTTTTCTTCCTGTGTATCCTGTCAGACACTGCAATCATTGTTGCACGGGGTAAGTTTCTATTTAGGCGCTCACTGCCGTGGGGCTGTCGCATTTGCATTTCTATAAAAAACGCACAAACAGACACACACATCCATATTTCTGTTTTATCGTCGTCAGTGTGACATTCCCACACTGCTTGGGGGAAAGTAATGATGGCCCTGGGATAAGTGCTGGTGAGACATGGCAGCCCAGGGTCAGACCAGAGGAACGTCAGCGCTGTGTTTATGGGCCTACACTGCTGTAAACACAGCCAGATGGAAATCTATGCATCCGCACATAATACCATTAAGAGTACAGACACAGAGTTTTGGTTTCATACTGTACTATAAAAGATTGCCCTTTCCAAATATTCACCACAATCCTGTAGAAACACATTTGGACTACCGCAGTGTTATGCCTGGATTTTGTACATTTGCTTCTCTCAAAACTTTAATAACATCGAGTGGCTTTGGTATGGTCACATAAGTGGAAAGTAATATGTAGTGTGTAAGGCCAACTGAAATTAAATGGTCTGACCTGGATTTTAATTAGCAAACGGTAAACTGGTGAATGGACTGCGTTAATGCGGCGCCGTCTCTGGTCCTCTGACCACTCAAAGCACTTTTACGATATACGGTACGTCACACGAAAACATTCAGTCGTTTATGTCCTGGGCTCTGAGGAAAGGTTATGAATCCAAAAACCTTTTACGTAACTAGGGCTGGGCGATATGGCCTCAAATCAATATCAGGATATATTGAGCAGTTCACCTCGATAACGATAAATGGACGATAACTACTCCACAAGCTGCTCACCCCCTCCCACATTAACTTTGTCTACTTCAGCCGCCACAACTTTTGAACCGTTCTCCATCTCCTCACCTGTCTTTCCCTCTATATTATGACATAGGCCAGCGTCTTAAAGGGACATGAGACCATCGCCTAGGTACACACATCCAAAAACAATTTTTATTTATTTATTTTTTTGACACCAAATATGCCAAAATGGGCAAAATGACATTGGTTATCGTCATAGATTTCGGTATCTGTAAATTTTTGGTTTATTGCCCAGCCCTAGGTAGTATTAAGTAATTTTGATCCTCTAACATCCATAACTCTATCTGTAGGTGGCAGCCCCAATAGAAACCGGCCTGGATCTTTATATATCTTGTTTTTGAATCTTGCTGTCACCTCCTTAGATACACATGACCAGAACTTTGATATTCTTGGACAGCTTCAAAAGCAGTGTATATGTGTTCCACTTGTTAACTTATTTATTTTTTTTGACACCGAATATATCAATACGGGCAAAATGACGTTGGTTATTGTCGCAAATTTCGGTATTGGGAAATTTTCAGTTTATCGCCCAGCCCTATACATAACCTATGATGCATTGTGCTAAAAAAAGAAAAAAATCAGGTACATGGTGAAATATTCCTTTGTCTTTCTACGTGAGGTTTTGTGGCGTACGTTTTGTAACTGTCTAGCCGAACAAGACCGGTCATCATCATTCGTGTTTGTTTTTGTTGCAGTCGTTCTTCTACTTGTGCAAAAATTAAACAACCAACTGGACTGCCAATCAGATGTGCAAAAAAAAAAAATCAAATTGGTCGTTTTTATCAACCATCAGTTGTTAAAAATGAACATATCTGTTTTTCTGACGGTTGTTTTTGTACGAGTTTATGTAACACTGTTAGAAAAAACAGATTTCTTGTGTTAGGAGTAACAGTAGAAACATGGAAGTATCGTTTTTTTCTCTGTGTATATCTTTGACGGACACTTTTTTTTTTTTTAACATTAAGCGTTTATTTGACACGGACATGTTAAAAGTTGAAGTTGACAGGGTTCATGTTTGCAGACCCTTGACCACTCTTAGTTGCTTGACCTACATTTTTCCCACCCACTCTCCGACCATCCTGACCCAGTTTTTCCCCGTGTGGCCGGATCCATTTGGCCCCTTCATATCTCTTTTTCTGGGCATTGCTCCACACTTTTCATAGAAAGTCATTTGACTGTTTACCGTGGCTCTGACTTTTATTCATACCCACACCACGCTGAACAACACACTGGCTGTGGCAGTGGCACTGGCCCACTGGTAAACAATGTGCCTGCCAAAACCCACAGTTTCTGTACGTCAAGAATAACATGTGAGTCTTAGATTTCACAAAACTCCCTGAGTGGTTAATATTGCAGCTGCTGCCTTGATTGAATGAAAGTTTGCTGGTTTGTAAAACCACAATCTCTCTATTTACAGATACAGGCTCTTAGCGTGACTGAGAGGCCGTTTTTATTATTGCTTCATTTATATGAAGCACACCATTAAAGACTTTGGGTTTTACCCTGATTTAGCTTGGAGGTCCAAAATACACTTTATGTGTCTGTGATCCTTGTGTGTAAACTGTATCCGCCGCTATACAGTGTGTAAGCATGGGAAAAACCGTATAATGACTTCAGTGTTTTTGTGAAACTGCGTACAAAGCCAAAGATAAACAGTGCTGTTTCCCACAGGATGTAGAGGGTTTGTTAATTAATGTTAAAAGAGATGATGAAACAAAACCTGTTTTGATCTTTTGTACGTCCTTATCTTGACGTAAGAACATTAGTTTCCTACAACTGTTGGCTTTAAAAGTCTTTAACTTTAAGATTGTGATCATTTTAACCCCTTTCATTGTTTTGTTGTTGTTGTTGTTTCCATAGGGCATTGCCTCCGACATCGTACGATACCTCGCCTTCTTCTCCTACTTCACAATCCAGCTGGCCCAGCTCTTCCTGTGTTGTTTTGCTGACCAGCCTCCAGAGGGGAAAACCGTCTTGGAAAAGGTAGGCAGAGGAGAATGTATCCCACTTCCGCTGAAAAACCCGGTCCGACCCAGCACCCAGAAAAAAAAAAAAAGGTTGTCTCGCGGTTTTCAACTTTTGTTGTGAAGACACTTTTCCCTTTTGGAGGAAATGATGTGATTCACTATCCAGCTTCCTCTCCCACTCTCACCTCATTGCTTTTTTTCCGAACTATGAGGCTCGTGTGAATGAGTGTTTGCGCGTTTAGCGTAGTCCTCCTGCATACCTTCAACCGGACTCACTCACTCACATCAGCCTCAGATAACATCACGACTGCAGCTCTGAGTCCGCCACCAAACAACAGCAGCAGAATTACATAACACAGACTCCACTATCCCATCAATCACGAGCTTGACGTCTCAGAATAACAAGATGATTCAGGGCGACTGGCAGGTGAATGAAAATAAGGCTCTCGTCTTGTCTGTGATGTAACATCGCTCAGAGACAAACAGTCAAAACAGGTGGAAAAGTCCCGGACAAATTCAGGACCCGTGGTGAAAAGGTTGAGGGTATAGAAGCCGCAGTCTGGCAGGGCGGACACACCCATTGGTCGCTTCCCCTTCTTCCTCCACCTCCTCCTTCCCTCCGACCCACGCTCTGGTTAGAGTTACTCACAGGAAAAGGGGAGGTGAAGGGATGAAGAGTAATGAAGAGCACAAACACCCTGGTGAGGGGGTGGCAGGGCGGAGAGATGCCATAAAGTATGCGCGTGATGACAAACTTTCTTTCTGTGTGTGTGTGTGTGTATCCACTTGTCGTATGGTTTATGATGACACATCTCCCCTCCGTCTGCGCTCGACCTCAAAACGTCATAATTCTCGCTGCGCTCACACTGAACTCTATTTATTCTGTCCTGTGGGAGTTCATGGCCTCTGCTCTCTACAATGGACCACCAGACTGCGCAGCACTGTTTGTGTTCTCAAACACACTCCTCACAAGCGCACTATTCAACCATCAACCGACCGCCTCTGAAGCTGTGTATGACTCAAAAGCCTCTAAACCGTGAGATTGACTGCAAAAACAAGCCTGAGTCTGGTCTCTAATCTGTTGCAGAATCCCTGTCCCGTCAAGGATGCCTCTTTCCTGTCGAAGATCCTCTTCTGGTGGTTCACCGGGTAAGTTGGTTCTTTAAAACCCTGTCATTTTTAGGCTCCTGCTGACTCACTGTAGCAACAGTTTGCACTTGTTTACAATAATGTGTGTGTGTGTTTTGTTGACGATTTGCGAGGGAGTAATCTCTGCGGCTCCCTCTTCAGGCTTGTTGTGAAAGGATATCGCACCCCGCTGGCGGCTGAGGACCTTTGGACCCTGAGGGAGGAAGACACGTCAAATAAGATCATCTCTGAGCTGGAAGAGGATTGGACGGCTGAATGTGCCAAAATTCAAAAGTGAGAACTCTTGAAATCTGAAGTCCTGTGGTGTAGTTTGTTCTCTCATGCATTAAACACATAAAACAGGTATGCTGGACTTATTAAAAAGGAGTTATGATGGGAAATACCAAATCCCTTTGTAATCTTTTCCACCGTAGTTAAGTTTTTCATTATACCCTCAAAATATGAACACCATGACAGCTTTTAAAGTAATTTAAAGGGTTTTGGCAGGAAAGTAATGTATCCTCTGGAGCCTGTGAATGTCCGTAAAAACCTGTGTCAATATATTCAGGATGTGTCGACTTCTTAAGATGAGTAAACAGACTTTATTGGTCACAAAATCTGTCTGTCTATTGAGCCTAAAGATAATATAGTTTATGTAGGGTAGGGCTGGGCAATATGGCCTCAAATCAACATCACGATATATTGATCAGTTCACCTCGATAACGATAAATGGACCATAACTACTCCACAAGCTGCTCACTCCCTCCCACATTAACTTTGTCTACTTCAGCCGCTACAACTTTTGAACCGTCCTCCATCTCCTCACTGGGTGGGGTGGAGTCACGTCTCCGAAAAAGGAAATGTCGTAAAGGGACATGAGACCATAGCCTACCTACAAACATCCAAAACCAACTTTTAGTATTTTTTTGACACCGAATATACCGACATGGGCAAAATGACGTCGGTTATTGTCGTAAATTTCAGTATTGGTAAATTTTCGGTTTATCGCCCAGCCCTAATGTAGGGGTTTATGTCCAGGGTATTTTTCACCTCTATTTGTTGGTACAGTTGTCACTAGTAAAACCACACCAGTCTGTTTTAGTTACGCACCCTGTAACTGCTCGGCTGGCGCGGCCCATCACCAGTCTTCAAAGACAAATCCCACGTGCAGGATATAAACATTTGTCTTCAGTTTTCCCTCTGGCACATGTGGCTTCTTACTTACTTACTTTCTTGCCTGTGATCTTCTCTTCTCTGTCAGAGCTCAGCAGCCAAAAATCTTCCTTTTTATTGCACGCATTGTGCTGGTTCAATTAATGACTCAAACAGACCATGACATAACCATGATTGCGGTGAATCGAATAGCTCTGAAGGAGTCCCTTGAGGACATTTAGTTCCATAATGTCAAGACGAGTGCCGTATGTGTCATCTCAAAGCTTGTTAACAAGATCCAGCTCTTTGAAGATCACTCGTTCAGTCCAATAAAATTGTCAGCTAATAATGTCTTTCACTGCTGCTGGCGAATTCTTGAGTCCATCGGTGACGATACGAAAAACAACATCTTTTTTTCTCTGTGCCGTCTGTTTTATATTAAAGTCTCTCCATGTTGAGGCCCCTCTGACACAGATGTCTTGTCTGTAACTAAGCTCTCTCTCTCTCTCTCTCTCTCTGGCAGGCAGGAGAAGGCCTTGGCGTCAGGTGTGGCATTAGGGAGTAGACTGCCAGACCAGGCTCAGCTGCTTAGGAAGCTGCAGAAGGAGCAGAGCTCGGGCTTCTTCCTGCTCAGGACGCTTGCGCGCAAGTTTGGCCCGTACTTTCTGACCGGCACCCTGTGTATCATATTCCACGATGCCTTCATGTTCGCCATACCCCAGGTGCTCAGGTAAGACCTTAAGAAGAAGTGCACAATCTGCTCTGTAGGGCTGTAATCAAGCAAAGAAAGTCTTGGTCGACTAAAACCCTGAAATTTGACCGCAAACCCTTCTGCGGCGGGGGATGACGCGGCTTGGTGGGGTGAAAATAAACTGATATCAGCACAGGAAGGCAATTAAATACAAAAGGCTAAAATATAAATATTCAAAAAACCATCAGACGTTGGTTAACGTAGACGCTCTTGTCTTCAGCCGGTCTCCAATAGGTTGGGCGAATCCAAAATAGTAAAAACAAGGGGGGTGTTCTGAGACAGGTTGTTACCTGTGAAACAAGGGTGCTCTGAAAACACCTCCATAAGCACTTGGTACATTCCTCCTGACAAAATTAACCATAGACTGTAAATTGAGCACGTATCAACCAGTAAGTAGACCAGTCAACTAAGACTTTACAGCCCTACTGCTCTGAGTGACGCTGTGCAGAAGTAGCAGCTGGACTATAACCCTGAAGCTGCAGGGGTTTATGGTTTGGGGTTATGACAGCCCCCCAAAAAACAAACACTTTCCATAAATATTCTCGTCTATTGTTTGTCTTATCCTGCGTGAGGATAGAAACAGGCAGCAGAACCTTGTTTTGAACGAATCTGCTCATGAATAGATGACTGATGCAAGATTTTGTGTTATTTGGAAAGGGATGTTGTTGTTTTTCAAATCGAACTTTCTTAGTTCTCAGACACCCACAAACCAAATGCCACTGAGTGCGCAAATTAAGGAAAAGATACACCAGATATATCACAACCTCAAAGCTCAGACCTGAATTACCTTGATGGACTTCACCCCAGCTAAATTAGACCCGGGTTTTATTGTGTATTTTAGGGGATGAGCTGTCCAGATCAGTCTAGAGGTTCACTTTGATGAAAAAGAAACTTCTCGGTTATCACCTCAGATATCACTTTCCTCGTCTATTCCGGTGATTTGTGACACAGACAGCCAAATAACACTAGAATCTGGCATCCGTGAAAAACAGGTCATGGCTGACCCCGCCACCAGCCGCGCCATCCCACTCGCCAGACTGGAATGTTGTTGTGATGCACAGCACCGAATCATTGGAAGTGTTAATTACGGTCATGAAGCTGTGAGCAAGAAAAAGTAGACGAGACCACAGCCCTCTGAGCTCCAGTAAGAAGGACCGGCAGAGAGGGAGAGGAGGCTCTAAATGGCAGAAATGTTGTCGCACCACAATAAGAGCACCGCTGGCCAAGTGTGAGGGCAGCCCGGCCACAAGCTGAGCTCTGTTGTGCAACCGGAGCTGTTTTGTGTAGACCAGTCAGCCAGCAGCCGCAGCAGCACTCCAAGGCTACTGGTTTAAGGCACACAATGAGAGTTAAATAATTCAAAACTGAATGAAAAACAGTGAAAAAAGCCATGCTGACAGGGTGAAACCAACTATGTCCGATTTGATTTGTGTCATTGTCTACTTTCCAGGGAAATTCACATCGACGTTAGCGTAGCGTTATTGAGCAGAAAAGAAACAGACTCTGCGTATAGACAAAACTAAACTACCTCATTAAATATTACTCTTCTTCTTTTATCCTGCAGTCTTCTTCTGGGTTTCATGAGAGATGAAGACGCTCCACTGTGGAAAGGCTACTTCTATGCCACTCTGATGTTCCTGCTGTCCTGTCTCCAGTCCCTCTTCAACCATCAGTACATGTATACCTGCTTCACTGTGGGGATGAGGGTGAAGACCGCCGTTATGGGTTTAGTCTACAGGAAGGTGGGTGAATCTGTATCTAATGGTGTTTAAACAGCTCGTCTGAATCTGAATCCAGAAGCAGATTTCTGATCAAATGTCTCCTTGTTGTCAATCCAGTCTCTGGTGATAAACAGTGCTGCAAGGAGGACTTGCACTGTAGGTGAGATCGTGAATCTGGTCTCAGCCGACACTCAGAAGCTCATGGACTTTGTGGTGTACTTCAACGCTGTCTGGCTGGCTCCGATTGAAATCGCTCTTTGCCTCTTCTTCCTCTGGCAGGTATGTTAAGAAGCGCTCTTCTCGATATCACAGCTCAGCCAAACAGACCTTGACGCTGCTTTCTTCTCTTTTCTTTTTTTAACCAGCATCTCGGCCCCTCCGCCTTAGCGGGGATCGCCACCGTCATCCTCATTTTTCCACTCAACGGGATCATCGCAAAGAAAAGGAGCAAGCTGCAGGTACGAAGCTCTCAGAGGAGTCCTTTACACTTTCACTGACTCTCCAGTAGCCGCACATCTGGCGTGTTCGGTCCGGGATGCCACAGCTGGTTTAGATAGTGGTCGAGGAGCCGTGTGGGTGTTTGGCCTGCGTGGTGCATTCTCGCTTGTCCTTTTGATGTCCGCCCCATATAACGTGCTTGAAAACAATGAAAGGAAAGGGTGGGCAGTAGGAAGACATCATTTTTCATTTCTTTGGAAAAACAACAGACAGTACTATAAATTTGGATGCCAATTTAATCGAACTTAGTTCTGACTACAGTGACCACATCCCGGGCCCTTTGTTGTTTCCTTGTCATAAAAAAACACTGAAATGTAACTAGCTATAAATTCCTTCAGGATTAAAACAAGTTCCATGATGTAAAACAGGCTCAACAGCAGATAAACTCATGTCCACAACAGCCTGAATCTGACTCAAATGCTACTGTTTTCTACTTTTACATGAAACACATAAAAACAAAACAATCCCAATTTGTTTTTTATATGTTGCCAAGTAAATTCTTTTCTCTGGTTGACAGGAGATCCAAATGAAGTTCATGGACGGCCGCATCAGACTGATGAATGAGATTCTGAACGGGATAAAGATCCTGAAGTTCTACGCCTGGGAGAAAGCCTTCCTGGAGCAGGTTTTGGGTCACAGAGAAAAAGAGCTCAAAGCCCTGAAGAAGTCTCAGATCCTTTATTCGATCTCCATCGCATCCTTCAACTCCTCCTCTTTCCTGGTGAGTTTACTAACATGAGAAGAACTACCGCTTTGCATCAGCCAACTCAAGTTCCAGGTGTCTTTAAAAAAGCTGAAATACTTGAGCTCACAGACAGACAAGCTACACCACGGGGATAGCAAGCAAAACACATACACAAACAAGACTTTTGAAAGTTATCTTAAACATGTTAATTAAAAAAAAAAACATTACTTTTAACAAGAAAAGTGAGATTATTTTATAGCTAGGGTAACCATATTCTGAATCCCCAAAAAGAGGACACGACTACGGAATCACAGAGTCGAGTTTTCCTGGTCGGGTCAGAGTTTTTTACGCACTTCTAACTCAGTAAGTCCACCTGACACAAACTCAAAACTTCCATACAAAACCTCAGACATTTGGAGGATTTTATAAACTCCCCCAGACAAAGCCAGACAAGGCCGAACAGCCCCCCAAAAAGAGGACATCTCCGGGTAAAAGAGGATGCATGGTCACCCTATTTGTAGCATTTTAACAGAGCTTATTAGCACAATACTTACCACGGGGACAGCATAGAGCAGACTGGACAAATACATACATATAATAAGTTGAAATATGTACCTGGTAAGAACAGAGGCACAATGAGGTCTCTCTAACAGGCAATTATGTAGCAAAAAGCTCCAACATTGCTAAAAACAAAGAAACAATGCTAGCAAGCAAAACACGTACACCGTGCGCCAAAATGGCTAAAAACACAGTAAAATTATCACATAAAAATCGTACAAGAATTTCGAAAGTTATCTCAAACATGTTAAATAAAACAAAATTACTTTTAATGAGATGTGAACTTATTTCGTAGCATTTTAATGGAGCTTATTCGCACACTACTTACCGCGGGGACAGCATAGCGCAGACTGGCCAAGACGCACAGGCTACATCATCCAACTCTGCAAGAAGCCACCGCAGAGGGCGCTCACCTCACATAGTCCCAACAGATATGAGTTAGGATTCATTGTACACAGCATTGAACAGTGTTTAAACTATTAATATATTGAAATAATGACAGTGTATGCCGAGTGACGACAAGTGGAATCTTTAACTCCTCTACATGTGCGAGCAACTTTTGGAGGCTGGGGAGCGGGTATCGTGTTTCCAGAGTTCACCCTTAATGTTCACAACATGAATATTTGCTAAATTTGCAAATAACCACTAGACTGTCAAGTGTTGGACTCCATGTGAGAAAGTTTAGGGGGGCATGCTCATGCCTGTACCAGTCCTACCAAGTCTGTTTTGAGAGTTTTTATTTGTGTTTCAATGAAAGTTTGATCTCAATCGTTCAGATAGCCGCTGAGGTGGTGTGTGTCTGAACCAATCAGCAGAACGAAAAAAACAAAAAACACAAAATTGAAATTATATCCTTGTGACCTGTTTTGAAAGACTTAAGACTTCAGTGGGGATAAATGGGCTTTGGGCTGGGTGCCACAGACAGGGCGGGGATGAAGGCTCTCAGAGACAGACTAATGCATCTCTGATGGTTTTTTGGTCTTTTCATGGGATATTTAGACAATTACAGAAATTTAGAAAAACACCCACTTCATACTTTCAATTCTGCCTTTTAGAATCACCAGTCGAATGAGTTTGGCCCGCAGACGTAACATTAAGAGAATTATTTTCGTCCCTTTTTAGATTGCCTTTTCCATGTTTGGCGTCTACGTGATGCTGGATGACAGGAATGTCCTGGATGCACAGAAGGTTTTTGTCTCCATGGCGCTGATTAACATCCTGAAGACTCCACTCAGTCAGCTTCCATTTGCTATAAGCACCACGATGCAGGTAGGCCACATTTTAATGAAATACCCATGATTGCATGGTGGCGTTTACTCTGTTTATAATGCCAGCTGGGATATATATTCACTGTCATGTATGGTGGATATAGGTCAGTTTACTAACCACCGACTCTGTTTCAGGCTGTGGTTTCACTGAGACGTCTGGGAAAGTACCTGTGCTCCGAGGAACTTAAAACAGACAACGTCTCAAAAGCTCCATTGACTTCTGGTAAGAGCCCCACCTATACATAAACTATTACATAGAATAAGTAAACTACTACGCTGTACATTCAAATACACCAATTTCCATATTTTGTTACATACTGCACACTGCCTGAAATCACAGCCTGTCATAATCAATATAATCTTCCCACAAGATCTGTTGTTTATATCTGTGGAGTACCACAGCCTTGTATGGATCATGTGCACTGTCACTTCCTGGGTCTTGGGCTGACTGGTAGACAGGGTAATTATAGGATGTTTCCATTTAGCGGTTGAACGTAAATCACAGCATGAATTCAGACATATGATTCATAGAGGAATAAAAAAAATACTGCACTCTTCTGTCTGTAATCTGTCAACACTTCCTAAGACAGCTTGTGAAAAAGCAAGAGCTCTGTAATTTGTATGATTAAGCAAATTCACTTGTAATTACGCCCAGGCTGCGCTCTGACGACTAACTTCAAGGGGGAATTTTGTTTGTTTGTCGCTCAGGTGGACCGAACATGTGCCGTCTTCGGTTTGTATTGCAGGTTTTGATCATTGCGCTCAATCTTTCTCTTCTGTTTAGATGGGGAGGACGTGGCAATCGAAAACGGCACTTTCAGCTGGTCTGCAGAGGGCCCTCCATGTCTTAAAAGGTATGATTAATAAAACAGGTACAATATCCGCGATAAAAACACAGGGAAACTTACAGAAAATGCCCTTCTTCGTTGGCAGGATCAATGTCCATGTGCCTCGAGGTTCGCTTGTTGCTGTGGTGGGACATGTGGGCAGTGGAAAGTCTTCTTTGTTGTCGGCCATGCTCGGTGAAACGGAGAAAAGGAATGGCCGTGTTGCAGTCAAGGTACTGAGCTTTCGATCAACAAGTCCGTTCTATTCACAAATGTGGGTTTCATTTCATAAATACTGACTCTTTTCTCCTGACATCTGTCCTCACAGGGCTCCGTGGCCTATGTGCCCCAGCAGGCTTGGATCCAGAACGCCACAGTCCAGGACAACATCATCTTTGGTCGTGAAAAGCTGAAGTCGTGGTACAACAGGGTGTTGGAGGCCTGTGCGCTGATGCCCGACCTCGACATCTTACCAGCTGGAGATGCTACAGAAATTGGAGAGAAGGTACAACACTGGGAGAGAGAAAGAGATTAAAATTTGAATCTTGTCCTCAAATCTAAATACCGGTTTAAAGTAGACACTCAAACATCTGTGTCCACGTAGGGTCTGAACCTCTCAGGTGGACAGAAGCAGAGAGTCAGCCTGGCCAGAGCTGTCTACAGAAAGGCTGATGTTTACCTCCTGGATGACCCGCTGTCTGCGGTCGATGCACATGTGGGTCAACACATCTTCGACAAAGTCATTGGACCTAAAGGAGTCCTCAGAGACAAGGTAATATTCATAACAAAACCTGTGAGGTGTAATTAAGTCTTACCCTCCAGCTGCAAAGAGCACCTAAACCACGGACAAGAATGTGACCCGCACTTTAGTTATCATAATATGAAAACCGCCACGCTGCTGACTTCAGTGTTTTCAAGAAAGCCTCGGCTTAGCGCTGGATTGTGCTTACATCTTGTTTTTATGACTTATGTGGCTTGTTTTATAGACCCGCATCCTGGTGACCCATGGGATGAGCTTCCTGCCGCAGGCTGACCATATCCTGGTCCTGGTAGATGGAGAAATCACAGAGAGCGGCTCATACCAGGAGCTCCTCAGCCGCCATGGCGCCTTCGCAGACTTCATCCACACCTTCGCCAACACTGAGAGGAAGGAGAGCGCCATACAGAGAGGTGACTGTACATCTCAGCGTTAGGTCTAAAACACAAATCACTGTGTGCAGGAGTTTGTTGTACTGCTCATCAATCTGAAAACAGAAAATCAAGAGTGTCCTTTTCACACACAGCTGGTTCCAGGCGGTCTAACGCTCGCCTCAGCATGGTGGACTTCATGCCCTTCTCCAGAGACCTGTCCCAGGAGCAGCTCATTGGGTGGGTGAACAAACACAGAACTTGTCAAACTGTCATGAAGATGTCTGAAACCCTCCGAGCTTTCTTTACACAACTGACCTCTTGACTCTCAAAATCCTCCAGGGGTGACACCACTAATACCAACCTGCAAAATATGGAGCCTGTGTCTGAAACTGACCAAGAACAGGTACCAGAGGACCTGGGCAAACTGACTGAGGTTGACAAAGCTCGCACTGGGAGGGTGAGTCTGAATATAGCCTTTGATTAAAGCTGTGATGTTGGGATAGTAGATCTTCTGTAACAACAGCGGATCACTTTGACTGTTTGTTGGCTGCTTCACAGATGATAATCAACCAATCGTGCGGCCCTCTGCGCTCTCTCGGGCATTCACCTTCTTTTTTAAGCTCTGTCTATGGTATCTTAGCCGGCAGCATTGCTGTTTTTGTTTACCGTCACCCTCTCATTGCATATGAAGAGAACTATACCACATAGTCTGTGCCAACCACCAAACAGCAAAAACAACAGAAAAAGGCGATGCACCACAGAGCAAAATATTTTCCTCGGGACTTTGTAAACAGAGCTCATGAGAGGGATCAGGGGACTTGAAAATGAAGGGGGAGTAGGGCTGTAATCAACCAAAGAAATTTTGGTCGACTCAAACCCCGAAATTTTTGACCAAAATCGACTAATCGTGGAAGGGGAGTTCCAACTCTGATGGTAAACCCTTATGCGGCGAGGGATGACGCAGCTCAGTGGGGTGAAAATATACTGATATCAGCACAAGAGGGCAATTAACACAAATATTATATTCAGCAAACCACCCGACGTTAATTAACATGGACGCTCTTCAATCTTCTTGTCTCCAGCTGGTCTTCATCAGGTTGGGCGAATCCAAATTGGTGAAAACAAAGGGGGGTGTTCTGAGACAGGCTATTACCTGTGAAACAGGGGTGCTCTAAAAAAAAACACCCCCATTAGCACTTGGTATGTTCCTCCTGATGAAATTAACCAAAGACTGTAAATTGACACGGAAAAAAATCGATTCGACCAATCAGTCAATTTTGGTCAACTCAGCGCCTATTGACCAATAAGTCGACCAATCGATTAGGACTTTACAGCCCTACGGTTGAGCATCCACTTGATAACTAGAATTAAAATAAGTTTTTTTTTTTCACTACAGGTGAGGTTGGCGATGTACAAGAAATACTTCAAGACCATCGGCTTGGCCATCATCATCCCCATCGTCTTCCTGTATGCTTTCCAACAAGGTGCTTCACTGGCCTACAACTACTGGCTCAGCATGTGGGCTGACGATCCCGTCATTAATGGTACCCAGATCGATACAGACCTGAAGCTGACCGTTTTTGGAGCACTTGGATTTGTACAAGGTCAGTTGGCGCCGATAAATAAAAGGACAGTTTCACAAAAATCCTCTCCCAGAAAATAGACGCAACACTGAATCCTCTTCAGATCTGATGGATTAAACATCTCTTTCCTTCTTTCAGGTATCGCAATTTTTGGCACCACTGTCGCCATCTCCATCTGCGGCATCATCGCCTCTCGTCACTTGCACATGGACCTGCTGAACAACGTGCTGCGGTCTCCGATGTCTTTCTTCGAGCGCACCCCGAGCGGAAACCTGCTCAACCGCTTCGCCAAAGAGATCGACGCCATCGACTGTATGGTCCCCGATGGTTTGAAAATGATGCTGAGCTACGTCTTCAAACTCATGGAGGTCTGCATCATCGTACTGATGGCTACACCTTTCGCTGCCGTGATCATCCTGCCCCTGGCTTTCCTTTACGCCTTCGTCCAGGTACGGTTTATCCTCATAGCGGTTTAACTCCACTCTGATGACTTTTATGGAGGCTTAGCTAGAGCTGGTATTTCTTACACTGTGTTAGTGGAAAGCTCCCGGATCCAAAACCAACTCTGCTGATTTTGCTGTTCACTTGTGTTTTGTTCCCCCACCTGCTGACATTGATGTTACCCAAATTCACTATGAATCATGGGAAAGCCCTCGGCTCTCCCTGCTGGTTTCACTCACTTAAGCCGGTGTTTTACTTTTCCGCTGTGGGCTACAGAGCTTCTACGTCGCCACATCCTGTCAGCTGCGGAGGCTGGAAGCTGTGAGCCGCTCGCCCATCTACACCCACTTCAATGAGACGGTGCAGGGCGCCAGCGTCATCCGGGCCTTTGGCGAGCAGTCCCGGTTCATTTTGCAGGCCAATGAGAGGGTTGACTTCAATCAGACTTCTTACTTCCCTCGATTTGTGGCAACTCGGTGAGACGATATATGATTATTATGTGCTCAGATTATATTTATACTGAGTAGGACGGATATGGATGATTTACACTAATAAGACCTACAATAATACCTTTTTGTGCAGTGTTTTAAAAATACTTCAGTAATCCAGATACATTCAGGAAGTTGTCAGCCCACAGCTAAATGAATGTGACGTCTATAGGTGGCTGGCCGTCAATCTGGAGTTTGTTGGGAATGGCGTGGTCTTAGCTGCTGCCATCCTCTCTGTGATGGGAAGAAGCACCCTGAGCCCAGGCATCGTCGGCTTAGCTGTGTCACACTCGCTTCAGGTAAGAGGTTCTGCCGACAAACACACACACACAGGTGCACTGGAGGTGTTTTAATATAGAGCAAAAAATAAAGACACCACACACGGACAACCCATGTTATGAACAAAATTGACCCTAATACATCACTATTGTAGTGATTTAAAATGAGCCTCATACGGCCGCACCAAAATAATACTTGGCGATTGGAATTTATAATAAATGTCTGAAGATTAATAATCTCAAATTATGACATTTATGCACTCGTTGAAAGGGGCACCACCCACCCTTAATGGTGGGAAAATAAAGAAAACAAAAGTTTAATTCAGAAATCAAACATCAAGTCAGTTTTAATTAATCAGTCTCATATCTTAAGTCGAAATTCTAATTTCAGGGACTCCACTTCTGGAAGAACACTAACAGACAGGAACTTAGAAAAATAATGATCTGTTTATTACAGGATAAATGATGGTACAACACACATGCAATAAATGATGATAAGATAATGAAGATAGATAATAATAGGTGAATAAATAAAGATTCTGAGTCAGGCTAGGAGCACTAAAGTTAATGATAGTGAGTGAATATGCGCTAACATATTAACCTACACTAACTTTGGTGTCGAGATAAACTCGGGTGTAGATTTGGAGGAATCTAAGATCACCAGAATAAGAGGATATCTGAGTTGAACGCAGGAGACAGCACCAGCCCTCTTTAGAGCTCTGGAGGTTTGCATACTTAAGTGAGACTGGTCCTTGGAGAAGATGGAGCAGGTTCCGAAGGTCCGGGCTACTGGCGGTTCGAGCGGTTCAGCTCAGAAGACGACTGAAGTCAGCCGAAGGATGAGCCCGGAGTTGCAGCACTCAGGCCCGAAGCAAAAACCAGCGCCTGTGGATCCTGTGGATGCTCGTTTGGGTACTTCTTTAGTCTCACTCAAAAACTCTGGCACAGAGGATGACCTGGGCCTGTTGGATTGCGTTCGGAGGTGACTTTGAAATCACGCAGAAAACTCAGAAAAACGAGGCTCGAAGAGCAGAGAAAACTTTCAAAAATGGCTTCGCGAAATTAAAGAAAATCAATCAAAGGCTTAATCTTGAATTACTATGTGCACAAAAAGTTGAAGTTTCAAAACTTGAACTAAGACGATGTTAAAGAAAAATCAACGTGAATCAACACGTGGCGTAAAACTTAGAAGACTAAGAAAAAGTTCTAAGAGAAAACAAAGAAACGCACCACAGAAGGGTGTGGACAGAAGAGAAGGGGCATAAGAGCCGGGGACAGGAGAGTCAGCAGAAGAGCAGAAGCATAAGAGAGAGAAGAGGCATAAGCGAGAATAAGCGAGTGAGCAACCCCACTTCACTGGTTTTATCTTCTCACACTGGGTGTGTCTGAGGAGAAAGAGGAGGGGTCATCGGGTCTCTGATTATTTGATCTAACTTATTCTTTTGGCTGGTAAAAGAGTCAGATCTGATACTCACTCACTATGATTAATATCATTGAATGCTTGGTTTCATGATAAATAATTTGATACTAAACACATATGAATGAAGTGTAGGATCACATCAAACATTCTCATTATGTTTTAAGTATCACATTGAACATGCTAAATTACTCTGAAATGAAACAGATAGTAACACATAGAAACTGTGAACAACAAAAGAGTAAACACATGTGAATGAACGTCATCATGATTAATAATGGATTCTAAATACTCACATTCAGATTATTCAGTGACATTATAACCACCTAATGGTTAAGATACTAAATAAATAACTAAAATATAAACCAAACATTTCTAAACTATTTCTGTTACTTAGAGTAAACTTAGGATTCATAGTCAATAAATTTAACTCTTAAAAGTTCATGAAACAGTCTGAAAAGCTGTTGGTCTAAAGAACTAAAGAATAAGGATTTATTCTGTCAGATAAGATAACTTGGCTTCTGAAGCACATAGAAAAACGGGAAACATCTCATTTTAACACAAATTTCATGATTAGACAGATTAGTACATTGCTGAATGCATAAGATGTCATGATCAGTCATTTGTATTCTTTCACCAAAGGAATGCAGTCTTTATCAGTGTATGGTCGAGCAGGGTTTTACGACCGAGGTCTGGAGGTCAGTGTCCCCCCTTATCCTGGGGTCCGTATGTTCACACACTTTAAGACGCTTAATCTCAAATGGGAGATCTGGGTTAAGGTTAATGTTTATTTAGATGGTCAGCAAATGGAGTCAGTTTGAAAGGTAATAAAAACTCTGTCTCTGTTCGCCGAACTGACCAATCCTGAAGAGTCAGAGGTTTAGTCAACCTCCGGTTGGGTCACTTATTTAACCTGAAAGGGCAAACACGTCTGGAAAGATTTATATCCTGTTTCCTGGGACCAGATAAGGAAACTTTCCTGTAAGGAATGTGTGGGTTTCACATCCAGGGTTGTCTTGATTGCTACAGTCCCCCCTTCGTCACGGTGGTCCTGTCCATGGAGCATCGGGACGACGAGTAGACAACCATGAAGCAGCAGCAGGTGTATGCAAATAGGACTGATGCGTCTCGTCATCACTATGTGAATCACTAGTACTGCTTTGAGATAAAATTAAGCATGCATTAAGCTATCAAATAAAATAGTCTTGTTGTTAGACTTTTCTCAGTTAACTATTGGTAGACTAATGTGAAAGAAAATCTCCTAATTTTCAGTATTAATGAGATTTAGAAAAGCACTCTTTAGTCTGAATGCTAACTGGATCTAAAGCTATAGCTGTTTTTCATGCTTGCTGGAGAAGTCTGAAAGTTCAATTTCAGTTTCAAAAATGGTTAAGACTTAGGTGGAAAAGAAATGTCTGCTATAGACATATTAACCATCTGTGTATGAGCATAGTCAACCTGAATCACAAACATCAAAAGTTTACTGCACAGAGTTTCTCTTAAACTTTGTCTGTTAAACTTGGGGATGATGCTCTTATCGGTTTGACTAATTATCTGCTGTTGAGTCTGAAATTTGTCAATCTGAGTCTTAATGACAGAAATTTCAGCTTTTAATCTGTTGATGAGATATTTGACAGCTGACAAGCTGACCATATTGACAGAGGAGAGACAAATGCTAACAAAGAAAGCAGCAACTGGGGTTGCAGTCATCAATGTATCACCACAGCATTTGGATATCTTATTGGAGTCATTTAGCTTTGGCTGGGTGACTTCTGCTTTCGCAGGACTCACACCTTCATGACTCCGCAGTGTTAATCTCAGTGGTTAGCTGAGTAGTCATGTTTATTCACCTTCAAAGTGGATGAAACCGATTGAGGTGGATAATAAGATCGTCGTTTCTGAGAGTGTGATTTACTCTGATTCTGCCAGTCATTCACCCCCCTTTGGCGGTGTTGATGGTTTTTCCTTTGTCTGGGATAAAACCCACCATGACTGGAGTCTGAATAACAACAGTTGGTCTCAAAGTTTACCTGGCATTGGTCTGTGTCAGACCTGGGCCTTGGTATGTAACTTTGACCTTTGTGAGTTTGTTGAGGTCGAAAAGGTTTTGGAGGCCTGGTTAACCACTCATTTGGAGGCTTATCGGAGCCTGAAAATACACAGTCTGAAGCTTCGTTCAGCTCCATGGGCAGTGATTTTGTCCCCATAGCCAAGAGAGTAACGGGCTCTGCTTTCTTAGCCAAAGTTTGTCGTTGTTTGGCAAAACCTTTTACAGCAAGTTCACGAAGCTGTCGGCTAGTCAAAGTGTTTGGACAAGCTAAGACGCCAAGGTGATGACTGGTGGTAGGGTGGAGGTTCTGGACGAACAGCGTTTTGAAGTTCAAGTCCTCCTCCATTTCTGGTTCATTTCGGAAACCAAAGTAAGCTTCGCGTAAGCGGTTGTAATACTGTTGGGGAGGTTCTGATCTCCCTTGTTTAATAGACAGAGCAGCAGAGAGGCCTGTCTGGGTCAAATAGTCAGAAAACTCTTCAATTAATGCTTGGCAGAGCAAGTCATAATTATTTCTGACATGATAAGGCTGTCGTTCAAGGAAACTGCTAACCTCTCGACTTGACGTCGCCTTAATAAGGTAGATTTTGTCATCAACGATTGCACCTGGAAATTTCCTCAGGTAAAAGTCAATGTCTTTCAAGTAGGTGCAGGTGTCAGTAGCACCTTGGTGCTCAGGTTCAAAGCGTGCTATGATGCGAGCAATTTTGTCAAGATCCCTATCTGAGGGAAATGGTAAGAAGCCATCATGGGGAGGAGAGTAGGACTCTTGGTTTAAGGATGACCTCTCAGGGTCAAGCAGGGTCCTGTCATGATGCTGAGAGAGATACTTAAGAGTTGGTTTGGAAGGAAGTGATGGCGCTCTCTCAGGAGGCTGATCACCTATCATTTCTTCAAGAAAAGTTTGCTCCATGCGTTCTCTTTGGGCTCGACCCGACTGGAGGGAGCATTGTAACTCTCTTTGGGCATCTTCAAGTTCTTTGTCTGTCTTTTCTTGCCGTTCTTGACAAAGAATTAACTGTCTTTGAGCTATCTGGAGCTGGTGCTGTAAGGTAGAAGTTTGCTTCTCCTTAACTTCAAGAGCTTCAACACGCACTTTGACCAGTGCTTTCAAAGCTTTTACATCTTCTGTTGCTTGCTCTAGTAGGGATTCTGACTGTATCAGATCCTCTGTGGTCTTAGCAAGCTGCTTATTCGTGTCATCAAGTTCTTTCTCCTTTTTATAAAGGGTTTCATTAAGTCTTTCAATCTTGTCTTTGAGATCAAGATTTTCTTCATGACTTATCAGTGAGGGAAGCTTTGACGCTTCACATCTGACACTGTGTTTTCCTAAAACACTTAGAGACTTCTTAGTCTCTTCTAGCGTCTTTTTCAGAGCGCTGTTTTCGTCTTTTTGCGCCTTTATCTTTGCTAAAGCGCCTTCCAGCAAGTAGTCTTTATACTCAAGCTGAGAAGACATCATGACAGACATGCATCTAGTGAGCTCTTTGTCACGAAGTGTCGTGGTTAAGGCTATTTCCAGTAAGTCAGCCATTGCATCCTCCGGACTGGAGGGTTTGGCCTTTTGAATCTTAGTCATGTACTGGGGTATCAGCTGACTAGTTAAATTTGCTAACACTGTGTGTATGTCCCTCAGGGGGTCTCCCTGGCTGGACTCTTTTGTGTTAGGCATGTTTGGTTTTGGTAAAGAGGTGCAGCTGGTTGGTTGATGAGTTTGAATTGACTTAAAATGAAAGGAAGAAGCAAAATATCAAATTAAGTGGGTTAATCGACTTAATTTATCAGTGCTTGATAAAGAGGAAGAGCCTATCTGAGTAGATCTCTAATGGAGAGAAAAATAACATAAAGTTAAATTCATTTCAATGAAAATTGAAAGAAAAACAAGGTGAAATAATGTTAAATTAAATTTAACATCAGATACAGAACCATTGAATAAAGGGTTCAATTTGTCTCCGTGTTGCAGAGATCAGCAAAGCTTAAATAAACTGCCTGATGCAGTTGGATGAATTTGAAAAATCAATGAAATTGTCAATTTAAGGAATTAACTCTGAAATTAATTCACAAATTGCAATAAATCCAAAGGCTCGAATACCAAATCTATCTGGAATGTTAAAAGAAATTTCAAATATTAATTAATTTGTTCATTAATTAATTAATCTTATGAGGAGGGTTAATACATTCATGTATTATAGGGAACAGTAAAACTGCTCAATGGTGTGATAAGTAACAACAAGATCAGGTGATTGATTCAAGGAGTTACTTCATCAATACATTATGGAGGCTCTTATAACAAAGATAAAAATCAAAAATCAATGATCAATGATTTAGAATAAGCACATCAAACTTCATCAACCAAGTCAATCACTTGAATTATGTCTGTAGAGTGTTACACACTGACTACAGAGAGGCAGTACAGCTGGCTGATACTGCAGGCAGATAAGTGTTAGCTCAATACCAAAAGCAACCATGTGGGGCAGTATGGAGTTGGGAGAACTGCACAAGCTCAACACTAGTGGAGAAGAAGAAGAAAAGAGGAAACAGTCATCCAACTAGCCTCTTGTGGCTGTGAGGAGTTGGGAAGTCTGCAGGAAGGGGCCTTTAGGCTCTGCCTCCTCGAAGGGCCTTATCTGCTTAAGGCCAAAAGGTCAGTCTCTCCACTGACAACAAAGGGTTAACATTTCACAGCAGGCTGCGTCTGCACCCTCAAACATAGAGCTTTACACCATCTGCTCAAGCAGATCGGTTCAATAAAATCATTTACAGGAACAAGAATCAAAGTGACAAATCCTTAAACAGCAGATTCAACTGCAAACTTAAAATCACAAATGCGGCGATTTGTGAACACAAATTTTGTCTGAATTCAATCAAACCCCAACCTCCCACTGTTACAGTGGTTTCCTGTGACAGATAGCTTATCTGTCAGGGGAAAGGAGGAAATCTAAATCCCATATAGTTACTAGAACTTCATAGCAGACTATAGCGGCAAGAATCAAAGTGACAAATCCCTCAATAGCAGATTCAACTGCAAACTTAAAAATCACAAATGCGGCAATTTGTGAACACAAATTTTGTCTGAATTCGATCAAACAACAACCTCCCACTGTTACAGTGGTTTCCTGTGACAGATAGCTAATCTGTCAGGGGAAAGGAGGAAATCTGAATCCCATATAGTAACTAGAACCTCGTAGCAGACTATAGAGACTTCAGGGGCTTGAAACCACAGCTCGGAGCATCGCGAACACTGGGTTCAGCCAAAGGCCTTAAATACAAGCGTACGGCGACGCAACAATCGTGCACTTAAATATTGGACAGTCTAGACAGAGCAGAAGAAGCAGTCTCACTGCTACTCAGAACAACATTTCACGCTGTCCAGCTCAAACACAGACTACAGGCATGTAGTACAAAAGTGTGTGAAACACAGAGCATAAAGGTTTTATGCATAGATCAGGAAAACATCAGAACTTAGTCAAGCAACTTCAGCAAGCATAGCATTGATTGTGATTAAGTCTAAAATAGCCTGGAAATAAGTTTCTCGCATCAATTTGGAAGGCTAAGTTTAAGGTTGTCTGTTAGTATCCAGAAGTTTTGTTTGAAACGCCTCACACGGGGCACCAAAATATATGTAGTGATTTGAAATGAGCCTCATACGGCCGCACCAAAATAATACTTGGCGATTGGAATTTATAATAAATGTCTGAAGATTAATAATCTCAAATTATGACATTTATGCACTCGTTGAAAGGGGCACCACCCACCCTTAATGGTGGGAAAATAAAGAAAACAAAAGTTTAATTCAGAAATCAAACATCAAGTCAGTTTTAATTAATCAGTCTCATATCTTAAGTCGAAATTCTAATTTCAGGGACTCCACTTCTGGAAGAACACTAACAGACAGGAACTTAGAAAAATAATGATCTGTTTATTACAGGATAAATGATGGTACAACACACATGCAATAAATGATGATAAGATAATGAAGATAGATAATAATAGGTGAATAAATAAAGATTCTGAGTCAGGCTAGGAGCACTAAAGTTAATGATAGTGAGTGAATATGCGCTAACATATTAACCTACACTAACTTTGGTGTCGAGATAAACTCGGGTGTAGATTTGGAGGAATCTAAGATCACCAGAATAAGAGGATATCTGAGTTGAACGCAGGAGACAGCACCAGCCCTCTTTAGAGCTCTGGAGGTTTGCATACTTAAGTGAGACTGGTCCTTGGAGAAGATGGAGCAGGTTCCGAAGGTCCGGGCTACTGGCGGTTCGAGCGGTTCAGCTCAGAAGACGACTGAAGTCAGCCGAAGGATGAGCCCGGAGTTGCAGCACTCAGGCCCGAAGCAAAAACCAGCGCCTGTGGATCCTGTGGATGCTCGTTTGGGTACTTCTTTAGTCTCACTCAAAAACTCTGGCACAGAGGATGACCTGGGCCTGTTGGATTGCGTTCGGAGGTGACTTTGAAATCACGCAGAAAACTCAGAAAAACGAGGCTCGAAGAGCAGAGAAAACTTTCAAAAATGGCTTCGCGAAATTAAAGAAAATCAATCAAAGGCTTAATCTTGAATTACTATGTGCACAAAAAGTTGAAGTTTCAAAACTTGAACTAAGACGATGTTAAAGAAAAATCAACGTGAATCAACACGTGGCGTAAAACTTAGAAGACTAAGAAAAAGTTCTAAGAGAAAACAAAGAAACGCACCACAGAAGGGTGTGGACAGAAGAGAAGGGGCATAAGAGCCGGGGACAGGAGAGTCAGCAGAAGAGCAGAAGCATAAGAGAGAGAAGAGGCATAAGCGAGAATAAGCGAGTGAGCAACCCCACTTCACTGGTTTTATCTTCTCACACTGGGTGTGTCTGAGGAGAAAGAGGAGGGGTCATCGGGTCTCTGATTATTTGATCTAACTTATTCTTTTGGCTGGTAAAAGAGTCAGATCTGATACTCACTCACTATGATTAATATCATTGAATGCTTGGTTTCATGATAAATAATTTGATACTAAACACATATGAATGAAGTGTAGGATCACATCAAACATTCTCATTATGTTTTAAGTATCACATTGAACATGCTAAATTACTCTGAAATGAAACAGATAGTAACACATAGAAACTGTGAACAACAAAAGAGTAAACACATGTGAATGAACGTCATCATGATTAATAATGGATTCTAAATACTCACATTCAGATTATTCAGTGACATTATAACCACCTAATGGTTAAGATACTAAATAAATAACTAAAATATAAACCAAACATTTCTAAACTATTTCTGTTACTTAGAGTAAACTTAGGATTCATAGTCAATAAATTTAACTCTTAAAAGTTCATGAAACAGTCTGAAAAGCTGTTGGTCTAAAGAACTAAAGAATAAGGATTTATTCTGTCAGATAAGATAACTTGGCTTCTGAAGCACATAGAAAAACGGGAAACATCTCATTTTAACACAAATTTCATGATTAGACAGATTAGTACATTGCTGAATGCATAAGATGTCATGATCAGTCATTTGTATTCTTTCACCAAAGGAATGCAGTCTTTATCAGTGTATGGTCGAGCAGGGTTTTACGACCGAGGTCTGGAGGTCAGTGTCCCCCCTTATCCTGGGGTCCGTATGTTCACACACTTTAAGACGCTTAATCTCAAATGGGAGATCTGGGTTAAGGTTAATGTTTATTTAGATGGTCAGCAAATGGAGTCAGTTTGAAAGGTAATAAAAACTCTGTCTCTGTTCGCCGAACTGACCAATCCTGAAGAGTCAGAGGTTTAGTCAACCTCCGGTTGGGTCACTTATTTAACCTGAAAGGGCAAACACGTCTGGAAAGATTTATATCCTGTTTCCTGGGACCAGATAAGGAAACTTTCCTGTAAGGAATGTGTGGGTTTCACATCCAGGGTTGTCTTGATTGCTACACTATTGTGGAACATGTATGCAGGGCTTCTGGAGCTGTCCAAGAATATCAAAGTTCTGGTCATGTGAATCTAAGGAAGTGACAGCAAGATTCAAAAACAAGATATATACAGATCCAGGCCAGTTTCTATTGGGGCTGCCACCTACAGATAGAGTTATGGATGTGAGAAGATCAAAATAACTTAATAAACTAGGGCTGGGCGATACACTGAAAATTTACGAAAACCAAAATTTACGACAACAACCGAAGTCATTTTGCATATGTCTATATTTGGTGTCACATAAATAAATAAATAAAAGTTAGTTTTAGATGTGTGTAGGTAGGCTATGGCCTTATGTCCCTTTAAGATGTTGTACTACGTCAGAGACGTGACTCCACCCCATCCAGTCCGTTAACAAAGAGGGAAAGACAGATGAGGAGATGGAGGACGGTTCAAAAGTTGTAGCGGCTGAAGTAGACAAAGTTAATGTAGGAGGGGGTGAGCAGCTTGTGGAGTAGTTATCATCCATTTATCGTTATTGAGGTGAACTGCTCAATTTATCGTGATATTGATTTGAGGCCATATCGCCCAGCCCTGTTAGAGAATGTATACTATTTAATTGGACTAGCGAGAAACCTCCCACTGTAACTCAGTGGTACGAAGAAGTTTTTAGAGTTTTACCGCTGGAAAGGCTAAGTGCCAAATTAAAAGGGAATCATGATATTTTTATGGACACATGGCGGCCCCTTATGGATTACTTGCCTGAAGGTCTAAGTAAAATCATCCAGAGGGGAGACAGTGGTTTAGAATGTCCCAGACTGAGCTGACTGTTGATAAGAAATGCTTTTTATTAAGTACAAGGACACATATTTCATTATTTGATGATACGTTGTTGTGTTGTTGTTTCTCTCCTTCTCTTGTCATTTTCTACCTTATTTGAATTTTGCCTATTAATTATTGTTCCCTAGATCAGACCACTGCTTAACGATGTATGCTTCTATGTTAATTCTGAAAATAAAATAAAATAAAATATGATTATTAAAAAAAAAAACACTTGAGTTGTACACTAAGATTAAACAACTGCACAGCAAGTTAGCAAATAAGATAAAAATAAACCTCATTGTGTTTGATTTTACAGGTGACTGGAATCCTGAGTTGGATTGTGAGATCATGGACTGATGTGGAAAACAATATTGTGTCTGTGGAGAGAGTCAGCGAGTATGCTGAGACAGCGAAAGAGGTCAGTATTCACAACAACAACACCTATGTGCACAAACGCATGCAGAGTTTTACTGCTGGACTTCTCCAAAATGCACTGCAGCAGAAACACATCACTGCAGTGTTCACCAAATATAACTGCGTCAAACAAGAGGGCCTTTGTTGTTCTCCGCTCACACTGTTTCTGTCTCATCCAGGCCAGTTGGAGTATCGAGGGCAGCTCCCTGCCCCCAGCCTGGCCCCAGAGTGGCACTCTAGAGTTTCAGGACTACGGGCTGCAGTACCGTAAAGGCCTTGAGTTGGCTCTGAAGGGCATTACCCTGCAGATTCATGAAAGAGAGAGAGTGAGTCAGAAGCAGTTTGCTGTCTCTGCTTGATTTAATCCTGGATCACAGAAATTTGTCTGAATTGTGGAAATGCTGTATACAGTATCTGACTGAAAACCTCTTTTCCAGGTTGGAATTGTGGGTCGGACCGGAGCAGGGAAGTCTTCACTTGCACTGGGAATCTTCAGGATCTTAGAGGCAGCCAAGGGAAAGATCTTTATCGATGGAGTCAACATCGCAGACATTGGACTCCACGACCTTAGATCTCGCATTACAATCATTCCTCAGGTACGACAGTGAGAGTATCGGAAACTGAGCCCTGGACTTTGTCACATAAACTGTTTTGAAGAGTTGTACTCTGTATCCAACGTAGACTTGGACACTTAGATCATCATGTGATAAAAATGGACTGTTTTGTCATGGAAAATGTCCTTCCCTCTCCCCCAGGACCCTGTGCTGTTCTCAGGCTCCCTCCGCATGAACCTTGACCCCTTTGACACCTACACTGATGAGGAGGTGTGGCGTTCACTGGAGCTTGCTCATCTCAAAAACTTTGTGTCGAATCTCCCTGACAAACTCAACCATGAATGCTCAGAGGGCGGAGAAAACCTCAGGTACACGAACACACGGATAAAACCGCTCACTATTGTTCCACCTCGTCGGTCACTCAAATATTATCACAGTGAATGCACAGACTGAATATAACGTATGATTGCATCGCTGTCTCTCCAAATCTTTGTCTGAGCAGTCTGGGTCAGCGACAGCTGGTGTGCCTGGCCAGGGCCTTGCTGCGGAAAACCAAGATCTTGGTTTTGGATGAGGCGACGGCTGCTGTGGACCTGGAGACAGACACGCTCATCCAGTCAACAATCCGCACTCAGTTTGAAGACTGCACAGTCCTGACCATTGCTCACCGCCTGAACACCATCATGGACTACACCAGGTATATGACAATTCAAGGAAATAATGAATGAGAGTGAACATTTAAAGTTATTAATCGAGTAAAATACCAAAGATGTAATGGCCGTTACTCTTAAAATGTAAGGACCTACGACTTGTGGCGAGATATGAACCAGCTGAAATAAACGAACTGGTTGTGGTTTTAATAATGAATCTGAAACCTGACCTGTGCTGTTTCTCGTTGCTTCACAGAGTGATTGTCATGGATAGAGGCCATATTTCTGAAATGGACTCTCCATCCAACCTCATCGCCCAGCGGGGACAGTTCTACCGGATGTGCCGGGAAGCTGGGCTGGTCTAGGCCACCGTTGCACGTCTTACCTTTGGAGCAAGTGTCCTAAAGAGAGATGTGGCACCTGAGTTGTGTGGCTCTCGAACACACATCTAATCTCACCATTCCAAGCTTTGTGGCAGCTCAAATGCCTCTCTGTGAGGGCGGTGCGTCTCCAGAGCAGCTGCAGTTGCAGTTCCTTTTTGTAGATCTTCAACACACAGAAATGCTGTCCTTAACCTCAGATGATGAACGTTGAAAAGAAAGCTATAGTGGATGGTAGAGAATCATCGAGCTATAAATATTGTACATGTAGCAGCGGAAGCCGGTTTATTCCACGGAATGAATTAGCCAGGAACTGGAACGACAGAGTAGCACAAATCTTAAGAAATGTCATTCTCTTTTTGAATGGGAGCTATATTATTTTTGTAGTTGTTGTAAGTGTTATAAAGCACATGACATATTTTTTTGATGTTGTCTCAGGCTGTCAGACATTGATGTTTACTCTTTTTTTTAGCCTTGTATACCAAAAAGAGGCAATTTCATAATTGTAACTGATGGAAATCTATTTTGGCTTCTTGTCCCAGAAACTGGGATGGGAAATAGACTGACACACTAACCTTTAAAAGGTTCACCCTGGCAAACACAGGGGAAGTGAGGTTTTCACTGCTTTCAAAATATGAGCTTGAAGCAGCCAATTTGAAGTTTTTATAAGTCAGAGAAAAAGAGGGAACGGCTGAAATGAGCCAAGGCATTAGCAGCTGTCCAACTATGTTGTGGCTGTTGTTTATTTCTGTCAAAGTAAACACATAAAGTCAATGGAGACCTTGCTGGTCAGATTTAACCTGACACCGGTAGTGAAAACCACAATGAATGAAGAGAATGCCTCTTCAAAACAATGGTGATAAATCTTCCCGTGATTGTCTATCTCTGACTCCACCGCACAACTCAGGCCATACGCATATATGCAGAGGTATAAAAAAAAATCTGTATTGTTCTTTTGGTGCTGACATGACAGACTGTAAATAGTCCACATTGAACTCTCGTCTCAATTCGAAGGAAGAACCCAATGAACTTTTCAGAGAGAAGAGGCATTCACTATTTTTGTCTTACTGGTTTAGACATAGAGAAACCCTAAAGTTTATTTATGTCATATGACAAAATGTATTAAGTGTCCTTGAAATCAATGGGGATTGTATTATATTTATACTTTTTATAACAAGCTTGTTCATTTTTCATCAACTTTTATTATTAATGGACTGTCTTGATCTATACACCATGCTGGATAATAAAATTTATCTGAATCTACCATTTGGTTATGCTTGAATTCATGTCATGTTCAATAGAGTCTGGATGTTTTAGTGAAATGCATTAACATTCAAAATACAGTCAAAATGGAGACTTCAGTTTGCCAAGGTGATAATAACTCTTAAAAATGGTTAAACAACTTTCACAGTATTTGTGGATATTTCTTGCACAGTTTGGTTGAAAGAGAAAGTGAGGAACCTTTTACAGAAATAGAATATTTAATGTCTGTTGCAAGATATGAATCCCCATATTTTCATTAAAGCTCCTGTTAGAAGCTTTTAGTATATATCAATTTTGGCGCCCCCTTGTGGACAAAGCTGTTTTGCTTATCTTGCTTGAGTAGGGACTCAAGTCCTCCTTCTGACTTGGCTCCTGGTAATCACTAAGTACATCTCATTTACAACTAATTTTTGATCGATGTAATGGTTTAATCAAATAAATAAAACTTCATATTTGGCTGATAAATTATGGTGGGACGAAGATGTACGTTATTAAGTCAAAAAAGAAAGAATACACTGCAGGCACTGTAGATGTAAAGGCTGGGGTTTTGTGAAACTGTATGTAGTATTTCATAAAACCACTAGATGGCGGTAGTGAGTTACAGTCTCGGCAGGAGGAAACAGTCGTTTGTTTACACTTGTTGCAATGGCGACCCTCACTGAGCTAAAGTGTGGTAAGTGCTCTTAAAAATCGTTAATCTGCCTTGTTTGTTCAGTTTTAAATTGAACTAGATTAGATTCCCGACAGGTTTCTGTTTCACAAGACCAATTCGTGATATTGTTTTGCTGAGGTAGCGTTAGCTTTCACAGCAACGACAACAAATCCTTGTGCGTATAGATCTCCGTTCAAAAATCTTAGTATTTAGCTAACATGTGGTGTCAGAAACGTGACATGATGAAAGTTACAAAACACCTTCTGTAATATTGAATTATATCATGTAGTGTTCAGTTCGGCGTGTATAAGTATCATATAAGTAAAGCGAAAAAGGAGGTTTACTTAGATTTATTCCTGCTCCCGCCACGAACAAGGAAAAACAGCAACATCAGTATGCTAGGAAATGAGTTAGCTCGTTATGGTTTACTTTAATCTGTAATCACTGTGGGATTCTGCTGCGAGACTGAGTCGTGTTGTAGTCCGCATTTGACTGTAAGAAAGGCAACAGAAGGATCTGAAAGCAACCGTGGTTAAAAATAACTTAGTAGCTTACTTTTGTCTTATGCATCTAAATACTGTAGCCGTGAGGGAAACCTTGGAGTCCCGGGGTGTACTGGGACAGCTGAAGGCTCGTATCCGGGCAGAGGTGTTCAGTGCCCTGGATGACCAGCGTGAACCCCGTCCGCCACTGTCCCACGAGAATCTGCTTATTAACGAGCTCATCCGGGAGTACCTGGAGTTCAACAAGTACGGATACACAGCATCAGTGCTGACAGCAGGTGGGTGAACATTGTTTGGTACAAAAGCTCTTTTCTACTCACCAAGACCTTTACCACTGATTCATTTAAGCTCTAATATTTTATTGCTGCCTATGTGGTACAATGGGCTACTACCTCCTACTTCTCCAAACCATCTAATGAAGTTCATGGATATCAACAAGTGCAGGAATCTTAAATGACCTTGTAATACTGAAAATGTGTGATCTGTGTTTTCAGAGTCAGGACAACCTGAAGTTCCTTTGGACAGAGAGTTCCTTGCAAATGAGCTGAAAGTCACAGAGGATGCAAGCTCCAAATGTGTGTAAGTGCCGTGCAATATTTTATCAAACAAAATGTTCAAGTATTTACAGAACTGTGAGGGTGGAAAATAAAACCACAATGCCGTAAAAGTCAGGAAAAGACACAAAATATAATGGTTTGAAAATCATCTAGAGTCGACATTTTTATGAAGAGTGTGCACAGAGAACAGCAAACTAAAAAGTTGTATTGTTTTATGACACTTTGCAAAGAGGAAACCAAATTTAAATATGATCCCGAATCTGTGCCCGTTCAAGATGGACAGAGGCAAACTTTGCTGTGGTTATGACTAATTGAAATTGACATCCTTTCCCCCAAACTGAAAGGGAGGAGCGATCTGATCAGATGATGCCTTTTTCAGGTTAGATCTTGCTTGATACAGCAAGTAGATGCCAAACTATATCAAGGGTGACATTTTCAAACCCCGGGAAGCTGGTCGTCTTTGTTCTCAAAGGTTTGGAGAAGGTTGTGAAAAGACAAAGTGATGCAATGGTAGGCGTGCGCTTTATTAGAAACATGTTGCAAAGCATGAATTTAAAAAGAGCAACGAGTTCAGGTCAGATCTGATGTCCTTTTTTTTTTTTTTTCAAGTTTTATTTTTGGGCCTTACTTGTCCTCATCCACAGAGGTCATGACAGGGGACAGAGCAGGATATAGGGAGAGGGAGAGCGAGGAATGATGTGCACAAAGAGGGATGGATCCAAATCCCTAACTGTTAAGCTATAGCCCCTTGTCTTTGCACTATTTTCAATTAAACACTGACTTTAAAATAGTTGGCAAACATCAAATTGTATTTTAATCTGAATTTTAAGAAACTCTGACGCAACTGAGGTTGTATTTTTGTTGTGAAACACCACTTCCATCATTAAACATCTTAACATTTACTTTTTACTGGTGAACAACATTAATGAAATCTGTGTCATAGTTAAACTGTAACAAGCTTTGTTTGATCGTTGTCTATTACCTTTTCAGTCAACCCACATTTCCCTCAGTTGTTTAAAAAAAAGACTGAAAGAGAATTAAAAAAGTGTCGCTAAAAGACCAAACTGTTTTTTTTCAGACCTCTCCTCTACAGCATGGTGTCCCATTTTATGAACAGCAGTGATGACAGTGGGAAAGCGTTTCTACGAGGAGCTTCTCTGCCGGCTTCTACTCTCACAAGCAACAAAGTGCCATGACTTGACGCCTGAGATTTGATGCACTGACCCATGGATTAAAGAGACACTTTTACGACCTTATTTTTTAGTGAAATTGTTGCAGATTCTTGTTGGTTTTTCTAGACTCACCTACTCAGAGCATAAGAATTTTAATTGCTTCAGACTGTATGTTGACAACGACCCCCAGCAACGTATTTGCTGCTTGTTCTTGGTGTGATGACTGAATTCAACAGCTGGTTTTGTATCAGTCATCAGTGAGTAGAGCGCTCTGCTTGAGGTTATCCTTGTTATCAGTTCTCTCCAACAGAAGTTAAGGTTTTATTCCATGATGTGTTCCTTTTAGTTTTTACAAATGTTTAAAAGTTTTTTTTATTCTGTTGAATTTTTTTAAGTAAATGTTTTCTATTGGTACAAAACACTGTCTCAGTATGATTTATTGGGCTGTTGTTTTTTTGTCTTGCCGAAGATGAGGAATGAATTAATGAATGGTGGTGCAACCTCCTGCTGCTTCAGACATTTATGATATTGTTGACCATATGGCATTATGGGTATAACAGGAACTTCTGTACCATCTTATGTAGCTTACTTTGTATCAGCTCGACAATCTGAAAATATAAAGACTAGGGTTTTTCTGGGGTCGTACCTAGGGCTGGGTGATAAACCAAAATTTACAACAATAACCAACATCATTTTGCCCATAACTGTAAATTCGGTGTCAAAATAAGTGAATAAGTAAAAATTGTTTTTGGATGTGTGTCGGTAGACTATGGTCTCATGTCTCTTTAAGATGCTGTCCTACATCAGAGACGTGACTCCATCCCATCCAGTCCATAACAAAGAGGGAAAGACAGGTGAGGAGATGGAGGACGGTTCAATTCACGAGCTCATCCAGGAGTACCTGGAGAAGTTAATGTGGGAGGGGGTGAGCAGCTTGTGGAGTAGTCATCGTCCACTTATTGTTATCGAGGTGAACTGCTCAATATATTGTGATATTGATTTGAGGCCATATCGCCAAGCCCTAGTCGTACCTGACTGTTTTGGTTCTAATTGTGTCACTCCATTCAGTCAGACTCACTTATCCTGTTCAAAACACACGAGCGATGCTGCTTGACACGATGATGACATGATTATTGATTATTTGTCTTTGCTTTTCATGAAGGAGAAGAGAATATGATAATTTTTTAAGATCAGATAGAAAATTAAATTCAGTAGGAAATATCTGTATAAGAATTTAAAGACACTCTGTAGGTTTACAAAGTGTGTGCTGCTCAGATTAAAAAACAGGCCTGTACTTTTTGCATCTCACTTCCTCTCTCACCATTTAAGGGAACTTGACTTTCTTATCTCTCATGCCTTCAAGCCCTCCATTTCTGGGACTGATTATCTACGGGTTTGGCTATGTGTTTCTCAGCCTGATCACTGATGCTGATCTCTGAGTTGCAACATTCCCACTTCTCAACATATATGTATTTAGCAGTTTATTAATCCTATCCTATCTATAACGTGCTTTAATCTGCCATTTTTGATCATACAGGTTTAATGACAGATGAGATCACAGCTCAAATTAGCTCTCTGTAAGAATGAGGTCATCATATAGCACAGAGGGCAGTTTGCTGAGTTGACCTAAGACAAAACTTTCTACCATCAGAAGAGTTTCTGCAAAAAGATTTAACATCCATTCGCTCCACACAGTGACACAGTTTTTGCTTCCTTTTCCGATTAGAAACGACTCTGTGTAGTCCAGGGTAGAGTCAAAACAGGCCCAGGACGTGGAGTTTAACTTTAAATCATTTCTTTGGAGCAAACCTCCGCCCTGAGGTAAACAATTCATTGGCAGCAGGTATGAGCGTTCTCTTGAAAACGGTTTTAAATGCAGAGGAAGTTGGACAATGGCGCATGGATGTAAGATTAGCTGATTACCGTACAATGGGTAGCCCCTCTCCTGTGTGGATTAGCTGTGTGTGAAACAGACAGCTGTATAAATAGTGCTAAACGCAGCGATCTCTTGATGGCAGCAGAGTGAACTGATGTTTGCCCCCGAGCTCAGATTAGAATCCAATTGCATTCCTCGAGAGTCAAACATATCCATAAACATATTTTCTCTTAATACATGTCCATCTATGGACATGAGGTAAGAGAAAAACATTAAACAAACTATATATCACAGATTTTAGCCTCGTAAATCATGTGTATTATATAAATGTACTCTTGTGCATTATGAGATTCCCTTTTCAGGTGAATTTTGTTGCAATCATATATTTTCTTATAAAACAGTAAAGATTAAAATGTCATTCTCCTCACTCCAAACGTCTCTCCTGCCTTTTGCTGCTGTTGTTATCTGTTCATTCAGTACTCTGAGTAAATACAAGTGATTATTCTCCGTCTCAGACAACAGGGGGAGGTCAAATGTTTTGGCCAAACTTAAGCAAAGACTCCTCCTGTCAGCACACAGCTCCCCATCACTTCCACTTTGAGCTTTTTTCAGGTTTCTTTCCTCTCGTCTCACATCATAGATCACAGATTCGGCCTTTTCTTCGACTGCACTTGACCCTATGATCTTAGTGTGATCTTATACATGCAGGGATTAGCGTGGAGATCATACTCTGTAATCATTTGTGACGTCTGAGGCGTGTTTCCATGGTATAGATAATAAATAAGCCAGAATGCTTTTCTCACAGCAAACTACATACAGATAAAAAAGCTATATTTGTTTGTGCATAGCTGCTGCACCATATTTAGTCACTTTGTTGCTCGGTCTTGAAGATGTTTGTCTGTGCTAGACTGTGAAAGTTACATAGAAAGCTCCTGAGATTCCATGCAGACCCCACTGTCCTTATATGGCACACGCTGCTGCAACTTCTCTGCTCAGTGTATCTACTGCTTTGTCTCCATCTCTCCTCCTCCTCCTCCTCCTCCATGTCTCATTCTTCATCCCTCCCTCTGCCTCGTCTCTCACCCCGACTCCCTGAGTTTTCAACATGAGTTTCCTCCTCGGCCTCCCCCCCACCCCCACCTTTATGATGTTTGCCAGAAGCAGCTCTGAGTTTTTCAGTGTCTTCGGTTTGTCATCAGTTTCCACACACACATCCTCACTGTGTGTGTGTGTGCGTGTGCTCCTCTGGCACTAAACAGCCCTCGGCCATTTTGATTTATTGGAACTGATAGATCGGTTTCCTTATATAGGAAGTTCCATCAGAAAGATCCTGGAAACAGGAGGGATGCAAGACGGGGAGAGGGGGGAAGGCTGTTTGTGGTGGTGGTATGTGTTTGTGGTGTGTGTGGCGACAGAAGACACAACTGTGGGACGGTCACACACACGCATAAACACACAGAAAGATTCATTCATTTTGTGAATTATGTGTTTGGAGGGGAGGGGGGATCTCTTTGGGGCTGTTACAGTAAAGGGGGATTCCTGTGCTGGGGACACCATGCCTTATGAGGAGTGAGGACAGATGACATCACCTACGAACCCTCTGAGGAGCTGGATTAAAGTCTGATGCTGCTGCTGCTGCTTTTGATTCATCATATTATTGTACAGGGCAGATTAAAAACTGGTATGATGTTCTCTATGGAGCAAAAACACATTAAAGTTAAAGGGATATTCCGGCATAAAATTAAGTTAGGGTCAAACACATCGTAACACCGAGTTAGACTTTAGTAACAACCGCAGAGAGCAATACAGAGAGCAGTGAGAGTTTAGTCTTACCTCTGCTGTGGAGTTTCGCAGCTCAAGGAAGAACATTTATGATTATTTCTTCATGGAAATGCCATCAGACCGAGACGCTACGGCAGAAGATCTACCGTGTCTGCAGTGCAAAATGATTATTTTGATGATGATCACTTTATGGAAATGATTTGCTGCACTCGGTGATCGACTCATCAGGGCTCCCCCCATAAACAAGCAGCTGCTGGAAGAGACTGGGTGAGTTGTGTTTGATCTCTTTGCTAAAGAAACCAGGCAAAGCTAAAACAATACTTTATGACTAGTACTATGGCTGGGACCCTTTATGAACTGTTGATGAAGTTAGGTGCTGTTCTGAGCATTATTTGTGGCTATAGAGTGGCGTTTTGGTTGAGTGCGTGGCTTTGTTAATCATATTGATTTGATGGAAGTATATAAAAGTATGTATCAGATATGATACAAACGGCAATAAAGGGTTAAACAACCTTTTTTTTGTCTCCTTTAATCTCTTGTTTTATCTTTGCAGGGTCATCAGGAAACATCAGCATGAATTTCATCTGTTTTCTGGCAGCCTCACAGGGGTCTCCAGTTAGCTGCACTTTTCATTTAAAAAAAATAGTTGATATATTATTTTTTATTTAAAAATGACTAATAGCCCTGTAATACATATTGAAATAGCTAATATTGGGTTAACTTCAATAATTTAACAATTCAAAAAATGCAGCCTACATAAAACTCTGTTATAGTTCAGCTGTGCAGGTCAAAATTATGTGTAAAAAAGACACCAGAAGACAAAATTACAGGACACTGGTGTTGAAATACTCCTACCGTCACACACAGACCTGTAAACACAATTAGGACACCACCTTCCTCAAACTCTCACATTTCTAATAACCTCCGTTTACCGTGACTCGTTGAACCTGCAGCTGTCCTGTCTGCGCATGTCCTCTGCCTCCTGCCCCGATAATGATGCTCAGACTGGTGCCTGCCGCTGGACGATGCTAGAGGAGGAGGAGAAGGAGGAGGAGGAAGAGGAGGAGGAGGTTTAGCTCTTGCTGCTCCACCCTCACTCAGCAGTGCACACTTTAAATGTTTAGGCTCTGAATTAGACGGGGGTCATTTGGACGGTTCTTTTGTGGAGTACCTCGTCGGACGTTCGAGACCCTGACTCTTCAAGTCCTCAGCTCCCCTAAAACCCCATTTCTCAGCTGTATGTAAGTATGTTTAACTACTAAAGAGAGAGAGAGAGAGAGAGAAGGAGTCACTTCACCGGTAATGATGCTGTTGTGCACTTGTCAACCTCTAACTTGAACTGTGTTTGTGGAGGATGAATGAAGTTTGAAGAACAAGATGCTCAAAAACGTTAAAACTCTGTGAGAAAATGTTAATAAACATGTTTTTTAACTGACATTCATACGACAGTTGTGTGTAAGAGCTGCTTTTGACCACAGTGAGAATACTGTTGCTTTCACTGCACTGTGCTGCAGCTAAAAAGGAAGTTAGGTCTGAATAATAGGCTATCTGAAAAAGATGCAGGCACGACTCTAACCATGGAGTTTCCTGTTTCCCAAATATGGTTGTATAGAGCCGCTTGTCTGTCACACTGTTGTGACTGTTGACTTTACAGGACTGAGCTGTGACAGTTTCTGCAGACACGGGTGAAAACTATCACCCGTTCAGTCTAACTTTTACACGTCTATAATGTAGATTTAAAGTATTTATAATTGCTTTGAATTCATCACCAAAACATGATTTCAAAAAGTCAAAGTAGAGTTTTTTTTAAATCATCAATGCATCTCTAAATGACGAAGAAATCTTGAGTTTAAAGGGGTTGTACTTCATTATTTCCGTACTTTAAAGTGACAGCTCTGTATTAAAAAATACTACACTGAAACACATCGTCTTCAATCTTCATAATTCAATCGTTTTTGTGGATTAACCCCAATTACTTCTATTCAAACTGAATATGACAGGTCTATTAGCGAGATGATAACAGGATGATTGTTTGTGAGGCAGCCAAGAGAGGAAATGAGTCCAATCCTTCACAGGCCCCTCAGGCCAACTTTCACCCATAAATAGAAAGGTCACCGAGTGTCCTGTGTGACATTCCTGCTGGTTTATTATTATTACTGTATCATATGAATATTTTAAAAACATAGATTTACACTGACTCCTAGTGTTCGCCTGACAGCACCGTGAGACTTCTCCAAGTTTACTCTACAGTCAGTGTCAGTTTGTGTGTCGCACCTGTTCCTTCTTAGTAAGGTTTTTCTCATACAGGGGTAGTTTGGTCTCACAACTAAAGTTCTCATGTGATGATGGCCGTCATCCTTTAAGTATCCAGTGTGTTTCTATCAACGTGCTATCCTGTCAACCCCACCGCAGATAGATGTCTCCTAAATTCACTGGCTGAGCACCTAGCTGTGTTGACACTACTTAAAAAGAGAGAAGAGGCCTCAGTGAGGTATTAACCGAAATCGTGAGGGAAGTTAAAGGGACTGAGGAGGGAGATGTGGATTGGGAAGGGAGTGTCAGGAAAAGTCTGTTTACTTTTATCTTCGGAAATAAGAGATCATCAAAACATCAGCTGCTCGGCACGTTTTCTTAGACCTATCCACCTTCTTCAAAGATTTCTACAAATGCAAAGTGTCTGTCTCCATCTCTAGTGAATATTTACCTAACATCTTTCATTGGTCTATGGGTGGTTTGGTTTGGCTGGTCCCTGGGGTACATTTTTAGGTTTTTCTCAGGAGGCTCAGTGGCTGTTTTACATAGTTCCCACTCGAATAAAGCGTGTGCCAGTCTCAGTGTTCTCAGATATACAGCAAGGGGGATAACAGCCTGTGAACAGGATCGACTCAGCGTCTGTAATCCATGCATCACTGAGTTTTACCCTCAGGAGTTCAGAGGCTAATCCAGTTTGACTCATCATGATATGGTTTAAGCACGGTGTAAGACTCACTGAAGCAATTTTGCATGCTGGTAAATCTTGGGTAATTTGTTTGAAAAGTACATTTCCAACTTATTTTTACAAAATAAGAACATAAAGAATAAGACTCCTTTCCTTTACTCCTTATTTGAGGTTTCTAGCAGCTCTCTCTGCAGGTATCACTCCTCCTTGACCCTGACTCTTGCTCCTAATTTCAGCCTAATGCATCTTAAAATTATTGCAGATAGAGGCCTGTGTGAAGCGTGGTTTTTAAAAACCCCTTGCCCCCCTCAGGCTCTGCCTAGCTGTTATCATTTTGGAGTAAACGACAAGCCAGCAAGAGACATACTATTCCCTATATGGGCTTTGTTTGGGAGTTCACTTGCCTTGCTGTTTAGGTCCGCAGAAAAGAGTCCTGCTCCAGAGAAGGAGCCCTTATATGGTCATCACAGCACGAGACTGGAGCCTCCTAGCAGGAGACTGGGAGAGAAAGATGGAGGAGGAAAGACACAGAAGAAATGGATGTCGTCAATTAAGTACCCACTTAGTATTGGGGTAGAAGTAATTGAGAGTGAGCAGTAATGCCTTTGAGAAACTGCACTTGTCTCTGCAGTTGAGCTGATAAATATCCATTTCCCAGCCTTAATCTTGCCATCTAAACCAGAGAGGTAAACTGTTCGTGCATCTCCCTCGTGGGGTCTGTGAGGGTCCGGGGTCGAGAGTGGGTGGGAATGACTGCACACTGGAACTTCCCGATGGACAAAACATGTTAACTCTTTGAGTTACAGTCACAGAAAGAAGATAATGTTAGCAGCTTGACCTTTCCACCAAAGACTGATCACTTACTGCAACATATTTTAACCTGTTTCTCAGTCCTAAAAGAAACAGAAGTAAACATGAAGCATCTATAATGTGCATTAGAAACTTTGCTCTAAAACACTGTGATCATAACTGCTGCATCACTGTAGTTTCATTTCCTTCCTCTCAACCTTCCTTTGTTCCCTCTTGTGAAGGTTTTTGCATCCTTGGTTTCTTCCTTTCTTTACTTCCTTCTCTGCCACCTCTCCTCTACCTTTCGCTTGCTGTCTAATCGACTCTTTTACAACATACAAATAATTTATTCTCACCAACAGTTGGCCCTCCACCTCAACCCAAGATGTCCAAGAAGGCCCCAAGCGACGATGAGAAGTTCCTCTATGTAGACAAAGACTTGCTGAACAGCCCCATGGCTCAGGCTGACTGGGCAGCCAGGAAGCTGGTGTGGATCCCATCAGAGAGGCACGGCTTCGAGGCCGCCAGCATCAAGGAGGAGCACGGCGATGAGGTGCTAGTGGAGCTGGCTGACAACGCCAAGAAGATGACAGTCAACAAGGATGACATCCAGAAGATGAACCCTCCCAAGTTCAGCAAGGTGGAGGACATGGCTGAGCTCACCTGCTTGAATGAAGCCTCCGTGTTGCATAATATCCGTGAGCGGTACTTCTCTGGCCTTATTTATGTAAGTATACAGAGAAAACTTCATTCAAATGTGTCATAACAAATCTACGTAACATTGACAGCTGTTAAATATGAATGCAAACACAAATATCGTACATCTCTAATCATTTAAGGCTGATTATCTTTCCCCTCAGACTTACTCCGGTCTGTTCTGTGTGGTGGTGAACCCCTACAAAATGCTGCCCATCTACTCAGAGAAGATCATCGACATGTACAAAGGGAAGAAAAGACACGAAGTCCCTCCTCATATCTACTCCATTGCTGACAACGCTTATAGGAACATGATGCAAGGTAGGGATATCTCCTCCTGAGTTGTTTTCTCACATCCCAAGACTTGCAAACTACCTGAACTGATTTCATTGATAAATACTCCAGAGAGGGGATTTTCTGTCCGTCTCAACTCAGCTACAAAATCCATGAACTCAAACAAACAAGTGAATTGGATTTTCAAAGAAATAAGTAATAAAAAGTTTAACCAATGAGAGCCAGTGTAACTCAATAGTAGGGCTGGGTGATAAACCGAAAATTTACCGATACTGAAATTTATGACAAAAACCGACGTCATTTTGCTCATATCAGTATGTTCGGTGTCAAAAAAATTAAATAAATAAAAGTTGTTTTTAGATGTGTGTAGGTAAGTTAATATGGGAGGGGGTGAGCAGCTTGTGGAGTAGTTTTCACCCATTTATCATTATCAAGGTGAACTGCTCAATATATCGTGATATTGATTTGAGGCCATATTTCCCAGCCCTTTTCAATAGCCATGTTTACAAGTACAAATTTCTTGATCTGATTAAAAAATTAGAGGAATCGAAAAATCTGAATCCTCTGTTTATACGAGCGCAAAATCAAATAATCTGATCATGACGTGCGTATACATGCACCGATATTTATTCTGATTAGAAGCATTTGGACGTGCGCAGTTGTCTGATTTCGCTAAATCAACTGCAGAAGAAGAAGAGTTGTATTGACGTCTGTGCTGTCAACAAACCAACAAACGCGGTAGTGGTTTCACTACATCCAATTCAGGATTTTTCCCTCGTTAAATGTTGTCACTAGATGGCGCCCTTGCTTGCTTATTTTACTGTTCTGTCAAAGGTTGCACTGTGCGTGCAGATGTACACCTTGTTATGTTATCAGAGGAGCAGACACGGCACCTGCGGTTGTGTTTTATGCCAGAGTGTTAATAATGAAACCTCCTGAACTGACTATAATAAATAAGCCAAAGGCTAAAGAGTGAAGCTCGAGTCAGGTTAGAGAGTCACGATCGTAATAAGTGTTTTACATGGACGTGTTTCGGAATAACAATCAGCATAAACCACCCCTCTCGTTCAGAATACATTTTCTTTCCGATTGAGCTAAATTGGATCAGAATTTTCCGATCCACATGTTTACATGACGCTTTGTTATTCCGGGCATTTATTCCGATAATTTGTGCCCATATTAATGCAGCTAATGACACCTAAAACTAACAACACCATGAGTATGGTCAGTTCAGGCTGTTGGCTTTGTGTGTTTTCTCAAAGTGCCTGCAGCTGTGAAGGCCTGTGGGGTTATGTTGTGGTATCCGCTGTCAGAAGTCTCACTTCTGTTTGCGTGATGACAGCTGTCAGCATTTAGCTCTATCACGTTTGCAAAGTGGTTAATATAAAAAACACAAACTGGTCTTAGTCGTCAGATAATCGTGCACAGTCCAGAATCTACTTTAAGTTCTACTGTTGGTGGTCCAAAAGGGTGTTATAACATCTAAACGAGTATTTTATGGACTATTTCAGAGTCAATGTTTCGTATAGGTGATAACATTGGCCTTGGCAGAGTCGTGCTTACAGTAAATGGCTCTTGGAAAGTCCTGAAGAGGTAGGGGCTTTAAAGCGTCTGGTTTCCCATAGAAACTATTTCTTATGCTTCCAGGGGGTCGTGCCCACTGGACTTGATGTTGACGTGAGGATGTTCTCTCAGAGGGGTTGACATCTGGATTGAGAGATGGGTGGAGGGCAGTAAAACATTTCCTGTTTCAGCCCCTCTCTTTTCATATGAAATCAAAAGCTTTTTTTTTCCTCCTCAGTGTAAACCACTTTTACTTCTGTGTAAGTCGGGGATCTCCTTGTGAATGGGCTTAAGATTATACTAATATCTTTTGGTTTGTTTAGTTTCCCAATGACCCAGTGAAGCGGGATGTTTAGACAGGACTTACAGTTCAGAAAGGAAGTAATCTTTCAGGGAGCTTTAAGGAAAGTGAGTTTATCCAGTCTTCTTAACCATGCCATCCAGTCCCTGAGTGGACAGAACTGATTACTGAGCCTGCAGACCCTGAATACACATCTCAGACTGATCATACAGCTGATAGTTTTAGCTCACCCTTAAAGTTAAATAAATCCCGCAAAATCAAAGATCTGAATTTGCTGAATTACTTTTGGATTGCAGACATGAACATCCTAAAACGGGTACTGCTTGTCTTAAAGAAGAATGCACTCATGTGTACACTAGTGCAGAGGACGTTGTTCTATTTACTGCTGCAGGGATGGTGTGTAAACATATTGTCACAAGTAAACAAGAAGAGGAAGATGGCTTGGTGTTCGTCTGGGTGTTTGGATTAGACTTCTCTTTCAGCTCATCTCTGAAGATGAAACCACACAGCTGTGCCGTTCCCAGGAAATAAATGAGACTGAATATTTTTGATCGGTTAAAATATCAGATGGTAGTTGGTGCTTTTTGGTGGACTGGCTTCAGAGGGTATAGTTGTTGATGCTTCAGTGGGATTTCCCATGAAGTGGTGGGGGATGATGCTAAGGCTGTTCTACGCCGAATGTTACAGCATCAACAAGTCACATATTAGAGTGGAAGTGGGGCATGACCACAGCAAATCCAGATAAATCTCCTAAGCTTTAAAAACATTCTTCCTTCAATCTTGGCCGAGATCCCATTCCTCTAAAATTGTGCCTCAGTCTTTGATGTCTTTGAGATAAAAATGTGCAAATTCCCACGGGAGAGTTTTTGTGTCCCCTGTGTAAGAATTAGCTGTGGTGTGGATTCTTGTAGCTCTCGATGTTCACTGCTCAGATACATGAAAAGACAAAAGCGCCCTGTTTGATTGAATCAGTACCACAGGGATATTCTGAATTTTGCAGAGACAAAAACACTCATCGCTCCGATTCTCTGGGGCAAAACTGAGCGTCGTTTTTGGATGTTTCACAGGAGCTCACAACTCTTCCCACCCCTCCTCTCGCTCTTTCTCGCTCTTTCTTTATCTGCCTTAATTAGGAAGTACAGAGGGGGAACAAGCTGAATTTTGTGAGCATATGTGAAACAAATAAAAAAGAAGCCCTAGACCAAACACAGAGACAGCATCAGAGCTAGTTTACACTTCAGGGATGGTTACACACAGTAATAATGTTAGTGTTTGATTCGCAGGCACACAGCTACACACAAAGTGACAAAGTCTGATGTGACAACACGTGAATTTACTGCACAAAGATGATGAAGTGATGTGGTTTGCTCTGTGTTGTGTCTATTTTTACTGCCGATCATTTCGCAGCGTCGTTTCAGGATGTCATTTACTGGGGGGTTTTATGGGCCAAAAGTCTCCTTTCTTTCAGCTGTACTCGACGTACTCCCCCAGGATAGTTTTTATGGAAGGATGCAGTCACAAAATAGCCTTACATGGACTCAGTGTATTCTCCCCGGAGTACTTTTGGAGACATTTTAATGACTCACTGCTCTGCACATTTAGAGCTGATTTTCAAGGTTGAAAATCAAAGTTCATGTGGGAACCCTCAGGAAACACACACGGTCTCTATTAACCTCTAAACAGAGTTTATTCTTCTTTTTCTTTCTCTCTGAAGAGGCGCTTGTGTTTTCATTTGTGACACACACACACACACACACACAGCATTGTTGTATAATACTGTCCATGTAAGGGCTGTAATCAACCAAAGAAATTCTTGGTCGACTAAAACCCTGAAATTTTTTAACCAAAAATCGACTAATCAGGGAAAATATACTGATATCAGCTCAAGGAAGTAATTGAACACAAAAGGCTAAAATATGAATATTCAGCAAGCCACTGGACGGAATATCCCGCCTCCTTTGCCTCTGATTGGCTAGAAAAGCTGGAAACGTCATCATACGCTTAAACCAAACACAGGCTGTCGGCTCTGTACATCGAACAGAACATTAAAGAATACTATTGCACTTCTCAATCTTCTAACTCTAACCCAACGGACGATGATGTTTCACAACTATAAGGAATAACGAATTGGAGCCCAAAACTTGTAGCCGATCAGAGGCGAAGAAGGGCGGGACCTCCCCCGAGCATCCTACAAAAAAAAAGTCGACTTAGAGTTCATCAACATCATATTCAAGTTTTCATCTGCTCTTTAGTTACTCTCTGATTCTTGAATAAGTTTGTCTAATTCTAAATGTATTCAGTATAAAATAATTCATACACATTCATTTGCACCATTAAGACTTAACAGAATGGGTTTAATTTATAATGATCTATGTTGGAATTGTGCGGCAGAAAGTGGCACATTTATTCATTGATTATGAGAATGCTCTAAGATCCTCCTCTTGTGGGAAAAAGTTATAGATTATATGAGCAAATCATTAAATTACGAACTTCCCAGATCACCCAGATTGTGTCTCCTTGGAGACAGAACCATGGTACCCCTGTTGAATAAATATCAAATTTTAAAAAATCAAATTTTATTTATATGGCGCCAGTTTACAACAGTTGTCACCCCAAGACGCTTTCCAAAGAAAAAGAGCAGGTCTAGACCACGCTCATTGATGGATGAATTATCAAGACCCAACCTAAGATGGGATTTTGCCCATCTCATCTAACATGAGTAACAGTGACAAGGAAAAACTTCCTCTGAACAGGCAGAAACCTTGGGTAGGACCAGACTCATGATAGACAGCCACCAGGCCGCTGCTGGGTTGGGGAGGAATACAGTTTTAGAAGATTAAAAGCTGGCCCAATAACATGTGCACGGACAGTTCTGAGGTGTTGGAAGGAACTCCAAGCTCCCACACTGAATATGTGGAAAACACAGATGATGGGGACTGTGAAAATGATATGATTAAAGAAAAATGGAATAGTTTTGGTGGACAGATGTGTTGACTTTCTTGCCATGCCAACTAACTTGCCTGTCTTATTTTTTATTTTCTTTCGTTTATTTATTTATTTTATTATTCTTACTATTTTTGACCTCCATTATATCTATCTTGTTTGATGTTTGTTTGTCTGTTGCAACATTGAAAAAATGATAAACTTTAAATTATAAAAAAATAAGTTTGTCTAATTCTGTAAACTCTCTTTGTGTCAACAGATCGTGAGGACCAGTCCATTCTCTGCACGTAAGCATAAAAAAAAATCCCCACCTCCAAACTCTCACTGTGTCTCCTTCTTTAACCTTTTCCCTAGACATCACGTTGATACTAGAAAGACGCTGGTGTTTGTATATATGCTCGAATGTGTTGAAGAACAGTTACATAATGCTTGTGTAAACACAGAAGTAAACGAAGGAGATGCCTTTCACTGTCCAGAATCAACATGTTGGAATTAAAAGTCATTGAGAGGATCACATTGCTATCTTTGAGTGACATTGCTGGCTCCGTGCAGGAATCTCCACTTTGAACGATTATGTTGCATCTATTTTGTATTCTGGATGAGCGCTCCCAGAGGGGCCGTGGCCTTGCTCTCCTCCGCGACCCGGTCAGGAAGTATGCCCTGCATGCTGATGGGAGAACCAGATTAGCTCTCCAAATGTTTGGGCTCCATTTTGTTTGTTTATTTGTTTGAAACTAATTATTGAAAACTTTGGCTGTGGTTATCAGACAGTCAGTGATAAGGCCTTTATTTTTCTGGCAGCACCAGTCTGTGGTAAAGTTTCTGAACTTTAATTTCCTGCAAACAAATTAACCCATAGATTGTTTTTCCTCTTCCTTCTTTACTGGCCGTACTCTTGCTGTGGTTCTGATTTTGTGTGTTTATTGTATATTCTTCTTTTCTCACAGGGATGATTGGTTGATTTCCTTCTTTTCACATCCATCCCACTTAATTCAGCTCTGCTATATTTACTTCTGCATGCAAACTCATTTAAAAAAAAGGGATTTCTTTGCTTTTACTCAAACTAGCAGTGGTAGACCAATAGGGACTGAACAGCATCCTGAATGGATTTGGAGTGGCATTAGATCTGCGCCATTTTGAGGACTATTAAGAAGATGCTGGTAAACGTTACCATCCAGACTGCAGTATTTCCTGCGACAGTCTTGAGTAAACAGAAGCATTGCTCGCTCTTTAGCATCCACTTGTTCCAGTAAAGGAAATGAATGAAAGAGCTCTTAGTTTGAAGTACTGATGCCAGGATGCAGCCACTTCTTTGGTAATGGTTGATCATTTCCTCAGCCATCAAGATTTCTCCGTACAGTTTTGGAGAACCTTGGCAGGATTCCTCTTGTCTTTTTACAGGAAGACGGTGGTTTATAGCAGCTGTGGGCAAGCATGAAAAAAATTCCACAAAGTTTTTTTTTTTTTTTTAAACAGTCTAACACGGTACGCCGGGGTTAACATGACCATTGAGCTGAAAAACATCCTCCCTTTCTTTGGAACATTGGTCAGGTCCACACAGACACCTTCAGATTTGACTTTGAGCTACAGCTGCCCTCAGCGTCTGCAGGCCTTCGGGACCATATATGGGAGAAATGTTTCATGGAATGTCATGCATGACATTCTCAGTCTACGTGCCTGTACATACGTGTTTAATTGCTGTATACCATCTGTTTTTGGTGGTTCTGTTCACAGAGCAATCAAAGGTTGATGACTTGTTTTTTCTCGCTTAAAATTCGATAAAAGTTTAGCAAAATTTGTTAATAGGTTAGCATAAAGAACTTGTCTTAAAATGTCCTAAACTGTCTTGATAAACTGGTTTCAAGGTATTAAATGTAAAATTATTTGAATTTATCAACAAACTAGCCTCAAAAACCAGCATCTCTTTACAGCCCCGCCCTGGAAAATAAGGTCAAAAACAGCTAATAAAGAGAAGATCATGAAGTTGCAGACTGTCACTAGAGAGGTCTGATTCACAACCTTTACTAGCCCCATTATCTCACATCTGCACTAAAAGAGGAACCATCTCAAATTAGCATTCTGGTCACCAGAAGATATTTCTCTGACAACTGAGGGGGGTAAAGTTTTGCACCATCCAACTTTGAGAGCATCTTTTTAACGCCAGTCTTTTCTATCAGGGTTTCAAGAAGTCTTCAAAAGTATAAGATATTTTCTGATAGACCACCTCTAGAGGAACTAGCAGATGACTTGAGTAGGAACCTGGATATCATAATTTCTTCCTGGCAAGAACAAGGTGGAGTAATTAGACTCGACTCAGAGCCAAAGCCCTAACACAGGGAGCATCCCATGCCTAATATGGAGCGTTGTCTGTCGCTGTTTATTGACTTCTGGCTTCTGGTTCTGGTATCATTCAACTTCTCTCTAAACTTCTAAGACTGTTTTCTGGAAGGAACATGTCCCTGCTTCTGAGAGTTTGAGGTGTTGAATTTCTAAACAGGATTATAAATCTTTTATTTTTGATAAGTTTCAGGATGTGCATCATTCATTCAGACACTCAGACAGTTCATATGGTCAGTTCCGTAAAACTATAGAGGGAAATGAGATATGAAACTTCATTCATCTGTTAGCTGTCTTTGCTTAGAGGCTAGAAATAGGGAACACCTCACCTGACTTTATGCACACACCAGCTTTGTTGCATGTGATGTATCCCTGTCTCTCTCGGGTTTCCTGTCGAGGTCCAAATCATAGACTGTATATAAATTGGACGCCATCTGCCTCCTTGCTGGGTGAAGCCACTCTGAGAACAGCACCCTCTGGTGACAGGCTGCAGTATAGGTCATAAATCCCGCCTCCTCCAGCAATCCCTATGAAGCTGTGGACAAACTTTAGAAATTTATTACACAGAATATAAATGTTTGTCCACAGCTCCATAGGGATTGCTGGAGGAGGCGGGATTTATGACCTATACTGCAGCCCGTCAACAGAGGGTGCTGTTCTCAGAGTGGCTTCACCCACCTAAGAGGCAGACGGCGTCCATTCTATATACAGTCTATGATCCAAATACTTTCTTTTTAATGAGGAGCCTGACTTACTGTTTCATTTGAAAGTATTTCTTTAAAGTTCAAATATAAGCAAAGAGGATTAATTTCCACATTTTAAGATCATGTAAAGATTATAACAGCTGTTAAGAGGATCTAAACTCAGGGATCAGACTAGTGTAGTAAGCAGACTGAACAATAACATTGTGCTTAGTGTCAGACATTGGTGCAGCTCTCTGTGCTCCACATGCTTTCTATTCAATTTAACCGGCTTATTGAACTGTGAACAGACTGTCTGTGCTTGTCTTCGTGTTATCTCTCATTCCCTTACACTATCTCTTCTCTGCAGCATTTAATCCCCCTCTCACCTTCTTCTTCTCTAGTGGAGAGTCTGGTGCTGGGAAGACAGAGAACACCAAGAAGGTCATCCAGTACCTGGCTGTCGTGGCCTCCTCACATAAAGGCAAGAAGGACAGTAGCGCTGTAAGTATCTGTGTGGGAAAAAAAAACAAAGAAAAAACAGACGATGTTGTTTAAAAAGTTTGGATCTGTCAGCCAGTTCCCTCACTCTTCATCATGTGTAGGTAACTGCTCAGTTTAACCATGTGTATATATTGCCATTTCCTCCAAATAGCAACAATCAGGAGCACAGTTTGCTTACGTGAGTAAAAGGGGAAACCTGGAGTGTGTTTTTGTGTGTGGTGTTTGTGTGTGTTCTTTCCTTAGGATAGACAACTGCATGAATCAAGTGTCACTGAGTTGCATAAATGAACGTTTTTTTTACTTTTGTAATCATTTTTCTTACACCAAGGGTCAAGATCCCGGGATCTTACTGTCCTAGAGTTAGCGTTGATTACCCAGATAGACTGCATGACCATCATAGTACTTTCCAAACCTGCCCGATGATCAGTGAAGGGTGGTTAGCGTTAGCATACTCCTGAAGTAGTTAAACTATGTTGTGTCGTCCATCTTCTCATGAACACCCTCTTACTGCCCGTGGAGACGAGGTCGGCGGCTCCCTCGCAGTAAAAGGGTCTCCTCTCACAGTACGAAGAGCACAGTGTGAGCATGCCCATCTCCTGTTTTTATCTATCAAACACAACAACAATCAACCTCCCCTACACCTTCCTTCCCCCTCTCCTTAGCCCAACATGCCCTTTAGTGCAGCGTTGGCTCTCTGGTTATAATAATGATGATAGTTTTATTTATGTAGCACCTTTAACAACAAGGTGGTTATGTGTAAGAATGAGCAAGGATCTCTGTGACGAAGCAAAACTTTCTTTCCGGGACCTCTCTCAGCCTAAGGACCCCGGGAAACCCTGTGCAGTTGCAGTTGTCACCTTCTCAGTATTTGGCTCAATCATCAGCCTCCTTCTCATGTGGTAGATTTGAAGAGTGTATGCAGAACAGTCTTTCCTATCTTTCCTATCGGGGTCACTTCCTTTCCGTTTCTGTCTGCTCTGTTTCTCTCCTTTTTTTCTGTAGTGACTCAAATGACCAAGACCTTCCTCTTTGCTCTGCCAACTCTCAGCTGCACTTCTTCTGCTGGTCTGTATCTTTGCTGCTTTTTTTCTATAATAGTCTTCATAAATTTGACCTTTAATCACTTCAATAACCTGTCTCTAATTACAAGGTCATAAATTCTATGGTGGCCCTGAGGTGCAAAACACAACAGCAAATCGGAAAACACAACACAAAAAGGAGAAAAAAAACAATAAAAGAGAAAACACTTACCTACTTAATTAATGTGTTTTCTGATTTGCTGTTGTGTTTTCTCTTTTTGTGTTGTATTTTCTTTTTTTGTGTGGTGTTTTCTCTTCTTGTGTTGTGTTTTCTTATTTGCCATTGTGTTTTCTCTTTTTGTTGTTTTGTCTTTTCTCTTCTTGTGCATTTTCTCTTTTTGTGTTGTGTTTGCTCTTTTGCCAATGTGTTTTCTCTTTTTGTATTTTGTTTTCTCTTTTTGTGTTTTCTCTTTCTGTGTTATGTTTTCTCCTCTTGTGTTGTTTTTTTTTATTTGCCATCGTGTTTCCTTTTTGTGTTGTTTTTTTTATTTGCTGTATTCTTTTTTGTGTTGTGTTTTCTCTTTTTGCGTTGTGTTTTACACTTTAGGGCCACAGAATAGTTCTGACCACAGGCTGTATTATTCTTTCCAATCGTCCCCTTTTTCAAAGTCGATGGTGACACAAGTCACGGCCTTCGCCTCTTTGTTGCTTTAGCTCATTTACTGAAGGGACTGTTTCTATACAAGAGAGTATTTCAGGTAGAAGTCCACAGCTCCTGACCTTGATGCTAGGCTAACACAGGCCCCTTTGATCAGGTGGATTAGCTCGATGCACAGTGACGGGATGTCCGCCTCATTTACCCACCATCACCCTGTTCCACCCACCGGGCTCTGCAGTCACGCTGGAGGCAAATCACATCCAACATCTCTGTTTATGAATCAGAATCATTATAACATGCTGACACACTGAATGCCAAGACTTTCGTTAAAGGCTTGATTCATTTGTACATTAGTCAGATGCCTTCCCTGACCCTGAGTAACCTCATTCCCTCTCTTACCACATCAGCATCAAGAGCTTTTTACAGTTTTTCCACAGCTGATCCAGAGGTATTTAGAGGTGTTCATTTGTCTGTGGATTAAAGTCAGTCAATTAATATTTACCAAGAAGTTTATATCAGTAAATAAAGTTTAGTTATTGATCACCTAAAATTTTACTTGATTTTTTTTTTAACCTGATGATCTTCTCTGTAGTCCTTTTCCAACCTGATTTACTTTATCTCCACTCTCACCACCACCTGCACCTTGGACCCAGCAGCTGTCCGGCTTCTAACACTGATGTTTGTGTTTCTTGCTGTCGTCACTAGGGGGAGCTGGAGAAGCAGCTCCTGCAAGCCAATCCCATCCTGGAGGCCTTTGGAAATGCCAAGACTATCAAAAATGACAACTCCTCCCGATTTGTGAGTCTCTTTTAGACACTTTGTGCTTCAGTGCAGCTTTATTCAGTGTACCGAACAACTTCATATATTATCATGTTTTGTTTTTGTTATGATCTCTCTTACAGGGTAAATTCATCCGCATCAACTTTGATGTGACCGGATACATTGTTGGAGCCAATATCGAGACTTGTATCCTGGCCATTTGTTTTGTGTTATTTTTGGTGGTCTAAGAGAAAAAAGGGCAAAAGGCAAATAAATCAGGGTCTGCTTTTAATCCACCATGGTTCACAGCAAAATCAGGAGTGTTAATTCAACTCCCACAGTGTTAATTTTAAAACTTTTTCTGAGTTTATCTAGTTCTCATGGATTTTGAGTAAAATTTCACCTTGTAAAGCGTTAATATTTGAACTCTTTAATAGTGTTACAATTTGACACCCTGAGTGTTTTTTATGGACACCACATAAATGCACTTTTAATTCAAAATTGTGTTATTTCCTTTCATTCTGAGTGTTCACCTTAACATACACAGTTATTCTATGACACCTTAAAGTGTGGTTTTAACACTAAAATTGTGTTATTTCCTTTCACTGTGGGTGTTAATTTTAACACTGTTTAAATGTGTTGAACAGCAACATTCGGTTCTTACCATGTTGGGTGGAAAAGGCACACGTCCAAACTGGTTGTTGTGATCAACTCTGTCAGGAGTGAATGTAACTCAGTCACAGATGTAAACATTTAACTCACTTAATTAACAACACTCACAGAGTTTTTATTTATCACTACAAGTGTTAAAAAAACACCAAAATCAACACCCACCAACTCAAAATTACTAACACTGAAAAAACAATGCTAAAAATGTTGCTGTGTACTTCTTATTTCTCCACCCTTGAGCAGTGTGCTCCAGTATTCATATGGTGAAGGAGAAAGGTTATTATACCAATGCTTTAGAGGACACACACAGTGTATACTGTACATGTATTCTTTGACTGCTGCGTCTCTCAGATCTGCTCGAGAAGTCTCGCTGTATCAGACAAGCAAAGACAGAAAGGGCTTTTCACATCTTCTACTACATGATTGCCGGTGCTAAAGACAAAATGCGCGGTGAGTGCATGCTGTCTTCACTTTGGTGTGTAAATATAGAAAAATCGTACATCCTGCTGCACAGCTGCTGCAGCTTAATGATTATATTTGACTGAGAATAAGGACAGAAAATTGTACCATCAGGCAATTTGTGGCGATTGAGCTGCAGAAATCATGAATGAGTTGATTGATCTTCTTAAAAAAATAATAAAAAATGACAGAATATTGAGAAGACTTATCAAGCTAAACTGTTTCATGTTTTTTCATTGTTTTTAGAGGAGCTGCTTTTGGAGCCCTTCAGTAACTACCGCTTCCTGAGTTCAGGCCATGTTCAGATCCCAGCCCAGCAAGATGACGAGATGTTCGAAGAGACCATGGAGGCCATGAATATCATGGGGCTCACAGAGGAGGAGAGAATCGGTATTTGGAGCTTAACTGTAGAAGAGATCTTTCCAGGTTAAATGAAATGTTGTTTCTCTGACGTATGTCTCCTTGTCTCATGGTAGATATTCTGAAGGTGTGCTCCACAGTCATGCAGCTGGGAAACATTAAGTTCAATAAGGAGAGGAACCAGGAGCAGGCCACCATGCCGGACAACACCGGTTAGAAAACTAAACGTCTCCTTATATACAGAATAAAAAACTTCTGCAGAATGAACCAGCGTATTTCTTTCTCTCCCTTCAGCTGCCCAGAAGGTGTGTCACCTGCAGGGAATCAATGTGACAGACTTCACCCGTGCGATCCTCACTCCTCGCATCAAAGTGGGCAGAGAGGTGGTGCAGAAGGCGCAGACCAAAGAGCAGGTACTGCAGGAAGTGTGAAAACACGGCGAGACTAGAAAAACAAATCGTGCGTGTGATGAAACACTTCCCAAAACAAACTTCATCACCCTGATCCCTCATCAGATATCTCCTTTGTGTTTGTTTGTATTCATTAGGCTGACTTCGCTATCGAAGCTTTGGCTAAGGCCGTGTTTGAGAGGCTGTTCCGCTGGATCCTGGCCCGAGTCAACAAGGCCCTGGATAAAACCAAACGGCAGGGAGCCTCCTTCCTGGGAATCCTTGACATTGCTGGCTTTGAGATTTTTGAGGTATGGGTTTCAGTCAAAAACGAAAACTAGGGGGACCATACTCTGAATCCCTGAAAAGAAGACATGACTACGCAAAAGCGGTGTCAAAGAGTCGCGCACAGTCAATTTTTAGAGTTTTTCGGGTTGGATCGAGTGTTTTTTTACACACTTCTAACTCAGTTAGTCCACACGACACAAACTTAAAACTTCCATGCAAAACCCCGGACACTTGAAGGATTTTATAAACTCCCCCGGACAAGGCTGGACAGCCCCCAAAAAGAGGACATGTCTGGGTAAAAGAGGACAAATGGTCACCCAAACTAAAACAGTACTGCCGACTGAGAGATCAATTAATTCCTTTGGTCCTGACAAGTGATTTACAATTTTATACCAAAGCAAACAACAATGTCTGTTCATGAAAGACTCACCAGATCATTTTTTATGTTTCAGGACAACTCCTTCGAGCAGCTGTGCATCAACTACACCAATGAGAAGCTGCAGCAGCTCTTCAACCACACCATGTTCATCCTGGAGCAGGAGGAGTACCAGAGGGAGGGCATCGAGTGGAACTTCATCGACTTTGGCCTGGACCTGCAGCCCTGCATCGAGCTCATCGAGAGACCTGTGAGTGACTTTGATGCAAAAGAAAAGATTATTATAGTTCTTCAGCCTGCTGTGGATATTTTCAGCTTTATTATTGTGTGAATGTCATTTTCAATCTTATCTTCATTGCATATTTTCTGCAGAACAACCCTCCGGGCATCTTGGCCCTGCTGGATGAAGAGTGCTGGTTCCCCAAAGCCACAGACATCTCTTTTGTGGAGAAACTTATGAACACACAAGGGAGTCATGTGAAGTTTGCCAAGCCAAAGCAGCTCAAAGACAAGACAGAGTTTTCCATCTTACATTACGCTGGAAAGGTGAGTATGAGAGTTTATCTAGGTGTGATAAAAGATTTGGGACAATAAGTGTCACGTGTGTTTAATTTTAGCTTGAGTAAAATCAGTTATGATGTGGTGATGCTGAGTGTCACGGAAGATCAGACATGAGTGATGTTACTGTGTTTATAGGTGGACTATAACGCCACCGCCTGGTTGACAAAGAACATGGACCCTCTGAATGACAACGTCACAGCACTGCTCAACAACTCCTCCAGCCAGTTTGTGCAAGACCTCTGGAAAGACTGTAAGACATGTGACTTGGATGGTTTAAACTAATAAATATCCCTGATATGGGTTTAGATTAATACTAGAAGATCTTTACTGTCAGAGGGAGGAAGAAAGCCTGAAAGATTTCATTTTTAAGAAAAGAAAAGAGAAGAAAGAGCTTTATTAATTCATAAAAAAATAAAACTGTGTAATATTCCGGCGTAAATCTAAGTTATGGTTAAATACACCATAACACCAAGTTAGACACCCCCTGAAGAGATGAATGTTGCCGACTGCTTGCTTCTCTAGTTATACAAACTTTAATAACCACCGCACGATAGCAATACACAGAAGTATACGTCTCCACGCGCAAACTTCAACCAAAGCGCCAGTCTTTAGCCACAAATAATGATTAAAACAGCACCTAACTTCATCAACAGTACATATAGGGTCCCAGCCATAGTACTAGCCATCAAACATCTTTTTAGCTTTGCCTTATTTCTTTAGCAAAGACAATAAACACAACTCACCCACTCTCCTCCAGCAGCCGCTTGTTTGTGGGGGAGCCCTGACGAGTTGATCACAGAGTGCAGCCGTGAAAATTTTGTAGCACAATAAAAACTTTGCAAACTACAGATAACTAATAAAATTTGGACATAATAAAAACGTAGATGAAAAATTGTACTAGCCTACCTGGTGTAAAACGGCTCGCAACTGTGAACCGCTTCCCGCCGTTCACTCAAAGGAGCTGTTCCAAAAACTGATTCGTTCGCAAACGTCACATCTTGAGTGCAGTTTTGAAGATGAAAATGATCACAGCACACTCAGAAAAGCAGACGAGAACTTTGTTTCTTTGGTGAATGCAATACACTTGTATAAAGAAGCAAGCCACAACCATCCCTCCAATGACAACAATCAAAGAGAGGCATTTTTATGGATGCTCATATTTCCCCGCCTGTAAAATGTGGTTTTAAAATCCTCTATTTTCATTTTTGTGTACGTATGAGCCTTTCAGCTACAACAGGAGAAGTTTTTGTTCCAGAAAACTTGATCGGTGTTGAGTTTATCGATCACTGTTTTCCGTGAGAAAAATATGTGTTGTATTTTTCAGCCGACAGAGTTGTTGGTCTTGACACAATCGCCAAGATGTCGGACAGCTCCATGCCAAGTGGCTCCAAGACCAAGAAGGGGATGTTCCGTACAGTGGGACAGCTCTACAAAGAGTCTCTGGCCAAACTCATGACCACACTGCACAACACCCAGCCCAACTTTGTCAGATGTATCATCCCCAACCATGAGAAGAGGGTAAACAAAAGCACAATGTCATCAACATAGAATATTTTGTGTGTTTGGCGTGCCTGTTAGGAAGATGCATCATTTCTGGTCCAAAATTCTGGTCCTCTTAGGCAGGGAAGTTGGATGCTCACCTGGTCCTGGAGCAGCTGAGATGTAACGGTGTGTTGGAGGGGATCAGAATCTGCAGACAAGGATTTCCCAACAGGATTGTCTTCCAGGAGTTTCGCCAGCGGTAAGTGGAAAAACTAGCTACCCCATTGTCGTATGTTTGAATGTTTCTGTCAACTTTATGCATCATTTAAGACTAAATATCTATCTTTCTCGTTCCTGTCTTGAAGTTATGAGATCCTGGCTGCTAATGCTATTCCCAAAGGCTTCATGGATGGCAAGCAGGCCTGTTGCCTCATGGTAAAAAACTTAAGCTGATAATTCTCCTCATTGACATTTTCACGTTGTCTGAAATTTAAATAGCATCAGTTGTCTTTCTGATCTGCTGCTTTTTTAGATCAAACATCTAGACTTGGACCCCAACCTGTACAGGATTGGACAGAGTAAGATCTTCTTCCGCACTGGAGTGTTGGCCCAGCTGGAGGAGGAGAGAGATCTGAAGATCACTGTGGTCATCATCGCTTTCCAGGCCCAGGCCAGAGGCTTCCTGGCCAGAAAGTACGAATACACAACCTTTTTTTATATCTCACAACTTTTGGTTGGTTAATCTTTAAGTGCTTTGTTGGTAGTTTGGAAGGTTTCTTGTTTTGATTTTGGGGTGGGCTTGCATAAAAAAAACTGATTATCAACCGCTGCACACGGGGGTTAACTCTACCTTGTAATTTCGCCAATTTAAGACATTTTAACCCAAACTCTACTGTCAGGATAAGTGAAAACTTTTCCTTTGCTGTCACAAATGATCAGTTGTTGAGGTCTGCAGGCATCAGAAAAAAGTGTACGTGGTCAACACGTACACTTCCTCAAAAAAACTAAACAAAACTATCCTTTTAAAAGTAAAGGGGGGGGGGGTCTTTAGTCTCTTGTGTATTTCTCACTTTGCTTTATTTAATATATTGTACACCGGTTGTGTTGTTGTTTAAAGGGCGTTCGCCAAGAGGCAACAGCAGCTTACAGCCATGAAAGTGATCCAGAGGAACTGTGCTGCCTACCTCAAACTCAGGAACTGGCAGTGGTGGAGGCTCTTCACAAAGGTCGGTAAAGTACTTAGTCGAATCATGAAATAAGATAAATTATAGAAAATGATATACTTTTGTACAGGAGAGGAATAGGGCCACTGGAGAAGAAGAAGAAAAAAAGGTCCAATGTATTTTTTTATTATTATTATTCTGAGATGAAAGTCAGAATTCTGAGTTTAATCTCAGATTTCTGACCTTTTTTTCTCAGAATAATAAAAAAATATCAGACCTTTTTTTTCTTTTTTTTCCAATGGCCCTAATCTTCTTCCGTACATTTGTTTTTTAACTATTAAAACTTTATTATATATATTATTATAAATTTATTATATATACATTTATTTGTTGAAATTTATTGAATTTCCCTTTGAGGATAAAATAAAGTTATTCTAATTCTTATTTTAAAACAGGTCAAGCCACTGCTGCAAGTGACCCGACAGGAGGAGGAGATGAGTCTGAAAGAAGAAGAACTTCAAAAAGCCAAAGAAGTTGCTACAAAGGTTGAATCTGAACTCAAGGAGATCTCCCTGAAACACACGCAGGTGAAGAACAAAACCGCAGCAAACCGTTTTCTATCACGTCCACAACTTTACAAGTGAAAGCGAACTACTTTCTTACCGTCTGTTTCCTTCAGGTTGTGGAGGAGAGGAACGCGCTGCAGGAGCAGCTTCAAGCAGAGACAGAGCTGTACGCTGAGGCTGAGGAGATGAGAGTTCGTCTAGGAGCTAAGAAGCAGGAGTTGGAGGAGATTCTCCACGAAATGGAGGCGAGGCTGGACGAGGAGGAAGAACGGGCTCAGACGCTTTTACTGGATAAGAAGAAAATGCAGCAGCAGATGCAGGTCTATACATGTGTTCACAGCTGATGTCTACACTCAGATATTAAAGTTCTAGTCATGTGAGAACTTAGCATCATAAAGTGAAGTTAGCGTTTTCTTCTGGCAGGAATTGGAGGAACATTTGGAGGAGGAGGAGGATGCTCGTCAAAAGCTACAGCTGGAGAAGGTCACGTGTGAGGGGAAGATTAAAAAGCTGGAGGATGACATCCTGGTGATGGAGGACCATAACAACAAGCTGCTCAAGGTAAAAACAGATGAACAGAACTTCACTTAAAGGTACAGTGTGGGGGGAACAAAAGTTTCTCATCTTTTTGGTGTATTTGTAGGAGAGGAAGCTGTTGGAGGAGAGGGTTGCAGACTTCAGTACAAACCTAGCAGAAGAAGAAGAAAAGTCAAAGAACCTCACCAAGCTGAAAAACAAACACGAGTCCATGATCTCTGAGTTAGAAGGTAATCTGTTCATCACAAGTACCAGAAATGGTGTCATATATTGAAATCATTTACACCGATTGACATTTTTGCTTTGTTTGCAGTCCGCTTGAAAAAGGAAGAAAAGGGTCGACAGGAGCTGGATAAGGCGAAGCGAAAGTTGGAAGCAGAGACGAATGACCTACAGGAGCAGATCGCCGACTTGCAGGCTCAGATCGCCGACCTCAAAGCCCAGCTGGCAAAGAAGGAGGAGGAGCTTCAGAATGCATTGGCCAGGTAACATGACGAAAATAGTGCCATGACACACCGGAACTCACCTGAATCCATGATACTTAAAGTATACAGAGTATTTCTTACGAATATTGTTCTGGTTTCCACTTACTTCCAGATTAGAAGACGAGACGGCTCAGAAGAACAACGCCCTGAAGAAGATCAGAGAGCTTGAAGGACACATCTCTGATCTGCAAGAGGACCTGGACTCTGAGCGCGCCGCTAGGAACAAGGCAGAGAAGATCAAACGAGACCTTGGAGAGGAGCTGGAGGCTCTCAAATCTGAGCTGGAGGACACTTTGGACACCACTGCCACTCAACAGGAACTTAGGTCAGTCAGACTCTGCCAGTAAACATGAATAGGAAAGAATAAGTTCAAATTCTTACAAGTTTTAATGAAATAATGTTGCAGATGGAGGTGATAAAACATCTTTATTTCTTAATTGTCCAGGGCCAAACGTGAGCAGGAGGTGACGCTGCTTAAGAGAGCCATGGATGACGAAAACCGGACCCATGAAGCTCAGATCCAGGAGATGAGACAGAAACACACCCAGGCTACTGAGGAGCTCACAGAGCAACTGGAGCAGGCCAAACGAGTAAACCAGCTTCAAAATACGGAGATGCCGTTTTGTTTTTGAAGTTCTGCTTTAGAAAAGTTGAGGTACTTATCCTGAGTTTTCTCTTTTCTGTTCAGGTCAAGTCAAACCTTGAAAAAGCTAAACAAGCTCTGGAGAAAGAGACATCAGAACTCACCATGGAGGTTCGCTCGCTCGTTCAGGCCAAACAAGACGGGGAGCACAAGAGGAAGAAGTTGGAGGGTCAGGTGGCGGATCTGCAGTCCCGCTTCACCGACAGTGAGAAACAGAAGGCGGAGCTGGGAGAACGCTGCTCTAAGATCACTGTAAATAAGAAATTCATCAATACTGATAATGCATAAATGTTAACAGACGACAACACTGATGTGCAGAGAATGACATTTCAAGCGGACTCACGTTTTCCTTCTTCAAGGTTGAACTGGAGAGTGTGACGAATCTTCTGAACGAAGCAGAAAGCAAGAACATCAAACTGAGCAAAGATGTGTCCAGCCTTACCTCCCAACTCCAAGACACTCAGGTACATTACGACGTCTGTATCTTAACCAACAAACGATCTGCCCGTAACCCTTTGATTTTGACCCAAACCTCACAATATTTGCTGAACACTTTCCAGGAACTGCTGGCTGAGGAGACGCGTCAAAAACTGCAGTTCTCCACAAAGCTACGGCAAGCCGAGGATGACAGAAGTAGCTTACAGGAGCAGCTCGAAGAGGAGATGGAGGCCAAAAGGAACGTGGAGAGACACGTGTCCACTCTCAACATTCAGGTCAGATTTGCTGAATTGTTGTGGTTCTTTTTTTGTTTTGTTTTCAAGAAGTATTTTACCCCCTCTGGGACTATTAAAGGAACATCTTATCTTACCTTATCTTATGAAAAGTCTTTTTTCTGCCAACAGTTGTCAGATTCAAAGAAGAAGCTCGAGGAAATGGCCGGAAATATCGAGCTCCTGGAAGAAGGCAAGAAACGTTTACAGAGAGATCTAGAGGCAGCGAATACACAGTTTGAGGAAAAAGCCTCTGCATTCGATAAGCTGGAGAAGACCAAAAACCGTCTACAGCAGGAGCTCGAGGACACATTGATGGACCTGGACAACCAGAGACAGATTGTGTCAAACCTGGAGAAGAAGCAGAAGAAGTTTGACCAGGTCAGTCCAAAATTTTCAAGCCAGCAAAAAAAATAACGCATAAGTATAATCTGCACTTTGCCCTGGGAGTACACCTGTCCTCTCTGATCTACAGATGCTGGCCGAGGAGAAGAGTATCTCCAGTAAATATGCAGATGAGAGAGACCGGGCTGAAGCCGAGGCTAGAGAGAAGGAGACCAAGGCTCTGTCTCTGGCACGAGCTCTGGAGGAGGCCCAGGACTCCAGAGAGGAGCTGGAGAGAGCCAACAAAGCCCTGAGGACTGAGATGGAGGATCTGATCAGCTCCAAGGATGATGTTGGAAAAAATGTGAGAAATCTTCCTGTGACACTTGGGCAAACGACTCCATGGTTTATTGGTGTTCTTTAATACTGTGGAGATGAAAATATGGTGTCATTTATTGGTGGCAGGTCCACGAGTTGGAGAAGTCCAAGCGAGGCCTGGAGGCTCAAGTGGAGGAGATGAAGACCCAACTGGAGGAGCTTGAGGACGAGCTGCAGGCAGCTGAGGACGCCAAGTTGCGTCTGGAGGTCAACATGCAAGCTCTGAAGGCCCAGTTTGAGAGGGACCTCCAGGGACGAGATGAGATGGGAGAGGAGAAGAAGAGACAGCTCGTCAAGCAGGTACGAAAATGATCAGATTCAGTCCTTCGATTAAAAACTGGAAATCTGCTCCAACATCAGAGAACGTCACATGAGCAACAATAACATTGACTGACTGCAGGTTCGAGAGCTGGAGACCGAGTTGGAGGATGAACGTAAGCAGAGGGCCCAAGCAGTAGCAGCTAAGAAGAAGTTGGAGACAGACATGAAAGACCTGGAGGGACAAATCGAGACGGCTAGTAAGGGACGAGATGAGGCCATCAAACAACTCCGCAAGCTTCAGGTAAGAGCGAAAGAGGAGTGGGTAAAATCATAGACTGAGGGGCTGCGGAGAGGGGGCCCCAGTGGAGTGAATGAAACAGTTGGTTTAAAGTATTTAATTAAAAAAAATAATAAGACAAAAAATCATTTAAAAAAAGCAGAGCTTGTGTAAAAATTATTGTGGAAATGAACTCATGCGTTAGCAAATAAATATGCTAATTGAAAGAGGCGGGATCAGCACCTTGGAGAGCTCCACAGCACCATGGTACGCACTTAAAATCACAGGTTAGGATTTTGTCTTTGAACAATATTTGGAATCACAAGGATGTATTTGTTTTGTGTTATTTCCACCTGTAGGCTGTCAGCAAACAGTTTCTATGCCCATGTGACAAAGCTCTCAGAACTTTAATTGGGGTGTACTTATTTTTGTATCTTGATTTTGAATTGAAAAAAATACTTTTTTGTATGCAACTTAAAAAATCTTGTTTGCAATCAATGGCCTACATTTAGGGAAGTATCTTGTTGTATACGGACATAGAAAATGTTGATTTTGAAAGGAAACTAAAGGTTTTCTAACAACTCTGAAAGGGTGTACTCATTTATGCTCAGCACTGAAGATGAACTGGAAACCCTCAAACATCATGTTTACATTGACATCCTGATAGTGGTCGTCTCTTTCCTGTCACTATCCTATTTCCTCTACCCACTCCTGATTTTTCTCATCCTCCCACCAGGGCCAGATGAAGGACTACCAGAGGGAGCTGGAAGATGCTCGTGCTGCCAGAGAAGAAGTGCTGGCTACTGCGAAGGAGAGTGAGAAGAAGGCCAAGAGTCTGGAGGCTGAGCTCATGCAGCTGCAGGAGGTAACATATTTAATCTCTAACTTGATTCACAGTGAAGATTTGGGATAACAAGATAATCCCTGATGTGTTTCCAGGATCTGGCTGCAGCTGAGAGAGCGCGTAAGCAGGCAGAGGCGGAGAGAGACGAGCTGTCTGATGAGCTGGCCAGCAACTCCTCTGGAAAGTAGGTGATGAGTCTACTCCTCTTTCACCTGTTTACAAAATGGAGGTTTCAGCTGTTTCCTCTTGCTTGTAGGTCAGCCTTATCGGAGGAGAAACGCCGTCTGGAAGCCAAGATTTCCCAGCTGGAGGAGGAGCTGGAGGAAGAGCAGAGTAACATGGAGATCCTCAATGACAGGCTGAGGAAGAGTTCACAGCAGGTGACCGAACCGTAACAATTCCTTTATTTACCGCCGAAACCAAAGATCACAGAGGTCTCACCCCTGCCTGCACATATGTTCCTCCCTCAGGTGGATCAGCTGAACAACGAGCTGCAGACAGAGCGCTCCACCTCCCAGAAGAACGAGAGCGCTCGGCAGCAGATGGAGCGCCAGAACAAGGAGCTGAAAGCCAAGCTCCACGAGATGGAGAACCAGGTGAAGTCCAAGTTCAAGTCCTCCATCTCTGCCTTGGAGGCGAAAGTGGCACAGCTGGAGGAGCAGCTGGAGCAGGAGAACAGGTCTGCATACACAGAAACACCCTCTGCTAAATAAGGTCGGGTGTATTTGTATGATCCCTGAACCCTCTGTTTTTTTCCTCCAGAGAGAAGCAGGCAGCTGCCAAGGGTATTCGCCAGAAGGACAAGAAGCTGAAGGACCTGATGATGCAGGTGGAGGACGAGAGAAAGCAGGCAGAGCAGTACAAAGACCAGGTGAATGATTATGTACTTTTTACAGTTACCATGGTGATTTCCCAGGTCAGAGGAGAGTCAGCTTTGTGATTTAACCAACCTGGATTACCTTTTGATAAGTTCATGGTTTTCCCGTCAGGCGGACAAATCGAACACCCGCATGAAGCAGCTCAAGAGGCAGCTGGAGGAGTCAGAGGAGGAGTCTCAGCGCGCCTCGGCCGCCCGCAGGAAGCTGCAGCGGGAGCTGGATGAAGCCACCGAGGCCAACGACGCCATGAGCCGAGAGGTCAACTCTCTGAAGAGCAAACTCAGGTGGGGAAAAGTGTCTTTTGTCTTAGTTTGTTTGTCTTACTCACCTTTTGCTGTGTGCTACAACTCGACACGAAGGCCCGATCCCAATCTGACCCCTACACACTTACTTGCCCTTCACGACCGAAGTTGAAATGGGATGATATGAACAAAACGAGTGGGTATGGGATGCCCTCCTTGCTCAACCAGAAAACGGAAAGATTAATCGCCATAGCAACATAAAGACACGTCCTTTGCATGGCAGCATTTCTTTTGAAAGTAAACAGGCATCATGTACAGTTCTGAGTTACAGTTCTTGCTCGACGGAGCAAATACGGAACACGCTCAATACAGATCCTGTATGTTTTTGGCTTCAGACTCACTATTTGAGGGCTGAACGGTCTGAGTGGGGAGGCGTAAACAGAGGGGGAGTGTGTAGGGGCCGGTTTGGGATTGGGCCAAAGACTGCTATATGAATGTTACCAGAAACGTCTGGGAGATTTCTGTGATGAGTAAAATAAACAAGAGGTTTACAGCTCTCTGAAGATGATTCATGTCACATTTTGGCTACTTTCCCGTTATTAAAACAGTCCTCTTTAAAGGATTGTAAGCCTCTTATCTTCAGCATTAAGTTGGCCTTACTGAGCACAAGCAAAACAATGGTGTCCATCTCTATTCCAGAGGCAATCCTGAACCCAAGGAGTAACACAGCAGGTACCTCTGCGCCTAAAAGTTACCCATCACCATTTCCTATTAACCTACCATGACTTTGCACTTCCTTGTGCACTCTCTTGCTGCTATAGTTTTTTCTTCAATGGCCTAACTGAGAGAAATACTGCTAATCAACGAAAAATTGAGAAACCACAAATATGTCAAGAGTCAAGTTTTCATGAATCCTGTTTAAACTGGTGGCTGTATTTTTCTCAGTGCTTGGTTTAACTGCAGTAAACCAAACTCATTCTCCTGAGCCAGGAGTCAGATGAGTTCAACGATAACCAGCGTGCTTTACCTGCAATCAAAGCACAACCAATTCTCTTTCATAAACACCTGAGTGGTTTTCAGAGAAATAAAACAAACTTAACCTTCTCAGAAACCGCTACAAAACCACTCCTCTCACTTTGTGAACTCTGTCTCCGTGTTTGTGTCTCCCCTGCGTCCGTCATTGTGGCATTTCAGGCGCGGGAATGAGCCCTCCTTCAGCAGCGCACCTCGCCGTATGGGCGGAGGCAGACGGGTGGTTGAGGATGCCTCGGAGGAGGAGGTGGACTCCCAGGGCGACTTCAACGGAACAAAGTCTGCTGAGTAGAGGATCTCACACAAACAAATATCAGATTAGCTTTTGAGTACAAGGACTCCCATTTCTAAAAAAAATAAATCACTCTGAGGCCTGTTTTACTATCTAGCCCTTCCATAATTCTCCAACATATAAAGTCCCTCATTTCCAATAGTATACTGATCTGTCTCTTTGACTTGGAGCACTTTTTCTCTGCACAAAAATAATCAGGACTATCAATCAGGAGTTGTTTGTTGGCTGTTTGTGTACGATTTGCTATTACACGTACATTTTCTACCACTTACACTGTTTTGTACTGCACTGAATGACTGATCCTGTCTTATGCAAGGTTTTGTACACAACTTAAGGCGCCTCTAATTACCATGCTACCTGCCAGCAAAAGCCTGATGTCTCTGAAGTCACATAAGAAGTTAAAGCAGAGCCGACATGTGGATCTGTAACTCGGTGACTGTTGTTCTGTTGCCTGTGACTGCTGTTAGTGTTTGGAGCGGCACTGAAGTTTCTCAACAGATTTTAAGTGTAGAAAGATAGTCAGTGCTGCCGTTTGTACCCCGTGCATCGAATATTTAGCTTTCAAACAATTTCTTGCCACCACTTTATGTTATTTGCACTTTTTTCATGCTCAGATGGTTTTTATAACTTTGAATCAAGCCAGTTAACCAAAAGATAACCCAGTGATAAATCCACAAGCCACTATAACTATAGAGCACTTAGCAGCATCCCCTCCCCACTTTGTCCAGATTAACTGTACATGTTGGAAAGTACCCCAAACACCCTAAGAAGCCAAAACATCCTTAATTGATCAAGTTATTAATGTAATCAGCTGATGTTTACATGACACAACTTCTATTATTTTTGAACCACCTGCACAACAAATAAAGATGTCAAAAATATGTATACATTCTCCTTTAATTGTTTGTCTTGGTCAGTAACTTTGAAGATCAAACTGGAATCATCAAAACACAACATTACCACCTATTAAAGGGATATTTCGGCGTAAATTTAAGTGATGGTCAAACATGCTGTAATACTGAGTTAGACACCCTCTTGAGAGATGAATGTTGCCGACTGCTTGCTTCTCTAGTTATACCAACTTAAGTAATGATTGCACTATAGCAATACACAGTCTGAGGAGCCATAAACAAACCTCAACCAAAACGCCACTCTATAGCCACAAATAATGATCAGAACAGCACCTAACTTCATCAACAGTACATATAGGGTCTTAGCCATAGTACTAGACATCAAACGTTTTTTTAACTTTGCCAGATTTCTTTAGCAGAGACTAAACGCAACTCACCCACTCTCCTCCAGCAGCCACTTGTTTGTGGGAAAGCCCTGAAAAGTCGATCACCAAGTGCAGTGGAGTTTCACAGCTCAAGGAAGAGCATTTAAGAGTGCAAGATTATTATTATGATGATAATTACTTCATGGAAATGATCCGCTGTACTCGGTGATTGACTCGTCAGGAAATGCAATCACAGTTCTTGTGCATCTCTTATGTGCACTGCAGGCACATTAGTTCTTCTGCCTTAGCGTCTCGGTCTGATTGCATTTCCATGAAGAAATAATCATAAATTTTCCGCTGCACTTTGTGATCGACTCATTCGGGCCCCCCCCCCCATAAGCAAGCCACTGCTGGAAGAGAGTGGGTGAGTTGTGTTTAGTCTCTGCTAAAGAAATCTGGCAAAGTTAAAAAGATGTTTGTTGGCTAGTACTATGGCTGGGACCCTATATGTACTGTTGATAAAGTTAGGTGCTGTTCTGAGCATTATTTGTGGCTATAGAGTGGCGTTTTGGTTGAGGTTTGCATGTGGAGACGTAGACTATTGTGTATTGCTATCGTGCGGTCGTTACTAAAGTTGGTATAACTGGAGAAGCAAGCGGTCGGCAACATTCATCTCTTGAGGGGTGTCTAACTCGGTGTATACGGCATGTTTGACCCAAACTTAAATTTTCACCGGAATATCCCTTTAAGTCAACAGAAAACTGCTTAACAACTTGAGAAGAGTTCAGTACCTCAGGCACATTCACTTTGAAGTCGATTCACAGAAGCAAAGGTGCTGCAGACTTTGACCCAGTGCACAGTGGTCATGGATTATATTTCAGCTCAATCTTGTTAAAAGGAGACGTCTCATTCTGATGCAAAAGTTAATTCCTACAGTTCAGTTTACAGTGACGCCAGCTGTTACAGTGTAGTCACATACGCTTAATTAACTGCCGGACTGCAGTAGCAACAACAGTGATAGAAGTGGATCAACCAGAAACATTTGAGGAGTCACTTTGATGGACTCTTTTCACCCATTCAAAAGTCTGTCACTAAAAGGCAGGACAGGGTATTCAATAAAGGCTCTAGTATATATACCTACACAAAGACTACATACTGTGCTCAGCTCTCATATAATTCATAAAATCTATTATTGCTTGGTCTCTCTCTGTTCCTCCATCACACCAACCTCCATGGCAGTCCTACATTTATATGGGAATTGTTACTATACATTCAGTAGTGAACAAGAAATAAACTAACATCTATAGTCAACTCAAACCTGTACAAAAGTTATTAGTAACACAAGGTTATGAAACTACAGGATAACACATTATTTCATCTCTGAGGCAGTACATTTATTCTATTCCTAGATTCAACATTTATAAGCCTTGCTGCTTATGTACCAACACAATGAAGTCTGTTAAAACAAGTGATTATGGCAGGACTGGGTCAAACTGAAAACTTCAGATCAAGAGAATGAAAGTCTGTACTCTTAGAAACTTCAATTTTATAACCTATCACAGCAAAGCAAGGCCTACAAACCGCGGTAAGAGGTAAAAACAATGACGAAGGAAGGCAGCAATGGCTATTCTCATATCGATTCATGGCATCATCTTATTTGCTTTCAACTTTTTAAAGAAGCTAAAAAAAAGAAAAATTGTTGAAACCGTCTTAACGGCCAATACCTAACACACTCCCAGTGTTGTTTTGTGCAGCATTATTCAAGTCCAGTTTGAAATAAAAAACAAAAATAAACCTGCTAATGATATTCATAACTTTCAAAAAGTTCAAAAGAGAGCAAAAACCAAACCCACTGCTTTCATAGTTGATAAGTTTTCATCTACCGAAGCTCAAGAATAATACATAACCTAAATCTCCAGGTTTTTGGTCCCTGTATCAGCGCCACATAAGGTGGCTGTTATTCAAAGAACTGGTTTCCTATTCGGTCCATGTTTCATGATCAGTGGATATTGCAGATACCAACTTAAATGTGTTTTGTGGGAAGAGCCGTGTTTATCCACCATCCACCACAACAAGCACACAGCGAGAAACAAAAGTTGGATAATACTTTCTGAGAAGTTACCCATCACAGTGTAACAGATACAGCAGAAGTCCATGTGTGCAGTAGGTCGTTCGTTTCTTGACTTTTACAGAGGCTGTGGCGGTGCGTGTTACCATAGATGCGGTTTAATATTAGCCCGAGGCAGTAGAAGTCCAAATGCTGATTATGTGGGGCGTGGAGCAAGCATTGTGGCTTTCTTGTTCAAATTCACTGGGACATGTGGTGACACAGGGAGAAAGCTCATGTTTGAAATCCTATTGCTGTAGTTTATTATGGAGGGAGAGGGGACAGAGAGTTGGAGTCACATCGGCTTTCTGCGTCCCCCCCTCATAGCAAAATTTTAACTCCTCCCTGAGGAGACTGGGCACCCTGAGAGACTCCTCTGGGAGGCGCTGGTCCAAACTCCAACCGCTTCACTAAACTGGGAGACAAGAGAGAGCAAATTTAATCATGAAGCACAAGATACAACATTCAAAATCCCCACTTTTTGATAGCCTTACTTTGCATTTTGAAATAAATATTTTTTTTATTTGTTAACTTGGTATTTTTCCTGCATTCATGTGGTTTCTGACATGTTGGCAAAACAGGTTTCACAGTTGGAAACCGCATGTGAACGCCCGCTCAAGTCGGAACAACAACTTGAAAACTGAGGAATGAACTTGGTGCCTGACTTGTTGACTTGACATCATATTCGAAGGAAACAATGTTTTGTTCATGTCAAGACACAGAAAGTTTTTGACAGAAAGAACATCAACAACCACAGACTCAGGTAGAAATCAGAAAAAAAAAAAGATTCCTTTACAGCTCTGCAAGTTTCCACACAGAGTGGAAAGAGTAAAGGAACCGCAGGTTGTGTGACTCACCTGTCATACTGAGGACTTGTGGCTTGGAGCTCAGAGCTTCCATCTAAACCAGACAGACTCCCTGGGGCGGCTGTGAGTGCAGGTCTGCTGACTGAAGTGTCGTACACAAAGTCTCTACAGGATGCCAGTTTTGACTCGAGATTCTAACAGGTAAAAAAAGAGTCAGGTCATATATAAGTGTCTGAATGTGTAGTAAGAATTGTGAACTGTAAAAGTAAAAGTTTCAACTCCCTTACTCCAACTTTCCTGAGCAGCTCCCCAACAATGTTCAGTGCAGATATTCTGGCAGATGTAGTGAGTGGAGTCCCAGTTAGTCCATCACCTAAAAGAATAAAATATCAGCAGTGAATCACTCAGTTTGCTGATACACAGGGCTACTTTCATTGTAGCAGAGGCTTTTCTATTTACCTCGTCTGATACTGGAAGCGGGAGGCGTGGCAAATGAGCTGATAGGTTTTGAAGGTGTTGCGGGAATGGATGGGTTGGCAGCTGAGGGGCACGGTAGGTCTGAGCGATCTGTGTCTTTGCCCAAGCTGCTGGAAGGTCGTCTCTCTTTCTGACGAACAGCCAGTTCCTGGCGAAGGTCTGACACATAAAAAAAGACAGAGGACGTACGACAGATGAGCTTTTCATAAATGACAGATTCAAGTGCCTCGTCTCCAAAGAACAAAGACATTTTTCTATATGGCATTACAGATACGGGATTGCGGGGATATGAAACAACTGTAAAAAGCACATTAGTGTTGTTTGTGAACACGCCAAGATGAACGCACTAATATTTTGGTGAATGGTAAGCTGAGTCGCTCATTTTTTAACTCGTGAATGAGAGCGTGAGCATAGTTCTCCCTGGAGTCAGTGAAAGACGACTAACATTCAGAGGTGTTGAGAGCTGCATGAAGTTACCATTATAGCAGCCACAGTATCTGGCGCTACTCCCTGCTATCAGCTACTTCAAACATTTTGAGTAGTTTTATGAACAAATCAGGACTGTTGACACTGAACGAGAGTGTTTGGTTCAAAAGTTGAAACCTTTAGTTACATTTTCTTCCACCAAATATTAGTTTTTTCTAAGTTGACAAAACTGCAGATGTTTCCCATGTTCACTTAGCAAATCAAACTAAAATGCAATTTTCTTGTTTTGTTTTTTTTTTTAACCCCAGAGTTCATCTATTAAAATGTGCAGTTGAGTTTGACAAAACTTTGTCAGTGGTTCACTTTTAGTGTGAACATGCACAACACTGAAGCTCAGAATGTAAGCACTGTGTTGGTTGGGTTCATAAGTTAAACTGAGATGTAGCCAGAACTGAAAGCTTTAATTACAAACAACACAAAAGATCACCACCACCACCCAAAAAAAGGATGATGACAAACATTAAGCAGATTTATGTCGTTGCACTTGTATGAATCTGTTCTACCTTAAAGAGCCACTTATAACAGAAATCCACAATCATTGCAAACTTGACAAGCTATGATCAGAAGTTGTTTACCTCTAGCTTCATCCTTGAGCCTCTGTACAGACTCCAGCAGGTTCTCCTTCTCATCCAACTCGCTCTCCAGAAAGGCATTCCTCTCAATGACATGATTCATTCGCTGCTCAAAGTCCTCAAGTGACATGATGGTAGCCCTGGGATAAGAGGAGCATTGGTTGGTCCAAGTTTTTACTCTGAATATCACCTCTCTTTTTTATAGTAAACCTATGTGTGTACACGCACTTACGTCTGAGAAAATTAGTTACCTCGTCATTGGATGTCAATGAGATAATTACATAAGACCTCTTAGACACTGACCTCTTGGTCCTCTCCAGGTCATCATTGGATTGCTCGAGCTCCCTGATGTATTTCTGCAGGTGATCTCTCACTGCTTTGGTTTGTGCCAGATCTTCCTCCAGGGTTGATATGTGTCTAAAAGCATCAGTATGCTGAGCCTCAAATTTCTCCTAAAAAGGCACACAGACATGGATGTAATGACACTGCAGAGATGAATTTTCATGACCCAAAAAGCCCCCTTAAGTTATTTTTCATTCCTCAAGCAACCAGAGGGTTAATAGCACAATCATGCATTCACTACTTCTATTGCTGTTCCTTTCTCCATGGACTGTTGGACAAAAATAGCAGTCAGCTGCCTTATAGCTGGGCGGCAGTTTTCCTTGTGGCTGTAATGATTCGGGGGGGTTGATAAAAGGTGGTTTGTTTGAGCCTGCATGTCTCTATTTCTACTCCCATCAGAAGGAATAGTAACATTTTCCAAATTTAACTGGGTCAAAAGAGCTCGTCATGCCCTGTAGGGACAGGGGGCCTATTTATATTCAAGGTGCTCTCTACCTTGATGTTCTCCAGCTCCACGCGGAGTCTGTTGTTGTCCAGAACCAGCTCCTTGTTTCGACTATCACACTGCTTTAACTCGATCTCCAGCTCTGCTTCATAGTCTCGACTCATCTGCTGGAACTCCTGCAGCTCCTCCTGAGCCTCCTCGGCTCTGATGAAAAAGAGGTTATCATACTGATGACAGGAATCTCTTAGGTTGTGTCAAACCCCTGTTGTTGTTGTTGTTATGAAGCTGAATGTGAGTGTGGTGGTGTTACCTCTGATGATGGCGCTGTGCCTGGTCCTTCCAGAAGCCCAGCTCCTCCTCTAACGATGCAAACTTGTGTGTTGGCTCTACCATATTTGCTTGTTATGATATAGTAGGGTTCACCTGTTAAATCCACACAGTACACCTATTAAACCCGTCTTTAAGTGAAGCCAAAATCACCATTCAAAACACCCAAACTACCACTGTCTCTAAACACTAGCTAGGTCAGTTAGCTCCAGTCTACAGCCTATTTCTCAAAACTGAGATAGGTCAGAACTACATAAAACAGGTCGTTTGACTTATTTAATCAAACACGAGAAGATACGAATGATATTTCAGCGCATTCGCTACTTTTTAAGCGGTCTGTTTCCAAACACTAAGCTTTTTAGCTAGGCTAACACAGCTAGCTCGATGAAGGATTTGGTCCGAATTTATAAAACCGTTCCGAAGAAAGAAGCTAAACAGACTCACCTGCACAGAAATAAGAGGTTAAAACATTCTACTGCTGGGTGGTTGTGTTCAAAGTAAGAAAGACAAAATAGCACGGCTTTGTACAACAACAGACGTCTTGAAACTGTACAAACTAATCTCTCATTACGTTAGTGAAAGAAGACGGGGGTCGACCCACCAATCAAATCCAAACGAACACTCGTTTCTCGTTCACCATTGGCCAAAGGTGGTGACGTAGAGAAAATGTCATCCAATCACATTACTCAATCACATTAGACCTACCGAAAGGGGGCATTGACGCTGCACTCAAATCAACCAATGAACTGAGGCGACTGTGTCCCCCATGTATTCAGGACCACCTGCTGGAGAAGAAAAAAAACTGCTTATCTTACTTTTACTCTTTTAATGAGATGTTCTCTTGTTTTTTTTTTAACCAATAAACTGTTTTTATATTCCTTTACTGTGAAATTTCTTTAGCCCTTTGAGGTCGCTTAATGTAAAGGGCACTACAAATAAAATGTATTTTATTATTTTATTATTATTATTACCACCACTCAAAATTCTGGGTCCTGTCTATAGACTGTATATAAAAACATAGTAAAATATATACATATTATATACAGTCTATGGTCTACAGTCACCTCAGCAAGTTTGTTATCAACAAATTAAAGTAGACTATTGTGTTTCTAAACACATCTAAAGACCTACCTTTTTGGTCTGGCAGTCTTTTAAACTGCATTATGTGATTTGAAGCTATTTTAGTCCTAGAGTAATTATTTTGTGTTTTATTACCTTTTTTTAAATTTACTTTCTTTTATTTTTTGATTGTAAGACTTTTATTTAATAAAATTTTTATCACCTTTATTATACTTTATCGTGGTTTTAATGTTTTAGTCCGAGATCCAGTGTTTCCTCATCTTTCTAAACTCACGATAGCGTTTCCTCAGTCATCTGTGGCTAGTTGAAGTGTCCTGGTCTTTTGTGTGTGCATCTGTGTGTGTGAGCATGTGAGTGCTGTATGTGTTGAATGGGGGTTGGAAGGGTGGGTGGGGTTCGGTATTTGTATGTTTATTTATTTTATTCCATTGTTTTTTAATATCCTGTGTGAATGAACAGCACTTTGTGTTACATTCCATGTATAAAAGTGCTTTAAAAATAAAGTTTGATTGATTGATTGATTAATCCACACTTCTGTTAACTTACTTTCAAACCTGAGATTTATGGCCGGTCATCCAATCTGACATTAAACTGTACTGTCTGCCACAAGCAAAAAATAGAACACTATAATTCATTACTTTGATAGTTAAATATTGATTGTCAAATAAGAACACTTATCACAGAGAAATTGCTTGTTAGAACTTTCTTTAATTATCAGTCGAGGAAAAAATGGCAGTTAGTATTGTTCCCATAATATTTGGTCATCTGTTACAGAACATGCATACGTCATAAATCCATCAGTTCAAACTTACGTTCACTAACACAAGTACTAAACCATTGTCTCATGTACCATTTACCCTCAAACAATCCCATCATTCCATAGAGACCGATCTGTTCCAGGAGTTCAAACTCTGCCCCACAATCCCTGCCTGCCTCATCCTCACTTTAGGACACCCTTGATCAATCACAACGGCTCTATTAGTCAAACTCAACTTTGAAGACATCTCACCTTTATCTTCAGAGAGTTCTCTCATCATTATAAAGGGTGGAAAATAAACTCTAACTCACAAGTTAGACTGGCTTATACATTAATTTATGATTTCATGGCTATTTAGCATCCTGATTTGAGTATATTCCAAAGGAGAAATAGCAACAAGTTTTTGTCAGACAACAAAAACCAAATCGGCAGTCAGTAACTTCAGACGGGATATCCTTGTCCTGTCTGATGGTCAAAGTGTCTTGTCAAGCTACATAGCTGCAAAACGAACTACCTCAGTTTTGACCTCTGGGGCCCAAATTAAAAGTCAGGCAAATGTAAGTGCACTATTATCTGATTTCCAAAGCCCATCACAGTAGTGCTTATTTCTACCAGGTCGATTATTTGGTAACAAGGTAGAAATATCTGAAAATGAAACACAGTAAGTCTCCTGCATCACATAAAGACTTCAGCGCACTTAGCAAAGCGAGTCCTTGTCTTAGCAGAATTATGCCTCACATGTAGAATTTTCTTTGTTGTTCCTGAGCAGGCATATCTTCTTACTGTCTAACACATCGGTCTTCACCTGACCCAGAGTTCTCAGAAGGCACATGGTGTCGAACCCTTCCCCACCAGCCTCTTGCAACAACTCAAGCACCTGTAAAAAAAAAAAGACATAACACCACAGTCAACTAAGTGACACTTCTGAAATAACATACTGGACACATGATCTGTGCTGTGACTTACCTGAAGACACTTGTATGACTTGAGTTCACTGAGATTCTCCCGCAGGAACAGCAGATAGATGCTGAGGTCGTTGTAGACGGGTGTAACAACACCTAAAGTGCCAAAGCCTGGCAGTAAATCATAAGGCCGGAGAAAAACAGAGCTCTGGTGAGCTGGTCCGAGAGCAGCGTACACCACCACTGGAACAAGAAGCACATACACCCCCAGGTTGATGTAGCTGAGCAGCCTGAAGACACCCACTGCCACAAGCTTGCACTGCACAGCAGGCGGCACCACGCTGTCGTTCTTCAGCATCCCCGTACGCAGGTCACATGCAAACTCATCGGTGAAAGAAGCCAGGCGGATGTAGTAGCCAAGGTAAACGCAGGCCAACAGGAGAATCAGTAATGTCAAACCCCGACATAAAAGATACTTGACCACAAGGCAGTGAGAGAAACGTTTGGTCTTGAGATACTGCTCCACCAAAGGGTATTTGAAACACGCCTCTGTAAGGTCCAAAGCACTGCAAAACAAGGACACACATGACTGAATCAAATAATGACAAACAATCTAAGATATACTATTTAACTTAAGAATTCAGCAAGAAGTACAGTTCCACGCAATAACAGGAAAATCTGATGGAAATATGACATGACACTTTTTTTTTCTTAAAAGTTTAAAATATTTTTGTTTGTGTTGTTTTCAGTCCAATCTATCAAATCTGTCTATGTTAAGTTTTCTTAACAAATACCTTTATATGATAAATGGGTCAATTGGTAAGTCATGTAGATGGTCAGTGATAGATAGGGTTCTAGTTAAAATTAATATCAGCATCATTTTGTGTTTTATATTCCTGCATTTGTGCAAAAACAAGGTTAAATGAGCATTGTCTTTTCCATGCATGTTAACCACACACTAAACTTTAAGATTCATTCAACTTCGAATATGTGACAGAATATTTAAACTATAGAAATGTATATAACTAAAGTACTAATTCTAGTTATTATAGCAAACACTATAAAATATGTGATTCCTTACAACACCTGTAAACCAACATTTTTAACATAGCAATGAAACATTTCTTTAAAACAAATATCATATCTTTTAACAAGTGCTTGTGACACAGCAGATATGGACTCTTGTACGAAAAGAATATTTACCTCTTGGTGTCCTCGGGTGTATCTCTGCCATCTATGGATACGAGATTCTTAGCCAGCTTGATAGCACGATTGTAAAAGCGGTCCAGCTCCTCCATAATGAAGTTGAGGTCAGAAGAAAGGTGTGGAGCTGCAGTGAAACGCCAGAACAAGGCCGGGATATACAAGAGGATGGCCAGTAAGAGCAGAATGTATGGGAAGAACTGAGGGAATAACAGAGAGTGAGAAAACAGAGAAGAAGAAGTTGTGTGAGTAAATGTGAGGATGCCTAGCCCATGTTCACACTTTAAAGAATGGAGGGTCCACACAAATGATCATTTTGACAAGCTTTACTGGTTGCAGATCTGGGTTAAAGCTTCATTATGCCACAAGTGTAACGAAGATTGGTCTGAGACTGTTCAGGTATATATAGTCATCCACGTTTCCACACATTCTGCTTGCATCTTGTTGCACAACATATTTTGGGAGCCTGAGTGATGTTAAACATGGGTACAAGGTCCTTGTTGAGGATAGTCGTCAGAGGCCCAGGGCTCCAGAAATCTAGCACCAAAGTATCCACGGTATTTGAGTGACACAGCTCCACCACTCTAAAGGCTGACATGACTGGCTAAAGAAAATCACCCTAACAGTAAAGGAGGACTTGATTTTGAACAGTGACATGGAATTCATTGTCTCTAAATAAAAAAGAAATATGAAATATCAGAATTGTCACTGATAGTCATTTATTGATTAAAGCAAATTGATTCAGTCGTATAAAACCTGATAAAGGCATCCTAAAACACTGTCAGCAGTACTACTCAGAAGTAGATGTGGTGAGGGGTGCCCTTACTTTGTGCAGCCATAGTGGCGAGCTGTCCGTCTGTTGCTGTACTGCTGCCCAGCAGAATGAGTCCATGTATGAAGCCTGTCTCAACGAGAATGTAGGGGGAGCAAAGCAGCTGATCTGAGTACCTGAATGAAATCAAAGAATTCGTCAAAGAGGACAGGCGATATGATGAATTCACGAAAAAGAAACATGCACTTCAAAAGCTGTCACCCCTTCTTTTCTGCAGCTATGTCCTAATTATGTGTTACAAACCCTCCTGCTCATCTACTTTGTGTACTAATGATGCCTTCCCCTATATGGTGGGTGTACAATGGAAAGTTCAATTAGGCATGGACAACTCAGAAGTGACCTAAATAGGCAGAAGGCTGCACAGACGCTGCCATACTTCAGAATTGTGAGCACTGTATCGAAGCATTGTAATCCTCGATGGTGAACAGTTTGCCCTGTTTCTCTTAAATCAAAAGTATAATTAGATTGTAAAATAAACTTACACAGAGTAAGTACATCATGAAGCAACAGCCTTGTGAATGTTGATAAGAATTGAGCTTCTTGTACATCCCTGCTTCTACATCTCCTGCTCTGACTGACTGATTGTTGTGTTATGACCATATGATCGTTACCCACAAAATATACTGGATTAGCATTACAATTAAAATTCTCTCCAGGTTTGCAGTCAAGGAACTGTCTGGGGTCTCTCAGTGCAGATAATGCTGACAACAACAACAACAGACTGTTGGTGTTATATCCTAAGAAGATTATGCTGCTGCAGATACAGTATCTTGTTTAACACTACAGATAAACCACATGTCTTCTCTGCTTATCTGTCCATTCCTTGTTACTCCACAGTAACTTGATTTCAGATGTGTGGGCAACTTAAGTGATATTTGACAGCAGCTCGGGAGGCAGCAGGAGGAGAGTGTATGCAGCCTATATGAGGCTTTTATGCTCTTAGAGTCAGACCATAATATCCACAACCATCCCAGTCATCAGTTTAAGTGCATCATTGCAGAGCATTAGTAAACCAGCAGGGTGGAGACTTAAACCACACCTTCTTCGACATTCACACGCTTCTTCAGAGCATCCATCAAAAAGGATATCTCCACCCATATTTTTAATATTTTCACATTGCTTTCACAATTTGAACCAAGTGTTCAGCAGAAGTAAATACACAAACACACTATATGAAAACATTTCCCTGACTACAAATGTTAAATCGGATGATCAAGTCGCATATCATTAACTCACCAACAGACACCTCTTGAGCGAAAGCGAGTGAGATGAGAAACAAAGGCAACCCCACCGCTACAAACGTGACTATTTTGTCCACCGCCAGCTCCAGACGCACCCCTTTGTACTTCGTCTCCGTGGGGTCCTTCAACAAAAAGTCCGAGAAAACGTACTCGGTGGCGACGTGGGCAATCGCCATGGCTGATGGAAACAAAAAGCCGGTGTTGACTAAATGATTTTATTATTTAAAAAGAGTCTTCTTCCGAGATGCTGAATCAAACTGCGTTTCATGAGTATAAAACGAGGCGTCCGCCCAAATGGACTTCTGCAGTAAGAATAACATGAGAAACACAGAACTGTTATCTACAATCCATCACCAGTCAAGAGCCTTGGACTAATGGATGAACCTGCTGTCCCGCTTCCCAGCATCATACAAGGTAAAGGGGGGCATGGTACAGCACCAGCCGCTAGAGGGCACTCCTGCGCCAAGAACTACAGTAAACAACTAGAAATAGCTTGTATGCATTAAATACACAAATTCTTAAGTAAATAGGCTACATGTCTTATGAGTAAAATGTCAAACTACCAAACAGAGCAGGTAATAGTGTAGAACTCTTTAAAATAATTACAATCACTACTACTACTACGACTACTGCTACCAATATTACTACAACTACCACAACTAGCACTGCTACCACACACAACAACAACAACAAAAAAAATAAAAAAAAAATAAATAAATAAAAATAATTATAATAATAATAATAATTGAAAAAGTAATAAAAATAATTAAAAATGATAACAAGAACAACAACAATAACAACAACAATAATAGTAATGACAATAATAAAAATAACAACTAAAATATTAATATTATTAATAATTATTATTATAATGATCATTACTATTATTATTATTATTATTATTATTGTTGTTGTTGTTGTTGTTGTTGTTGTAATTATTATTATTTATTATTATTATTGCCCTCCTTCAAATCCCTTTTGGAAACCCACCTTTTTTAAATTGCTTTTAACATGTGTCTATTTTACTTATTTATATTTACTTGTACAGCCAGACTCAACAATAAAATCCTCGCAAACAATCGGTTAAATGCACACATAACCGTCAAAATACCACAGTCACAATCAACGTTATGTATTTCGACAATAACATCTCGCGACAATTTTGCACACTTTCTGTTAAATTGACGTTTGATTGAAAGGAAATCGCCTAAGGGAAACAGACATAGGAGACGGTCTTTTGGAACCGTCTAATTAATAAGATTTTGAATTATCTGATAGTCTTGAGATGTTATTCTGTATACAGTACAGTCGTGTGATCACATTTACGGGTACCAGACATAACAAAAACATTTGCGACAGCTGCGCCTGCTTTCCGGCAAAGTAGGTTACAAAAAGGTGCGGGTATCTAGGGAGACAGTCAGAGAGGGGGAACAGTGGTGCTCGGAGGAAGATGTGACAAAGGAGACCTTCTCAGGTAGCAAAACATTTCAATGTTTTGGGGAATTTATCGCCAACAGCCATTAAAAAATTGATGATTTTACCGGGTAGATATTTGTAACATTAACAAATACGAACAAATGATTCACCTGGTAAGACTGAAGTCACAGCTAGCACATGCTAACATTCAACTAGCATACAGGTGACTGGCAACCTGACTGGTTATCTGTCCATTGATTATCGGTGTGTGACTGACCCCGAAGACACGGCAGAGACGTGAGCTAGCTTCATGCTAAAGCTACTCTGTTCGTCATGACCCACTCTTTGTTTGTTTTGGCTGTAGGTCGTTTCAGTTCTCGCTGAGTGTTTGTCTCCAGGTTCAACATTCCCGCCTGTGTTGGTTAAAACAGCCTGAGTGAATCGTTATTAAGTCAAATTCACCAGCACGACCAGACCCGTGAAGACCTGAGTTAGGTATTAGGGGAGAGTGGGGTCAGTTGAGCCAAAGGGTAAGTTGAGCCACCCCCTGTTGCTTGGAAATGGTAAAAGAAATTGATCATGTGACCAAATATTTAGGAGATGGGCATCAATTCATGGAGTCAGTGAAGGTTAGAAGCACATGAGTGAAGGAGTTAGACATTTTTTTACAAAAAGAAAACATTTTTCACTCTTGAAAATGAATTTAGTCTGTCATAAGTTTGATTAGAATTGTGTTTATATTGTCATCTTGAAATATATGCAGATTCAAAAGTTAGAGACAATACTATGATCGACTTGATGTAGTGATCCGAAATATGAAAAATGGCTCATCTTACCCCTCTCTCCTCCCCAATGGGGATTCATACACACCCGGTCTGGTCACTAAGGGGTGATGTAATAAACAGAAATCAACTTATGTAAGCCCATTGACTTTCATTTTCTCTCAGTTTGGAAAGCATGAGAGAGAGGAGAGAAGAAAGTGTGGAAGAAGACCTCTCTGGGATGTATGATGGAAGGACTGGGAAAGGAGAGATCCATATGCAACTCCCGACCCCTCCCATGGCCCAATCACCCCAAAACAGAGCCCCCAACCCTGCTGTGGAAACTGAAGGACTGCTTCTCCACTGATGAGACAAACTCCCTTTGCCACACAGATAAAGAAGTAGGTATTAATCTGTGTACACACTGTCTAGAGTCTGGAGATTATTGTAGTAATGACTGCAATTCACAAGAATGCATTGAAAAGAAGAAAACTCTGAGATTTAGTAACGTTTAAACCCTGAAACAGTCTGCGGAAAATTTAGCCTCATCTTTAAAAATCTGTTTGTTTTGTGTTTTAGAACAACTACATGGACAACAGAAAGGCGGTTTTGGAATTGAAAGATGTCCCTCCTCCTCCGCAGCATACTTCCTCTTCCCAATCATCCCAGCCCTTTTCACTTGCCCCTCTTCCTTTGCCTCCTCCCTGCTTGCATACCCCTCAGATTACACAAGATCCCTTGCAACAACTGCCACTGCAGCAGCAGCAACAAGAGGGGGCTAGCCCCAAAGTAAGCACTCAAGTATTTTCTCACTGTGACTATTGCAGCACAGACGGTTATGAGTTATTAGGTGGTGTAGGTGTTGTTGGTAGCAGTAGTGGCACTGCTGGTGTTGTCTCTTTCTACATGGACCAAGGCTCTCTAGGATTGCCCATGAGCAGCAGCAGCAGCAGTATTAGCAGGTCTGGCCTTTGCTCTGTAACTTCATCCGCTCATCAGTACAAACATCACCTGAGCTGTGAAGGTGAAGTTCTAGATCCTTTGCCAGATCTTCGTCGCAAACCTCAGCTGCTCTCCTCCGTTGCTACCTCTCAGCCTATTTCATCACACCCTTACCTGTACTGCTGCTCAGGGCCTCTCCGCACCAACCCACCTGTATCTCTTTCATGTAGCCAACCCAGCCTGTTGCCTTCCTCTGCACCCCTTGGTTCCTCTCTGCCTTGTGTTTCCTCTTTATCTGCTCCAATGCATGGTTCTTGCCTGGCCTCCTCTGGGTACTACACCTGTGGTGTAGACTGTTGCCCATCAGCCAGAAGATCCCAGAGAAGCACACTCTGTGATCGCCCAACAACCACCACTATTACCACTACAGCCACCTCAGCACACTTCTGTTCTAATCCTGTTCACCTAAACGTAGAACGCACGGTTTGTGTGAAGGGGGCGCACTTCTGCCAGGAGTGTCTGTTAAAGGTTGGTAGAGCTTTTCTCTAGTGTTTGTATGCCATGAAGGTCACTGTAGGACACTTAATCCTATCGACATGAACCAACCAAGTAAACTGTCATGGCTTTGTGTGTGTGTTTATGTGAAAAAAAACACTGTTAATTATATAGTTTTGCTTTCAATGCTGATGTCAACAATTTGTTTTTATCCTTAGCCTATAAATGATCTGGCAGTGACGGAGTCTGACAAGGTGTGGCACAATGTTGCTGTTCCTCAGACTGCTCCTATCCCCATCCCTATTTGTAATGGTTGTGGCACCTCATCAGATGGCATGATACTCATGCCATCAACCAGCCTTGGCAAGACTGGACAAAAGTACGGTAAGTGGACTTCACAAAACAGTTTGAAGACCTGCATATATGCTCTTATCTTTAATGCGATGTGCTGTGAATAAACAAAGAAAACCAAAACGCGTCACTGAACACTGAAATAAGATGCTTGCATAGAACGGTTATTGATTCTTAAACTTATTTTCTAAAAGGTTCTCCAGAGAGTTGTGGTACTGAAAATATCCCACCGGTGGGTGTCTTCTGGGACATCGAAAACTGCAGTGTGCCCAGTGGACGCTCTGCGGGAGCCGTGGTTGAGCGCATCCGCAGCCGTTTCTTTCAGGGACACCGTGAGGCGGAGTTCATTTGCGTCTGTGATATCAGCAAGGAGAGTAAAGCTGTCATTCAAGAGCTCAACAACTGCCAGGTACAAAAAATACAAAGTATGACTAACACCCTGAATAAAAAGTTATAAAACTGAGCTCCTGTTTGATTATACTAGGCAGAATTAGTCCTATTTAACTTAATCAAACAGTTATACAGTTGGAGTTAATTCACCAGGTGTGACTTTTGTAACATGAAGACATTCTCATACTTTCCATGATATACAGCGCTCAGGATAAATGAGTACATCCCTTCAGAGTTGTAGGAAACCTTCAGTTTTCTCTCAAAATCAACATTTTCTATGTCAGAGTATACTACGAAATACTCCTCCAAATGTAGGCTACTGATTGCAAACAAGATTTTTGAAGTTGCAAACAAAAAAGTACATTTTTCTATTTAAAGTAAGTAATATGTTTTAGTAATATGTTTGAAATGACACGAACATGTCCAGTAATGTATCCTTATCCTCGTTCATCAGGTTACCGTTGCACATATCAATGCCACAGCCAAAAACGCCGCTGACGACAAGCTTCGCCAGAGTCTGCGGCGCTTCGCTGAGACTCACACTGCACCCGCAACAGTCGTACTCGTGTCCTGTGAGTTCAGCTCAAACTGATTCTCACCAAATAAAGTCTCGGAGCCTTGGGTGGTTCTTGTGAAACCAAGTGTATTTTTTTTCTTCCCTTTTTTAGCGGATGTGAACTTTGCCAGTGAGCTGAGTGACTTGCGTCATCGCCATGGTTTCCAGGTTATCCTGGTCCATGGCAACCACACATCTTCAGCCCTGCTGCAGCACGCCCACTGCCATGTGGCATTTCAGGAGATCACAGCTGACCTGCCACCACGTATGATTGTCAAAGAACAGGTAGGCCTCATAAATGCTGAGATTGAACCCGACTTTTTCATTTCTTTGTTTTCTACTTTTTGTTTTATATATATGGTAAGTAGACAGATTGACAGAGGAGTTTTATTTTGGTATAAATGTGCCCAGAGAGGAAGAAATCAAGGCAGTGTGGATGTGATATTGATCATGAATAGTTGTCCTGATTCTTACCACTCAGTCTAAACCGTTCTCCAAACTCTTGACTATCTGAAACTGCTGCTATCATTTTTTATAAGTGTAATTTTTACAAACCAGACAGGCACACTGTCTCTTCCTCCCCTCCCTTAGCCCAGTTACAACCTCCTCTATGTGCACAACCTCCCTGTCAACTGTGACAAGAGCCTGCGGAACGCTGTGAAGCTCAGGCTCCGTCGCCTGTCTGACAACTGTGGTGGAAAGGTGCTGGGCATGTCCCAGGGCACAGCAGTCCTCCGTTTCGGCAGCCCCGAGGCAGCTGCACGTGCTCGCAAGCGAATGGAAAATGAGGATGTGTTTGGCCGCAGAATCAGCCTCTCCTTCTCCCCTCGGCCTAGAGATGAAGGAAGTCCTGAGCCTGTGCTCCAGTCCAGGACCCATCTCTTGCCCCAGCCCCAGGCTCTTCCCCACTCCTATCAGAACCAGGACTCAGTGTTTGCCCCTACCCCGCCCATATCCTCCTTCTCTTTTCTGCCTCTGGAGAAACCAAGGTCACCCAGGAGACCAAGGCGAGCAACCCGCCCCTTCAACACTTCAGGCCCAGTGCCTGAACGGCCCTACAGCCCCAGGAGAGGGTGCAGTGGGCCCCCCGGTGGTGCTTCAGCCAGGCCCCTTCAGGTCAGCAGACTCTGTCAGTGCCTGCTTCCCCGTTGCCCTGTGTTTTTGTTTGGGCTGCTTTTTCAATCACTGTAGCTTCTCTCCCCTTGACCATTAGCTGCTGCTGCTTCGACTAACAGCCTGTAGCTGTCCGCTACGCTTCATTTGTCTGCCTGTGCTAGCATGTAGCATGTTTTAGTTGTGGTTAGTGCTTCATGTCTTCACTGCATGTCCATAAATCTCTCTCGATATCCATGCATGCATTAATGTTTTGTCTGTTTCTCAAGTTTATCAGTGCTGATGAACTGCTGCTGTTTTTACCCCCAAAGTCTCCTCCATCCCTCCTCTCTATTCTGTACCTGATTTTGGCCCTTGCAGTTTTCCATTCTCATTAAAACTTGCTCTGGTGGCTGGAATGCTAGGTTTGTCTTTTTATCATTGTTTTCTAACGATGTACACACTCCTAAACTGATATTGTTCCTTGCTACTGAAATTTACTTAGTGTTATGAAAGAATTAAAGAGTGGGCCAGATCTCACAAGATGGGACCCAGTCTTGTCCTATCTGTGCATTTGGATCATGGTCTAGACCGGCTCTTTATGTTAAGTGTCTCAGGACAACATTTGTTATGATTTGGCGCCATTTAGGGTTGGGCGATATGGGCTAAAAGGTTCATCATGGTAAGATTTGCCATTCTGGCAATAATGATAAAAATATTATAATTCCAATCAATATTTTTGACTCATTTTGTCTTGAGAACACCAGATGGAATAGTCAAACAAGATATTTAACCACAGGTTTGAGTGGTAGGTTATGGAGAAACTAGAGTCATCAAACAAGTGAAAACATTTTCAACATTTGTTGAAAACTCTTACTGCACAGACTGAACAGCAGCAGATCCACTGTTGATGTCAGGCATACCTTGTTGTGCTCATCTAAACCCCAATCTTGAAGGAAGTCCCTCATGTGGAGCCTCATTCAGTAATGAGCTGCTCAGAAACATCTTCTTCATTGCCTTCGGCCATGTTTGTTTGTTATTCTGCTCTGTATGGGCTTTAGCTGGGAGTCGGCTGCTCGCGCTTACGTCATCAACTTGTAATATTTTTATCATGGAGGATTTTTCTGACGATATATCGTGAACAATAATTTATCACCCATCCCTAGGGCCATATTAATAAAGATTGATTGATGATTGTGTAGTTGGGCTCTAATGAGGGATTGGCATTTTTATGTTATGGAAAATGTCAATCAGAAGTTTGTCCATCATTTGTCTCAGTCAGACAAAAAAACAAAAACATTGAAACTTCATGGTTATTAGGTCAAAAATATAGATAGTTTCAAATGACAAACAGCACTGTAGAAAAACAGCTAGTGTCAAAGATGTAAATAAAACACACAGCTGGTCAGCTAGCTGCTCGGCTCCAAAGTTCAGCACTTGTCAATGAGGTCACATGACTAATCTCAGCTATAAAACTGTCCTTGCTGAATCATTAAGGTGATATGTTTGCCCTTTTAATTAGGTCCTTTATATTTCCAGTGAGTGGGTGCCAAGTTCAAGTTCAGTCTTCCAGTGAATCAAGCTAAACAAATCAGTGCTCTCAGACAAAAACAAATGTATAACATCTGCCATTTCTGTCTCATACAGGAGTCAGGTAATTTGGAAGGTAAGCCCAGAATGGGTTTCCTCAACCCGGAGAAAGGACGTGCCGCTTCCTCTTCCCCCCAGAGTAATGGAGAGACAGGCTCCCTGGAGCGACTGCCAAAGCCCGGCCTTACTGGAGAATACATTTACAGGAGGAGGTACATGACGCCTGATATCAACATACAACTCTATACCTCGAGCATGTTTTTGAAAGTGCCAGTGCAAATTATCGCCATTCTTTGCTCTCATTTTAAAGAAGGATAAGAAGGTCATTGCTACTGTTTTCTTACCACAAACTTTTTTTATAACTGGAAATGTCAGCTGTTTAAATTAGAAATTCATATCTAAATATTATTTATGATAACCCTGAGTGAGGAGAGGTGGGACAGGAGCCTTCATCTTACACGTTTCACACTAGATGAGACACTGACACAGGGCGCATTCACATTAGGACGGTTTGGTTTGTTCTCAGGGGACCATGGTCCCCTTACTCTTTTTGTCTGGGTGATATGAACGCACAAGTGAACCGTGGTCCGGATCAAACAAACGGACCATGGTCCTCTTGAAAATGTAGGACTCGGTCCCCTTCCAAATGAACCTTGGTCCGGTCTGCGGCAACACAGCGCTGATGCAGCCGGACTTTTTATATGTCAATATAAACCAATAACACATTTACTCTGTAATAAAGCCGGAAAATTGTGCCCAGCTGGAGTTTGCAGCAGACGGAGAACAGCAGGTCAAAACATCAGACTGTCCGTAAAACTGCATGAATAGCAGTAGGGTGGTGTTAAATACCTGTTGTTTGTGCTGGTAATCCTAAGATTGGAGCTGCATGTTAGATTTTTAACTTCTGTGCGTCAACATCCGTAATTGAAACACTGTCGACTGGAACAACTTCAACTAATGTTCTAAGGTTCTAATGTTGAAACACGACTGCAGGTTTGTTGATTTACTTTTTCACCTTTTGTATGTAGAAGAGAAGGATCGAACCCTCGCAGCGTGACTGAATCTCCTGTAGAACAAGGGGACAGGAGCTCAGGAGAGTTCCAGATCAGTACACCCTCTGCTTTCAGCAAGTTGAACCTACACAGAAGCTTCAGTCCCCTTGTCCTGTCCCAAGGCTCTTGGTCGTCCAGGTAACAGGTTTAGTTTAAATCAGTTGTCATCAGATTGGCCAAGGACACTCCTCTTATACTGTAAGTTTTATGTTTTCTGCTTTCTCTCATTCTTTCCTAAGGAGTGCATCCCCCTGCCTGTCAAGTCGGTCGTCGCCCCTCCTGGCTGCCCCTCGTAGCCCATGCCCTGAACGTCCCTCTGAGCCTTTCTCTGATGGCGCGGAGGTCCAGGTGGCCAACCTGGACTACAGAATGTCCCGTAAGGATTTGCAGCAGACTCTTCATGACACGTTCTCTCGATACGGACGGGTAAGCAGTGACTTTGACCAGTCTACATTATCTTGTCTGATCCTAAAATAAAACATCTCTAAAAATTAAACTTTGAAGGCTCGAAGGTTTATCCCCGTCTCATCGTGAGATTTCTTTTTGTCCAGGTGAAAGCTGTGGAGCTTAGCCCCCACACGGACTACCAGCTGAAGGCCACAGTCAGGATGTTGTCCCTTCAACAGGCCATAAGCGCGATCAGTGGTCTGCACCGTTACAAGATCGGGGGAAAGCGCATCCAAGTGTCTCTGATCACAGGTGGCGGCAGCAAATCCCTCGCCTTGCTCAGGTGCAGTCAGGCATAGTCCAGTCCAGGGCTCATGGAGCTTCTGAAATTTGGATACCAGCTACCAGATTGTGGTTGTGAAAACTGCTTTTTCTTTATACAGCACAGAGATCATCAGCGTTCTCCAGGATGCACCTGCCAACTGCCTCCCCCTCTTTAAATTCACAGAGATCTATGAGAAGAAGTGAGTTTTTCAGTCATAATTCATCGTTAAGCAGCCCCAGAATTTAAAAAAAAGGTGATTGTTGTTGTTTTTGCTGATAAATTGCATCCCTCTTAATGATCCCTTCAGATATTCTCGTAAGCTTGTGGTTGGGGATCTGTACCGGCTCCCAGAGGTGGTGTCATTACGAGAACAGGGAAGCTCGAGGCTTGTGTGCCTTTTGCCCAGCAGCCAAATCCGCCAGAGTCCACTTGGATCTTCCCAGTCCCAGGAGGGCTCCTCCTCTGCTAGTGGAAGCCCTGTGGTGTTTGAGGAGCTGGAGTACCATGACCCCGTGTGCAGACAACATTACAAACAGCAGGACTTCAGGTGATCAGAGTTTGTTTATTCTCTGGACTGTTCAGGTTTAGCTCTCAGTTATGTTTCCTCGTTGACTTTCAGCTTCTATTTTTTTCTTATTTAGTGAGGCCGACTTTGACCCTGACTCCTACAAGATACCGTTTGTTCTGATGTCTTTGAGCACCTTGACCTCTGAGATACACAGTCTGTTGCAGTCGCATGAGGGAACCCTTCCTTTGCTCAGGTATCGGCTCAGCTCTTAAATTCTCATGTTAACCTTGTTTTCATCAAACAGCAGTTATTTGAAGAGTAAGCCGTGTTTTCCTTTCAGTTTCCCAGATTGCTATGCAGCCAGATTTAATACTCTGCAGCTGGGCAATGAGACGCTGGAAGGTGGTGTTCCCCTGGAGCATCTCCTCACCTGTGTTCCCAGTATTACCATAGTCACAGCTCAAAACGGCTTTAAAGTCATCAAATGGATCCACAACAAACCGCCAGCACTGAACTCTGGTAAGAACATCCAAATTCTCTATTAAAGGGATATTCCAGTGCAATTACAAGTTCAAGTCAAACACCGAGTTAGATACCCCCTCGAGAGATGAATGTTGCTGACTGCTTGCTCCTCTAGTTATACCAATTTTGGCAATGACTACATGATAGCAATACACAGCGGTCTATGTCTCCACGCGCAAACCTCAACCGGATGCGTTAGTTCTTCTGCCTCAGCATCTCGGTGTGATTGGATTTCCATGAAGAAATCATCATAAATGTTCTTCCTTGAGCTGCGAAACTCCGCTGCACTCGGTGATCGACTCATCAGGGCTCCCCCATCAGGCTATTGATGAAGTTAGGTGCTGTTCTGAGCATTATTTGTGGCTTTAGAGTGGCTTTTTGGTTGAGGTTTGTACATGGATCCATAGACCGCTGTGTATTGCTCGCGTGCGGTCGTTACTAAAGTTGGTATAACTAGAGAAGCAAGCGGTTGGCAACATTCATCTCTCAAGGAGGTGTCTAACTCAGTGTTTGATCATAACTTAAATTTACACCGGAATATCCCTTTTAAATTATTTTTTTATGTTGATATTGATTCATGTACAGTTCAGTAGGATTTAGCCTTGTGTGTCGATTTTTGACCTGTAGACATAACTGTATATCTGAACACGCAGAACCCTGGATTCAGCGCTGCAAGAGTCCAGTCGGCAACCCACAGCTCATCCAGTTCAGCCGAGAGATCATCGACCTGTTGAAGAGTCAGCCGTCTTGCGTCATGCCGATTAGCAAGTTCATACCTTCATACCACCATCATTTTGCCAAACAGTGTCGTGTCTCAGACTACGGTTACTCTAAGCTGCTGGAGCTTCTGGAGGCCGTGCCACATGTTCTACAGGTACTGAAGATAATCAGGACCAGCGTTTGTGACCCCTAATTTAACGCATTTTACCACATAAACAAATGAATACTTTGCAATGTTTTCCATGTGATGTCTTTAATTTTTTTCACTATCAGATCTTGGGAATGGGGACCAAACGTTTACTGACTTTGACCCATCGTGCTCAAGTGAAGCGTTTCACTCAAGACCTGCTCAAGCTGCTGAAATTTCAAGCAAGCAAACAAGTGGCAATAAAGGACTTCATGCAAGCCTACCACTGGTCAGTCCACACTGCTTTAGATTATTGATATGATGGTGATGCAGAAAAAAAAAGTCCTTTTCAGACATGGATCATCTCTATTTTTGATATTTAGTAATGTGTTTTGATAACCTTGTACTCCAGGTGCTTCTCGAGGGATTGGAGGGTCATTGACTATGGTGTATGTGACCTAATGGACCTGCTGACTGAGATCCCTGACACCACCATCACTATTACACATCAGGACACAGACACGGTCATCTCTGTTCCTAAGAGAGGTAACTTGAAATCAGCAGAGGTGCAAAGTTAAAATGAATCTGTCATAATAGAAGTTGAATCTAAACAGCTCAAAAAGTTGTAAAAACACAATTTATCATTTTTTTCATGAACCAAGTGTCACTATTTTTCCTGTCATTTACCTGCAGAGCGAACAGTAGAAGAAGTGGAGCGCACAAAGCAGTTTGGAAAAGAGGTGGTGGACCTTCTCCGTCACCAGCCTCACTGCAGGATGCCCTTTAGCAAGTTCATCCCCACCTATCACCATCACTTTGGTCGCCAGTGCAAACTCAGCTACTACGGCTTCACCAAACTCATGGAGCTCTTTGAGGCGATCCCTGACATCCTAACAGTAAGTTGTCTGTCCTTCAACAGTTTACTGAATTTAGCCCATAATAGATATTCTGGTATTCAAGGTAGTTTAAACAGCCCAGTGTGATCAAGTATCCATGCCTTACTCCGTCTCGGCCTGAACCGTCCTCCAGGTGTTGGAGTGCGGTGAGGAGAAAGTGCTCACTCTAACAGAGGTCGAGCGCATCAAGGCTCTGGCTGCTCAGCTGGTTAAGCTGCTCCGGGCTCAGAAGAACTCGAGCCTCCCCGTCACCCAGCTGCTCACTGAGTACAGCAAGACTTATGGATATGGTCTACGCCTGCAAGACTACGATGCCAGCTCCCTGCCAGCTTTGCTCACTAAACTCTGCCACGTTGTCAAGGTAAGAACACACCTGAAACACACCAGAGGATTACTTTTTTTTTCTATTTCCTTTCTTCCTCCTAAGTAAGTTTTTGTGTTGAGTTTGTTTTAGACTAGATTAGATTAGACTTACTGTAACTTTTGTAACATCATTTTGTAGCAGTGAGGTCAAATCCACTCCCTGTTAAAATTAACGTCAGTCTTGTTTGGTTTAAGTTTTCTTTATTTGGTTATACTTCCAACCTGACATCCACTAAAACAACTATTTAGCTATTTATCCTCATCTTTTGAGTATGGGATAATGTCTATAACAAGATAGGGCTGGGCGATATGGCCTTAAATCAATATCATGATATATTGATCAGTTCACCTCCATAACGGTAAATGGACGATAACTACTCCACAAGCTGCTCACCCCCTCCCACATTAACTTCTTCTACTGCGGCCGCTACAACTTTTGAACCGTCCTCCATCTCCTCACCTGTCTTTCCCTCTTTATTACGGACTGGATGAGGTGTAGTCACGTCTTTTACGTAGGACAGCGTCTCAAAGGGACATGGTTATTGTCGTAAATTTCAGTATTGGTAAATTTTCGGTTTATCGCCCAGCCCTATAACAAAATTAGACGGGGTCTTCTTGTTTCACTCTGTCTGGTTTATCTCTCATCATGTTCTTATCAGACTGTTTAATGAGCGTACAGTTTTCATCCATGCTAGATTTCCACAGCCTCAATATTTTTCTTTCAGTGTACACTCTGAAGATGTATAAAATAACAACATCTGTTCCAAAGTCCACCTCCCTGTAACTTTTCCTCTCTACTCAGCCAGTCCTGTAACAGCGCCAGAGCCCACGCTGTGTTGCAGTTTGTTTGCTTTCTCTCAGCTCCTTGTGTGTGTTTTCACACCCCTCATTAGTTTCTGTGCTTTCTTCTCGCTCAGCTACTGAAACTCAGTAACTGTTGTTGTGAGGTAGATGTGGCATCAGGATCAAATATTGAACACAGCTGAATGATTGTAAAAAATTTTTATAAATGATGTGACTTGCGATCAGAAAGTTCAGTTTGATGAAGTTTTGTAATAATATTGTGTTTTTAAAATCACTTGCAACTACTTTGTTTCCATTTTAAAGGTGGTGGATGGCACTGAGGGTCGGGAGGTTCAGCTGATCAACAGGAAGTCTCTGCGCTCCCTGACCTCTCAGCTGTTGTGTCTACTTATGTCCCAAGAAGAGCAGCAAGTCGCCAAGGGTCTCAAAGTCGAAGTGCTGAGCCAGCAGTATCTAATGGTTCACGGCGTTGCACTAAATCCATGTGAATACGGGTTCCTGTCCCTCAGCGAGCTGCTGAAGAGCCTGCCGTACCTGGTTGAGGTGAGTGGAAGAGTTCATTTCTTATTCTGTTTTTGAAATTCTGCTTCAGCTACTTCCCGGCAGAACGGTCTCATTTTCATATTTTATCGTTACAGTTATACTACGAAGAGACTAATGATGACAGCAACGCTGACAGCGGGCGGGGCGAGGAGTGGGTGAGGCTGACCAGGCTGTACCAGTTTGCTCGTAATGTGCGCGCCCTACTTCACACCTACCACTACAACCAGATCTTCCTGAATGAGTTCACGGGAGCTTTCAACAAATTCACAGGCTGCGTCCTCGAACCTCGCTACTATGGATACATCAGCACTGATGAGCTGCTTGGAGCCATCCCACAAGTAAGATATAACTACGGAAGAAGTTCCTCTGTTCGTGCGTCAAGAACTTAAAGGGATATTGCGGTGTAAATTTAAGTTGGGGTCAAACACACTGTAACACCTGAGTCAGTAGGGGTGGGAATCACTAGTGGCCCCACGTTACGATGTTATCACGATACAGCAAGTATTGCAATTCAACTGTTTAGCAAGTTTAGCATTTGTCTTTCCTTTATGTTTATCTTATTTGCGCTGTATCGTATTTTCATGTAGCACATCTTACAAACCTAATATATTTGTTTGTTTTACTAACTTTCTCCTGCTCTATGATGTCACTTCTACCAAACCTCACTGGAAAAACAGTTGATTTTATTTTTCCATTATCATAGATTTGACGTCATATTAGCAATTGATATGAAAAATCGATACTTGGTAGATGAGACGATACAATATATATCAGCAGAAGAAATATCGCGATACTATGCTGTATCGATTTTTTTTCTCCCACTCCTACGAGTAAGACACCCCCTCAAGAGATAAATTTTGCCTAAACACAACTCACCCACTCTCCTCCAGCAGCCGCTTGTTTGTGGGGGAGCCCTGACGAGTCGATCACCGAGTGCAGCGGAAAGTTTATGATTATTACTTCATGAAAATGCAATCAGACCGAGACACTACGGCAGAAGTACCACGTCTGCAGAGCGCATACAAGAAACACAAGAACTCTGATTGCATTTCCAGTAATGATCATAAATGTTCTTCCTTGAACTGCGAAACTCTGCTGCACTCAGTGATCGACTCGTCAGGACTTCCACACAAACAAATAAACTCTCCTACACTCCTGTAATCAGTCACTCTTTTCTTTGCACATTAAATTAGTTTGATTTCCTGTCTGCCATCTGCAGGTGGTGTGGATCAAAGGTCACGGTCACAAGAGGATAATCGTTTTGAAAAATGATATGAAAGGTAACTGTCATCAACCTCTGTCTAAGTAACATTCATTCAGGTTCTCAGCTGCTCTCGGTGGCATTTACACATGCTGTAAGCCTTTAAAAAAAAAAAGGTTTTACTGTTCATGTGATTATCGTCTAAACAGCTGATGCAAATATTTGTATGAAATGGATCTTTGAGTGTTTTCCTGCGTGTGTTTTTGTAGCGAGGGCAAGCTCTTCAGTCGCCAACAGCCCACAGCCAGGAGAGAATACAGAGACTCCCAGAGACAGCCCAGTTAGCAACTCAACATCCGGAGTCCAGAGTCCAGGTGAGGCAGGGTCAAACATTTATATGAATCTATGTCTATATTTTAATTATACACTGAGGGGATCATGAAAAATAATCACAGATTAAAGATTGTTTTGAACAATGAAGCAGTCATAATCTTCTACCCGCCAGGTTGCGATGTAGCGGTGGAGTCTGAGCTGCTTTGCCTGACGTCACCAGTCGACCTGCTGTGTGGTCCTGTCCCATCCTGTCTGCCTTCACCTCAGCTCCACCCAGACCCTGTTCTCCTCCAGCAGACAGACCTGATTCACTTTGAGGAGAGGACTCCAAAGACAGAACCAGCAGGTCTGTTTCAAGTTTCTGTGTTGTATTTGAGGTTATTTATAATAAGGATCTCACTATAACAGTTATTTGATAAATCCTCCTTAGTCTTGTAGTCCCAGACTATTAAAGTCTCCCTAAATAACAAGCCTTTCAGTTTTACCGAGCAAATCTTGATACTTGAGACTAAATTTACTTCCTGAAGTACTGCAGTCATGCACACATGTCCTGTTACTAACAAATACAATGTGTCAAATACAGTGTGGTGATGAGTTTCAAAGGGATTCTGTACTGGGATTATTTACTCCTATTTTTATTTAACAAACGTGAAACTTGCTCATCTTACTCTTTCCCTTGTTTTTCGTCAGTGCTGTGAATTTTTCTGAATATTCACTTCAGTGGAAAAGTCTGAGTAGAGTGTGGATGAAAGAGTCTGAGAGTGCAGATTCTAGTGTTGGAAACAGAGTACACTCTTAATTTCCACCGCATCTTAAACGGCGGCGAAAAGGCTGTATGCGCCAATCGCATATGATTGTTTAGATTCAAGTTAATGTTTCAATTTCCATTGGCTTCTTTCTGTCCACGGACGCTGCAGCATGCTGCATAAATTCAGCACAGATTAACCTGTGCTGGAGAGGAAGTCGGGCACAGAAAATAAAACATCCAGATTCCTTTCATAATAAAACACAACATATTTCAGGTGGATTGTATTTCACACCATGCAAACATGGTTGGAGACGAACAAGTCAAATGTTTTCAGACTTCATTTCACCTCATCGACACCATGGATGAGGAGATGCTGATTCAAGAAGTCTAGAAGTGGATTTCTTTCTTCAGGAGACACAATTTCCTGCTTATGGTTATGTGGTTGTCTGTATGGAGACAACTCGTTATTGCAGGACTGCATGTGAATCCGAAGGTTCTCGTGAATTCTTGCGATTCCCGCTGTCCAAAATCCAACGCGAGATCCGCCTCACCAACGCATCTAGTAGGAATTGGCAGACCGCAAAAATCGCTGCAGCTCCAGATGCGGTGGAGATTGGGGGTTAGAATATTACTCCCGTGTGCGAGAGTTTGCTTCTCATGCCCTCCACAAGAAGAAACAAAAAAGAGTAACAAATAGATGTTAATGATTTTCTTACACTCTCATTCCTGCCTTCTTTGTTTCATAAGGAGAAAGCTCAGTCAGTACCTGTGTGAGTGAGCAAACTGAGGTCGCTGGTGACACCTCTGAACCACCTGAGCAGCAGCAGCAGCAGCCTGGCAGCACCGAAGACTCCTCATCAGTCTCCAAACTTTCCCCGTCTCCCGACACGAAGACCACCCTGTCCGTGGACAGTCCCAGCAGAAGAGCGGCACGCAGCAGAATCAAACTCGCTGCAAACTTCTCCTTTTCGGCCGGCCCCTGATCCTTTTTTTTCCCACACTCACACAGTAATACCCTCACATACGTCTAACTCTGATAACATGAGTTGATCTGCTTCACCTGTTGCACTACGCAGACCCGACCTCAGATCAGTTTTGGTGTCCCGTCTCCATGGTTACGGGCTGTTACATTCTTCTGCTCCCGTCTTTGTTTTACCTACTTCATCAGCATGTTCTTCCAAAGATGCTCACACACCCGTGGTTCTCTTCTTGCAGATTTTCTGCAGTTCTTTTATTTGCCAAATTCATCATCTCGGTCGCCTGCGTTTGATTTCATCTGGAGGAAAATTCGACATGAACGTGTGAGCGTCTTCAGTTCAGAGCCATGTTTGCTTCCACGCATGGAGCGAGTTAGCTGTCACTGTACGCCAAGTTTGAAACTCAAGAGAGGACTAAGTTTTCTACGTTTGGATCAGAGAAAAATAACTTCATTCTCAGTTTATAAATTGACAAATTAGCAGAAGGTTAAAGAAGATGATTAGTTTATGTTCCACACTTAGAAACCTTTTTGTTTACTTCTCACATTGTCCCCGTAGATGCTGTTTTAAATCCAACATTTCAGATCCAGTCTTTGGTAAAAACTTCTGAGCTTCTCTTTTGAGGTGTATCCTTGACTTTCGTCTCTTTTAAAAAAGAAAAAAAAAGTGGCCCCGGGACAATATTTCAGTTCCTTTAATGTTCTGCAGAGTATCTCAAAGTCCGTGGAAGAGCTCGGCCTAAACGAGCGGTTTATTTAGCGGTAACTCAGTGATGAGGCTGAAACAGAAATATTCCTTTTAACTGTTCAGCTGGTGGCGTTTGATTCAGGAAACGTTATTCTTCAAGTACTTTTCATCTAATTTATAGCAGAGATTTTGGCCCATTAGCAGCACGGATATTGATGATACCTGGAAGGAAAAAAAAGAAGTCTTTGAGACTCGAGCGAGATGTTTGTTCAGGCAGCCGGTGTGTTGTTTTTTTTTGTGTGTTTTATGCATGCGGGTTACACTTGAGTAGGTGGTGTGTAATATGAACTGGTGTGCATAACTGAGTTTATGCATGGTGTAAGCCCAGGATGAGCAGACAGGATCAGATGATGGTACAAACATTCGTTAAGATCGCACTTTTATTTCCATCGTGTTTTAGAGATCGAACAGTTGGTGTCGTCCTTGCAGTCGCTGCAGAATCGCTCAAGGTTTTTTGCTTTAACCTTGCTGCCGCTGATGTTCGTCGCTGTATTTGTGACAACATCCAAACTGCTTGAGTTGAAGAGTTTAAGAGGAGCAGTGAGCACTCCTGAGTTTTGATTTTAACCAAAAGGTGAATGGTTGTGAGTTTCAGGGGAGGAAAAAAAGCTGGGATGGGAGATGGTGACTGTTTGTGGAGCACCACGGGGGGCTGCAAGAAGCCTCTTTAACAGACTGACGTGTACACAGAGGGTCCTCTGAGGCCCTCTGGAACCTGCCGGGCTTTTACAATGGCTTGTATTTGCCACGGCGCCAAAGGGATCGCCATCACACCTCCCAGTCCCTCACATCTCACATGGTGGAGTTTTTACTTACTGACACGTGCTGGTTTCTGCGTTTTCCTCAGTTTTACGGGTTCGACAAGACTGCTGGCTACAGACACGCCACCTAATGACAGTCGCTGCGAGTGATGTTAAACACGCCCGCTTAAAGTCAAACGGTTGTTTTGTGTTAAAGGGCAAACGTTCAGAGAATGGGTAGGGGCCCATTTGATCAGTTTCTGTCTAATTTCTGTGTTAATCGTTCAAACCAGTGGATATTATCAGAGCACATTTATTTGTCAGACCTCATTTTGACTTTGCCTTTTAAAGCTGAGAGATTTCACCTGCTGACGCACCAAAATGTCAATCGAAATGTTTTAAATCATGGCGTCATGTCGACTAAAGACTTCTGTCAGGATACCTCTCGAACCACCGAATGAGAAAGAAGTAGTCCGAAAAATGATTGTGTGTTATCCATGAGAGGAAGTTTAAAAACGGGGAGATGTCAAGAATTAACTTTGGTGGTGAGAATATCTTACTTTATGAATCTGAGCTTTCCTCCAGAGCGCTACAGTGGCAACTAACTCACACGAACTGTCTCAATTTTTCTTTTTCTTCTCGTTTTTCCGGACAAAATATGCACTTTTGCATAGTTTTGGTTCCCAGAACACACATAAGAAAAGATCACGGGGAGATTGAAACGTGATAACTTATTTAAGTACAAACGACTCGGCCTTGTTTGTTCAGTTTCAGTGTTCAACAATGTCCTTAAACTCCTGCCTTGTAACCTTTTTTTAAATATTCTTAGGCAACAGTAGATGATTTTCCTCCGTCTTACCCCCTCCTGTCGGTTTTACTGCTGCAGAAGTCGCTGTAACAGTCTGTTGTTGCTGAAGGGACCAAAATGATTTTCCAAAAATAAATTCACATGCATTATTCCCGTCTCGTCTCAGTGTTTTTTGACACAATAACATCACCAGCATGTTCCTGAAAGATGCTCTTTATTCAAACATATATGTACAGGTAGTTTTAAGTTAATTTTCTGCATATTTGTTCAATAGTCAACATTAGGACCTTCATAAATTCACAACTACTAAAGAACTCTCATCGTCAGAGGAAAGAAAAAGAGACAAAGAGCAACACGCTGCTTTACATGAGTCACTACTGTCCTAAATACGCTCAAACATACACTGTCTATTGTAGGCATTTGCAAGAGAATTTCATTCACCTCCTGTATCTTATAATAAAAATGCAAGACTTAATTCAGAGGATGCAAGCTGTTAATCAGAATCCGTGTGTCATTCGTTCATTTGGTTTGCAAAATAAAACCAAAAATGAGAAAATGAATATTTTTTCTAAATATTAGTCTCTAAAATGAAAATGTATTTACATATTTTTATTTTTTAATCTCGAAATTTCAACTTTAATCTCAAATTTCAAGATTAAAGTCGAAATTTGCCTTTACCTTTTTTTTAAATTTATTTTCGATTTAGAGAAAAAAATTCCTTTCCTCGTTTTTTTTATTTTTGGTTTTATTTTGAAAATCGAATGAACCAATGATACACGGATTAAATCAGCAATATCCACAATAGTTATGAACAATGTCACATTATTAGTCAGTTTTTCTGGCAGCTGATGACTGAGATGAGTATGACCGGTGTGGCATGGCAACTGAGGAACAAAAGTAAGTACATTTGAATAAAATCTAATGTTTTCACAGTTGGAACTTAAAATTATACTACTGCAGAAGAAGGGGACAGTTAGCCTTCATCCAAAGAGGGTCAGAAAAAGTCTTCAAACCCTTCTGACTGCTGTTCAGTAAATTAATCTTATTCAGCTTCTTTTTTTTTTTTCTTGCCATGAAGATTTTGGGAAGCTCCCAAACATTATTTATCTCCACTTTACTGACACATCTGCAGTTCAGTGTTTGTGTCCTTGTATAAGCTGCTTGACAGACTCCTTTTAAAACACAATTCAGATAAATGTACATGAGCATTCATGGGCCTTTAGACATTTTGCAGGTATATTTGTCAAGGTTATAAATCAAGTCCTTCCACTCAAGTGCTTTTTTTTGTAAGCTTTGTCATATTTCTTTTCTTTTTTTTTTTCCTCCAGTTAAAGCACATTTTACAGATCAATAGTAATAATGGGGAGTTATAGAAAGGACCTCTGTTTGGAGTTAAAAGACTAAATTTTGAAATTAAAATACATCAAACATGGTGGGACAATGAGATATCTATTTTTTTCTGTATTTGAATGGCCCCTTTAGTTTTCTATATTGTGCTTATAGTTCTCCGTTGAACCACATAAGGGCAGATCATACTATTATTTCAAATTTAAAGGGGGGGTATCATGCTTTTCCACATTTACAAACAAAAAATGCAAAGTTACAAAGTTTGGCGTCCATACTAGATATATGCAAAGTTTCAAATCACGAGATGAATGTATTTTGTTTTAATCCTAAAAAATTAAACGTAAAATGCTCAAATCTCGGACAAATGCGAGACCACAGTCCATGTGCAAGATTTACTGATGTAACACTGCTTCACTGCTCAACTTATCACCACAATAAAGAGTGCAGGGCCAAACACAGAAAGACCACCAGAAAGGTGGCCAATCAGAAGACAGTAGGCTCATGGAGGGGGGGGTCTTAAAGAGACAGCAGTTTTAACACACCACTGTAGGAAATTTGAGTCTTTTCTGATCTGAAAATCGTGTTAAGTTATTAAAGACGTATCAGAGAAGAAGAAATGCATGATACCCCTCCTTTAATGTAACATCAGGACGGTTAGTCCACTCCTCATTTCCACAATATTCTCTTATCTATTTGGTGTCTGATGTTTGAGTAAGTAAATTTCACTCGAGTGATTCAGGAGCTGTTCCCTGAAAACTGAAGTCTGGAGCTTCATCTGTGACCAAATCAAACTCTCTGAACTGATTTGAGAGGAACGTAGCTGCAGTTTTCTGAGGGACAGTAAGTGGCGTATGGTTGTGGATGGTTGTGGTAGAGTCTGGCGCTATATGGATAAAGATTAATTAATTAATTGGTTGGTTGATTGATTGATAGTATCGTGATGTGATGATGATAATAATGATGACGGAGCTGTACAGAAGTCTGTTTGAGTTACATGACTGCACACTGAGTGGCACCGCAACAATCTTTGATGATGGCCGCCCCTGACTTTGTGATGGACGGTTTGTTCGGAGGCGGCTCCGGGATTTGTCTCTTGGGCTTTGGAGGATCTTGTGAGGAAAAACAGAGGGAAGAGAGATCATTACAAAGTTGAGCTGAGATTGAAAAACACTCCTGCTCCACACTGACTGTGTTTGTGTGTGTGTTTGTGTGTTTCTTCAAGTCGTCATCACTCACTTTGTGTATCTTTGAGCTTTTTCTCTAGAGGCATCAGCTTCAGTCTGAGGAACTCGGCCATCTCCTTGTCCTCCTCTCGCTCCCTGAGTTTAGGAAGAAAACACACTTGAATAGGAAACAATCACTCACTCTGAAGTTAAACCCATTTAATTACCTGAATTATACAGATATATCACCACAACTGTGTAGGAAGTTTGATAAGAGAGTTTTATTATTTTGTTAACAACTTAAGGATTAAATTAAAAACCTTTTTGTTATGAAGCAAATACTTTTAAACCACATGAGCCACTGTGCAGTTTTAAAATGTCTATCAGACTCAGAAAATTTGATTTAGCAAGAAGCATATTTCATAGTCCAATGTCAAAAACATGAACAATTTAAACTGCTTATCCAGTAAATTAAATCCAGCTTTGACTTTATTTCATTTTCTAACCACAGCCGTCTGTTATCTCTGTGGCTGATCTGTCGGAGCAGAGCAGGAGGAAACATAAAATGGCAATAGAAAGCCAGAGTCATCCGTCAGAAACACACATGCAGCAGGCGGTGCTGGGATGATCAAGAGACTCCTGTATCAGTCATGCTCTCATTTGCTCCGAACATTTCCTCTAATGAGTCTCCTTCCTGCCGTCTCTCAGCCCTCTTATGTCGATCCAATACAGAGAAACTGAAAGTAAATAGTGAGTTAACTTTAACACCGTCTGTGTAAATACACAGTGGATGTGGGGATGCTGTACCTTAATCTCTCCACCTCGGCATCATCCACAAGGAAATCCCTCTTTTGCACCAGTTTATGAATCTTCAGGATCAGCTCTTCTTCCCGCTGCCGGTGTTTCTTGTTTTTTTCTTTTTCTGAGGGTAAAGGAAAGACGATTTTTGAACAATTAAAACAAACGCACAGAACGGCCTGAAACCTTAAAGGGATATTCCGGCATAAATTTAAGTTATGGTCAAACACACAGTAACACCAAGTTAGACACCCCCTCAAGAGATGAATGTTGCCGACTGCTTGCTTCTCTAGTTAGACCAACTTTAGTAACGACCGCATGATAGCAATACACAGAGGTCTGCGTTGCCACACACAAACCTCAATCAAAACGCCACTATATAGACAAAAATAATGCTCAGATTAGGACCTAACTTCATCAACAGTATATATAGGGTCCTAGCCATAGTACTAGCCATCAAACATCTTTTTAACTTTGCTTTTTGTGGGGGAGCCCTGACAAGTCGATTACTGAGTGCAGCGGAGTTTCGCAGCTCAAGGAAGAACATTTATGATTATTACTTTGTCGAAATGCAATCAGACCGAGACGCTAAGGCAGAAGAACTACCGCGTCTGCAGTGCAAAATGATTATGATTATTATGCTGTGTTCCTGTTGTACTCAGAAGTCGGAATTTCCGAGCTCCAAGTTGGAAATTTATCTAGAACGCTCCCCTGAAGTCGGATCTCCGACTCGGAAATCCAGACGATCCTCACCAGCCCCGACTTGACGACAACCTCATAATCCAAGATGGCAGCGCAGTTCATCAACAGTATAGAGTAGCAGTGAAAGTTCTCGTAATGTATTATTTATTAGCACTTCTGTTTTGTTTTTGTGAAATTAAATAAGTGGTATATGTTGTACTGCCCAACGTCTAACTGTGAACACAGTGCTATGGTATTTGTAAGAGTAAAATATTGTGTTATACGTTGTTACCAACTGGTATAGCTAACAACAACTGACAACGGCTAACGACAGCTGACAATTATAAATGACAGTTAACAAAGGCTAACACTAGGCGTCCATCTTGGTTTTCCGACTTGTTTACTGGGACGACGTCAACTCGGGCATAACGTCATTCCCAGCTCTGACATCCGACTTCCGAGATAACTGGAACGTAGCATTACTTCATGGAAATGATCCGCTGCACTCGGTGATCAACTCATCAGGGCTCCCCCCACAAACAAGCAGCTGCTGGAGGAGAGTGGGTGAGTTGTGTTTGGTCTCTTTGCTAAAGAAATGGGTATTGCTGTGTATTGCTATCGTGCGGTCGTTACTAAAGTTTGTATAACTAGAGAACACAGCAGTCAGCAACATTCATCTCTTGTGTCTAACTCGGTGTAACCGTGTTTGACCATAACTTTAATTTGCGCCGAAATATCCCTTTAATGTTTTAGTTTACATACAGTACAATAACTCAACACAAACAATAACAAGCTATCCTTGGCTGCTGGTTCTTAGACAATGAGCCAGCAGACCTTATATTTCCTCTTCATGTATAATTTATAACAAACAGACACAGACTTACAGTAATTATGCTAATTATGCAGAGTTCTGTTTTTACATTCCCAGACAGAGATCCATGAATACAACATCCTCCCTGCTTTGTCTCTCATTCCTCACCTTGACACTGTTAAACACTGCAAGAGACGCACATAAACCGACCAAACAACAGTGACACACACACCCACAAACACAAGCATGCACGCACACGCACAGACAGCTGCAGAGGTAGGATGTCTGGAAATGCTGTTATCAAGGCTGGCTGGGAAAAAAAAGAAGACTGCACACATCAGCCTTTTTCTCCCACACTGAAATAAAGTGCTGCGGTGCAGTTACAGTGTGTATCCTCCTGAGGGCAAAACAATTATAGGGACGCACGGCTACAGTCCATAAATCCTGATGTCACAGGAGCAGGAGGGGCAGCAGTTTCTCACGTGACTCATCACGCTGAAGTGAGATAAAGAGCTGCAGAGACCACAGACATTAGCACAAGACCTCACCGACTCATGGGAATGTCAAGGAGAGGCAGCTTTGTGTGAGCTACTGCTAATAAAAGGACAAAACAATGGATTGCATAAGTCAAATTCAGGACATTCATTCAGGGGGGGCTGTTGTCTGTGGACTTCATGGATCAAAACCTCATCCTAAACCTAACCTAAAGCTTTGGTACCTTCATAAAAACAGAACAAAGTAACAAGCTATTCTCAGCACAATAGTGTTAATCAGTGGACAGCAGCCATATTAGAAAATAAAGATACTTTAAAAATAAAGCTAAGCACGAGCAGGTTAGCCTGTGTAAACACTAATCACTGACAGCTTGGTCGTTCGAGGCGTTAAAGTAAATTTGAGAGAAAAAATCACATTAATATTAAGCTTCAAAACTGAGTTTAAACAAAAATAAATAACTACAGAAATAATCAAACAATTGAATAATTTAATGATGGTGTTTTGAACCTGTTAAAGGCTTTTTAAAAAATCTTTATTAATCTGTTTTTAATTCGGTATCTTGTGGGGTTTTTTTTCCATTTTTTAATTTCTTTTCTTCTTTTAACAATTCCTCTATACTTAACCACAAGTTTGAGTTGTGACAAATAATGACATCAAACAAGTGAAAACATTTTCAACATTTGTTGAAAACTCTTATTGCACAGAGTGAACAGCAGTAGCAGATCCACTGTCTGCTGTCAGGCAAACCTGATTTCACTCGTCTAAACTCCAATCATGAAGTAGATCCCTCGTGTGGAGCCTCGTTCAGCTGCTCACAAACATCTTCATTACCTTCGGCCATGTTTGTTTGTTTGTTATTTTGCTCTGTCTGGGCAATGGCTGCGAGTCCGTCACTCGCGCTTACGTCATCAACTTGCATTTATCGTATTTATCATGAAATGGCAAATATTTCTCATGGAGGATTTTTCTGACGATATATCATGAATGATAATTTATCACCCATCCCTAATCAATATACTGTAAGATCTCATTTTGTCTTAAATGAATCCAGCAGGATTAAAGCACTTTGTGGCATTTAGCAAGTTACAGAGTCTAAAATAAAGAAATCTCAAACTGGACTTGTGTAGATCAGACGTCTGCTGAGATCATGTTGGGCATAAAAAACAGAGATCAAGTGAAATGCAGAAAAAAAAGATGGATTGAGACAGACAGCTATAATGAAATCAACATCTCATGCAAATTAAATGAAAACATATGTATATGTCCTCTCTCTCTCTAAAACTGTGACCTGGGATTGGCAGCTCGCTGGTTTGTCTCCAGAAACAGCTGCTGATCATTGATGTGTCCTGTTGCTGTGGCTGTGTGAGTGTGTCCTTGAATACGACACCAGCAACAAGCGCCTCGCACACGCACTGACACGCTCAGTGAGGAGGCGGGTTCGCTCACGTTGCCATGAGCCTTTGATGTAGAGATTCATGAGTGTGTTACTATGTATAATGCATCTGACGTCAGCAAAGCACTTCGGCTCATCCTCCATCTCTGCTTTCCAGATGGAGAAAAAGCCGAAACTTACTGTCGACTTTAACTAAAATTTGATGCTGTTGTTGTCTGCCTCATAAACAAACTACAAAAACACAGAATGAGGAAAAGCTCTTGTTTATCGAAAATCATTTTTGACACGCTGCCAGGAAAGCTTCTCTGTTTTGCCTTCAGAGTGATAAAGCATGTGTCTTTGTGCGCGCATGATTATCTCCCCTTCATAACTCCAGCATATGTGGGAGAGCTGCGATCAATCCTGCATAGTTTAGTGTAATGACGCTTCCTATAAATCATTATGACGCCTGCTGAGCCTATAGACATCTGGCAGGCTGCAAACAGAAGCACTTTCTGCCAACAGAGAGTCCAAACAGAGAGTGTAGACAGTTTTTTGTTGATGTTTTATTTTCTGATGTGCCTTTTTCAGAGGACGTAGGGTGTGTGCATATAAATGTGTTTGTGCTGTTACCTGGTACTGCCACGATCTGTCTCAGCTCCTGCTTCAAACTCATGATGTCTTTGCAGAGCTGAATGTCATCCATCCTTGAAAAATAGAGGAGAGAAAGAAAACAGCAAATCAGATTACAAAAAAAAAAGAAACAACACACAACAGATATCATTAAATGCTCTCACTTCCGCTTGAGTTGACTCAAGGCAGACACATTCTGCTTCGAGAAATCAGGGCAAAGGGTAGACAAATGATAAATCTGTGTAAAGAAACTATGTGATGATGTAAAATAACATTTTAAGATACGGATATTTAAATCTGAAAATGTAAAAGAAAGCTTCAGTTCACAGCAAAAAGATCCAATATAAAAAGAAAGAAGCAGCACGGCTTATTTAAGAAGTATATCTAATAACCATTTTACTCCAAGGCTCAAACCAAAGCAGACTGGATCACACGGCTTTACTGCTTTGTCGTAAAAAATGCCTTGTCCAATCAGCATGTTCAGTTTTCAATCTGATTATATATCCTGTTCTCTTAAATAGGGACTTAAATGTGTGAATCTGAGGATGTTGAAAGTTACGATGGTTTAAGTTGTTGGTCTTTTCGGTGATTTTAAACCTTTTTGGAAAGTTGGTTTTGAAAAGTGTATTTACAGAGTTACTGTCGGTGAAACCACAGCCCTGAATCAATCTGATTCTCTTTTAATCTAACATGCTATTATCTATTTTTAATGTTTTGTTACTTTTTTCTTTCGGTAAAACACCTCAATTTGAAGCTAAGCGATCAAAAGTAAATAGACTTTGGAAAATATTTTTAAAAACTTCCTAAGATGTTCGTTTTACAATCAAAAAAGTCAACCTGACATAACTGATCACCTATTAATCATTTTGCATTAATTTTCTGTCAACTGAAAAATTGATCAAGTGTTTGACTCCCTGCAGCGTGTTGCAAAATCCACTCTGTCATTAGAAAATGCAGCATAAGCCTCAGGCCCGGCTGTGTCATATATTACGGGTGTGTGCAGAATAAAAACATGCACCATAAATCAATCGCTGCTTCTGAGTTTTTTACAGCCTGGTGTGTCACCGTGGGGCCTCAACATTCTCCCCTCTTCCCCCTGAAATCATGTCTGTGTCTCTCTCTGCAGAGCAGTGACAGCTACAGCACATTTAATTCTCCCTGTGATAGATCAGGATGGTGACTCATCCATAGCCTCCTCCTCCTCCTCCCTCTGTATTTAGCTGTTGCTCCTTTTTACACCTCCCCCCTCTTTTTCTCTCACCCTTGACCCCTCCCTTCAGCTTTTTTCACTCCTCCTGTCTGTTTTTCTCCTTTTGTTCAGTCTTGTGTTTCAGCCTCTCAATGCTATCTGTGTCCCTGCAGCTTCTGCACTCCAACACACACTCCCTCTGTTCGGATTTGTGTTTGGAAGTGTGGAGCGACTGACGTCTTGAGTCACACGGAGCCTGACGACTGAGACGCAAATACTACCCAGTGGAGGCCTAATGAAGGGCATGTAAACTAACATTATGAACTCTGTGATTTCTGGGATGTGTATCAGCTTCAATTGACTTCGTGAGCATCATGCTGCAGATGTTAGGGGTGTAATGGCCCTAAAAAGAACAACACCGCATAGCCCCATGTGTTACAGCAGCAGAACTATCAGGGCACTTACCCTCCCAAATATGGTCAGCCCTTCCTACATTTTTGTCGCAGTATTCAAAAAACTTGCAGCCAATTTCTGTTCATCATCACTAAAATAAATCATAAATAATTTAGATGCTATTTGATTTTTATACATGGTACTTTTTTCGTTAAAGTTTGAGATGAAATTCGTCCTCACTGTTACAGGATGTCGGACTGATAAAATAATTAATCTTGATCAGGGAGCCCTAAAAAGTGAGTATACCTCAGAGTATGTCCAATAAGTATAGCGATTAAACAATGTTTTATCTAGCTCGAGCAGAATCACAGTGTTTTCATTCAAACAACTGAAAAATTTTTAATTATAAAACTGTATCAAGGAGATTTTAATTTCAAGATTATATACAGCAGCTTAAGGTTTGATTTTTGAGGCAGTTTTGAGCTCCACTGTCACTCCTGCACCTTTACCCACCTCCCCAACAAATCCCACTTTAATTCATACAACCTGAAAAACAACAGATAAGCAACAAATTCAGTATGTACTGAAGTAAATCTGTGCCATCTGATTTTGAGTTTTGAAAGCTGATTGTTTGCATCAAAATCAGACTTTGAACTTCAAAACCATCAAATTTCAAGCATTTATTTCTGACATTTATTTTTATAAAATAAATTCAGTGTAAAAAAAATCGGTCTCTCAAAATATGATTTTAGTAAAGATTTAAATTAAAAAACACTGTAAAAAATTCAACATGAAAAAAAATATTGGTCTCTCAAAATATTAGTTTAGTAAAAATTCAACATGAGAAAAAATTCATTGTAAAAGAGACTGACTCAACATCCTGGTAACCAGGAAGAAGCCATCAATTTCTGGCTGACTGGGGTCAGTGACACATGACCAATCAAGCATTATTTGATTGGCTGGACAATAGATGATTGAGCCAGGGATTGATTACTTCTCCCTGGTTACCCAAATATTGAGTCGGTCTCTTTTACACTGGATTTTTTGACACTGATTTATTTATTTTTTTTATGTTTTTACAGTTTTTTTCTTCAGTCAAATTTTTACTAAACGAATATTTTGAGACCTGAATTTATTTCATCATTGTAAAAAAAATAAGGATCAGAAATAAAAATACGTGCTTGAAATCCGATGGTTTTGAAACTTCGTCTTATTTTGATGCAAAAAAAAAAAAAAAAAATCAGCTTTAGAAATTCAAATTCAAAATCAGATGGCACAGATTTACTTCCATAGGGGGATGATTGAGCCAGGAATTGACTACTTTTCCCTGGTTACCAAGATGTTGAGTTGTTCTCTTTGACACTGAATTTATTTTATGTTGAACTTTTTTTACACATTTTTTTTAAGTTGAATCTCTATGAAAAGAATATTTTGAAAGACCTTTTTACTCTGAATTTATTTCATCATTGTGAAAAAAGTAAGTGTCAGAAAAAAAAATACGTGCTTGAAATCTGATGGTTTTGAAATCAAAGTCTGATTCTGATGCAAAAAAAAAATCTGCTTTATAAATTCAAATTCAGATGGCACAGATTTACTTCCATAAATATCAATCAATAACAGAAGTCAGAGTTGAATCTTCTTTCTGTTGTCTCTCTGATTGATCTTGTTGAATAAAAACTGCTCATTAGCACAGTTGGGTGAGATTGTAACAGTAAAGATGGGAGACTGGGGAAATGACCATTAGTGGCAGTAACAGCCTGACAGCAGAGTGCTCCTCTTTAACAACACAAGCATTCATTAAAATCATTAACCATACTGTTTTCATGCTGCACAAAAAATGCTTTAACAACAATCCCACCACAAAAGTAGTGGAGGTTTAGACAGAGAGGGAGTAAACACATCATCATGTCTTCCTATAAACTGCTCAATAATCCTTGAAGATAATGTTGATGAGGAGACAGTGAGTTCATCACTGTGACTTATTCAGCGTCTCCTGGCAGGTCCAGCCCTCTGCATAATCAATAGACAAAAGTCCGCCTCTCTCAGTGTCATCTTTAAACAGCCCGGTGATATCATAGGAGACACACTCGAGCGTATTTACAGTGCGTCATGAGTGACTCTGTCATCGCAGCTCTGAGAACTGAAGCATCCACTTGAGAACAGCAGCAGAAGTTTGCAGTGATTAAATCTTTAAAGCTTCGTGTTATGAAACGCTAAGAATAAACAATCTCCATCTGGGAACTCACATGAAACGCAGCTCTGACTCTCGGCGTACCAGGACCTCTCGCAGGCGCTGGATCCGAGCCATCTCCACCTCGATCTCCTCTGGAGCCATGGTGCTCTCTGCCATGGACACATCTGAATGACCTGGATGAGGAAGGAGGAAAGAGGAAACAAAACTCAAATCATGGATGAAAGCATGAGAAATAAAACAAACAACTTTTTTCTGAAGGTTTTAACTTCAATTTACTGACAGATGCGTCCAAAATGTTCCTTGTTTGTGTTTCCCTATTTTTTGGAGTCTCACATTTGTGACCTGATGTCCCTGTGACGCTTCAGCTCACACCAGCTAAGAACTTTGAGACGGTGGTTGGGTTTTTCATTGCTGAAAATGCAACATGATAAGAAATTCACTGTTTTCCAAGAATGCTCTGGAGGACTTGCTCACATGGATCGATGAGCAGCTGTGGCTCCCTGCTGAGCGGGTTAATTGTCACTGGAGTGGACCACTGACCTCACTCTCTGTATCTACCACAAAACATTTACCAGTCTGACAAACACTTACCGATCTGGTTGAACACTTACGACAATGATCAATAGACTGACCCTCTCAGCAAAAATACTCCTAGGCTATGTTCACACTGCAGGTCAATTCCACTTTTTTAACCATATGTGACACACATCAGATTTTTTCATGTAAGTGTGAACAGTGCAGTGGCAGTCGAGGGAATGGAGAACAGCCAGCCAACATGCTTTGTGCGCATGTGGGTCACTTCACAGACGCATTCGGTTCACATTAGATGCCGCATTCGTTGTTGTAATGTGAACGACCGCACAATAAGATCGGATTTAACAAACAATCCGAATTGTGCATCATAACCTGCAGTGTGAACGCAGCCTTTGTTGGATAAACTAAAGAGGCTGGTTGTGTTTTTGCATGTTTTCTTGGTTCCCCCTTTTTCAAACATCTCTATCAGGACATTAATCTTAATCTGGATATTGTGTTTATTTTTTTCAACTGATTGATTACTCTCACACACCTTTTGTCATAGAATTTGAAGCTCTGCCTACTTTTAAACTTGATATTATCCGTCACTTTAACTCAATATTTGTAAAATATGAAAAAGCACAACATCGTCATCTCTTGTAGGGCTGATCGATATGGCCTTAAATCAATATCATGATATATTGATCAGTTCACCTCGATAACGATAAATGGACGATAACTACTCCACAAGCTGATCACCCCCTCCCACATTAACTTCGTCTACATTTAGCCGCTACAACTTTTGAACTGTCCTCCATCTCCTCACCTGTTTTACCCTCTTTGTTGGATGGGGTGGAGTTTCGTCTCTGACGTAGGACAGCATCTTAAAGGGACATGAGACCATAGCCTACCTACACACATCCAAAACCAACTTTTATTGATTTATTTTTTTGACACTGAATATACCGATATGGACAAAATGACGTCGGTTATTGTCCCAAATTTCTGGATCGGTAAATTTTCAGTTTATCGCCCAGCCCTAGTCTCTTGTGTTACTTTTGAAAGGAACTTAAAGTAAAGTTATCTTTGCCTCAACTGATATAATAAGATATCCATAACAATTTCCCAGAGTCTAAGGTAATGTCTCATTTGATCCCACATCCCCAGACTCGGAGTGATTCTGTTAAAGGTGAATGTCTATGAAAACAAATATCTAGATTAGAGCAAATGGCACCAGAGACTCTTGGGTAATTTTGCTGAAAGTGACTCACAATTGAGGCGCATATTTACCAAAAATCTGTCTCGCTGACGCATTTAGCTACTATCTGATCCATTAAAAGTGAGCGTGTCGTCTGCCACCTTTCCGTAGGTCCACCTCAGCAGTGTGGATTTCTTAAATGATAAAAAAAAGAAACCTTAAAAGGTCTGAATCAACAATCAGTATTTATCTCTAGTCTTAAAATGCTGAGCTGCTGAATGAAAAGCCTGACATTCACTGACAGTGTGTCTTACATTGTTATGGGACTGGATCAGCTCTGTGTCCTCCTGCAGGAACACAAACTGTAGTCTGTGTCTGTGGTACATTTTCATGGCTGCTTGCTGAGGACAGAGCTGACTCACCACAGCAGACAGAAGTCTGCACAAGGGGGGCTCGCTTTGTTTGTGCATCACTGACATTGAATCATCACACAAACGTATCTGCTGACAAAACGCACCGACGCCAAAATCAAACTTTACGTCGTAGAACTGCGAAATCACACAAGCTCAAGTTATTTCCTTCATTCTAACTGTTTTTATGTGTTTCTTCGCACACGGCTGCCTCATTAGCAGACACGTGATAGCCATCAATAAGACCAAACTGCAATACGTCTCTCCAAACAGCTTAGACGTATGGACACGCACATTTTACAAGGGAGTTGATACTTCCTGATTAAAAGCTTCATGTCCTCCAGGGACAGGTGAGGTTATCTCTTTAGTTTCAGACCAACACAAGCAGCAGCACTGCTCCTCACATCACCTGCAAATGCCAACCAGAGTCCTCCTCACAGAGATAATTAACCGGCTTAGATAGCCCCCCTCCTTCATTAAAACAAAGTGGCTAATCAGTGTACTCCTGGATTATGATTTAATGAGGATTAAGTCCAGAGAGTCGGGACTGTAAGTGATGCAGCAGCTATATAGGACTTACCAAGAGAGAGATGTCAGCATCTATATGACACCTAATCCAGAGCCCCCCTGATACTGCAACCCTATCCAAAGAATAAGGAGCAAGATAAAAAAGAAGAAGGGGGATGGCAGATTGTGTAGTCTTTTCTCTTGTTTACTGGCTGTTTATGTGATTTTATTGTGATGGAGAGACAGAAAGGAAAAGCAGTTATAAGATCTGCATTTTTCGTTTAGCTTAGTTGTTTATTCTTATATTTATACTTATATAGTTGTATTCTTATAGTTTGTTCTTATGCACCATGGGTCTGAGAGGACTGAAATTTCATCTATGCTGTATGTTTGGCTTTGGCTGTGTCTGAAATGAATCACTCAATCCCTAATTCCTAGCCCCTATATGGGGTTTCACTATATAGTTGACTATGTCGTGAGCTCAATCACCGGAGGTTTCTTTGACACCGTGCTCTCCTGAAATGAGAATCTTCAGAAGCACCAACTTGGAAACATTTGAGAACAAAATAATATCATCATTTTTTCTCTTTTCTATAATCTCTTTTACCTCGACCTTATTATGACTTCCTGTCCTTTTAGCCTTTATTTTACTTATAATCTTTTCTTATTAACGTTTTAGGCCTGTAACTGAATTTATTGTCTTTTCCTGCTCATTTTATCATCAATATGACCATCACTATTATTTTATTATCATTATTAATATCGTCTTTTTTTATATTTACTATCCTGTTTCCTGCTTTCTACCCCCCTTTTTTATCACATTACTTCTTCTTACCTATTTTATGTTTTTATTTTGGTCCTCATGGTCTCATTTTATGTTGTAGGGTTCTTGTATTGTCTGGTTTTCTTATGACAAATGAAATTGGCCTTGTTTTAACTGAGCTTTTGTTTTTTATTTGTTTTTATTTCCATGTGCTGATGCTTTGCAACTGTTTGTCAAAGCACTTTGTAAACTTCTCTTTTTAAAAGTGCTATAAAAACAAAGTTATTATTATCATCATTCAAAGGATTTCTGCAGGTGAAGTACAATTTGGAGCTTATTGGTGGTAGAGATGTAGTTTCTTTTGTTTTGAGTAACATAGATGTCCATTTGGTATCAGATTCTTCAAAGTGAGAATCTGAAACCGTAGTAAATAAGATCTACAGTAGATGAAATGTACACACAAGTATGAATATGCAGGTACACATTTCACGCATCTCAGGTCTATAATTCGGTCCTCATCTTCATTTCCACAATACAAACGCTTCAGACATGGAACTAGTTGCAAGCCGTTGTAAGATTATGAAGTCAATGATAACTGTCCTTGTCCAGGACCAGACACTTGCCCATTGAGGTTATTCATGAAGGATAAGAAAGAGGACCACATCCTGTTCAAGTCCTCAATTTTTCCTTTTGCCATGTAAGTCAGTTTTTAAATCTGAAGCCTTTTAGTTGCAGCAAAGAGACCAAATAAGAAGAATGTGAAAGTCAGTTTAGTTTTAAATAAAAATATTTTGTGAAATCCTTACAGTATTTTGTGGTTGTGCTGTGTCATACAAAACTGCAATCATGTTGCAAAAACTGCTCCTCTTGTGAAAGAATGCAGTTATCCTCCAATTTAAAATGAAGCATGGTGGTAAACGTGATATGGAAACCTGTGATTTAGTCACATTAGTCACAGTTTCAAAGAAAATCCTGTTTATTGAACCCAGATCTGAGAGAGCAGAGGTACCAGAGGATTGACTCATATCTTCTCATGCTTCTGCAGCTCACTTCTGCCCCAGCTATCAAACCTCAGAAGTTGAAGCATGGCTCTTCTTTTTATGTTGCATTTTAACGCACCAGAATTTGCACACAACCCTTGTAATGCTCAATGTGCATGTGTGGGAAATTAAGGGCCTTTTTTTAGCATAAAGGCATCGCTATTGATACATGGATACCTCTGTGAGTCATACATTAACCGTTTCACTGCTCGCTCCACATCAGGAGGCAACAAAGAGCTGATAATACTGAGATTTTGACTCTAAAACACACATTCAGACGCATGGCGCTAACCTTTGTCCGTCGTCCATGCAGTCTCCGACACGGCGCCGTAGCTCCTGAGCGCGCGCTCGGTGTCCGAAATAGATTTCTTCAGTTCCATCTCGGTTAAGAGCGCACGTGCACAAACTGCGATGTACTGAGTGTTTTTTTTTTAAAGCTGAATCCGCGAGGCTCTTTTTTCTGTGTGGGTCCGTCCAATATAAGTCAGTTTCATCCGGTGACAAGGCTCCAGCGACCCGAGACGTTGAGCATCTTTATTCAAGCTTTCAAGTCCCTCGACTGTGTGGATGGAGGTGAGGATGCACTGAGCATGCGCAGTGTGGACAGGGATGAGAGGACTTGGGAGACACCCACTGGCAACGAGACAGTGTTAAAAATACCACAACAGAGGCAAGTGTTTGACAGCCTTATGTGTGGATAATCTTTGTGATGTGTTAATAAGGGTTATAAAAACTAACTATGAATATATGAATATACATATACGTCTTAAAAAGGCTGGCTCTGTGGTTGGACTCAAGCTGGACTCAGTGGAGGATGTGGTGGAGAGATCTACACTGAAGAAGGTGGAGACTATTCTAAAGAACATGGATCACCCACTTCACAACACCTTGATGGACCAAAGGGCCCATAGTGGTGGACGGCTCCTCTCTCTTTGCAACAGGACAGAAAGATTCAGAAGATCTTTTGTACCAACAGCCATCAGACTTTATAACTCTTGTGTAAATAGTAGATAACTTTTAGAGACATATTATGTGAGACAACAGACAATTGAATTTCCCTTCGAAGATTAATAAAGTTATTCTTATCTTATAGAAACTATGAACTCTGAAGTGTATCTCTTGTTGTGGTAAGGAAGACAAGTAACAGATGTTCCCACATAAGGTGAAATTGGTTGCATATGGTAAAAAGGAAAAGGGTAATAATTATATTGCAAGGTGAAAATGCTACCTGAAGACAAAACGTCCTGCTGCAGCAGACAGGATCCCGAGAGTACACGTTGTGCTTAATTCCGACGACAGACGGAAACAGAGCTGCATTTGCATCTAAAAATAAGTAACACAGAATAGTGTGTAATACTGCTGTCAGAAATGCCAGAGTGCAGGTTGTAAACCTGACTGCAGACTGTCAGAGTATGCCTCAGTGTTTGCATCAGAATAGAAGCTACAAACATGTTGTATAATATCCTACAAACTAACAATCTTAATGTTGTGTAGCAATCAAGACAACCCTGGATGTGAAACCCACACATTCCTTACAGGAAAGTTTCCTTATCTGGTCCCAGGAAACAGGATAAATCTTTCCAGACGTGTTTGCACTTTCAGGTTAAATAAGTGACCCAACCGGAGGTTGACTAAACCTCTGACTCTTCAGGATTGGTCAGTTCGGCGAACAGAGACAGAGTTTTTATTACCTTTCAAACTGACTCCATTACTGACCATCTAAATAAACATTAACGTCTCAACCCAGATCTCCCATTTGAGATTTAGCGTCTTAAAGTGTGTGAACATACGGACCCCAGGATAAGGGGGGACACTGACCTCCAGACCTCGGTCGTAAAACCCTGCTCGACCATACACTGATAAAGACTGCATTCCTTTGGTGAAAGAATACAAATGACTGATCATGACATCTTATGCATTCAGCAATGTACTAATCTGTCTAATCATGAAATTTGTGTTAAAATGAGATGTTTCCCGTTTTTCTATGTGCTTCAGAAGCCAAGTTATCTTATCTGACAGAATAAATCCTTATTCTTTAGTTCTTTAGACCAACAGCTTTTCAGACTGTTTCATGAACTTTTAAGAGTTAAATTTATTGACTATGAATCCTAAGTTTACTCTAAGTAACAGAAATAGTTTAGAAATGTTTGGTTTATATTTTAGCTATTTATTATCTTAACCATTAGGTGGTTATAATGTCACTGAATAATCTGAATGTGAGTATTTAGAATCCATTATTAATCATGATGACGTTCATTCACATGTGTTTACTCTTTTGTTGTTCACAGTTTCTATGTGTTACTATCTGTTTCATTTCAGAGTAATTTAGCATGTTCAATGTGATACTTAAAACATAATGAGAATGTTTGATGTGATCCTACACTTCATTCATATGTGTTTAGTATCAAATTATTTATCATGAAACCAAGCATTCAATGATATTAATCATAGTGAGTGAGTATCAGATCTGACTCTTTTACCAGCCAAAAGAATAAGTTAGATCAAATAATCAGAGACCCGATGACCCCCTCCTCTTTCTCCTCAGACACTCCCAGTGTGAGAAGATAAAACCAGTGGAGTGGGGTTGCTCACGCTCTTATCTCTCTTATGCTCCTCTTCTCTCTTGTGTGCTGACTCTCTTGTCTCTCTTAGGCCCCTTACTCTTGGGCCCTTCTTTTCTGCCCACACCCTTCTGTGGTGCGTTTCTTTGTTTTATCTTAGAACTTTTTCTTAGTCTTCTAAGTTTTACGCCACGTGTTGATTCACGTTGATTTTTCTTTAACATCGTCTTAGTTCAAGTTTTGAAACTTCAACTTTTTGTGCACATAGCAATTCAAGATTAAGCCTTTGATTGATTTTCCTTTAATTTCGCGAAGCCATTTTTGAAAGTTTTCTCTGCTCTTTGAGCCTCGTTTTTCTGAGTTTTCTGCGTGATTCAAAGTCACCTCTGAACGCAACCCAGCAGGCCCAGGTCATCCTCTGTGCCAGAGTTTTTAAGTGAGACCAAAGAAGTACCCAAACGAGCATCCACAGGATCCACAGGCGCTGGCTTTGCTTCGGGCCCGAGTGCTGCAACTCCTGGCTCATCCTTCGGCTGACTTCAGTCGTCTTCTGAGCTGAACCGCTCGAACCGCCAGTAGCCCGGACCTTCGGAACCTGCTCCATCTTCTCCAAGGACCAGTCTCACTTAAGTATGCAAACCTCCAGAGCTCTAAAGAGGGCTGGTGCTGTCTCATGCGTTCATAACTCAGATATCCACCTATTTCTGGTGATCTTAGATTCCTCCAAATCCACATCCGAGTTTATCTCGACACCAAAGTTAGTGTAGGTTAATATGTTAGCGCATATTCACTCACTATCATTAACTTTAGTGCTCCTAGTCTGACTCAGAATATTTATTTATTCACCTATTATTATTTTATCCTCATTATCTTATCATCATTTATTACATGTGTGTTGTACCATCATTTATCCTGTAATAAACAGATCATTATTTTTCTAAGTTCCTGTCTGTTAGTGTTCTTCCAGAAGTGGAGTCCCTGAAATTAGAATTTCGACTTAAGATATGAGACTGATTAATTAAGACTGATTAATTAAGACTGATTAATTAAGACTGATTAATTAAAACTGACTTGATGTTTGATTTCTGAATTAAACTTTTGTTTTCTTTATTTTCCCACCATTAAGGGTGGGTGGTGCCCCTTTCAACGAGTGCATAAATGTCATAATTTGAGATTATTAATCTTCAGACATTTATTATAAATTCCAATCGCCAAGTATTATTTTGGTGCGGCCTTGTGAGGCTCATTTCAAATCGCTACATATATTTTGGTGCGACCGTATGAGGCTCATTTCAAATCACTACAGTTGAATAATCTTGCTGAATCTGAATTATTTTTGCTTTGAATCTGTTGTAAGTTCAGTGAACAGACACACTTTAAAGTAATGTGATTTTTCAGTTTATTCAAGAATAAATATCAATTCTCTCCATCAGTCAGAGTAACTAATGTGCCAAACATGATTAAATTACTTTGACAACATATCAGATTTATTAGACGTGATCACATTTATACAGACATTAGTGTTTTCAAACAGGTTGCAACACAAACTTCATTGTGGTGTTAATAAAAATACCAATTTTACATCAAGTGTTCAAATATTTCCAGTTCACTTGCTAATTAGTTCACTCATTATAGATCCCATTTCAAGCGTAGTGTATCTGCACATAAATTAGTATTGCACACTCTGCCCTCTATAATAACTATACTGCATTACTCTCAGGGATGCAAAGTGACAGAAAGAAAGGGGTTTAAATATTACCTTATTTCACTGTTTCACAAAGCAAATATTTATTTTATATTAATCTGTTATTTATGGCATTAAAATCTCTGAGACAAGTCAAATCACATAACATTTTTGTATATGCTTTTAGACCCAATGACGAAAATGTACACTTCTCTGTGACACCAGAGACAAACATAAAAGTGAATTAAAAGGATTTTTGTTGTTGTTGTTACCCTGAGAAGTTATTTGCCCCGAACCTGTTCAGTTCCTTACAGGACACAGAATAAAATACAGGAATAACTGCCGGCTTGTACCGATCTGACATTTATTGATAAAACGACCTCTTAGGAAAATGGATGAGGTATCTGATATTTACATCTCAACAATCAGTATTTATAACAATAATTTCCACAGAGGTCAAATATACAAAATGTTAAAGATTGCACACCGTTGAAAAATTAGTACAAAGAGAAAACACCTCACACTATCATGTTGACATAAAGCTTGAAAACAGGCAGGCAGCATGTACGATTCAAGTAAATGGATGTTTGAGACAGCCTTTGTTTATGTAAAAAACTCAGTCACCTTCAGTAGTATCCCACTACAGCAACATTTAGATGATGTATGGGTCAAATGTGTTTTACCAGTTGTGCTCTAGTGTCTCTTCTGTCTGCTCCTCTCATCGTAAATATTGATATATGAAGAAACAAACTCTAAACTGTAAACAGACTTATTCTAACATGACAGAATATTAGTACTTATGTGCGTTATGACCAAGTAAAGCAGATCAGGCACTCTGATGTAGTCACATACAACAGCCTTGTCTTTTTTTCTGTTAAAAAGTGAGTGATATAGTTAGTGTTTTTAAAACAAACCAGTTTTGTGAGGTTTAAAAGCTCAGCGAATGATGTAGCTGCCAGTCCATATCGTTAAAATAACTATTTCCCGACATCCTTTTAGTTTCGCATTTTAATGCCCAGCAGAGGAATGTAGAGCATTCGCTCAACAACGCAGCTACTGTACCAGGCGAATAGTCCTCACAAATCAATTCAGCACTATTAAGCATGGTCCAGTTAAATAAGGGAACTCTGTTTCTCAAAACTGTGGGAACACAAGACTGCATTTACGACGCAAAAAACAAGAAAGGACACATGACGATGGCTTGCAGTGAGGTTGATTACGTGGACTGTTAAAAGTTGATATGCTGCATAAATATTCATATAATTATAATTTAAAACGTACTGTACATTACATTCCAGTTGCTACAGACACTGTTTTATTCCCTACACTATCTTACAGTGTCAGTTATTAGGAAGCACATTCTCAGATTAAGCCCAGTAGAAGATAACTAAACCCTGGCAGTGATAGTGCAACAGCCACTGGCACGACTGACGACCACCGGGCCAGCTGCCCGCTGTTCAGGCCTTGATTTCCGTTCACATTTCGTCCTCTTCTATGAGAAACACTTACTTCACTTCTGAGTAGGTTCAGATGCTGCTGTCGCCTCTTTTGGAGCATCTGTGTTCCCTTTGAATTCTGAGATCTCCTTTACTGACTCTGTTTCACCCTCTTTGGGAGGGAACATCCATGCCAAAGCAGCACCAGCTGTGCCGTCGCCACTCTGACGAGAGAAGCAAAGAAAGGTGGCCCAGACGAACGCACAGCAGCCGGTGAAGGTGGTCCTCACATACAGAGGCATGAAGGTAAAGTTCAGAAACTAAAAGAGACAGAAAAATGAATCCATATCAACTTAAAGACAAAATATCACAGTTAGGTCAGCACTGTTATGACAAATAATAACTTACTCATTCCGTCCTCAGTGTGGACAGTTGTGCGTCATTTCAACAATTTCACACAAGAGGGAGTGCTGGAGTGTTGAATGTTAGCATGGCTGTGATTTGGTCACAGGCACAAGGCGAAAGAATGACTGCCAAATATGATCACAGCCATGCTGAGATATTATCAAACACAAAATCATAATGTCCTGTTTAAGATAGCTCATAAATATGCGAACAGCTGCTCTGTTTTTACTCATGTTTACATTTATTTTGATCTCCTAACACAGCCGACTCATTAACTTTAAAGCAGCCTTCCTCAATTATCGCCAAAACCACATGAACATTGAAACTCATGGTACATATTTCTGTCTACAGAGCAGCAGCTTTAGATTTGGTATGTTTTGTGTTTTAACAAATCATAAAACCGATGAAAAACAGGAGCTTTATGACTCTTAGTTGCCTGTGAGATTCATCAGTAACAGGACATGTATTGGTCCAAAGGTTAACATGTAAATTTGAGAGAAAAGTCATATTTACCTGCATAAATGGCCAAAACATTAGCCCCGTCTGAAAAGTGACAAAGAGAAAACACACAAATTATATGCAGATGACTCAAAAATTCAGAAACTTAATCCCTCTCTTTGTATATTTGTGGATGTGTCACAACAGAGACTAAGAGAGCCGACACTAGAGCTCTGCTCATGTAATGATTGACACCACCAAGAAGACGGAAGCGAGTCAATGTTAGACGTACAATGACAGTCTGTCTTTGCAGGAACTACTCACCCTGTATGTGTTCAGGAACTTCTCTCTCCAGTCTTCTGTTATGTCCTCCTTGCCCTCCAAGAAGCTGACACCTGGGTGACAAATAGAACAGGTGACTGCTGGGAAAGGGTTTAACTGATAGACAGTTCATAGACAACGTTAGAGGACTTTTCACACACTATGAACACTGAGTATGTGTTAAGTAAGATATAAAGTAATCACTATGATGCTGTTTCATTCCATGGTTTCCAAAACTGTTACCAGAAACAAAATCTGCAGCTCCCAATCTTAAATTACAAAAACACAATGCTCATTGTTTTGATTATGGATTAGGGTTGCAGGCTGACCCGTTTTTGCTCATTTATCCGCAAGCTAGAGAATAAAATGAATATGAACACTTCACTTTACCACAAACCTAGGCTGCTACTCTTTTTCATTAAAAGCATTTAAAGGGATATTCTGACGTAAAATTAATTTAGGGTCAGACACACTGTAACACCGAGTTAGACATCCCGTCGAGAGATGAATGTTGCCGGCCGCTTGCTTCTCTAGTTATACCAACTTTTGTAACGACCACGCGAAAGCAATACACAGCGGTCTGACGAGCCACACATAAACCTCAACCAAAACATCACTCTATCAAACCTTCAATCGGCAAATCAAACCTTAGTTCTTCTGCCTTAGGGTCTCGGTCCAATTGCATTTCCATAAGGTAATGATCATAAATGTTCTTCCTTGAGCTGCGAAACTCCGCTGCAATGGATTGGCCTAAGGTGTTTGGTGGCTAGTGCTGTGGCTGGGACCCTATATATACTGTTGATGAAGTTAGGTGCTGTTCTGAGCATTATTTGTGGCTACAGAGTGGCGTTTTGGTTGAGGTTTGTTTATGGCTCCTCGGACCACTGTGTATTGCTATCGTGTGGTCATTACTAAAGTTGGTCTAACTAGAGAAACAAGCAGTCAGCAACAATCATCTCTCGAGGGGTGTCTAACTTGGTGTTATGGTGTGTTTGACCCTGAATTAATTTTACGCCGGAATATCCCTTTAAGCTGAGGACTAAATCGTGATGTTTGTTTCACTATCTTCACTCTCGCGCACTCGTGAGCGAGCGCAGGGCCGTCAAATCAAACCTTATCAGCAAACAGCGTCACTCTGCTCTGTGTTGTCTTTCAAATGACCTTTACTAAAACACAAAACCACTCCTGATTGTGTCTCTGCAGGATCAGACCACCGTAAAGTCCCGGATCGGTTACAAATTGACGGATATATGATCTGTGGGGAAGTTAACCATTAACTCCCCGACAGGCTCCCACTGTGACCGGGGCAGCCGTGGAGTCAAACAACCCACCGACCTGTGTAGAAGACGCTGGTGGCCAGGGGAGCCGCTGTCGTCTGGTCCAACAGCAGCTTCCTCATCACCATCTTGGCAGAATTCCCAGGAAACCTCCTTTCCAGGAACCGCATCCAGAAGAAATTGAAGTTACCATGGAAACTGAACGCCACGATGGCGACGTTTCGTGTGTGCGTCCAGTCCATTTTCTCTCTGTGAGAGAACCATTGGTGGACGAAGTCTCCTCCGGCGAACAGGCAGCCGTACAGTGTAACGTTGGTGACCCACGGGAAACGGCGGACGTGTCTCAAAAACGCCTCTCGCATTTTTGTTTCTACTATTCCTGCCACAAGATAAAAATTCTCTGTGATTTTTATCTCAATGTTGCTTCATTTTGAGTTAATTCAGTCCACAGGCGTCGTCTCCGTCCGCAGGTCTTCGTGCCATCACTCATACTTTACATTTTCAGTTTCAATGAAAAACGGCGTTTTAACCTTTTTGACAGAACTCTGCATATAACATTACCACATAGGTCCCCGAAAAACGGCACTCTGAGTCGGGATACTCGCTCATCGTGTGCCAACCTCCACCCGGGACGAGACTGGAGTCCACGGCTATCCGGGTCCCTTCATCCTGCGTACTGTCCCTGTACGCCCCTTTCACGTAAAAACGTGGAAAAACGTGGAAGAGGCGGGGCATGCAGGCTGAAGGGCGGAGTATATGTGCAAACACTGCACGCACTGAAGAGAGATCATCAATCTAAAGCAGTGGTTCTCAACCGTTGGGTCCCGACCCAAAAGTGGGTCGCGGACACGTTCTGGATGGGTCGGTAAAAGCTGGTCAAAAAAGTAAATATTGATAATATACTGATGTTTGACGTGTCTTTTATTTTGAAAGGCACACGTTATGTTGTGGTCCTCCTCGGTTTCTTATAAATGGGGCCTGAATGCAGTAAAAATACACGTTTTTTTTCTTTTTAATTTGTGCAATTTGATATTTGATCAAATAAAATAAGGATTTTTGTAATTGTACGCATCATGTAGATACACAGTGGCTTTGCGCCTTTCTTCCCTGCCCTCTTTTGCAACGTAATGATGTCACTTCGCCTCGAACGTAGCATGAGTTACATGAACGTGATCCTACGTTCAGATATTCGTACGCATTAATGGTGAATCGAAGACACATTCGCAGTTCTGACAGTAGCACTGTTTCCAGAAGTGCACAGTTTTTCTATTTAACAGTCGAAGAAAATAGTCCTCAAGGATAATATGCTGTGTATTTGGAAAAGGAAGCCCCCAACTTAATCCCTCATATGAAATAGTGAACTTCCTTTTATCCACAGACATCTGGAGCTAGATATGACTAGTTACATTCATTTAGCAGGAGATACAGTTGAAATAATTTGCACTTAATTCTTTAAGCACCTGCAACCTTTAATAAACATTGTGTGAAAGGCATTATACAATGAATGGTGATTCAACAGGAAAAAAAACAATAATGTAAAATTATATCTTGTCAAATTCAACAAGAATCAATACCATTCCTTGTAAAAGATCACTGTACAAATTTACACGACCGACCTCATGTAGCATACAAATTTATAGCCCAGTATGCAGCGGTATATACAGTTTGTGATGATGAACAATCTCTCAAAGGGGCTGTGCATTAAAAAAAATAAAATTTGTCAAAACTGTGCAATAATACAGAGTGTAGCATAGAGTACTTTTTCCACAGTTTTGTTAGTGTTTCAGTAAATATATTCCCCACCTATGAGTTCTGTTTGATGTCCTGTTTGATAAGTAAGCACTGTAGAATACTGAAACAATGCATGTCAATGTCCATCAACCAAATGGTGTCATGGTTCATTTTACATGCTCTGGAAAAAATTCATGCTTTTCTGACTTGGAACCTGCGTGCAAGAGAAAAGATTTGACAGCCTTGAGAACCCAGCAACTAACATTAACTGACCTACTTAAACATTTTAAGGCAATTTTATTACATCAGATTTATGAAAGTTTAATTACTAAACCAAAAAAGGGATGTATGTGATCTAAAGCGCGGATTTTAAGAACATGCTTGTGTATACCTTTTGGCTAAAAAGATACAAGATCTCAAGTCTGGTCTTAAACTGGGTTTAAGACAACAGTGTGAATCATTTCCTTCAATGGTCAAACATGAAAAGCACAGTAGGACATTGAAATTGACTGGAACACATCATGTTGGAAATAGTTAACTCCACCTCCCAAGAGAGGAAAACATTTACTGATGTTAACATGAACAGAATCCCTTATGCTTCCTCAATTCTAACTACTAGACCAGGCAGGTAAGAGCCATAGAGCACACGCATGGTCAAGTGGGTGGTTTCCTCAGCGTTAAGACACAGTGAACAAAAAGCAAACACTGAGTGGATGGGTCAGTGCGTCTGTTGAATGAAGAGGCAAAAATGGGTAAGTTCCATGTTAAGGGTGAGTTAGGAGTAGGACTCTAGGATGAGCCAACCCTCTCCCAGTCTCCCCTCTCAGTCCTGTGGTAGACCTGCGGCTGACCATCAGGGAAGAGGCTATCAGGGCTGGGGTGCCCTAAGATGAACTGGATGGTGGACTTCATGTGTTGGACAAAGTGTGGCGGCTCAGCCCTCGGGGAAGTGGACAGGTACTGTGCATGAGAGAAAGAGAGAGAGAGTTACCAGCGTTGAGGGAGGTTTTAGGTTATAAACTGAGAGGCTGCTTCGCACTTTCATAAACAGAAGTTGGCACATGACACATTTGAAGGACTATTCATTTATTCTCAAATTACTGTACCTTTAAAATTGTGTCATCATTTTGTGACAACCAGAAGGCAATATCCAGATTTGGAGACCACTTGCAAGGGCCGATTTTAACGAGTCCCTTACTTGAGTCATATATGTCAGCCATCTACAAGAAAGAAAAAAACAACATCCAAACATTTGTTTACAATTTTAGGGAAAATGGCACATCTACACTCAATCTCTCTTTTAATCCCATAAAAACACTTAAAAAATGATTTTTGCATGACATGGCGATATGAAATTATGTTTGTGTCACAAAATACATGATAAATCTACATTAAAAAACAGCAGATGTTTAATATATTATCACACCTGTCCTCCAGTGAAGGTCCTTGCTGAGCGTAACTGTTCTGCAGGTCCTTTATAAGGGAATGATGACGGAAACACATCCCCTGTTTTAACATTTACACCTGCACAGAAACAGAGGTAGACACAGCATTAAAGATATTAAAAGGATATTGAAACACTGCATCACATACTGTGAAATTCAATACTTACCTATTCCATATACAACAGGTCGGTGTGTGCCATCAACAACACTATCATTCAGTTCTTTCAGAAAAAAGAAAGAAACCAAAAGAAAGGTCAATCCAACACAGGTATGGTAAGTCTGTTAAAAACAAACAAGAAATTCTCAACAGGTATTATTGATGTTACCTGTGACGCAGCATGTCTCCAGATGAATATCCTCTTTCTGTTTCTGGAACGCTGCTATAAACGGAGAAAGAGTGTTACAAACTTTAATGCTTCCATGATAATTCAATAGAACACAAGATAATTCAAAGACTATACCCAGGATGTTAAGGCTGAGTTTATGGGACGTTTTTGATTCATCGTTGAAACCCCCAACAAGGTGAAGCTCAAACCTGCACACCAGAAAGCAAAACAAAAGAATTACAAAAGCAAGAATTCTCAAATAGAGTGGGCTCTTTTACTTGATGTGTTTTTCTGTCTCATACCTGCCCTCTTTACAAACTTGACTCAGCGAGGATACAGCTTTCACAAAGAGCGGGACTTCAGACCAGGTGCTGGAGCCATCACAGTGAGCAAGGCAGACAGCTCCACTTCCTGAGAAACAATGAAAGTCAGTCATAGCAAACAAATATGTCACTGATAATATGAACAGTCAAAATAAGACGCGCGGCATGAAGGAAACATTACCTGTGTGTCGCAGCACAACTAAATGGCAGGTGGTGGCATCTTCAGATCCCATTACTGAAACACAGTCTGTGTTGTGAAAGACAAAAAATATAGATTATTTTGATCTAAGGTACATAACTAAATTTACCAAGTATAGTAAGTTAGTAAGTAAGTACGTAAACTTTATTTGTGTAGCACTTTTCATAGACAAAATAGTCACAAAGTGCTTCACCTGACAAAAATATAAATGTACATACACATTAAACAGTCATAGCAGCCCCAAAACAATTAAACAAAAAAGCCTGAGCAAATAAACCCTAACCCATCAGCAGATTCTGATCCACGGACCTCAGAGCCCGAGGGGAGGTGTAAAGCTGGATCAGATCACAAATGTAAGATGGAGCCTGACCATGCAAGGCTCTAAATGTTAGGACCAGAATTTTAAAATTGATCCTAGAGGACACAGGCAGCCAACGTAGAGCTTTAAGAATAGGGGATATGTAAGTCTTCCTATTAGTTATACAAAATCCAGAGTTCCTGACAAAGTTTAGCTTTGACCACAGAGAGAACATCCAAATTCAACACACCCTGACCCACCCAGGATGACGCACAGACCTCCCAGTCGTTACATCACAGTATTAACCAGTGAGTCACAAGTTTTCTTTTTAGAGAAAGAAAATACTAAACAATCGGTCAAACAAACGATAACTTTTCTCATGTTAGTTATCTAATATGGGTCTTTTTTGGACAAATAAACTAAATCTGCTGGATATAAAAAACAACTCAGTGCTAATACCTGCTCAGTATTCTTTGGCGACATGCTTGACTTTGCATACCAGAACCTGTGTCTCAACAGTTTCAAAATTTGTGTAGACCTGCTGATCCTGGGTGGAGTTTTTTACTCCCAAGACTATTTTTCTTCAGCAGCAGGTGACAGCTTGAGTTTTTCCTGATTGTGGCTTTAACAGGACTAATATAATTTAGTCCTGCTGTAGTCCACCATTGGACAGGGCAAACCTGATTGATAAAACCTCTTATATCACGAAGGGACTTTGTAATAGGAATGACATTTTCCATCCAGAAAAATTGCACCACATTTCATAAAGACACGACATCACTAAATTTTCTTTTGTGTGTCCGTCGCTCTGTCACAGACTGTGGGATGGTGAAAATATTAATGCTGCCGTAACAGAACCTCTCCGTCAAACAACATATCAACCACATCACAAGAACTACCTATTTCCACCTCAGAAACATCGCCCGCCTCTGCCCATCACTCTCCCCCCCCAGCTGCAGAAACCCTCATCCACGCATTCATCACTTCAAGACTGGACTACTGTAACAGCATCTTTTATGGCTCATCTTCCAAACTCATCAAAAAACTCCAGACCATCCAAAACTCTGCCGCCCGTCTGCTCACCCACACAACACCCCTGTTCTCCAAAATCTCCACTGGCTCCCTGTTAAAATCCTTCTCCTCACCCATAAAGCTCTTCACAATCAGGACCCCTCCAACATCAGTACCCTGCCCCACCGCCACAAATAAAAAGAAATATTATTATTATTCCTAAAGAAGAAGGAATACATATTTTAGACTTCAAACATGAGTACATTTTTTGTATGATTTTGTATTGACAGGTGGATGATGCCCACACCTGTGGGCTTTACTCACTGTCTGCTGGTGTTGTTGCAGCAAACTCTCTTTGTTGGACATACAGGAGGCACTTAGGGTCAACATCAACAAGTGGCCTTGACCGAAATGTTCTTGCATTTTCCTGTGACAGATCAGTACAGACATGTAATCACAGAAATAACATTACACCACAATGTCATGAAGGACTGGCAACATTTCCGGGTGTGTGCAAACAACACAGTTTTTACACACAACGTCCAGCCCTAGAGCAATTGTATACAGTAAGTTATTAAGATAAGTTGGCCTAAAATAACTTAAAATACGGTGGTTGTAGCAGGCTCGGGGAGCTAAATTTAGCCTTCTTTTCAGGAAACAAACCTGTAAATGCGGGAATCTGTCGAACAGTTCCGCTGTCGAGTTTATGCGGCCAATTCCTCGGTTCTGAATTAACAAAGGCATTTCCGGACCAAGGCGAGTCACCGTCCAAAATCAACTCTCCATCATTTTCCTGATATTAAGATCATGACACTGTTTTTATCATCTCGTCAGCTGACTACACATTACTACAGCCATTAAAGCACCTCCTAGAAGACGGTTTTAACGGGTTGTAACCACGACCTGGAAGGTGTTTATCGCCCCCTACAGTACCGGTGTACGCACTGTTGGTCCCAACCACAGTCCCAACTACTTCACAGAGAAAAGTGTATTGGAAGGAAGGAAGGAAGGAAGGAAGGAATAAATAAATAAATAAATAAATAGATAGATACTGATAGTAGTTTGGTAAAAAATAAACTACGAAACAAGGCAATTTCTTCAAAACAATTCACCACTGCTCTCAGTTACGTTGACCTTTCCCCTTGTTGTCCCCTATACCTTTTTTCCCTTTTTTTGGGGTAAACGTTTTATTATTCGTCAAAATACAAACATTAAAGGCACATTGGTGATATTTAGAGTATAAAGTGTTGAACCAGCTGAACATAAAAGAAAAAAAAGAAAAGAGAATGTGAGGGTCTTATTCTTGGATAGTAAATAAGGTGAGTCGAGAAAACAGTTTCAGGGCACTTTTGTTTTTACATGTAGTTTAAAGATTTTATGTATATTCTGAGTTCGTTTATCCATCTATTGAAGTGGGGCTTCATCTTGAGGTGTTGTCCCCATTGACTGTATATACTATATACTATATATGCAGTCTATGGAATCATAATCAGAATGTCCTTTATTGTCATCATACTAAAAGTACAACGAGATTGGAGAGCTTCTCCTTTTCCAGTGCAAAGGCAAGTAAAAATAAGGTAGGAAAAGTACAAATAGTCATAAGAAGGTAGGTACTATATATACAAGACAAGAATTCTACAGAACAGTAAAATAAAATGTATGAATAAGAATAAAATCGAAAGATAAATACTAAAAAGAAATACTAAAAATAAATATATACGTGTGTTTATATATATATATATATGTACATTTTTCATATGTATATGGACATGGACATGGTTGTCCCCTATACTGTCCTTTCAGATCATGTTTTTCCTGTTTCAGTTATTTTTTAGTCCTTCAGCAGAATTTAACATCTATCTGAAGTTTACACACTCTAAAAACAACTCTGATAGACTTTAAACATTCAATCTCTATTGCAGTGGTTCTCAACTGGTCTCACTCTGGGACCTACATTTTCCCATGGTCCTTAAGTCGTGACCCACTTTTATAAAATTCAAACTAAGTAAATAATTTCTCATTAAAAACACTTTTAAGACTCAAATCTTTGACATAAATACACCTGTCTGATAGAATAAAGTGCATTTCAGAGCACATGAACTGAGGACGACAACTACTGAAGTTGCATATACAGAAAATATCAAATATCAAATTGCACACAATGGAGACCAGCAAAATGAAAAAAATGACTTATTTGTATCTCTGCATTCAAAGCATATTCAGAAGAACCTGAGGAGGACCATGCAACAACATGAACAGAAGTGAATAAATATCAAATTGCAAAAAATAAAGACCATAAAAAAACATGTAATTTTACTGCATTCAGGCCACATTAATAAGAAACCGAGGAGGACCACAACATAATGTGTGCCTTTCAAAATAAAAGACATGTCAAACATCAGATGTTCATTAAATATCTACTTTTTTGACCAGCTGTCCGCGACCCACTTTTGGGTCGGGAACCACCAGTTGGGAACCACTGCTATTGGATTTACATTAACAACAACACAGCGTATTATCCTTAAGGACTATTTTCTTCGACTGTTTAATAGAAAAACGGTTTGTGCATTTCGAGAAACAGCGCCACTAACCTTCAAAACTGCGAATGTGTCTTCGATTCACCATTAATGCGTACGAATATCTATACGTAGGACCACGTTCATCTAACTCGCGTTACGTTAGGTGCGTAGTAACGTTGTTACGTCGCTAAAGAGGGCAGGGAAGAAAGGCGCAAAGCGATTGTGTATCTACGTGACGCGCACAATTAGTGTTTACAAAAATCCTTATTTTACCGTAAAAATTGTGCCGTAAACGGTTTGTTGTAGTTTTGAAAGTTATAACGGAGTATATTGTGCAGCCCAAAGCGGAGAACAACGTCCGGACGAACCGCTGACAGACGTCGAAGCGAACGGAACAAACACCGCGGGGAGGACAGACAGACACCAACATGAGAGGGGGTTCGTCTTACGGCGACAGAGACAGGGACCGTGGAAGAGACAGGTCAGTTTTAGGTCATATATCCAAAGAAACAAATCTTGATACATTTAATAGTTTTGCATAAAGTCTAGACATACCTGAAGGTTTGATACAGAACCGCTGCAGCAAGTCTTCCTCTAGTAGTAGGCCTGAAAATAAACACGAAAGCATTTTCCCAGGGTTTGTTTAAGGTTGACTCATCCAAAAATGCACAAACTTCTAATCTATAACTTTATATCGGTGTAACATTAATCCATGTCAAGATGGCGCCCTCATGTTATCTCTTCCGTCAGTAGCCTGCAGCACAAACAGATCAAACCCCACAGTTCCTTCATATCTGTTATTTTATCACAACTGCCCATTTGAAAGACATCAAAAATTTGATGTGTTTGGAAACTGGGTGTAAAATTTACAAATCAACAAGAATACACCTGATGAGAAATGCAACAGTGTCCTCAAACAACTTCACAATATTTATTTAGGGTCACAACATACTGTCAATGATCCAGCAGCCACTTCTTTAAAGGGATATTATGGCGTAAAATTAATTTAGGGTCAAACACACCTCAACACCACCAAGTTAGAACCCCCCCCCTCCAGAGATGAATGTTGCCGACTATTTGCTGCTCTAGTTTAACCAACTTTAGTAACGGCCGCATGATAGCAATACACAGCGGTCTAAGGAGCCACACACAAACCTCAACCAAAAAGCCACGCTATAGCCACAAATAAGCCACAACACTAGCCTTAAAAAATCTTTTTAACTTTGTCTAATTTCTTCAGCAAAGAGACTAAACACAACTCACCTACTCTCTTCCAGCAGCCGTTTATTTGTAGCGAGACCTCGGTCCAGTCCGTTACGGACTACAGCGGGGTGACACAGCTCAAGGGAGAACATTTATGATCATTTCTTCGTGGAAATGCAATCAGTCCGAGACGCTAAAGCAGAAGAACTACCGCGTCTGCAGTGCATAGTGATTAATATGGTGATTATTACTTCAAGGAAATGATAAAGAAATTATCATAAATGTTCTTCCTTGAGCTGTGACACCCCGCAGTAGTCCGTAATGGACTGGCCTGAGGTCTCGCTACAAACACGCGGCTGCTGGAAGAGAGTAGGTGAGTAGTGTTTAGTCTCTTTGCTAAAGAAATCAGGCAAAGCTAAAAAGATGGTTGATGATCTAGTGCTGTGGCTACCACCCTGTATGTACTGTTGATGAAGTTAGGTGCTGTTCTGAGCATTGTTTGTGGCTATAGAGTGGCGTTTTGGTTGAGGTTTGTGTGTGGTTCCTCAGACCGCTGTGTATTGCTATCGTGCGGTCATTACCTAGATAGTAGTATAACTAGAGAAGCAAGCAGTCGGCAACATTCATCTCTCAACGGGGTGTCTATTTACGCTGGAATATCCCTTTAACCTCTTGCACCTTTGTAACCCAGGTCACGGTTCGGGAACATGAGTGGTCGCAGTGGCCCCCCACCGATGAAGTTTGGAAATCCAGGCGAGCGTCTGCGTAAGAAGAGGTGGAACCTGGATGAGCTTCCTAAATTTGAGAAGAACTTCTATGCTGAACATCCAGAACTTCAGCGTATGAGTCAGGTAAATCCTCATAGCAAATAATGCTATTTGTCTGGGTTGCTCAGCTCTCTTCAAGGCCTTAACCTGCTGTTTTTTTTCCCCTGTGTTTTATCAAAACACATTTAGTTTGAAGTAGATGAGTTTCGCAGGAAGAAGGAGATCACTCTAAGGGGATCTGGCTGTCCAAAAGCTATCACTGCTTTTCACCAGGCCCATTTTCCTCGTAAGTAAACAATTCATATCTCAAACAATCTCTGGATAACATTAGCTGGTATGTAAACTGGCTTTCCCCTTCATTTTGCCCTAACACAAACTGAACACAGTCTACAAGTGTCTCTGTTTTGTTGACTGTCTCTTTAATTCTCTCGACAGAGTATGTGATGGATGTTTTGATGCAGCAGAACTTTAAAGAACCAACAGCTATCCAGTCACAGGGTTTCCCTGTCGCCTTGAGTGGCAGGGACTTGGTGGGAATCGCACAGACTGGCTCTGGAAAGACCCTGGCTGTAAGTCTGTGTAATACAGTCTTTTTATAGGATATAAGGTGAAAAAAATTGAAATATTTTACCTAATAGTGAGTGACATTGTCAATTTATTTTCTTCCATGCAGTATCTTCTTCCTGCAATTGTGCATATCAACCACCAGCCTTATCTGGAGAGGGGAGATGGTCCAATAGTAAGTTCATTTTTTTTACACATATACTACCATAATATGAGCATGAAGTCAGAGTGTGAAACCTTGTCTCTCTGTCTCCTTCTGATAGTGTCTTGTGCTGGCCCCAACCAGAGAGCTGGCTCAGCAGGTGCAGCAGGTTGCGTATGACTACGGCAAGTCCTCACGGATCAAAAGCACCTGTGTCTATGGTGGAGCACCGAAAGGACCACAGATCCGAGATCTGGAGAGGGGTGGGTTTTGGATATGGAGAGTCCATTTTTGGTTCAGATTATGGTGATGATAATAATAATGAACTTAATTCATACAAAAACTTTAAAAAGCCTGAGGTTGGTGTACAAACTGGTGTTAAACTAATAATAGTGATAATAAAAAATAATTATAATGATAAGACTGAGACAGGGAAAAAGGAAAGGGGGTCCAATGGGAGAGCAGAGTGAAGGAGATTGTCGACTGTGTTGAACCGGTGATTTTTTTGTAGTTTTGAGACGACGTGTGTCTACTTCTTTTTTTAATTTGTGTACTGTAAGGATGCCTGTCCATAGTCCACGCTTCAAGAATGTTTTACAAGCTTTACTGGTTGCAGATCTAGGTTACATTTTCAGCATGCCACAAGTGTAACTCTCTCCTGTGATGTGGATCAGTTATGTGTAGCTGTTCACTCTGTTACACATTCTGCTGACATTCTAGGAAGAGTCCATATAGGGTAACAACACAGCATATTTTAGGAGCTTGAGTAATGTTAAACAGGTGTAGAAGGTCCTCGTTTAGGTCCAGGAGACCCATGGCATCACTAGTCTAGCACCAAAATATCTGAAGTATTCAAGTTACACCGCTCAGACACCCTAAATGGTGACACGAATGGTTAAGAAATCCTCCTAACTTTAACTTTATGCATGATTTTTGTGTTCGACCCTAGGTGTTGAGATCTGTATCGCCACACCTGGTCGCCTCATCGACTTCTTGGAAGGTGGGAAAACGAACCTCAAACGCTGCACCTACTTGGTACTCGATGAGGCCGACCGTATGCTGGACATGGGCTTCGAGCCACAGATTCGCAAAATCGTCGAACAAATCAGGGTAGGAGAAACACTCGGATCACCTGGACTGATGATTTGAAAGTGATCACCTTGACTTAGTCTTCCATGTGTATTCTCTCTGTCTTTCAGCCTGACAGACAGACTCTTATGTGGAGCGCTACCTGGCCTAAGGAGGTTCGGCAGCTCGCTGAGGATTTCCTGCGAGACTACGTCCAGATTAATATCGGCGCTCTGGAGCTCAGTGCAAATCACAACATTCTGCAGATTGTCGACGTCTGCATGGAGACTGAAAAAGACCAAAAGTAAGGAAGCTCAGGAGAAAATGTGTATGACGAAAACAAAACAATGTCCTCATCAGATTATAGGAGTCATGTTTGTACTGCCTGTCTTTATACAGTGTTTAATTAAAGCTCAGTGCAGCTGCTGTTTTATGACCGCCCCCTCTCTGTTTACAGACTGTTCCAGCTGATGGAGGAGATAATGGCTGAAAAAGAAAACAAAACCATCATCTTTGTGGAGACGAAGAAGCGCTGTGACGATCTTACAAGGAGGATGAGGCGGGACGGGTGAGGATTTGTCATCTGTCATAACTTAACAAAATGAAAGAAGTGACAGGAAGAAAGATTCAAGTTTTTTGATGGACACAAGCTATTCAGAGTGATCGTTTACCCCTCCGCTTCTTTGTGTGCTAGATGGCCGGCCATGTGTATCCATGGAGACAAGAGCCAGCCAGAGAGAGACTGGGTGCTCACTGGTAAGAATGCCTGGAATGCAGTGCTGCAACTTTGTAAAAGATCGTTTTTCTTGACTAAATCAGATTTCAGCTGCTGGCCCTGATGAGACGGTGTTGGAAACACAACTTCTGATCTGTTTAATCCAACAGAATTTCGGAGCGGTAAGGCTCCCATCTTGATCGCGACAGATGTGGCCTCTCGTGGTCTGGGTATGTCCGCTCACACACACACAGTTTCTACTGCGTAACCTGTCACATTTTACTGTCCCCTGTGAGTTATAGTTTACCCTGTAAATATATGAGGTGAGTTATACACTGACTTGATCCTAACACAACATTCGGTGCAGAACTGTCAGTCTGACCATTATCAGGTCATGAGGATTGTTTTTCATTGAAACTTTTTCTTAATGAAGGTTTTTCAAAATGTCCTTTACTTTTCTAAAACTGCATGCTTTAAAAACAAACATTATTGGGCAAAGATAGCAATTTAGGCCCCCCAGGTAGTCCACATTGCAGTAGTTCCAGGTTCAAATCCTGGTCCTGACCCTCTGCCGCATGTTCTCCCCCTCTCTGTCCTCCCCACGTTTCCTGTCTCCTTTCAATAAAAAGTGAAAATGTAACTTATTCAGAGAAAAACATCACCTGTTATGTTTACATATGAAAGTACTGAAAAGTACCAAAGCCGATGAAGAAAAAAAAGGTCCACTCTCATATCTCCAACCAGAGACTTCTGCCAGGGACTGAAAATGGTCCATGTGCCACAGAGATCATGAACCTTTTGTAGGAGCTAAGTCGATACTCTACGCTGCTGAGATTCTTGACCCAGAGTAACCTTGTTGACACTGATTTCTTACTCTACCATGAGTCATTGATGATCATTTAAAACCCGGATGCTGTCCCTAAGATGCAGCGAACAAAAATTTATTGTGATGAACATCGCCTAGATCCATTTTGCAATTGATATGGAGCAACACTGAACAAAGAAAACACATTTAGCCCCACATCGATCAAAAACCTTTTGCCCTTCCAGGTCAATCACCTGCTCACAACAGTGACACAGCTACCTTTATCCCTGAGCCCCAGATAATAGGACAGCGACACCTAAGGCATACAAAGTGAACTGCAACTCATTTTATGGTATCACATCAACATATTTGACTCCTACACCCTTTAACCCTTTTTTTCTTCTAGCATAATATTGAAACAGGTGCTGTTATTGTTTAATTTCTATTGGTTCACAGGTACAAAATACTGTTATCCTGACAAACCTACTCAGTAACATTAAAGGACTTTTAAGATATGAGTAACTTTAGTCAACACAGAGTTTGAAACTCTCAGAAAGTCCAGTCCATCAGGATTTAGTGATAAATCAACCATGCAAAATATCTCCAGTTAAGGACCTTCCTCTTAAATCATCTACTCGGTCCTGTTTGTAGGCGTTAGGCTTCTGGTCTGCTGGGTTTATAGTCTGTTTCTTGTTACTGCAGTTTAAAAAGCTTCCTTCAACCGCGGGGCTCTCCGGCATGCTGCCTTTAAGAAGGTGTTGTGGGGTGGATGATCCTGCAGACCTTTACCTTAGTCCCCTTCAATAGTGTCAGTTCAAGTCAAAATGAAGATGCTGCTCACAATATCCATTGGTTTCACTTTTGCAGATCCCTATGAGTAGTGACAGCTGCATTACCCCTGATCCACCAAGAGGAGTGCTAGGATCACCAATTTGATATCTGAACTCTTTGGCAGGAGAAATGTGAGAAGAGGGGATGATTGAAAAGCCTTTGACTTGACCGTTTCCTTGTTCTTTTTCCCCTCTTCTCTCTCAGGGTTTGGCAGCACACGGCAGCTGTAACAGTCTGCGCTGTTGTCACTGCCCACTTTGTCACGTTAAGCTCAGTAGAAGCTCAGCTAGTTGCAAAGGGATTATGATCCCTCTTTTGCTACTCGGCTAACTCAGGTCCCCCTGCGCAGTATTGTTTGTAAATCCAACGAGCCTTCCTTGGGAGCAGCCTGAGGTGCCTGTTTGTCTGCCCATCAGTCCGTTCCAAAGAGCAGACAGACAGGGGAGAGAGAGTTAGACGGGCTCGTCTGGATCCAGTCCTGGCCAGGGTCTGAGGAGGGCCCTGCAATGCGGCGAGAGCAACAGAACCAGCCGTTGTGTCTATCTCTTGAGGTTTAATGGTTCTGCTCCCACCCAACGTTGCTGGACGGGATGAATCCTGTCTCCCTCCCCCCTCAGCCCCTCCCTATAAACCAGGACTGATAAGGGGGGACCGACTACCTATGTTAAAACTGCATGAAGGGGGTAAGTACTTCGCCACCCCTTTCTTTTAACTTCTTCATTAGCTCTACATACACTAAGATACTTACATCCTGCTCATGATCAAGTCAAAAGAAGAGAGATTTATGCCAGCTCATGGTCATTCAGTGATTCCCTGGGTGATGGTGGATTGACTGGGTGAGGTACTTGTTGATCAGCAGTGCTGTCAGAGCCCCAATGTCTCTGTAATAAGAAACAGACTCTTGCCTTCACACTGTAAATTCCCGGTGTGAAGATTATCAAACCAAAGTATTTCAGCGTTGTGCTGGCCAGAGAGCATGACAACCTGAAGTCCAAATCCAGTTTGTAGAGTTTAAATGAGTTTTACAGTGGTGAGTTTCTGTAATGAGTCTTTGGATATCATATGAAACAGGTAAGTACTCAAGACTTCATTTATATTTTATATTTTTCCATCTTTAAATACTATCAACAAACTCCTCGTCCTGCAGCTTTATCCCTCTCGTGACATTTCCACTTCTCCTTCTTCTTCCAAAAAGACGTGGAAGACGTCAAGTTTGTCATCAACTATGACTATCCCAACTCCTCGGAGGACTACGTGCATCGTATCGGTCGTACTGCACGCAGCACCAACAAGGGCACTGCCTACACCTTCTTCACCCCGGGGAACCTGCGGCAGGCCCGGGATCTTGTTCGGGTGTTGGCCGAGGCCCGGCAAGCCATCAATCCTAAACTGCTTCAGCTGGTGGAGTCAGGACGAGGCGCAGGAGGGGGTGGTGAGGATTGTAACGTCCATCATACCAGGAAACAGACCTGAAGAGAGGTTGACACAGGGCTTGGCACTAACTTTTTTCAGGAGAAGCACACAAAGAACTTTAGGGGCACAACGAAAATTGATAAAATAATGTTTGTCTTTTTTTGAAATTAATTGAAATAAATTTTAGGTCAACTGGTCAAATGACATGAAAACTATTGAAGGAAAACAGCCTTTTTTTCGAGAACATCAACCGGTAATTTATTGACGGTCCCTTATTCAACACCTGACTTTGACAGTGAGGATGCCGAGTAGATTTAACCGCGCTGCTGTCACTATTCCAGTTTATGACACTGGTAGATCGGCAGTGAATGTCCATCGAATATCCAACCTGAAAGTAACTTCACCGCGGTATTTACATAAAAAAACATTTGTTGCCTCGGCTGATTTTTTTTTTTTATTCGCACACATGTCCTTAAATACATTTTACAGTTCACACACATCTACTTTTAGTCGCTAATGCGAGTGAAACGGTCGCACCGTGGAGCCCTGTGACATAAGTTTTAGTGTATGATTGTGTGTATAAAGTGCGTTTGTGATGCGTTGCAGGGGGCAGGATGCGTTACCGAGGCAGCAGCTCCAACAACCCCAACCTCATGTACCAGGATGAGTGCGACCGCCGTATGCGCTCTGGCGGAGGAGGAGGCGGCGGCGGCAAAGACAGCCGCAGCGGCTTTAATCGTGACAGCCGCAACAGCCGTGACGGAGACCGCTCCTCCTCCTCTTCTTCGTACAGGGACAGAAGCCGGGATCAGAGGGAGACCTACAACTCCGGCTCAGACCAGTACCAGAGCTACAGCAGCAGCGGGGGCTACAACTCCCGCAGCGCAGGCCAGTCTAGCGGAGGAGGGGGTCGGGATCAGTCTAATCAGCTGCAGGGTCCATTCGTCCAGCCCCCTCCACCTCCTCCTCCACCATCAGGGGGGCCGCAGCCTCTGATGGCTCAGCAGTTTGCTCCACCACAGCCACCTTTAATGGGCTTCATGGGGCAAGCACCTTATGTATTTTCCTCTCCGCCGCCTCCTCCCGGACCTCCACCTCCCCGTAAATAAAATGATAAGACAGGAGCACTAAGATCATTTGTACTTTATTTTTACTTATCAACTCTTTTCCTCCCCAAGAAACGGGGGTAGCAGAGGGTGTATATCCAGAGCGATAAGGGCTCAGTTTGTTTTGTACTTTTCTTACACCCCGTATAAGTGGATTAAACTTTCATGTAGAAAAGAAAACCTAGAATTTACTCATTATTATTTTTTCATTGATTGACTGTCGCTCTGCGTTGAGCAGTCACTCTACAATCTCGTGTGGAGGAATGAGTTCATATCGATAAAACATTACCGTTCAAGTGTTGTTCGTCAGGATTTGGTCAGAATGAAAATCGACTCACGATGAGGCCTCTGTGGTACATTAGAGGATGCTGATCATGCAAAAACTGTTAAACTATAAAGTTACCGTCACATTCCAGAGCCGAGTCTCACCTTAACTTTATCAAACACCAAATGACTTATCTTTGACCCCGATTCTTTTATCCAAACTTAACTTTTCACTAACTTTGTATTATAGTTATCGCATTTATTTTAATTTGGTGTCGACAAACACTTACAAATGCATCCTAGCTTTAAAAGATATTCCTTTAACTTTGAAATCATTCAAACTAAAGTTTGACCGTTTTTGTTCTAAACTCCGCCTTCAGCCCTTTTTGTAATGCATGTCTCTAGTTCTTCCTGTCTTTTTACACACTTGTAGCAGCTTTACTCAGTTATCATGAGAGTCATTTTCATCAGAATTGTTAGCTAATCGCAGTTTGTTGCTCGTTTTCCTCTTCTGTCATTGTCTTATTTTTATAAATGTTTTCTTGAAAAAATAAATTGATCAAAACTGGATGAACCACTTTGACTGAATTCCTGATCACATCATTTACACGTCATACAAGTCTGTAGAATTGAGTTTATTTGTTGAAACACATTTGGATGTCCTTGCTGTTGTGTAGACGATGTAATGAAATGAGAGGAGCTCACACACTTCTACAATGATATAAAGGTGTGTCACAACACCGTATTTGTTCCCGAATATACGAAATCTTGCCAGTCCTGTTACTGTGAGAGAGATTGTCTGTATCGTCTGTCTGAGGGTCTGATCATGTTACTGTAAGACTAAACAAAAGTTTGCATGTTGTGAAGGGAGAGTGGAAGACACTAAAAATCCATGATTGTGTGTGTGTATGTAACACACCCTTAATAATGTCTCAGTGGAGTCAGAAAGAACTTCCCTCACATTTATATGGTGGCCCTGATGTGCAAAACATGACAGCGACTCAGAAAACACAAAAACAAAACACAACGACTTTCACCAAAACCAGAAACGTAGTTAGATGTTTTCTTTTTGTTTTGCACTTTCTGATTTGCAGTTGTGTTTTGCACCTCAGGGCCCCCGTACATTTCAGACAAAAACCTCTTTTGTTTTTAGTCTTTTTGGCTCCATCAAAAGGATGAAATATTAGAGGATATTACATAAGCATGTTGAATTTACTTTAAAAGGAAAAGCTCTGTTTTTCGATCTATTTTCCCCATTTTTCATAGTATTTTCATTTTTTGTTTGTCGGACTCATTTTTTTTCTTGTCTTTTTTTTCAGACTATTTTTTTTTGTAAAAAAAAATATATATATATATATATATATATATATTAGCCAAAGAAAAAAAAATTGCCTGAAAAACAGGGCAAAAAATTCGCCCAAAAAAATGAAAAAAAAAAATTTGGGGGAAAAAAAAACAGCAAAGAAACAAAAATCAGAAAAAGAAAATGAATGAGTCTGAAAACCAGAGCTGTTTTATATATTTATATATTTTTGTAAGTGAATGGAATAAGCTTCTGTAGGATATAAACTCAGCCATCAGCTCAAAGTATTTTCAAGAAGTAGCATCTTTGGAGTACGGAAGAGGATTAGGGCCAAAAAAAAAATGGTCTGATATATTATAATTATTATTCTGAAATTAAAGTCAGAATTCTGACTTTAATCTAAGAATTCTCACTTCTTTCTCAGAATAATAATTTCAAAAAGTTATATCTTACCTTTTTTTTTCCAGTGGCCCTAATCCTCTTCCATATTGGAGTCATTTTTTTCACAACAGCAAAAACATAAATACACAATCGTAGGGAGGTCAAACTTTACAATAAATCATGCTGGAGGCTGAAAATGTTTAATATCTACCATCTGAGCCATGACAGTTTATTAAATGGTTACTGAGAGGACTTTGTGTTGTTATTATTGCTCATCTTCTATACAGTCTAAGAAAAGGTTGAAGCATCACTAACTGTAAAAGAGAAAAAACAAGCTCAGACCTGTGTGACCACGGGAAAGTTGACTGACAGTGTTAGAAAGAAGCCTGTTGAAATAACCAGCTGCTCTGTGTGATGGCTCTATAACTCTTTAAATCAAACGTCTGCTTTCATGTTAACAGAAGACAGTTATGAGTTGAATTATTAGCACTATATTTTTAGTATGGTGTACATCCGAAGCATATCTGAGAACCAATCTGCCTCCAATCACATTTTATTTTAATCTTTAAGATCCTTCAAAGTGATCACAAATTTATAGTCCAATCAACCGAAAGACCGCGTATGTTAGGATGGCTCTGCGATCCCGTATGGAGTGTTATTACTCTCTCAGAGAAGGTACTGATCATAGAAACACAGATCAAACTCATCATCAGTATAAATATATACAGAACAAACACAATCGAAGGGTTCATCCCAGGCACATATGGTAGAATCAAACTGGATGCCTCGCCTCAGGACCACACACGTCCCTCTGGGCAAATAAACAAAGAACAGGTGGCAAATGAAAAGAGAGACTGTATTGTAAAAAGTGAATGTGCACAATTTTAAACAAGTGTGTGTTAAGTTGCGTAATATAACTCTTGAAATCAAAATCCTGAGTGAAATAAATTCTAAATAAAAATCTTTTGAAGACAAAGAAAGTGCAGAAATTAAAAATACATTTCATTTTTTTGTTTTTTAACCGGGGCAGAGATTTAGTGCCCTTCCTTCAAAGTTGATTTCCACAGGTTTCCTTTGACATGTAAGAGAAGCACAAGGATTGTAGATAATGAATGATGGTTGAACTCGTCTTCATGCTCTTGGTGCTTCTCTACAAGTCAATCCTGCTGCGGAGAGGTCTTTCACAGCTAAGAAACACACAACCGAACACATTGAAAGCATGAGTCAGATACTAAAACACAGACGGCACTTAAAAACAATGTACCCACTCATCACATATGCTACCAGGACAAACCCATTTGGTTCTCCTAAGGCTTTTCCAGCATATAACAACATATTCAATCTGTTTCCTTCGAGCCGTCCCAGTTGGATCAAAGAAAGAAAAACAAACATTTCAAAGATTTGACCGGAATGACAATAACATCAAGTTTCATAGTGTTGGTCCGTACCCGACAAAAAAGAACATGTAAGCGCGGGAGTAACATGGGAGGAGTTTGCATATAAGTTAATCATCATGCTTTATGACCATGAACACCACTGAACACGCCAGATTTTCAACATCGAGAATCACCAACACCGACCGTTTGAATAACTGCTCAGACTTGTAAACAAATTCAAGACCCTCCCTTTCAATCACTTAACAGGCTTCAATTTGAATTATTGACAAATATGTCGCATCCTTCCTCTGATCACTCCCTTACTGATAAATATATTCAGAGTGTGGGATATGTTTATTCACTGTGCAAGGGTTTTTGTATAAAAAAAAAAGAATGTAATGCTTTACAACAGCTGGATCTTATGAATCAAACAAACACATTCAGTTTTCTAAAAGGCTCAACTTTTACCCCGCAGCTCACTGTACTGATTCAATGCATGAGACAGTTTGCTTAAAGTATTTGTTGTGTACCACTTCTAGGAAGAAGGACGAGTTAGACAATGACCGCAGAGATAATTGAATAAGGACAGGAAGGCACAAGATAGAAGTTGATTCCCCACAGCCGGTCTCTCGTCAGTTTGTACGATCAAACCAGAGTTTGAGACGAAGGTGTTGAGCCTCGGGCCAGCGACGACGACGAGGGACAGCTTCAACCAAAATCTAAAGGAAGCAGCAGCAGCAGCAGATCGGATGACAGCAGGTTCGCCGTTCCCGCTAAAGGTTCCCCCAGGTGTGTGGAGGAGGGAACTGGTCAACATCGCCGGATTCGTCGTGAGATTTGTCCCCCAAGTTGAACGTCAGCTTGTACCGTAAACGTACTTTTTCCTAAAATGGAGGAAAAGAAAAGTCTGGATCAGTAAAGTCCACCAAGTACTTTTAATCCGTAAGACCCCCAAACATACAAATCAAATCTTGATCTCAGTTTTTCATTGACTTAACAGAGTAATAATGTAAATGTATCATGAGCTTTGGCTTAAAAAACATCCTGTCAGCAATAGGGCAGTAAAGTTCTGGTCAACTGGTTGACTCATTGGTCGATACGTGCTGAGTCGACCAAAATTTTGATTGGTCAACTCAACATTTTTCCACGTCACTTTACAGTCTGTGGTTAATTTCATCAGGAGGATTGCACCAAGTGCTAGTGGGGGTGTTTTTAGAGCACCCCCGTTTCACAGGTAACAGCCTGTTTCAGAACACCCCCCCCCCTTGTTTTCACCATTTTGGATTCGCCCAACCAACTGGGGACCGACTGTAAACAGGAAGATTAAGGCGTCCAAGTTAATCAACGCCCGGTGGTGGTTTGCTGAGTATTTATTTTTATTTTGAGTGTTTCAACTTTCATCGTGTTAAATTGCCTTTTTGTGGTGATATCGGTATATTTTTCACTCCGCCGAGCCACGTCATCCCCCCACCACAGAACGGTTTGCCGTCAGAGTCTGCAAATTAGTTGATTTTTGGTCGAAAATTTTAGGGTTTTAATCGATCAAGAATTTCTCTGGTTGATCACAGCCATAGAGCGTATATAGAATGGGCGCCGTCTGCCTCCTCGCTGGGTGAAGCCACTCCGAGAACAGCACCCTCTGGTGGCGGGCTGCAGTATAGGTCATAAATCCCGCCTCCTCCAGCAATCTCTATGAAGCTGTGGACAAACTTTAGAAATGAATTACACAGAAAATAAATTTTTCTCCCCCCTGGTTCGATGTTGACATGATGTTTTGAAAAGTTATTAGGGGGTTAATGTTTTCTTTGATTGACACTTGATACAGCCTATGGGCGTACCTCAACTGGGGGATATGCTGTTTGAGCTGAGCGTCATCACAGCGACTCTCCCGCCAAATGCGTATGATGCTACTGCACAATGTTGGTTTTAGGAAGTGGAGAAAAAACGTGGAATTACCGAGAGCTTTTCGGCTCCAAATCCGTTTACTGGCGGAAGGCGGAGCCAAGTTGTCCATAGTATATACCGTCTATGATCACAGCCCTAGTTAGCAAGTAATTAGTAAAAACTGAAGCTGCTGAGGCTCAAGTATTAAGTCGTACTGAATCATTTGTGCCCTGACCATGAGATGTGATCGTTTTTTTGAGTGACATTTCAGGAAAAGTAATCAAAAAGGATCCAGTGTATTGAGGAATCACTCCAGACTAAGGCAGACTCTCTGTGAGATCGTGAAAACCCGTTGGATAAAGCGGCAGAGTACCTTGTGAGGGTTAGCCAGCAGCAGGATCTGTGTGATGGCAGCTGGAGGAAGGATGGGATTAAAGGCTGGGAGTTCCATACTAGAGGGAGGCTGCAGCTTTACCTTCATCACCTAGGCAACAAGACATATGATCATAAAACTGCAGCAACTAGTTATCACACATGATAACATCTTAACTGAGTGGAATAACACTTTACCTTTGGGACCGCTGCCTGAAAGCGAATGTGAGTGACAGGAATGGGAGCTGATGACAGCATGGAGATGATCACCACGAGCACGTCTGGGCGGGACGGAGGACAGTCACGGGCGAAGGTGAACAAAACCCGGAGACTGTGTTTATCAAATACAGTAACTGGTAATAAGCTGCCTGAAGATTTGTAGAGAAGAGAGAAGAACAGAATTTTTAATGTGATGAGGAGTAATAAAGAGGAGAAAACAGCTCACATGTTAGGACCGGTCTGATTGCTTTTTACTTACTAGGTTTGATTGTTTCGAGAGGCACTGTAACCTCAGCCAGAGAGATGTTGTCGTAGGGATCAGCAACAGCGAGTGAGCCTTTCTCGGCGGCTGTGAGACTGAGACCGGATAGGAGAAGAGTGTCAGGCTGTTCTGGCTGGATTTCCAGAGTGGATGTGGGTCCTAAAGGGGCGGTAACGGGACCAGAGGAAGTGGTGGTTGCATTTGGCGCAGGTTTCGAGTTGATGCTGGACTTCTGCAGATCTCGTAAGCTGACTCTGGATTGTGGCTGCAGTTTATCCCTGCATATTGAAGAATACAAAATAGAAGTTTAATGGTGGTAGCACCAAACAACACAGACAGAGCAACAAACAAGACACAGTCTGTTTACCATTTGACCTGCTGGCTCTCTGGAGGGAGGGACTGCTGTAACAAAGTCCTCCCAAGCAGTTCCAACTCTTCCATAGGTTTACTGGGAGCAACGGACCCCGCTACTGGCGGAGCCTGCGTCTGGACAGCCGGTAGCAGCACTGCGGCAGGGAGCGGTGGAGCAGTTGCTTCTGTGCCGACAGAGGACTGAGGGAAAAGGGTCAAAGGTTCAACACTGTAGAAATCCAACAAACAGTTTTTTTGCAAAAGTGTTATGAGAGAAAACACTTAAAGATTGACTCAAAACAGATCTCAGAATTATCTTACAACATGTACCTGGAGGACGTTCTGGAGGTCACAGTTTTCCGTTGCATTCAGGCCTCAAAAAACAAGTGAGAGCAAAGTTTAAGGTTGTTCTAATTGTTGATGGTATAAACATTGATTTTTGTTTTTAACTATTTCTATAACTTGATCACAGTTTCATAATGCAAACAATTCGCTGCTCCTCTCGAAGTTTGTCTCGTTCTTGGCTAAAGGAAAAAAAAAAAAGCTGTGAATGTGTGTGTCGCTTTGTTGTGGTTTAGCCAGATGTGGCCTGCCTCTAAGGATGATGGGATTTAGACGGCTAACCAGTCAGGGGGCCAATGGAAACAAGGTGTAACTGTGCTGAGTAGACTGAGCTGCGCTCACTTTGCTGACTTGTGCTTCGTGGCTTGTTAAAAAGTTAAGCATGGTAATCCACCCCGGTGTTTACGAGCCATGTGAGTGAGTTTGTGCTTACCGAGCGACATGAGTTCATCATCCAGAAGGCTGATTCCCATGTTCTGAGTCAGGGTCTGCAGGGTGGAGGGTGTTGTGCTATCCAATGCATTAAGCCCCATCAGATCAACAAGTGCTGAGCTACTGCCGGCTGATTTAAACAGAGAACAACCATGTGTGATTTTATATTCTTAACAAAGAGCATACAGTTTGCCAACAGACTCACACTCACCAGGCTGTGAGGATGCAGCTGCACCATCTTTCGACACGTCCTCTCCCTTTACCAGCTGTCTGTACAGGTTGATGACCTGTGTCAGGCTGTCGTTGGCCTGTAAGATGTCCGCTATGAGCAGAACAACAACCTCTTAGTAACACAAGAACTGCAATTAAACTGCAGAATAAGCCTGATCACATGGGATTCGTATTTAGAGGTTAAAGGGCTATTCCTGCGTAAAATTAAGTTTAGTCAAACACACCGTAACACGGAGTTAGACACCCCCTCAAGAGATGAATGTTGCAGACTGCTTGCTTCTCTAGTTATACCAACTTTAGTAATGACCGCACGATAGCAATACACAGTGGTCTACATCTCAACGCTTAAACCTCAACCAAAACACCACTCTATAGCCACAAATAATGCTCAGAACAGCACCTAACTTCATTTGTTTGTGGGGGGAGCCCTGACGATTCGATCACTGAGTGCAGCGGAGTTTCGCAGCTCAAGGAAGAACATTTATGATCATTACTTCATGAAAATGCAATCAGACCGAGAGTCTGAGGCAGGAGAACTACTGCATCTGCAGTGCAAAATGATTAATATGGTGATTATTACTTCAAGGAAATGATAAAGAAATGATCATAAATGCTCTTCCTTGAGCTGCGAAACCCCGCTGCAGTCGATGGACTCGCCTAGAGGTCTCTGTATAAACAAACGGGTGCTGGAGGAGAGTGGGTGAGTAGACCGCTGTATATTGCTATTGTGAGGTCGTTGTTGAAGTTGGTATAACTAGAGAAGCAAGCGGTTGGCAACATTCATCTTTTGAGGGGTTGTCTAAATCGGTGTTACGGTATGTTTGACCCTAACTTAATTTCACAGTGGAACATCCCTTTAACCTCCTGAATATCAGCATGTGGAACAGGCTCATAAAAATAATGTCTGCGGAGCAATAAGATCAGAAAAAATACCCAGGGCCTCATCATTGTCCTCTGTATCACTTGCCAGTCGGAAGAGCGTGGGTCTCATCTTTTCACAGCGCTGGTACAGATCCTGCAGACAGACACTCGTCAAACAACACAGAACTGAGAGGCATGAGCAGATTTATGAGACTGTTAGTGACCCTGGTCCGACCGTGCTGAGCTGTACTGACCTTAATGAGCTCCTGGTTGCTCTGGGAGCAGCTCTCCTTGTTGTAGCCCTCCAGCAGCTGGCTCAGCAGGCTGACACTTTCCTTCACTTCCTGGATGGCATTTACTCGCTTTGAAACCTTCTCCACGCGCTTTTGGTCCTGGGAAAAGAACAAAAACATCTCATCAATAACATACCCAAATATATATATATTTTTTTCTGCTTGGCTAAAAATGTTCACTGAAGTGTTTTAATCATAAACAATATTATAGCAGTAAAGTTTACAGCACAGAAAATGCTTGTATGTATTACGGTGATTGGTAGAATATGTGAATCTATCAAAATATGTGAATTTTTGTGGGTTTTATATCATTTTAAATAAACAAGAAGTGTTTACTGAAATAAATTAACATCTCCACTACAGATGTATCTTCAAACATGTCACTTAAATGTGAAAAAAATAGGTTTTCCTAGTTGCATCTGTCTGTTTACATCTATTTGATGGTTAAAGCAGTGTATACGCTTTTCATGTTGTTGTTTTTTATATTCATTTGTATTTTCTCTTTTTTTGGGCTTCAGAAGAACAGTCTTTACTTAAAGCCAGGTCTGTGGTTTTTCCAAACAATGCTTTTTTCCATCTGACAAGATCATTTGTTTTCTGTATTTGCTGTTTATGTTTCTGGGGACTGAGAACAACCTTCAATCACATCTGTCAAACCTTTAAACTCCCTAAACCTGCTTTTTGGGGCTTTTATCAAAGTGATCATTTATAATACAGTATATATTTCATTAAAGTAGTGCACACATGCATGTGAGAGTATACTGTACAGGATATTTGGTAAGCAAAACCAATGACGTACCTCCTGCACCATTTCCTTAATGAGTTTGTTTGCTGCTCTTAAATCTTCGGGGTGAGTGCTGTTCAATAAGCGAGACAGCGTCTACAAAAACAGGATAGGACAGAAGAGGGAGAGGAAAAGAGCTTTGTAAACTGTTGGTGTGCTTCGTTATTTTCTCTGGGGGGTACACTTCACAGAATTAGATTTTCTAACAAATCTGAAGCGATGGTGATGAGAAACACGCGTCCTTCTCTTTTTGCCAAACTCACTCCAAGAGACTGATGCATCTTCATCATCTTTCATGCGTCTTACCTTTGACTTTTCTTCATCCTCAAAGACGGCACTCTTGGCTCTGGGTGGAGGAGGTGGGAGGGGCTTGTCTTCAGGAAGCACAGGATCCAGCTTGACAATGCCTGGAAGACAACAAGGACTCCTTTAACCCTGTATGTCAACAGAACAGATCCTCTATGTTTATTTTTACTGAATGTATTTCCCCGTTTCATACTCTAGTTCACCTGTGACAGCCTAGAGTTCTGTCCATCTATACTTTCCCCTGATGCTGGAATATTCTAAGAAAGGGGTCAGCTGATTTTATCCAAGGAAGACAATAATTTTAGACAAATACAGATGATACACAAACCGTTATAGAACAGACTGGCTGAAATATGCTCCTGGGAATAAGATTAAACTTGATGGAAAGCACATTTTATAAATCGCACAAGCGTGACTATGAATTTCCGTCTCATGCTTGTGGCTCATCCCCATAGAAAGGAGAAGTGATACTACCTTGTATGTAACATTATTCGTTAAACTAAAACAGTATCAGGAACCAAACCCATGATCAGTGAAAAAAAGGAAACTAAAAACATGACATTTATTAACTGCTGTTAATAAAATCTACAGAACGACACACTCATTACTTGCTGTTAAGATGATGTATGGAACAACACGTCATGCACCTCACTTTATGGAGACAATGAGAAACTAAAGCTCAGGAAACTTGAAAAGCCTTTTATCTTGATGGTTGGTCAAGCTTGTGAAGTGACTCACCCTGTTTTTTCAGCATCTGATAGGCTTCCGCTATCTTGGTCTCATCTGGCAGACTCAGAGTCCAGCTGTACACCATTTCCAGCACTTTCTTCTTCACTGGCTCTGGAGCCCGGGCGCCCAAATACTACAAAAGAGAGGATCAATGCAGGATGACAGTCATTTGATTTACTCTTTTGGATAATCCTTACAAGTTCCGACAAGTCATGTCATGGCAGCTTTCACTGGTTAGAAAGAAACATGATCTTAGCTGTACACTTGCACCTGAACTGAGATGACTACATGAAATACAGGGATCATTACCTTCGGTGAGACAACCTTGATGAGCTCATTGAGAAAGCGAAACTTTCCCACTTCAGTGTGAAACCGCTTCCCACAGTTTTTCATGCATGTCTCAAGAACCTGCAAAAGGTTCGTAATTATTTAACTTCAAAAGATCTTAAAAAGTCTGCAGTGTTGATATTATCACAAGTAGCCTTTACTTTAGCATTTTACAGATCTCAGTGCTGGAGAAATCATGGAAACGCTGAAATGTTTACCGTAAGTGCCTGCATAGCCTCCCACTCCTGGGGAGACTGGATTTTGTGGGCCAGTAGTCTGGTTCCAAGCTGGGGACTGATAGAAACAGACAATCACACAAACTGCATTTCATCTAACCAACAAACAACAAGTTCAGATTCACTTGTTTGAATTTGATCCAGAAAATAACTGATTATTCTTCCAAATGTGAAGTAACACACAAAGTAAGACAGACATTTATATGTTATAGCAGTAAGCAGCTTTTGATCATGTATGTTACAGAGATGAAGAAACTGTCAAACTGAAAAAAGTTTTATTCATTTGAAGATTAAGAGACACATCAGCTTCAAAATAGTGTAATAATTTTCAACATCAGCTCACCCTTCTGGTTCATTGTTAAGCTGATCACAAAATCCCTGGATACTGTCCCAGTCAGTTGTTTTATTCTGGGGGTTGGTGGCCTTATCTGTGAAAATTAAAATGAAAATAAAACCCTTTCACCATCTTCTATGAAGAAAAAGCTTCAGTTCCCCTTGTGGATTAGTATTTTTCTTTTACTTTTCTTTTACAACATTGACAGCCTGACAGTAGGGGAGAGTGGGGTAAGTTGAGCCGAAGGGTAAGTTGAGCCACCCCCTGTAGCTTAGAAATGGTAAAAGTAATTGATCACGAGACCAAATATTTAGGAGATGGGAATCAATTCATGGAGTCTGTGAAGGTTAGAAGCACACGGGTGAAGGGGTTCGACACATATGTTCAAACCAAAAAAGATAATTCTTAATTGTTTTATACATCAATTTTGGTATCTATGAGCTACAACATGAGGCCAAAAACCTAAAAGTCCACCATTTTAGCTTAGAGGACAAATAAAGTCAAAATAGTCGTTCAGGGGTAACTGAGAAAGTAAATAAGTGATAAGAGGATCAGAGTTTCAGTTCAGATTGTTGAAATGTTTGACTTTCTCTTTTCTAAAATACAGCTGTGAATGTTCTGAATCACTTAAAGACATTCTCATGTTAAAATGACTTTTTACAAAACGGCTTTTTAGTAGTTATATGCAATAATAATAAAAAGAATTATTGTGCCAGTTGAAAACCGTATAATAGATAAAAATACACATGAATGTGAAGAAGTGACTGTTATTTAGGGAGAGAGAAGGTGAGGGAGGGCTGGGGTGGAGAGTGGAGGGGCAGTAGGGATACGGCTCAACTTACCCCGCTCCTATGGTCAACTTACCCCATACACAGGATAATTTTTTTTTGTCATGCTATATTATCAAGACAGTTATGTTTACACTCATTCTGTTGGTTTGCAGGGATGCATAACATATTGAGATATATGCCGATACACTAGTTAGAGACAAAACTATGATTGCCTTAATGTAGTGATCCTAAATGTGAAAAATGTCTCATCTTAACCCACTCTCCCCTACTGATTTGGGTATTTTCTATGTTTGTGGATGAAGGTGGTAAAAACCTCAGACCAGGACTTTACAGTAGCAGGAATGTTAAACCTCCTTCTCTCTTACTTTCCTGTCTTTAACCTTTAGATTTCTGTATTATGTTTAATATTAATGCTCTTGTCTCTGGTCATGTCTGTGGCACTATGAGGGTCCTGGTTTGATTTTCTGACTTCCACAGTCCTTCAGGGAACGGAGCGAACAGGCTAGTGGATTTTGCTAACACTCAGTCGGATATTACTCTAATATTGAAATGTCATCTCGAGAGGACTAATAAATCTTAAACTATTAGCAAGTATTATATTCCGCATAGATCTCAGGTGCCCGTCAGTCCCGTATCGATACCTGTACTTTGGATTTCATGTCATTCGCTCTCCTGACTCCCAAAAATCCACTCCCGAGAGGGGGCTCAACGGCGCCAGTCTCAGGTTTAACCGATAAAATAGCCCCCTATCCGCGCAAAGCCTTAAAGCCCACCGCTCAATGTCCAACAAAATTATCAATTTTATCTGAGGAAGATGACTTACTGATGTGGGACTGCAGGGTAGCCTCATCTGGAGGCGCCGCCGCCATCTTTCGGGAATTCTAAATAAGTGGCAACTACCGCGTGATTTTTTAACATATCGCGAGATTAGACAGGAGCGGCTCTACGGCTCCATAGATATATCTATAAACGCTAGATGGCTTACACACGCTGGTAGCCAATGGAGACCGATTCTGCGCATGGCGGCCATTTTGCTACGGGACGCTCGCCCACTCATAACATTATAGTCTACGGTGAATGCAGCATTTAAATAACCATAGATTGATTCATTTTAAACCGATTTTCAAACGGTCTGGTTTATAACAAACCTCAGAGTTTTAGTTATGTTCCTGCATACTCAAGAATAATTTTAACCATAGATTTTCATAAATAAACATTAAGCAGATGAGCAATAGCTACAGGCCTACACATACAAGGTAGTTATATTAAATAATTTATATATAAAACTTTTAATCATTCCATGTATGTTATATTATTAATATTTCTATTATAGGGATAACTGTAATAACATATAGCAATAACATATATAAATATTTATTTTCAATATAAATTTCTGCCTCATGGATCAACACTTAAGATGTTTTGAACAAACCAAACAGCTTGAAAATCGTGTGCAGCTGAAGTTATGTTGAATCAAAAGAGCATTTCTGCCTCTCCAACTCATGTAAAATTGCTGGGTCAACTTTGTAATATCTACTTGGTCTCACTCACAGCGAGTCTGTTAGCCAAGTTAGAGAGCTGATAAACACAAGCACATCCACAAAGACTGTCACTTAGACTAACTAAATAAATAAATAAATAATAGGCTGTCATACAAGAAAGTAAAATCTCAATTGTGGTCTTAGCCTTGGCAACTCGCGCAAAGCAAGTAAAAGTTAATCCTTGCGCACAATTAGCTGTGAAACAACTGTGCTTCATGATTATGTCTTATGTTTTTCTCGAGGAAAATCTGCCATTTCAACATGTCCAAACATCTGGACTCATAGCCACATTATTAAGGTCTGTAACATAGACTGTAAATACTATGGACAACTTGGTTCCCCCTCCTGCCAGTATATTTGAAGCCAAAAAGCTCTCTGTTTTTTTGCGATGTTTCTTTATTTCCTGAAAACAACATTGTGCAGTAGCGTTGCACGCATTTGGGGGGAGAGTCGCCAAGAGTCGCAGTGATGACGCTTGGCTCAAACAGCATATCCCCCAGGTGAGTTACGCAATCTTCGTATGCCCACACGGCGTCCATTTTATATACAGTCTAAGGTCTGTAATAAACAAAACCATTTGTAAATAAAGATTTCAGCGAGATAAGAGTATTTTTGATGCTGCAGATTACTCACCTTCTGTCAGCTACCGTAGTGTACTAGAACGGTGTACTGGAGTAAGATGGCCGCCGTGTAGGGACGCCGGTGACTCCGCCTCGAGTCATCTAGCCTTTCTTGTATATGTCTATGCTGTTGCTCCCTCAAACGGGCGTGATACTGAACATCAACGTGACATTTGAAGGAGGAGGTTGCCAACGATTCTATTAGTGCAACGAGGATGGTTTGGCACCGGTGAAGGTTTTTTTTGGCTAACAACAATTTAACGACCTTTTTTCAGAGTGAGCGGTAATTTAGTTGTTTTTCAGACCGTGTTATAAGTCACTTGTCCTGCATTCTCACAGCCGTTGCGGTCTCTGCACCAACAATCACACCCGTGCTGCACGTCAAGGAGGAAACTGTCACCTCTGCTTCGACTGAATCTTCAACATCGCTCCTAAATGACAAGGAAGATGTTTACAGATGAACCCACCACCCTAAAGAAGCAAACCTCCACCATGAAAACATTGGCTAGCTGGAGGCTAACGCGCCGTTGCTAGTTAGCTAAGTTGGCTACATCTGTTTGAACTTTGTTGGCACACCACCGTGATCAACTTGGGATATCAATCTTGTTTCACCCAGACGGATCCAGAGAATGGAGGATAACTCATTGTGTTTTGGCAAAAGTTGGCTATCATTCAGCTCACAGTGAAGCCATGCTAGTATTTAACGTGACTCACGGGGTGTTGATGAATGTGTCCCTCGGCTTCGTCGGGTGTTGTCTGGCTGTGGTCTCTCACTCAAACGCTGCTGATGACTCGTAAATGACTAAAGAGAAGATTGGGATCGTCTTCTGAGACAAAGACTAAACTCCTTAACTTGACAAAAACAGTCTTTTTTTTTTTCTTTCTTTAAACTATTATCATGGGATCCCTAAGGGCTCTCCAGGAGTGGTGTCGGATTCAGTGTGAAAATTACAACCATGTGGAAATAAAGGACATGTCCTCGTCCTTTCGGGACGGTTTGGCATTTTGTGCCATTATACATCGATTCAGACCAGATCTCATGTAAGTATTCGGTAACTTTATAAGAGAGACTGTTAAAATGCTTATATTACTCTAGAAAACCTCTATGGGGAATAACAGCAGCAGACCAAAGAAGCTGTTCTTTTCAGTTCATGTTTTAGATATTATGGAAAGTAGGGCTGGGCGATATGGGAAAAAGTTTATCACAGTATATCTTTTCTCATATTAGTCGATATAAATTATGATATAAAAAGAACCATTTGTCAATCTTAGATGTTCCCTGTTACTCTTAAATGAAATTTAACTGTGCTTATTGGTAGTATGTCTTTTGCTCCTGCATCTATGAGGTCTCTGTGTCTCTTCGATGTTTGGTCGTAAGGCGTTGCGCTAGACAGAACTGACTGACCCGGGATTTCCCCCGCTCCCGGAACGGGCATTTTCGCTTTATGCCAATTCCTACGGGATCCGTTTTCGTAGGCAAATTTCGTAGTGGATTACGGACAGCGGTAATCGCGAGAACTCACAAGAACCCGCGGATTCACAAGCTGATCGCGCGATAAACCTTTCACTTGAAATACGGTCAGTGTTTTATTTAGAAAAGAAGCCAGATGTTTTATTTTGTGTCTGTGCCCTACTCCCTTTCCAGCACGGGTTAATTTGTGCTGAATATATCCGGCATTCTCCAGCGTCTGGAAAAAATAAAATAGAACTCTTGCGATTAGCTGCAGAATCCGGCGGTCCGCAGCGGAACGAAGCCAGTGGAAATTGACACATTGACACATTGACACATTGACATGAATGGCTTCGATCGCTGGACATGGCCTTTTCATAGCCATTTTAGATGCGGTGGAAATTGGGGGTGAATCGACGGTTCGGCGCGGACCTGGAGCAACTCCCCTTTTCATTGGCTATTCGTATACTCTACCAAAACATGGCAGTAGCCGGCTATCGAAAAGCATATTGACTGTGTTTCATATCGATATCAAGGGAAATTTATTTTTGATATATATCATTATCATTTTATCGCCCAGCCCTAGTAGAAAGCAGAGATGTTGTTATTTCGAAATGATTTCAAAGTACTTACACAGCAGAAGCTCATTTATCCAAATCCCAGAATATTTCATAATCAGTGCCCTTGTGTTTTGTCAGGCTCCGTTTTCTAAAAATAAACTCATTTGCTCTTTCAGGGACTGTAGTCGTCCCATTCAGATTCAGCAATACTTAAGCTCAATGTGGTGTTGAATAATCATATCCAAATACCAGTACAGATATTTTCAGGAGTATTGTGTAGTGAGGAGCCAGTGTGCTGTAATTAACTAAGGCAGACAAGCCATGCCCTGTCTGTAACAACACGCCCCTCCTGTGGATTTTGCACCTCCACATACAGTAGAGAATCCACACAAACAGCACTGCAGTATTTCAGGGGAGGCATGCCTTTCTTATTACATAATCTTTTTAATGAACAGTTGATAAGTTAAACTCAAACAGACCAATAGTAGAGTATGCTTCGATTAGTATTTGCATAAAGATAGATGAATCATGAGACCGGTGTGTAAACATTTTGGTTTAACAGAAACTCAGACTGACACTGAACTTGCATCTGTGGGGAAGAAGGTGGTCCCATTTACACACAATGCAGCTCTGTGCAGTTCAGTGGGCAGTGCACACTGTTGACAGCATCAAGATAAGTAGTTTGATTCTGTTTGAAACATGTTGAACCAGCCTTGTTGCTGTAGGTGGGTTTTCTAACACGGTCCACTCAATAGAATTATTATACAGAGGAAATTTTGCACTGATAGAACTTTTTGCCAACTCTTCAGATGGTCCAGACTTTGGTGTGCAGATTTAACAATACTTGAAAAGCAGAAAAGGACAAGTCAGTGAGCTGAACAGACCTGCACCTCTTCAGTTTGTGTCCTAGCATGCCTCTTGTGAAGCCGGAGTGGCCCTGCAGAACTAGATCTGACCCACTCTGACAGTCAGTCGGGCTGAGACCTCCGTCTGTCAAACTGAATTTAGCTCCAATATTAAGAATTATGTATTCTCTGATGTCCATGTATTCTTAACAAGATACCCTGCAGTAATACAAGAGAGATATTGGTACGGTCATTTAACCCGGGAGTCAGAGAGGCTGCAAGAACTTCACACAAAATTGGATTTTAATCGGATTCTTTTCACATAGATGTCTCCCTCAGCCACACTTGCAGATCTGTTATCATAACACACCCTTTTTATGTCATCTACCCCTTATCTCAAACTATTCAGTGCATCACGTTCTATTTGAATCTTCACAAAATGACTAATTCCCAATATTGCATGTTCTTGCACAAACTTTTCCCACTGACTGAACCAGATTTAGCAGCTCTACCGGCTCACCCAGGTTTTGATCATGTGGATTTAAATGGCTGACAAGCGGGACACGCACACTCTTCCTCAGCGGTTCGCCTTCCCAAAATAAACTTTGGAGTGAGACTGAGTCACAGCGGATTAGGTTCGCGACTCCAATCACACATGGCGGCACATCATCAGTGTCTGTGTCTGCCGGTGCCGTCTCCTCTGTCAGCGTCAATATTGCGGACCCTCAGTGGTTAGGTCAACATATTTAAAGTTTCTGCTTCTCAATCTGGCTATATTGTTCTTTTCTGACAGAGCAGGCTTGTTGTGACATGATCTTGACATTACAGCTGCTGCTCAGTGTGTTTGTGACCATGGGAACTAGATTAGAGAGAACAGAGGTCACTTTGTTTTGCTCCAACACGGAGCTCATTTATAGGATTTCGCCTTCTTGAGACTTCCACATGGTCTACACAAGCTCTCACTGGGGTCATGGAGCTTTTTCTGCCCTGCCTCGACACACTTGTGCTCACGCTCTTAAGCACATAACCACACTTTCCTTTCTGGAACACCTCAGACTTTTTTTTTTACTGCAGGATGTTTACTGGTGAGAGGCCTTACTGTAGTTCCTTGCTTTAGGCTTTTCAAAGCAGGGCCTTGTAATTATCAGCCCATCACTCCTGTTTGATGCTGGAGCTTGTTTCCTTTTGTCCAAGCAGTTTTACAGCCATCATTTCAGGGTGGTTCAGGAGCTCTGCTGCTTGGCATTCTAGCCGTTCACGCTGTCAAGCCAATAATAGCTTTCTGATGGTTCATAACATACTGTAAGTTAAAAAAAAGAGGGGGGCCAGCAGGCTAAATACAGTGCCAGCCCGTGTCAGCGTGACTGAGACAGTTACTTCTTTGTAATCCTCTTCAGTCCTTCTGATAAATTAAAATAACATGATTTGTAGTTTGTTCAGTCGCTTCTTTTGAGTCAAATTTAAAAACTGACTTTTACAGACGTGCTTTTATGTGATGCCGTCTTTTATCTTTTAGCTTTATCTTTTATCTGTCGTCTCTTATCTCTTTTATCTCTATCTCATTTTGGCTTTACTATCTTTTTAGCTTTTTTTCATACTTGTACTCTTTTCTTAATGAACCTTTTAGGCCTTTTATTGTTTTATCTCTTGCTCATTTCTGTTGCTCTATTTTATCATTACTATTATTATCAGGATTACCTGTTATTATTTTATAATCATTGTTGATATTAGGGCCCGACTGATATGGATTTTTTTGGGGCCGATACCGATTATAAGGGGGAAAAAAACCCCAGTGATTATCTTTGAAAGTTTTGGATTGTAACATTTATTCTCTCTTTTCTCTCCAGAGACTTTTGTTCATTGTCTAAAGAAAACGTTTACGAGAACAACCGACTGGTGAGTCAATTTCACAGCTTTATATTTTGCAGATTAAGCATGCCTGTTATCTTGTATGCATGGGTCTTTACCTTTTTTGTGTGTAGTGAAATCATCTCATGAGCTGATTCATACCTGTAGCCTCGTGACAGGCGTAGCATCGTCACTGAATGTGTTTCTTTTAGCCGTTAAAGTATTAAATCCAAAGACTACATGCAGTCATAGTGGGTGGGACTCGTGTATGTTTGCCTGTCTGTGCAGGATAGAAGCACTGATGAAGTCTGGCAGGGTTAGAGGGAAAGGGAGGAGGCCCAAGTGTTCTGGGGTCTGAAGAAAAATCTTGACAGAAGCCTGTGGATAGACCATGTTAAGAGGATTTCAAGAGCAAAAGTGCTGAATTTACAGATTATCCTAAATCAGGGGATTGGAAGAACTTTTTTTTTAAATCTTATTCCTCATTTTGGGTTTTTCTACGTCATCTTAAAGCTAACAGACTAACAGAATTGCGAGGGATGAAATGGGAGTCTCCGTATTTTCAGTCTGAGCTAAGCTTTGGCTGCTGTCAAGAGTCTTTTAATCCAGCAGCTTCAGAAAAAGCGAAGTAGTTCAGTTTTAGCACCAGAATTGAATACAGTGTGCCAGCTGTCATTTGGGTTTGCATAGATCTTACTCAGAGGCATTTCTCATGGATGAATCTGTGAGTGTAAATGTGGTTAAAACCCAAATCATCTAGTTTAGATTTAAATATTAATGAGCCAGACGTGAGCACACTCCTTAAAGGGACGGTTGAAGCTCTGATGCCTTTAGAGTCACACTGTCTTGAGATTGATGAATATTATCTACTAACAGCCTGCAGCCTCTATTTTTAGAATCAGAACTAAGCTCTGCAGGAGGGGACAATCTGCTCTTCAGTAGTCAAAACCTCACTTTAATCTAAACTGCTGTCTAACAATGTTTGCATAGATTTCACTTGATGTGATTAGATGCAGTGCCTCTCATACAAATATCCTTATTGATCTAAATGGAGAGAGCGAATAAAGAATTGAGTAAAACATTTTCAGGTATTCAGACGCTCATCCTCTCAAAGATAAACTGTCTGCCTGCTCTCATCCCTCGTGATATTGAGCCGTGCACGTTTTTTTTTAAACATCAGTTATTAGTCGCTGAGGTTTCTCCTGCCGTTCAAGTACAGTTCAGGTAAATGGGCTCTTAATTTGCCATTAGAGGAATCCGTTAAAACATGTGAGAGCAAACCCAATCTGTCTGCCATTTACTCACTTTGACAATTTTTTTTTTCCATGCAGCGACTTAGTTCTGCTAAAGTTGTCCAAAACCACAAAAAAAACCAAGAGGAGTTGTAAAGTTTCAGAGTCAGGACTTGTCGAGTGACAAACTGTGTGGTTTTGACTGTAAATTTATTTTTTATTTATTAAGAAAATAACCACAGCAGTTTGTTTTAATAGGTAGTAGGTAGGGCTCTAATCGGAGAAATTCTTGGTCAACTAAAACCCTGAAATTTTTGACCAGAAATCGACTAATGGGGGGCGGGGGTCCGACTCTGACAGTAAACTCTTCTGCGGTAGGGGAAGGGGGAAGGTCTCGCCCTCCTTGCCTCTGATTGGCTAGAAGTGCTGGGCTCCGATTGGTTATTCCTTATGGCTGTGAAACGTCATCGTCTGTCGGGTTAAAGTAAGGGTTAAAGTTAGGAGATTCAGAAGTGCGATAATGTTCTGTCATGCTCTGTTTGATGTACAGAGCCGACAGCCCACGTTTGGCTTGAGCGTGTGATGATGTTTCCAGTTTTTCTAGTCAGTCAGAGGCAAAGGAGGCGGGACATTCTCCTACCTATCACAAAAAAAATTGCCCACCGGACATTGGTTAATGTGGACTCTCTTCAATCTAACCGTCTCCTGTCGGTCTTCAGTGGGTTGGGCAAATACAAAATGGTGAAAACAAGGGGGTTGTTCTGAGACAGGCTGTTACCTGTGAAACGGGGGTGCTCTGAAAACATCCCTCCCAATGATCTTAACCATAGACTGTTAATTGATGTGGAAAAAAATTGAATTGACCAATCAGAATTTTGGTCGACTCAGCACGTATCGATTAGTCGACTAGTTGACTCTGACTTTACAGCCGTAGTAGTAGAAGGTCTATTGTTGTTTTAATGATGTTTCATTATTATTCTTTAAGTTCTTCAGCGTTCTCACTCTCTCCTCCCTCAAGTGTCCTTCTCTATCCTTCCTCTTCGTCCTCTCATCATCTTTTCTCCGTCACAGGCATTTGAAGTGGCCGAGACGCAGCTGGGGATTCCAGCTCTGTTGGACCCCGAAGACATGGTGTCCATGAAAGTCCCTGACCGGCTCAGCGTCATCACGTATGTCTCACAGTACTACAACTTCTTCAACAACAAGTCTCAAGGTGAGCACAATAAATCAAGTGGAAACAGCGCTGACATAATCATCTTTGGCTTATTCCTGTTTTTTTTAATTGTTCATGATTTTGACTTCTTGTCGTATCTTTTAACCCTTTAATGCCTGAAACCAAAATTATGGCCAGAAAATTCAAATTTTTCGAAGCTGAAATGTTTATTTCACTTATTACTGAAAACCAAAAAGATCAAAATGTCCTTAAATTTTAACAAATATATTTATTTATCTTGTTTAGTACATTAGATGTTTTTGGAAATTGATAAACCACAAGAGGACATTTTTATAATTTATCAGACTATATTTGGGGTTTTTTTTTTGTAATTTGTTGATCATATTGATTTGATAGAAGTATCATAAAAGTATGTATGAAATATGATACAATAGGCAATAAAAGTCTACAGACATTTAATCGTCATGACTGAAGTAACCTTTGTGTGTCGCAGTGACTTTTATAACTAGTTTATGTGATTCTTTCTTTCCCGCAGCAAACCCTCCTTGTATGAAAAGGCTGGGTCCTGCTGGTCTTCATGAGCCGGCTCAGAAAAAGCCTCCTGCCCCCTTGGATGACAGAGTTATTGAGGCTGAGGTAAGATGCATTTGGCAGCAGGACAATGCACACAGGAATGTGCACGTGTCGATTATAAATCTGGACTTTACTCTGGGCCACAGCTAAAACTGAATCGCCGAACTGCACCGCATTTCTACGACACTGCATGTAAATAGTTTCATTCTTTGAGAAACTTTTGTCTTATGGTGTCCTTGTGTTGCCTGGATACGCCCACAGAGGCCTCATATCAAGCCTCAGGATTATCAGCATAATTCTGCATGTGCTTTGTGGGGGTATTAAGTCATCACATCTGTACAATACAAATCCCATCCTGCCATTGCAGTACAACAATGCCCAGTGTCCAAGTGCATTATAGTTACCACTTCCTTTTGTGGGCTTTGTGTTGCACAGCAGGAGAAAATAGAAGCCACAGAGGTAGAGTAATCCTATAAAGATAGCCTCTGTATCCTGTCTCTCTTTTCTTTGCATGCCCTCGACTTCTTTCCTCCATCCCCATACTCCTCTGTACTAGCATCCTCACCATTCAATCCCCAACCCCCCTCTTCAGATGGAAATCCATCCCACTCCCTCCTCTTCCTGCTCTTCTTCCTCCTCACATCTGGTCCCCCCTCCGCTCTCTGGTTCTGATCCTAGGCAGTAGAATGGGGGTCGGGTCGGGGTGGGTTTAAAGCAGTTAGGTCAGTCTCCTTTAACCCGCTCTTGTATATAAAATACTAACTGTAGTGCTAGCTAACCCTACCTCCTATAATGAATCAACTAATCCTAAGTGTCGATCATACCCAGAATACGTGATCCCCAGAGCCACTAACCCAAACCGTTTGGATTTTCTTACTAAAACATCTTCCTATAACTCGATTCTTTCTATTTTTATATTCATCAAATGTTGTTTTGAACTTCAAGGAAATGCAGAAATAAATCACATGATTAATCGAGCAGTAGCTGTTAAATTAGCCCAGTAGATGGAGCTAGCCAAACAAATTGAAAAAATCCACAACATCCTGAAATCCTGACTCCGTGTTTGATCTCCCCCCTACTCCATCACTCCCTCATCTCCCCCCTGTTCCCCTAACGTCTCCTCCCTGTCCTCTGTCTGCGAACAACATCCCGGTCACTCGCTCCAGTCGAGCGAGACTGAGCAGACAGGTGTGGGAGTGGCTTCAGAGGTCACCCGCAACACGCTCAGCAGCACCTGCGCCGCCTGCCAGAAACATGTCCATCTGGTGCAGAGGTTTCTCGTGGATGGCAAGCTCTACCATCGCAACTGCTTCAGGTGACACTGCTGCGACAGTCTACCCGTGTGTCTTTCACAAATTTGAGCCCAAACTTAAAGGGATATTCCAGCTTAAAATTAAGTTAGGGTCAAACACACCATAACACCAAGTTAGACACCTCCTTGAGAGATGAATGTTGCTGACTGCTTGCTTCTCTAGTTATACCAACTTGAGTAACGACCGCATGATAGCAATACACAGCAGTCTATGTCTCCACTCTATAGCCACAAATAATCAGAACAGCACCTAACTTCATCAACAGGACATATAGGGTTCCAGCCATAGTACTAGACACCAAACATCTTTTTAACTTTGCCTGCTTTCTTTCGCAAAGAGACTAAACACAACTCACCCACTCTCCTCCAGCAGCCTCTTGTTTGTGGGGGGAGCCCTGACGAGTCGATCACCAAGTGCAGCGGAGTTTCGCAGCTCAAGGAAGAACATTTATGATTATTACTTCATGGAAATGAAATCAGACCGAGACGCTAAGGCAGAACCACTGCGTCTGCAGTGCAAAATGACTATTATGATGATTATTACTTCATGGAAATGATCTGCTGCACTCTGTGATCGACTCATAAGGGCTCCCCCACAAACAAGAGGCTGCTGGAGGAGAATGGGTGAGTTGTGTTTGGTCTCTTTGCTTGAGAAACCAGACAAAGCTAACAAGTTGGGAGTGGGACCCTGTATGTGCTGTTGATGAAGTTAGGTGCTGTTCTGATAATTTGTGGCTATAGAGTGGCTTTCTGAGACCGCTGTGTATTGCTTTCATGTGGTCGTTACTAAAGTTGGTATAAGTAGAGAAGCAAGCAGTCGGCAACATTCATCTCTCGTGTCTAACTCGGTGATATGGTGTGTTTGACCCTGACTTATATTTACACCAGAACATCCCTTTAAAATTTGCAGATCTCGGCAAGTGTGATCTAATACACATTTTACCAAGATGGGACTGGTTTATCTATTTACAAACACTTCATATCATGAAGTTGTAAAAGTCAGAAAAAATCTTTTTTTTTTCTTTGTTTCTTATTTATTTATTTTTACCATAAACTGCTGATTTAATTTCACTCATTTTAAAATACTCTTGTTTTTTGATCATCTCAGGCTGATGGAAGGTCTTAACGCTGTTGTGTGTTATCATTGCCTCAGGTGCACTGAGTGTCACAGCACTTTGCTTCCTGGATCCTACAAACTGGGAAGTGACTCAGGGGCCCTGGTTTGCACACACCATCTTACAAGGAGTGCTTTAGCCTTTCAAAACGGCCGGCCAGATCTCAGCAAGAGACCAGTGGGGGTTCAGTCCGCCAGGGTTGGTCGCAGCCCAGCTCCTCACCTGTCGCCTCCTGACAGGGATCAGGCAAAGACTTCTCCGGAGAGGCAAGAGAACAACACCGACACCCATCAGGACGACTCTGCAGAGAGGACAGATCCACCGGCCTCTTTGGTAAAAGCAACGGACACAGAGGATGGGGGAGAAAGAGATGAGACACCACGATCCTCCTCTCCTCCGAACCCTTTTGATGAGAGTGACGAAGAGGAGGAAGAGGAGGAGAAAGAGCAGGATATCGAAACACAAGACAAACCAGCAACGAACGAGGACCTCCCTCCTGCACCAGTAGGTCACCATGACAGTGCTGCTCGCCCGGTTCCTGCACCCCGCAGGGTCTCTGAACCCACACCGCCTCCTCGCCCTGCTCCTCGAGTTCGGCTGACCCGTACAGGAGACAACCTGAGAGTTGGTATGTCATCAGTGAAGAGTGTAAATGATTGATGATCGATTGGATCAACCATTAATCTTTTTTTTACGTTCTGATTGAAATTCAAGGTGAAAACCAAAAGCCTCCGACTCCTCCCAAACCCAGAGAAAGATCTCAGTCTCCTGGAAGGTAACTGAGTGTTCATCTCCTGATCATCTTCATCATGGTCTTCATCTGTTGACAGCATGCATTATGGTTGTTTCCCTTTGTGGTCTACCCTCTGTGACCCCTCCATCCTTGTCTTTGTATCTCACTGCCCAGCCTGTCCACTGGCACCCATAAACCTAAAGACCCACCTTGGCTTGCTCTGGTCCAATCAGAATCCAAGAAGAAGAAAGCCCCTGCCCCTCCCCCGGCCGCACTGGCAACACCCCCCAATACAGGCTCTATGTCCTCTCTTAAAGGGGAGGGCTCCAGAACCAGCACCCCCCCTCCGCCCGCCAACCCGTTCGATGACGATGATGACGAAAATAATGAGGTGGAGGAAGAGGAGGGGCCTGAAGGAGGTGCAGTACCCGCTACAGTGGCTGCTAGTCACCCTTGGTACAGCATTACACGGGCAGCTGATGCTGGAGGTGTGGAAACTCCTCCAAGTGGAGGAAGTTCATCCCGCTCTGCCAGTCCTGGGAGCAGCAAGAGCAAGAAACGGCCGGCGCCTCCAGCTCCACGACCACCTGCAGGAAACCAAGGTCAGTCTGATCAGTATCACAGATAACAGGCATCCAACTGTAGCTCTCCCATAGACTGTATATACTAAGGACAACTTGGCTCCGCCTTCCGCCAGTATACGGGCTTGAGGCCAAAAAGCTCTTGGTATTTCTGCGTTTTTTCTGAAACCAACATTGCGCAGTAGTCTTGTACGCATTCGGCGGGAGAGTCGCTGTGATGATGCTCGGTTCAAACAGCATATCCCTCAGGTGAGCGACGCAATCTTTGTATAGGCTGTATCAAGTGTCAATCATAGACGAACCCCCTAATAACTTTTAAAAATGGAGTTGTACAAAAAAAAGAGGACTTGAGCACAAACCAGTCTTACAATACCGACATTTCAACATCGCAACCAGGGGGGAGAAAAATGTATATTCTGTGTAATAAATTTCTAAAGCTTGTGCACAGCTCCATAGGGATTGCTAGAGGTGGCGGGATTTATGACCTATACTGCAGCCCGTCACCAGAGGGTGCTGTTGGGTGGCTTCACCCAGCGAGGAGGCAGACGGCGTCCATTCTATATACAGTCTATGAGCTCTCCACAATGATACGATCTCGATGTTGTCACCATGCAGCATGACAGTAGTTTTAATAGGGGTGTTCCAACAAGGGAACCTAACGATTTTGATTTTGATTATGAGAGCTTCAAATTCTTCATTTCTAATGATTTTTGATTTGATTATGGTGCCACAATTCATCCATTATTGCCATTTTTAATCCTTATTTCCATACAAGATTGAATTTGTCTTCATTTGTCTCTACATTTGTAAATAAATAGCTTATCAGTTAACTCAGTTCCTGTAGAACTACACTCAATAAGTAAATAAGTTTTTTTTAACATTTGACTCGTAATTTTCAAAGACAAAAAATATTTTATTTCATGACTGTTATGTAAACATTCAAACCTACTTAACTTGTACGGGGAAGTTTGGAGACAGTCTCCAGGATGGTCCTCTGTGCAGCGGGCATGACCAGAGGAACCTTCTCTGTTTCAGGATCAAAGCGTTCAGGTGCTGCCTCATGTTTGTGGCGTTGCTGAGGTTCTTTATTTCTGCTTTGCAAATCTTACAAATCGCGTAGGTCTTGTCAGTCGTCTTATTTGCTCTCTCATAAAACCCAAAGTGCTTCCTCATGGTTACAGTCAGCCCCGGCTGGCGAGAGAATCAGCCACCCTTTGGTTGCCATTTTGCAAAGAAACTAACTTGCTCTGTTTGTTGTGGTCCCTCTTACTAAACAGTCGGGGCGGCGCACACGCGTTAAGGTTCCGGTTATGTGTCGACATTATTATTTATTTGTTTATTCATTTTAAGCATCAGTGTTAATTAATCGATACCGAATCGTCACGTGAAGCATCGACACATTGATGAATTGCACCCACCTCTAAATTTTAAATATATATGTTGTGATGAGGATGTGCATCTACAGCTACATCCTGTGGAGTGTGTTGAAGTATTTCTCCGCCCCTCTGCCTTTCACTGCACACATACTTGCTATGAAACAGTCTACCTAACAGAGATTTGATTACATAAGTTAAGCTGTCTCATTTCTTTCAGCCTCATCATATACTTTTTGTTGACAGTGCAACTTCCTCCTCCTCACTGACACACTTTCATATTTACAAAGAGCAGCAGCAGCCGAACCACAACCGCCAGTATCACACTCTTCACGCTTTCTGTTTCGCACATTAAGCAGCCAGAGAACAAAGAGTTTCAGTGCGGATGTGAAGGTCGTGTAGAGGGCCCTAAATATACAGACAGCACTTCTTTAAAGGTGCAGCACATTGAAGTTTTAGTGGAATAGAAGTTGACTTTGTTTTTTTGTGTCATCTTCCCTTTTTTAATTTCAACCTGCTCCTGCTACTTTGTCCCTGTTTCCTCTCCGTTCCCTTGGTTTTCCTCTTTAGTTCTCTCTCACTCCCAGCCCTCCTCTTGCTCTCCCTCTCCAGCTCTAAGCACGGAGAGTCTGTCCTCTGGCTCAGACCACAGCTCCTCCCAGGCCCCTTCGGGCGGCAGTGTCAGCAGCGAGCAGCCGCACGCCTTCACCAAAAGCGTCTCAGAGCCCTCCATCTGTTCACCCTGTGATCCTACAGCCCCTTCGTCCTCCTCTTCAAATGAGCGGCTGCCTCAGCCCTCTCAGAGTCTCTACCCTTCTCCCATGCCGTCAAATGCCAGCTCAGCCCCGGCCACTCCACAGACAAGCCGCAGCATGGGGACCAAAGCCCCTCCGAGACCCCCTGCAGCACCCAGTCCTTTGGCCTCTGGAGCCAGCCAGTCGCACAATAAGGTAACTGTGATTTTCGAAATTTTCATGTTTTTCTTCCAATGAGAAGATAGATTTAGCATTTATTCCCGCTGTATGTCTCTTTCATTTTAGCGGATATGCAAGGAGAATCCATTCAACAGGAAAGCTTCCCCATCCCCTGCTAAATCCAAAACCAAACCACCAAAAGGCCCTCGACCCGCCAGACCTCCCGCACCAGGCCACGGCTTCCCTCTGATCAAACGCAAGGTACAAACTCAAAACAACACGTGGACTATGTTTTTAAAGATAGAATGAATGGACGTTAAAATGATCTCAACATCCATCCATCCATCAGGTGCAGTCAGACCAGTACATCCCAGTAGAGGACATCCACGGGGAGATGGGTCAGCTGGAGAAGCAGCTGGACGAACTGGAACAGAGAGGAGTGGAGCTGGAGAAGAAGCTGAGAGACAACCCAAATGGTAACACCACAAACTACTTTAAAAAGGGTTTTGTTTTGGTTTTTTCAAATCAAACAGATCCCAGTATTATGCTGCTTTCAAGATACCTCAGAAGTCAGAAGTCCGAGCTGGGAATGACGTCACACCAGAGTTACCAGTGTTTCAAGTTTTGTTTTTTTCCAACTTGGCGCTGGTAAATCGGGTGTGACGTCGTTCCCAGCTCGGACATCTGACTTCTGAGGTAACTCGAATGCGGCATAACACTGCAAAGACACAAGACTAAGCGGTGCTCTGACTTCAGTATCTCACAGGAGGGTAGACACACAAAAAAGTTTGATAAGTAGCAAATTTGTCATAAAAGTGCGACATAATAGAAACACGTATATCTCTGTGTTTCTAATTTTGTTTTCCAGATGAGGACGAGGAGCGCCTGCTGGTGGACTGGTTCACCCTCATCCATGAGAAACACCTCTTAGTGCGGCGGGAAGCTGAACTGGTCTACACGTAAGTCTCTCAGAGTTCAGTGCCGAGGAGTCGTTTCTTGTTCAGAGGTTATGCTGCGTTCCAGTTACCTCGGAAGTCAGATGTCGGAGCTGGGAATTGTGTTACACCCAAGTTGACGGCGGTCCAGTAAACAAATTGGAAAACTAAGAAGGACGCCTACTCTTAGCTGTTGTTAGCTATACCAGTTCTAAACAACGCATAACACAGTATTTTAATCTTAGAAACACCATAACACCATGTTCACAGTTAGACGCTCGGCATTAAAACATACACCACTTGTTTAATTTCACAAAAACTAAACAGAAGTGCTAATAAATGACACATTACAAGAGCTTTCACTGTTACTCTTTACTGTTGATGCACTGCGTAGCCATCTTGGATTATGATGTTGTCGTCAAGTTGGGGTTGGTGAGGATTGTCCGACTTTCCGAGTAGGAAATCCGACTTCAGGGGAGAGCTCCAGATGAATTTCCGACTCCGAAACTCGGAGTATAACTGGAATGCGCCTTTCCTCCCTCATGCTTCTGTCGTTTGTGCAAAAACTCTCTTAGGGGGTAGTTGTAGGGTCTGTAAAGTTGTTTAACTGTTTTTGATGTCAAAGCAATAATTGGTATTAAAATCTGCACAGAATAAAGAGCTTCAAATTCAAACCCTGTCATCTAAACCTGTTACCGCTGCATATTTGGAGAGGTCTTTTAATAATTGTGTGTTTTTTGTTTGTTAAAGCCTTTTTTGTTAAGATGTATAACTTTACCTTTATGTGTTATTGTTGTTCTCTGCAGAGCAAAGCAGCAGAACCTGGAAGAGAGGCAAGCAGATGTGGAGTATGAGCTGAGGTGCCTTCTCAACAAACCAGGTGTGTTTAGTCTGATGATGATCATGACGGTAGATTTAGATGCGAATGAGGATTTTCCAGTTTTGCTCAAATATTCCCTCATAGGAAAGTTGATGAAATATGATGTGCATTTATCTTTATAGCAATTATCTTTGCTTTTATTCAAAAACATTATCAGTTTCAAGCTCATTATCATCCTTTTTTTTTTTTTCAGAGAAAGACTGGACGGAGGAGGACAAGAGTCGGGAGCAGGAGCTGATGTCTGAACTGGTTACCATCATCGAACAGCGAAACCAAATCGTCAACAACATGGACCAGGACCGACAGAGGTGACTAAAACCTGACAGTGATTTGTGTTACCATGCACTGACAGAGTGTTACTATCATTGTACTCTGCAGCTACTAACCGTCATTCTGCCACAGGGAAGAAGAGGAGGATAAACTTATGGAAGCCATGCTCAAGAAAAAAGGTACGATGAAGAGCAGCTGGTTAAAGAGTGTTAAATAAAAGCTGCATGTTCCCAGAAAATAATAAAAAGTTTCACTTGTGACTTTCTCCACTTTTGAAACATAAATCCTAATGTTGTTTTCTTTCCCTTTTTTGTCTTAATCAGACTTTCATAAGGATCCTGAGAGCGAGCAGCAGCAGCAGAAGAAGAAGAGCGCAAAGTTCAAACCCATTAAGGTGCTCAAGAGGCTTAGCCATAAAGGAGAACCGGGTAAAGGCCACAGCCCCCGCAAGGAAAAGTCCCCATAGGACTGACAAGTTCCCCACCGAGGGGATGTGATACTTTTTTTTTTAACAAGACTAAAGAAAATTAAAAGGATACGAGGACAAACAAGCTCACCAGGTCAAGATGAGGTCTCCTTTAACTGTAACCCAGTTACAGTTAAAGCAACCCAGAGTCCACACCCTGCCTCACATCTGACTTTAAAGACGATTTTTAATCGCCTTTGCATATTTTTAAGAGATGGTGTATCAAATGCGCCAATAGCTGACATGCTTGTTCACCGGTCTTGTCCATGCAAGCACAGTACAAAGTGATCCATGCACTGATCTGTTGCTTTTGCTTGCATTGCGTAGCGTGTCTGACCCGTAGGCCTTTTATCGAAGTTCAGCGAAGGTGTGGTCTCTGCCTTTGCTTTGGATGAAGTTCATTCCTGATATCTTTAAATCCTTTCGTCAGCTTTTACTCCGTTCTGACTTGCACTTCTTGTGTCCTTGTTGATTCCAAAGGTCAGTTGATAGATACCTGAGAAAGTTTGGTTGAAGCCTGTGGTACTAATGAAAGAGTTTCAGATGGACTGTGTGTGCAATTTTGCAATATCTACCCTTGAAACATACTATCAACAACTGATACCTAAGCTCCTCTAGCTGCTATGCAATGTCTGTGGTTTGCTTGGTTTCTTTGCTGTTAGCTCTGTTAAGGTGTGACTTTTGTAAATGCATATCATCTTGGACAGATGAGGCTACAGTGTGTGTGTGTGTGTGTGTGTGTGTGTGTGTGTGTGTGTGTGTGTGTGTGTGTGTGTGTGTGTGTGTGAGTGTGTGTTGCAAATCACTCAAGTAAGCTCTGGGTAGTCCTTCTGGAAGAACCATAGACTGTATATAGTATGGACAACTTGGCTCCACCTTCCATTGTTACACGAATTTGAGGGGAATTGCTCTCGTTATTTCCGGGATTTTCTCCACTTCCTGGAACCACCACCTGCGCAGTAGCTTTGTATGAATTCGGCGGGAGAGTCGCTGTGATGTCGCTCGGCTCAAACAGCGTATCCTCCGGGTGAGCTACTGCGGCATTCGAGTTACCTCGGATGTCAGAGCTGAAAATGACGTCACACCTGAGTTCCCACCCACCAAGCATTTTTTGGTCTAAAAGAGGTCTAATAGATGTCTAAATGTAGACGACTGGTCTAAAATCAGGCTACCACAGGTCTAAAAGTGAAAGTTTTTAGGTGTCTAAATTTAGACCAAGTTTAGACTAGCCGGTTAACAGAGGTCTAACTATATATTGCTCAACGGCTATCGTAATTATTTTGGTTAAGTACTTGGAGGTCAGTTATGTAACTCACAGATGCTTTTTGAAATAAATAGATATCGAATAACGGGTTAAAGTGCAACATCCAAATTCTGTCTAAAAATATACAGAATCTGGACGGTTGAAAATAGGTCTAAAAACAAGATGGCTACATCTACGAAAGTTATTTTAGCGCTTGCCTTATATTTGGACAAGACAAGCGCCAAAATAACTTCCACTTTCGATTTTGCTTTTTTCCGACTTGGTAACTGAAACACTGTAACTCGGGTGTGACGTCATTTTCAGCTCGGACTTCTGACTTCTGAGGTAACTCCAAGCAGCATACGTAATCTTCGTAAAATCATGGGCTGTATCAAGTGTCAATCATAGAAAACATGAACCCCTGAATAACTTTTAAAAATGGAGCTGTACAGAAAAAAGAGGACTTGAGCACAAACCAGTCTTACAATAACTACATGTCAACATCACAACCAGGGGAGAGAAAAATTTATATTCTGTGTGATTAATTTCTAAAGTTTGTCCACAGCCCCATAGAGATTGCTGGAGGAGGCGGGATTTATGACCTATACTGCAGCCCGTCACCAGAGGGTGCTGTTCACCCATCGAGGAGGCAGACAGCGTCCATTCTATATACAGTCTATGGTAAGAACTGCCTGTAAGAGACGTAACGGTTCAAAGAGGTCAAACATGCATTTATGAACATTACAAAAAGCAAACCTTCAGTATTTAAAGAAGTGTAGCAAAACAACAGTTTCAAACATCGGGGGAAAGCTGAATATGCAATCATTAATTTATATTTTACTCTGCCTTTCTGTTTGTTTCCATGTGTTGCCTTATTTTAGGTGGATAGGAAACTATGTTACTATTGCCTATAGTGCCATTTATTTAATTGCTTATATGTATGTGTATCATTTGGTGGAGATGATGTAAATATGTTAACTCATTCTCTTCCTGTTTTAGCATTAATATTGTCTTTTTTTTTGTCCTTCTTTTTAAACGGTTTATTTGTGTTTCTTCTCTGTGCCTGCCTGCAATCAAGGTTCTCTGTAGCACCAACTTAACTTTCTCCTATAACAGTAGGATTATAAAGAAAACTGACACTGGAGGGCGAAAGAATAAAATACCTTAATGCAAGATGTTCATGGCCTTTTTTTAATTTATTGCATTAACTGTCTGACATCTTACTGCCAAAAGCTTCTCTCTCCTCGGGCAGCATTATTTCCGTCTTAGAGCCGAGTTCCTTTTCGAGCAACTTCAGTTCTTGAACTTTCTGTAGATGGGATCAAAGAAAAGGTGCAATCGAAGGTGAAACAGCTAGAAAAAATTAAAAATCTCAATTTCTCAGAACCCAGAGCTGAACTATACACACTAGCTGTAATCTGTAGGGAAACCAGTGCTTCTGTACCTGTGATATTTCAGAGTTGATGATGTGAACGAACTGTCGTGCTTGCCCCAGAGCGGTCATGTCTGCCAGGAACTGTCGTCTCTCCTCTATCTCATCCAGCACTACAAAAAACAAACTCATGATTAAGACCCTGGCTATATTTAGTCAAGCCAAGCAGCATTAATCAAGCTCTTGATCATTACCTATTTTAATGTGTGTTTTACATTATCTGACACAGCACAGTCGACCTTACCTTCCTGAATCCGGTCTTTCTCCTTTACGTTCTCCCGTGCTGAGACTTTTGGAGGCGATGCAGCTGTAAGTTTTTCTTTTCCATGTTCAAAAATTGTTTGAAGCCTCCTCTTTTCTTCCTCCAAGTCTCCTTGGGTATGATGAAGACAAAAATAAAATGCAAGAATACAACTGATCATATTTCATTTGATAGCAATATGGGCCTGTCATAATATAAATGCAAGGGTAATGACTGTGTTAGGTTAAAGAACGCACTTGTAGGACCAGGGCGGAACTGTTCTCTGACGTAGCTGCCCCCGGAGCGGCAAGCTTCAGCACTTCGCTTACGTTGGCTGCCTGGTAACTTTTTAACAGGTTTACAGGATTTACACTGAGGAGGGGGAGCTGATGACGTGGGGTTACTGCTTAGTGGAAGTGGTTTTCCATCTATGGGGAAAAGCATCAAGAAATATTTTGAAGCAGGAAGAAAATACCAAAGAGCCGTTTAATCATATTACCTTTACACAATGTTATATCTGGATTTTTTTTAAATTTGAACAATATTGTCCATATATAAACATACAGAAGGCTCACAGTGCTCCTATTTATATAGGTCCTCCACAAACATTTTGGGACACCAGTCCAGAAGAAAAACAAAAGGTTAATTGAATGGAATAAAAAATATTTATTTATATACGTTTTAGAGATGGTGGACCAGTAGGACCGAACCAACCAAAACATACCGTGGATATAAAAAGTCTACACACCCCTGTTCAACTGCAAGGTTTTAGTGATGTAAGAAAATGACAGAAAGATAAATATTTCAGGTCTGGACTCTGGCTGGGTCATTCCAAAGCCTCAATCTTATTCCAGTGAAGCCATTCTTTTGTTGATTTAGATGTGTGCTTTGGGTCATTGTCGTGCTGAAAGATCAAGTTCCTCTTCATCTTCAGCTTTCTAGCAGAAGGCTGAAGGTTTTGTGCCAACACTGACTGGTATTTGGAACTGTTCATAATTCCCTCCACCCTGACTAAGGCAGCAGTTTCAGCTGAAGAAAAACCGAATTCTAGATATCTGGATTTTTAACTATTTGCACAACTGTTCCTCAGATTTTATCAAATGTCCCAAAAGTTAAAAAATACAGGAAAAGATATCATCAAATGTCTTGAACTTACTCTGAAGACACTTTTCGATCTCCTTTCTCTGTAGGTTGTTGAGCTTTGCTTCTTGCATCATTGCTGAGCACCAAGAGAGAAAAGGATCGATGATTTTCAGATGACCAAATATGAAGGCACACAACTTATTGTACATACCAGCACAGTGTGAGGCTGTGATGATCAATTTGTATCTCACTTCTCAGCAAATCCTGGGTCTCTTTACTGTAGGTGGATCTGGGGTAGTTCCACAGTCCCCCACTTGCTCTGGTCTGTTCTCGGGTGTCCATCTGGAACATCACAAGAGACAACCATCAGGAGTCACCGTGCAGGATCAACAACAGGTACCTACACAGTTGACAAAGGTTTCTCAGAGACACACAACACAACTTACTCAGATACCCTCTTTAATATTAGAGGTCCAGAGTCAAAACTTACCGTATTTCGCTGGTCCAACTTCTGTGTACCAAACCATGTACGCCTGTTGCTATAGCAACACGTCGACGCCGGTGTTTCCGCTATCGTAATGAACTAATACTCTTTTTATTTCCGGATTTTTTTTTTTTAATGATCCAACCAAAACGAATAAAAGCATTTTATTTTCAGGGTTAAAAAAATAATGTATTTTTTTATACCGACTGTGCATTGGTATTTTTTTTCAAGAACCAAACGCGATTACAACAAAAGGCCACTAGATGGCCACAATGAGTCTTCTTTGTGATGCATCCAGATCATCGACTGTATACATGAAGAAGTCATTAAACGCAGAAATTTTGAAATTTTGTATATTTCATAACAATCAACAAGCATAAACTACAAACTCTGGTGTTAAAGGATATTTCCAATGTGATATAAACTGATGAAAACAAATTGTTACGCCTTATTGATCAGTTATCATTTGTAAGTAGGCCTTCTTGAAAATTTATGTCATTGATAGAATTTGATGAAGTCTGATTTAACTTCTTTTAACATAAATATAACTAAAATTTGATACAGTTATTATGATTGAAAACAAGATGGCCGTATTCAAGAATATTAAAATTAAAAAATTAGATACTAATATGGAGAAAAGTGGCTTTACCATGTGGATAAGAGACAGGAGGCTGGTGGTGGTTTCAACGGATTTAACTTCACATTTCAGGGCCTTTGCTTTCCACTGCAAAGCTAATAAATTTAAGTCTGTGGTGCACATCATCTAATGAAAACAATGCTCACATATACCATGACCTTCCTTTATAATTCCCCTGAGGGAGCCTTCCTAAAAGGATCAAAAAGTTCTACCTAATCTCATAAAATCTTGAGGTATTTTAACGCCCTCTGGAGGAAACTGTTCTGCCAGACTCAGTTGGTATCCCTAGATAAATTTGGGTTAATTTTTTAATCGTGAAAGTGGCAACCGGAGCTTTCTGTCTTCTGCATTCTGGTCTGAAGGAAAGAGAGAGTGTTTATCAGCGGTAGGCAAGTCATCGTGGATCTGCAGTAGTCGAGCGTCCATTATCTGTATAAAGACAGCAGCCTATCTCTTAAACACGTCAGCAGATAAACAGCAGCCAGAATATAATCACCGTCTGCACAGGTCTTCTCAGGAGGCTGAGCTGCAGGCCCTCGCTCCACTGTAAAGTCAAATATGGGGTGTGAGTTAAAGTAGAGTTATTCTTAAAGCTAAAGGCGATGAGTTTTAAATTAATGACTCGAAAACAAAGCTGTGGTTAATCTATTATTTACCAATATTAGATTGTGTTTACTCTGTGGTTGTTTGAATTATGTTGTACTTTAAAGATTATAAATGCTTGAAATTCATTTTGAGTTATTATCCACTGAAGCATCCTGATGTATTTCTGCTATTTTTCCATCTGTACAACAAGTGTATTTATCATGACTTTTCCCTTTTTGTCACTGAAATAGTCAATCTTGATCATAATTTCTCATTTATTTCATATAAGTCAGTAAGAAATAGTTTTAAAATTAGTGGAGATTGTAATAACTTTGTTAACTACTTTTAAAAATATACTTTAATGACCTACAAGTAGTTTTTGTTAACTTCTTGTAAAGCAAGTTTCAGTTTATTTACCCTTCAAAAGTTTAAAAATTTGTAGCCGGGAATAAAATACTGTGGAAACTGATCCAGTAAAAACATTAAAGATAAAATGTTCAAAAGGAGAACTGGGATTTTGTTTTAGCATAACTATGGCATACATGTTAAAGTGCTAGTGTAGATATAAAGAGGAAGAATTTGATATGACAACATGGAAATGACAGCTCAGTATTTGTTTAATGAAACCAAGAAGAGGATGGCGGGTTTTCAGTGAGATTAAAAAGTTTCATAGTGATCATAAATGAGCGGAGAGAAAAAGAGGACAGCTTCATGGCTCATGCCTACGCTCCACCTCCTAACGGTCAAAACCAACATGAGAAAGAGAGATTTGAAGTTAGACCTGCAGCTGACAGAGATAGACAAGAGAGGGGTGGGAGAGATAGTGGAAGAGACAGGGGTGCAATGGAGAGAAAGAGGCAGTTTTAAGGGCCCATTTCTGCGGCCTTTCATCGCTGCGTGGCCTAGGTTAGCTGGATTTGAACTTTTTGTAAACTGGGTGTAAGATAACGATGTAAATAATAAACAACACAGTTAAAGAAAGAAGAATTTCCCCTTCTGTCACGGCGGACGTCGATCCACGTCATTTTATACAATTTGATGGCTGTTACTCAGACGGTGCTCCCTTCCTTCAGCTCTTTCTCCAGCCTCGCTCACTCCAGTGACATGATGAAAGTAAGTAGTCGGCTGAAACGCTGTTTTCTTTTATAATGTATCAAAACAAAACATGATTTGAATAAAATAGTGTTTTTGTGGATAAAATGTTTACCTAAACAGCTGACAGATCAAATTCAATCCTATTACCCTGCGTTATCTATATTATTGTAAACAGTTTTGTGTATGTAAATGTTATTTTCAATAACTGTCACATTCAGAACCTAATAGCTAGCTTTTATTTTTATTTTTATGTCTGAAACACCTATTACATATTTGTGATTTAAACATTTGACCTTAAAGCAGCAACAATGCCAGTGATAGAAATTAATGGTGCTTGTAGATGTGTTTGTCGGACTCATAGGTCTCTTTCCAGAAACATACTTTTCTTGACCTGATGCAGTTTTGCCGCTCGTCAGATAACACAGACAGCTGAAGCTCTATGTTAGTTTAAGCAGGAAAATATCACATAAAAATAAGTAAATAAATGTTGATCATCACCTAGGAAAATGTCATTTGTAATATGTTTGATGTACCTCTCTCTGTGACCATCGTTTCCTAATGCTCTCCAACATCCCGCAGGTCTGGCAGTCTGAGGATGGCTCTCCTCCTCTGGACCCTTTGAGCAACAAACTGTCACCAAACAGCTCCGAACAGCTGCAGGTCTCTCAGAGAGCCGCGGAAGAACTCCAGGATGATGATAGCCAGGAATCCTGGGATATTGATTTCCTGTTGTCTGATTGGAGCAGCCCATCACCGGACCTCAACCCTTCTGTGGACAATACTGAGCCGCAGCTGCAGCAGTTAGACCCAAACAAAGTGTACCAGGAAGGAGCGTTGTTCAAAGAGCCAACGGGACAGGAACATGTGCAGATGAACTGTGGCGGCCTCATGGCAGAGCTCCTGTCCTCTCCTGAAACCACAGCAGTGGTCCGGCCTGAGCTCTACCATCATGGTTATCATGACGACCAGATGGGTCTGACTTCATTTCCCAGTGTTCCCAGTGTAGATCAGTTTGGCTTCTCCCAAGGTGGCAGTATGGAGCGGCACAACAAAGGAAGCCACAGTAAAGTCCAATCATGTGACTTTAACCCGTACTATCCCCCGCCCTCCTTGGTTACCTTCCATGACAGTAGGTTTATTCCACCTCAAGCTATGACCTCTGACCCCCGACACTACAGTTACATTCCTCAGTTTAACCATAATGGCGCTCTGTACTGTGACTATACCCACTGCCAGGGCACTGGTCATTTCTCCCTTCATCCGCAGCCCCTGCTGATTGGTCCACAGCCACCCCCTGGTGGCGTGGAGGGGAAACGTGGCCGAAGGCCCACAGGGAAGAAGAGGCCTGCTATCCACAGCTGCGAATACCCAGGCTGCAGTAAAACATACACCAAGAGCTCACACCTCAAGGCTCACCTCCGCACCCACACAGGTACGCCTCATTGACCACAGACACAGTGTAAAATCATCTGCAAAATCATGTTTTTTTTTCAGTAATAACAATCAGTGTTGTTGTTCCCTCTTCAGGGGAAAAGCCGTATCACTGCTCCTGGGAAGGCTGCAGCTGGAAATTTGCCCGCTCAGATGAGCTGACGCGCCACTACCGCAAGCACACAGGCCAGAAACCCTACCAGTGTCTGCTGTGTCAGAGAGCCTTCTCTCGCTCTGACCACCTGGCTCTGCACATGAAGAGACACACCTGACGCCCAAATATGAAAAACACCGCCGTTAAACCCAGCAGAGCTGGAAGAGTACAATGACATGTGTACTTTAAGATTCATGCTTAACGCTAATCTTGACCCAAATCAGCAAAATGTTCATTTTCATTTGTGATCTCAGATATTGTCTTAACATGTTTCCAGGATTTTTAGACCAGCTAATGATACAGATCAAATTGACGACCACATCCTCAGTATAAATGTGAATTCTTTTGACAGTAAGGACCACCCGGACAAACACTGTACACATTTTGTGCATATAGACAGTATATATAAACACTAATGAAAGACCTTTTATTAAATGTGTTTGACGCAGGTCATGATACATCACATAGTAATCGATCCTGTATGATGTTGTAACACACTGAGCAAAGTTATGCCTGCTTAGCATCAGTGCTTTGTTGCATCAGTGCTGGGATGATCTGATATCTTGTTACTATGAGAACTATTCAGAATGTTTAATGTACTCTAAACATCTTCAACTTTATTTCGGATTGTTTGAGGTTTTTAATCTGAAAAAGAAAAATGGAGCTCTTGTTATTCTCATTCAGCAGAATTCAAAACTGTAAATAACTTCAATAACACAGCTTTGACAGTAGCATCTACAGTGAGCAATATATTTATTAACATAAACTTTTATATCAACTGAATGTGTGATTGTAAATCTTTTTCATTATTAAAGAGTGTTTTAAAGTCTAAGTCTGATGCTTTTTAATTACAGTTACAACTTCAGTTAAAAAATAACAACTTTTAATGAATTTTACCGCTGCCACCAAAATGGATGATGGCCCTGAGGTGCAAAACACAACAGCGAATTGTAAAACACAACCCAAAAACAGAGAAAACAGAACCCAAAAAGAGTAAACACACAAATAAAAAAACACAACCCAAAAAGAGAACACAACACAAAAAGAGAAAACACAACTGCAAATAGGAAAACCCAAAACCAAAAAGAATACACAACACAAAAAGAGAAAACACACAAATCAAAAAACACAACACAAAAAGAGAAAACACTATGGCAAAAGAGAAAACGCAACAGCAAATCGGAAACCAAACACGAAAAGCGAAAACACAAAAAGAGAAAACACAACCTTAAAAACTAAACACAAAAAGAGAAAACATAACACGAAAAGAGAAAACACAAAAAGAGAAAACACACAAATCAAAAAACACAACCTTAAAAGAGAAAACACAACGGCAGTAAAGAAAACACAATGACATTAAACATGGTGTTTTTTCCCTTCTTGCGTTGTGTTTTCTTATTTCCTATTGTGTTTTTCTGTTTTTGTGTTGTGTTTTCTCTTTTTGTGTTTTGTTTCCTGATTTGCTGTTGTGTTTTGTACCTCAGGGCCACCGTAAAAAAAAATCTCATATTCTGATATAGATAAACACATATTTTCACACTGGGTTGATTGTAAGACGTTAAGAGTTTCCTATTACCGCATCAAAACACTCAACCCCAAACTGCCCCTTGTGGTGAGTTTAAGGATTACATATTATTCATAGGTGCTTTACATTGCAGCCTCTGCTATCGGTGTGTGACATGTAATGTAAAAAGCACTCTGAGCGATCATTATGTAATGTCTTATTTTGGCCTGTAGGGGGCAGTCTCCGTCAGTGGTATCAGCTCTCACATGCCCGCAGGCTGGTATCAGCTGGCTGTTGGCAGCTTGTCTGCAGTGTTTCTAATCTGGGTAAGGGTGAGGTCAGGACAAGAATCTGCTTATGCAACCGGGTACTCACTGATTCATCCTGATTATGTCAGATGATGGAGGCGGTCATCACATTATGGAGCCCCCATCTTTCTCACATACACATGGATACCCTCTGGGACAAATAGAGGGAAACACAATCAGAAAACACATTTAGTAACAGTCCTGTAAACACAGAGAAAGAGGTTTTAAAAAGGCAGAGGAGGAAAAACGGATTAATCTCATCAGACACTTGATTGGGTGTATTTTTATGTGTGTGTGTTGAATTAGAGGAGTGTTGTGTCTGCGCTTTATTGATGTTTACCTCTCATAATTTATCCAATCCCTGAAAAGCTCTCAGGGATTAGCACATATGCAACAAACTTGGTGTTAAAGTTCCCCTTTGAGATTGTTACACGAGCTTTACAGAATAAGAGCCAAAACATTCACAAGTACAATTCCTCTATTTATTCTTCTGTGATACAAAGAAGGATTTATGAACACCCTTGACAGGAGGTGTAGTTATTGATCTTAACCTTTCATTGCAGCAGAAAGGATGCAATGGTTATATAGCAGGCAAGTAAGAAAATAAGCTTGTGACCTCCACATTACACACACGTGAAAAAGTCCTGATAAATATGCTGCTGCTGACTCCATTCATAATCGATTATCCAACAAGACATCAAACATCAGCTCCACCAAACTTTCATGAGGCTTCAACTGTGGTTTAGTTTTTTTTTTTTTAGTTCAGCACTCGAGGGTAAGTGATTTTAGATTTAGAGGTGACATGAGGACAGAGTTCTGACCCGCAGTGCCCCACAAAGAACAAACAAACTCTTCAGCAAATCCCCTTTCTAGTTCCACTTTCTAGTTCCTCCTTCTCTGTTTACATAATACTTTACCTCTGCGCAGCCCTTACGCAATTATAGAAATACTCAGTTGTTAACCATCAGCAAAAAACAAGCACTGAGGCATGACCAGACGTGAAATACAAAACCATTAGATATTTATGAGTGTCCCGTCTGAGCGGAGAATGTAACTCTGGACACAGATCAATGCTGAAAAGCTACTGAGATGATTTCAGGCTGAGCGTCATACAAAATACTCTTACTACAGTGTGTATTTGCTCACTAGTTGCAACACATTTTTTGTAGACTAGTAACACAAAATCAGTGACTTAAGTTGTATTGAGGATATATGATCCCTGACTTGCAGGGAGTATGCTTAGAAGGACCATGGATGAGGACTTTAACATGCACAGGAGCGCTCTCATTCACAGTGAAAATGATCAAATTAAAGTAGTCAATACTGTAATTTCAGTGTAAAATGCGTGTGTGCATCTTTGTGCACCAAATCTTTGCCTTTCTTTCCATGAAGTGTGCAAAAACTTCACATTTTTAACATTAAAAAAGTTCAATCAATCTTTATTTATAGAATATATATGCATGGACATACAACACAAAGTGCTTCACACACATAGAAGAAAAAAAAAGTAGACAAACAATTACAATTAAAGCCCCTCCTTCCCACCCTCCATACTACACACACAAACACACTTGCACACTCTCACTACTGACAATAGGGAGACATGGCATGACACTTAGGAATGTGGAAGCGCCATCTTTGCGGCCATCCACACTGGGGAGTCGTGTGCTGTGCCACATGGGGCACAAGCGCCCAGGGCCCCCCGAACCTGACAGACAACAGCCAACTGGGCCGAAGGGACCCTGGGACAGCGACCGCCACAGCAGCCCAGACACAGCTCCCAGTGTGGAGGACCCCCTTAAGTAAACACTGGAGTTAAAACGAACACTAAAAGCACAAGATAGGCTTAAAAACCCTGAAAAAATAAATAAAAAGAGTGAACAGTTTAAAATGATTCAAATACATAAGATAAATGAAATAGTACTAATAATAGGTAAAACATGTATATGATATATATATCTATATCTTATGGTATAAGCATCAGGATCAGGCTATCATAATCAGAATCCACTCAAGTTTCATATTGCGTTCACGACTGTCATGATGTTGTAACAAAGGTAACACTCACATTATGTTTAACTCTCCACATGTACGTGTAACTTTCTTTGATTTTCTATCGTGCCTTTGTACTTCAGGCACAGACATGCTGTAACACCCAGTGACAGTCAGCTGTGTGTTAACTCAGCCAAACAACAGAGTGACTGAGAGGAAGCGGGAACATCTTTTACGCAAACGCAGAGCCACTCAAACAAACACGAGTGACGCACACACAGCCACAGAGAGAGACCCACATTCACAAACCAATCACAAGACTGTATGCAGCGGCTTTGATATTCACGGGGGCTTTTCAAGTGAGCGTCTATAAATGGATTTTTCCCTTCATGATTAAACCGGCTACTTCAAGGAAGTGTTAGTACCAGCCTTGGAGCTGACTGCTTGGTATTTTGTGGGAGTTGCATCCATGGACGGAGCCAACCTGGCAATCCTCCATGTGGTAGGAGAGTAGGGCTGGGCAAAAAAACAAAAATTTACAGATAACGAAATTTACAACAATAACTGACGTCATTTTGCCCATGTCAATAAATTCAGTGTCAAAAATATATATATATATAAAAGTTGTATTTGATTTGTGTAGGTAGCCTGGCTGGGCCATCCAGTTGCGTGAATCACTTGCCGTTCCTTCCCACAACAGTCTGGACTTCGGCCAATTGGGAGCCCTAAAAGTGGGCGGGAATACTTTTCTTGATAGACAGACTACTGTAACCAATCACTGTAACCAAACATCTGACGTCATCACAGTGTGCAACTGTCTGCTGGGCTCTCAAGCATCAAGTAACGGTTTGGTAATATTTCAACGTGTGCGAGCAAACAATGTCTTTTACGTCTTCTTCAGCGGATATAAATGATTTCTGACGACTTTGCAGAGTCAACTGCAGAATTAACGGCGTTCTGAATGAACGGCGCTTTGAAAAGTCCCGCAGCATGTGTTAGACGTCACCATCTACACATGGACCAATCAGGGGCTGCCTTTCACTGTTGTCAGGGGAACAGTGGAAACACAGTCACTGATTGGCCCGATTATTTTTTAATTTCTAATACTTGCTCCCAATTGGCCAAAGTCCAGACTGTTGTGAGAAGGAACGGCAAGTGATTCACGCATCTGGATGGCCCAGCCAGGCTAGTGTGTCGGTAGGCTATGGTCTCATACCAGTCCGTAACAGAGAGGAAAAAACAGGTGAGGAGATGGAGGACAGTTCAAAAGTTGTAGTGGCTGAAGTTGGCTAAGTTAATGTGGGAGAGGTTTAGCAGTTTGTGGAGTAGTTATTGTCCATTTATCGTTATCGAGGTGAACAGCTCAATATATCGTGATATTGATTTGAGGCCATATCGCCCAGCCCTATAGGAGAGGTTAGGGTTTTTAAATGCAGATAAACTTGATTGTTGGAATAACTTTTTGTTTTAACTCCCTGTGAAGTCTTGAGTCATCTAATGAAACGAACGGCAACTCTGTGTGCAATTATCGCTGTCATTGATATTAATAATAGTGTTATTTTTGGAGTGCTGATGCTGTAGGTGACCCTGGATGGACAAAAAATAAGCTTTAAACTTTAGCCTGTTACTTTCTTTGGGTGAATATTACAAGTGTAAACATGTGATTTCATATTCTTTGTATGTTTCAAGTTGACCATTTACACAAAGTGAGTATATAACCATAAATAAATGTTATTCATCATCATAATCAATTATAAAACCTCACATAATTAGGACCTTTGCTCTCTGTTTGAAAGCGGATGAGGATTAATATGGCGAAAGCTGTTGAGTTCGGGTCCAAGTGAATCGAGTGATGTAAAAGTAGAAACGGACTGGTGGCCCTGGGGGGAGGGCTGATCCCCCTGATGTGAACTTGCGTGAACACAAAAAGTCTTTTAAGGCCACTGTCTGCTCTGTACTCTATAACCTGCTTTTGTTAGATTCATGTTTCTGACTCCACCTTTGGTACCCTCATTTGCACCATAGCCTTAAACATTAGATCATAAACTGTAGTGCAATGATTTACTATTACAATTAGGGTTAAATGTTGCCCTATCAGCCTGTTTTATGATACACACTGTTTGTTTCTGTCTAAAAATGACGTGGAGTCTAACCAGGTGAAACCGGACATGGCTCCTCCTGAGCAACAGTGATACTGAATTGTTCCATGGTGTTTACATTTGCTAGCATAATCATTAAACAATCACTAAAACATAATTTAACCCTGGAGAAGTATTATAAAGAAGTGAGAACTGAATTATTCCTCCTCCTTCTCAACCTGAACTAATTTCACCCAAGAAGTACAAGGACACGGGTTTCTCTTCTGACCTTTGATATCATCCATAGGAGGGTTATAAAGCCACTCTACAGTGTGTCATATAATACTAAAGATAATGAAAATACTATGAAGGGTAGCAGTTGCTCAATCAGTCAGTTTTCAACAACACAACACTTCCTATCTAAACTGCTGTGCTGTGCAAACAAAGCTGGTGCTCTGATAGTGAGGAGTTGTAAAGTGAAGTAGTTGTTTGAGAAGTCAACCGTCACATTAATTTTTAATAGCACCTCCAAAGACTCGTAAGGCAAGTTCATCCGCCACCCTATGTTCTTGGATTTTGTGTGAAACATATTTATTTCAACCAGCAACTTCAGCCAGATCTTCATCAGACCTGGATCTCTCAAGCACAAGGCGCTCATTGTTGTTTGCCAAAGTTCAGTTTCTTCTCACTGATCTGATGAATTTTCCTGATACTTTGAACAGACAGAACATTCACTGTGGTAGATTGAATTTTATTCATCAGGACGTTTTGTTCTTAAATCCTGATGACTTTTAAGAAGCTGGACCTGAGGTAAAACGTTATGTCTGAAGCCGTGTTTCTCTGTTAGGAAATAATGGAGACCTAAACTCTACACAGAGTAAAATCGATCATGACTTTGACAGACCTGAACGTGCAGCTGCAGCAGTGATGTAAGGAGGGGGAGGCGAAGCTTTCGAGTAACTGGTCGATCTACATTTGTATCCTCACCTCTGATTGGGTGCTGGGTAATAGCTGATAGAAGTACATCTGGAATACAGGCAGCAGATAAGAGTTGCAGGGATCAGCCTCAGGTAGGGTCAAGAGTGAGGACATCTGGAGAGTATACACTCTTTGGATGGGAAAATATTTTGCGCATCAATTTCCGAAATAGGGATAACGTTGAGAATAAAAAAGCAACTGTTATCAGAAGGTTTTATTTCAGCACTGAAGTTCTGATCTGTTGGAGTCACAATGACATTGTTGTTATGAAATTATCCAAACAAGATCTGCTCGGTCTGGGGGATTTGGCCCATGGGTTCTGACGTGCACCCCATTAACAAAGGCTTTAGTCCTCAAATGGGTGGTCTGGGACCCGTTCCAATCTGCTGCCCTTGTCCCACACACCCCTCCCCACTCTGTCCACCAGTTTCCTGCTCTGTCCGCTGTCCTATCTTCTCTGACTAAAGGGATTATAAAATCTGATTAAATTTAGGTTGTGAGGTTAACTGTTGGCTTTGTTTTGTTTCAAAAGTGGGGAGGCTGATACAGATACAGAGCGGATTAGTGTAAGTGTTTCCTTGTGCAGGAAGGAAGTTTCACTGTCCAACAGATCGCTCTGGGAACAATATGCCTTTTTTTCTCTGCTTTCACCCTGATTGAACTTCCTGCACTGAGCAGTCCTCAAATGCTCTCGCTCTCCCTCTTTGTGTACGTATTACATAACAGCGCTTTTCTATTCACACTATCAGCTGGCATTCAAGTGACTTGCTCTCCATACACAGGTGTCTTTCCATACTTCTTTTAACCTACAACATTATACAGTTACAGATTGACTCAAAGATGAAGTGACAGATCAGTTGACCTTTTTTTTTTTACTGCACAATGAAGCCACCGGCCTCTGACGAAAAACAGAAAAGTGAGAACCTTAAATAGGTGACCTCAGACAACCTTATGTCCATTCTTGGACGGTGGCACCTGTGTGCTGTAGGTCTAATGCTGTGATAAAAAACAAACACAATTTTGTGTTAATTTTGTTTAAGTGTTGAGAAACAAAGCGCGCAAAGACATAACACATCATTTTTATGTAAATGTTTTACCTCGAGCTCCCTGGTATGGGTGCTCACCTGCACAGGGCAAATAAGGACGACCTTATCCACCATGGCTGCTGTACACACAGGCTTTTAAAAAGTGCATGACCTCATCTAACACTGTGATGTAAAACAAGTGATAAGAGGAGAAACCTGTGAGTATGAGCCATCAGGTAAAGCAGCGATATTTATAATATGAACAAAGGAAGAAATGTTTTTATACGCTGAGCATGTGTTGAATGAAATGCCCAATGGTTTTCTCTTTTTTAAAAATATAATTTTAATGAGAATTCATTGCATAATTCAAAAAGTTAACCCTTTATTGCTGTAGTGTTCAGGTTTCAGAAAGTATCATACTACTAAAAAGTAAACATGGACAAATATGCGTGACATTTGTTATACAAGGATATGGATACAGCAAAAACCGTCTTCCTCATCTCCAGTAACAGCAGTCTACTGCTTTGGTAAATATCTCTGCAACTTTAAACAAAGTTTGTTTCATACAATTCTCTGTATTTTTCTGTGATTTAAAAGAAGTCTGCCTAGTTTTGAAACTGATTATATTTCACAGCATCTGGCTTGCTTGTTGCATCTTGTTTATTTAACTATTAAGTCTAAATTGTTGGTTTTTGTCATGTAACCAGCCACATGTGACCGTTCATTGACCCTTTCTGGCACGACCTACCATAGACTGTAAGCAAATAACAAATAATAGTAATAATAGTAAAAATAAACTGATTTCAACAACATCTGCTCAGCTCACAATGTGCTCTTCTCTTCTCTTCTCAGACAGGACACGACCATAGACTGTACAATGGACAACTTGGTTCTGCCTTCCATCAGTATACGGATTTGAAGCCGAAAAACTCTCTGTATTACCTGTTTTTTTCTCCACTTCCTGAGACTATCATTGCACAGTGGCGTTTTGCGCACTTCTCCACTTACGCAGTAGTATTGTACACATTCAGTGGTGGAGTCGCTGAAAGTTGCTGTGATGACGCTCGGCTCAAATAGTGTATCCCGCGGGTGAGCTAAGTAATCTTCGTACGCCCATAGGCTGTATCAAGTGTCAATCTTAGAAAACATGAACCGTCTAATAACTTTTGAAAACGGAGCTGTAGAGAAAAAAGAGGACGTGAGCACAAACCAGTCTGACAATCACTACATGTCAACATAACAAGCAGGGTGGGGAAAATTGTACATTCTGTGCAATTCATTTCTAAAGTTTGTCCACAGCGTCATAGAGATTGCTAGAGGAGGCGGGATTTATGACCTATACTGCAGCCCGTCACCAGAGGGTGCTGTTCTCGGAGTAGCTTCACCCAGCAAGGAGGCAGACGGCGTCCATTCTATATACAGTCTATGGTCATGACCCCTGACCATGTAAAGGAATAAAGCTAGTATTCCACTTTTTAGTTGTGCCCTCTGGTGGAAAAGATAACTGCGATGTGACAACTTACCCATGTGACAACAAGCCCGGTCTCCCCTATTTTGTTTTGTAGACTGATTATCTAACTGGCACTGAGTTAAACTCATCTTTAGCGCCTTTTTGTTTTCACTTGGTGGACTTCTCCTTGTCTCCGTGTCTCCTTGTCTCCTTGGGGTGTTGTAGCCCACACTTCTTTCTTTTTTGGTCAGTGTAACCTTGTGTTGGGTCGCCTGCCACTGACGTAAGCTTGGTAGTATGCGACCATAATGAGATAATAACAGGGTTTGAGCTCATGATCCCCGGTGCTGCTGCTGATATTTACTGTGTGTCTGTGTCTCTGCTGGCTCGGCTCAGCAGACTTAACTCCCGATAGGAGGAAGGGTGACGGGGCGGGAGGGTGGGTTGAGGTGGAGGGGGTCACCCGGGGTGAGGATCCAACCCCGGCTGAACCGATGAGCAGGCCCAGACACGACAGAGAGAGACTCGGAGCTGAGGAGCAGAAACACTCGGGCGTCCTGTGGAGCAGCACGTCTTTTCTCTTTTAACGAAGGAGGTTTTTATTATCGGAGCTCTCAGCAGTCCCACTTGTGAGTACACTTTCCTTTACACTTCTGAGACTGTCCACTCTATCGTTATAGTTTTGTTTTGTAGTAAATGTGATGTTAAAGTAAGAATATTTTCAACAAAGTTTACTATTTAACCCACATCGATGCATCTGTCAGTCTGATCACTCACATTTCCGTGTCTCATTATTAATCAAGTTGATTAGAAACATATTTTGGGATTGATAACTTTAGATATTCTAAATCCCAGTCACTCACTTTCTACTTTAATTGGTTTTAAATGTAGTTTTCTAATTATATTTAATAATCATTTACACTAAACGAAAAATGTTATCTGTGGACGAGTTCAACCTGCACCAATATCAGATTATTGATCTTAAAATGATTAAATAAATTACCATAGTGATGACTAAAACTCTCACCACAGATTAGTTTGATTTGTTTGGTCCATATCAGAGATAACACGTGTAATACAAGTCTGTATATTTGTTTGTTTTGACCAAAAGTGTTGCTCATGTTTTCCTTTTAGTGAGAGATTTTATTTTTCACTTTATTCTCTTTGTCTGGCATCAGATAAAAACTTTACATCTTCCTCCTAAATACAGCAAAATGCAGAAGTGCTGTAATGTTTTGCTTGATAACATACTGTCACCTAAACTAATGCACCTCTGTTTTTAACCACTAGGTGGTGGAATTACTGCATACTTCCATCCCCTTCCCTCAGCTCACTGGGGTGTCATACAGGACTGTTTGACCATGGCTGCTCAGACTGCTGGAGGCATGATTCAGGATCTGGCTATGCCCACACTGCTGCCAGAGTCCAGGGCTCTAGGAGAAGCCGGACCCTTCACCGATGAGACTGTTTCCATCCTTACCTCTACAAGTCAGCTGGCCCGAACCCTCCTGGGCCGCAGCTTTACCCCAAATAACAAAGACACCCTCAGCAACGCAGAAGCGAAATCTGGCAGCAGCTGTGATGAAGACAATGGTAACAATTCACGTCGCAAACGGGAGTTCATCTCAGATGAGAAGAAGGATGAGGGATACTGGGACAAGAGGCGAAAAAACAACGAAGCAGCCAAGAGATCCAGAGAGAAGCGGAGAGCCAATGACATCGTGCTGGAGAGTCGAGTTCTGGGACTTCTGGAGGAGAACGCTCGCCTCAGGGCTGAGCTCTTGGCGCTGAAGTTTCGCTTTGGTTTGGTTAAAGACTCATCTGATGTGTCCATCCTGCCTCTATCTTCACCCATCCGTACAACAGTCAGTACCTCACATTTCTATCAGCCTCATGCTGCTAACGGATCATCATGCCCTAACACACAGCCCATCGCCAGCACCAACAGCATCCACCCTCAGCCTCCTCAGCAGGGAGCCTTTTATGGCCCGAGGAGAACCGGGCCTCTGGCGAGTCTTGGTGTGTCTGAGTTAGGTGTCTCAACCTCATGTCCCTCAAACACAGGCACTAACTCTGTGTTCTTGGATGACAGTGTGAGTGAGCATGGTGGACCTTCTCCAAGGGAGCTGGTGGGGGGAACACAGGGCTATGACACTCCCATCTGTTCCCTGGAAGTCAGAGAGAGTCAATATGTAAATAGACACGAGTCACCTGAGGGTCTGAGGAGCCTTCCGCACAAGCTCCGCTTCAAAGGTCCTGGGGGGGACTTTTCTCCATCCCCTGATGGTAGACAAAGTGGACCCCCCGTAGCCACAGTGGGACCAAACACCCAGGAGAGATGCCAGCAGCAGGTGGGTTGGGTCAGTCCAACAGAGAGCCTGGCTCCATGGCCCAGGGAGGAGGCCTCTGGTGGATCTGGGCTGCAGTATCAAAGCCCTGGATCATATAACTCTGCGCAGTTCTCAGGGGACGCTAACCTTTCAACAGAGGACACGCATCTTAGATCTCAGATCAGTTGTTTGTCTCAGGAAGTGGCTCAGCTCAAGAAGCTCTTCTCTCAGCAGCTCCTCACCAGGCTGTAAGATCGTGAGCACAAGCGCACGAAGACCACATGAAAAGCAGATTTCACACTACAGCTTTTTGAAACAAAGACACTACAAGTTTCCACAAGACAGCTCGGCCTCGGTGTAAACAGCTACCTCTGAAGTGACAACCCTGTCTCACTGAGCCTGTACTAAAACACCAGCACACTGACACTGATGCACTCAGGGGGGGACACTGCACAGTGTTGAACACTCTCAAAAACACTGGAATGCCTTTTGGGCGTAGAACTCTAGATGGTTACAGCACCTAAACCTCAATCTCACCATGTTCACTAACTTTTGTTGTCTTCTTCGGGGACGTTGCAGGCGGTTCGACACAAACACTGTATACAAATATCGACTCGAGTTAGATTTACAGTTAAAAGAAGCGTATATACGAACTTCTTATTGGATGTGCTAAAATATGACCTTGGACAGATTTCTAGGAATGACCTCCGTGTGTTTACTGTATGTGTATCATTGGCAGTATCTGTGTGTGGTTTATCACAAAGCCATCAAAATAAGCAATATACTTTTGTATGTTTTGTTGTTGCTTAAAATGATAATTGAGGTAAATTGTATTTGGAAATAAAACACATTTTATAGTAAAAAAGGATGAGATTGATTATATTCAGATAATTATTTCATTGTATTGTAGAGACATTACTGTTTTTGTGCTAATTATCAACAACGACTATATGTTGGAACCTCTAACTGCACTTTGCATCCCACCATATGCAGGGATGGTTGTAGTGGAGAAACTAAACCAGCAGGAGCAAAGACCTTGAGTGAAGTGCATTTTTACTGGTACACATTTTTAATGGTACTGGCGATATTTTGAGCTAATTCACAGTCTGCTTTAAACTTAAAGTGCCATCTTGGTGTTCGACAACCACTCACCTTTTTGTCAGGAGACAGGACGGTGAAAGAATCTGGGACAGCAGGGTGCAGGACAGCGCTAAAGGAGAGAGGGGCGGTGTGCGGATGCAAGCAGAAGAGTGAGACTCTGCATGAGTCATCTATCACGTCAGCAGTACGAAGGTTATTTTTAGCACAGAAGCAGCCGCGGTGAAGACTGATTGGCCCATATGGAAGTGAAGGATACAGGTTTGGAATACATTAGCACCTGGAAATAGTCCAAGTCTGCAGTCTGTGTGGGTGCTCTGGCTAGAAAAGCCCAAAAGCAGCAGAGCGTCCAAAAAACTGCAGTGTATGAATTCTATGATTTTACATGAAGCAAAGTGATGCACTTGACTGAATAATAGTTTTTAGAAATAATGTGTATTTGAGAATTTTCCCCTTTCAGGTCTGTGCTTTTTTTCAACACAAGGTGGCGCCAGGAGCCCATATCAGCATGCCTCAGTGAGTCTCATTCAGTCGTTCATTCATTCCCAGCAGTATTACAACAGAGGTCCTCTCCTCCTTTGTGCTCACCACATGCAAACCAAGCACTTACTTCTTATAAAAGCAAAGAACAAGAGTTACAGTCCGACAATGAAAAGACATGTTTTTTTAACCTATGCAAACATGGTGTTATGCACCTGTGATGACCTCTGCTTCAAGCGACAGATGCATGGAAATCTTTTGTCTGTAACCAGTCTTCAGATGTCTCAGTCTACAAACCTGATGCCATGAGCTGTATTGGAAGAAATGAGGGCCTTTTGGTTGCTAGGCAGGCACCACCACACCACTGTTGCCAAGGGAATGCCTGCATGCAGATAGATAGAGGAACATGTTGGGGGTTGGTGGTAATAACACAGAGGACTGGTGGGGGGAGGAGCTAGACAAGTTCAAGGCTACCGCTTCCCCATCATGGTCTAATGGTGGTGATATGATTATTCTGCGTGTGGTGAAAGGGTGCAAGTATGAGACAAAGCAGGGGGAGGGGATGTGGGTGATAAAGTGGGTTGGAGTTGGATGTGTGTCAAACACAAAACAGGGATGATGTAAACAGCTCAGTGAATATGTCGGTGGTGGGTACAAAATGCTTTGTAGGACAATAGAAAATGACTGGAATTTAAATGTTGTTGTCTGCTAACAACAGCATGATGATAAATTTATGTAGAAGGTCTTAAAATATTTTTATTGTTAATTAGGCCAAAATCTGTGCAGGGTAAGGAAAATTAAAAAGCACATTCAAGGCCATTTATGCATTTAAGCTCGATACCAAACAATGCTTTTGCAGTAAAAACACAATAAAACTTATTTGGAAATATAAAATAAAATTGTGAAACATAATAATGCGCCCTCTGAAATGTTCTTCCACTGGAAACAATGTGAGCAGGTGTCTCAATTAACATTTTACTTTATCTACTTTGGTAAGTCTTAGTTTTAAATTTGTATGATAAAATATTTTATAGTACTTTGTAGTTTCATTATGTGTGTCTACGGTAGAATACTTATATTTAAATTGAACACAGAAAAAAAAAGTTCTTTAAGTTGTGCAATCATAATCGTATGCCTAACTTGTACATTAACCTTTATTTTACCACAAATTGTTGATCAGAAATTTCCTGAGTGGTGGGGTGGACGATCCCAGACACCACTCTTACAGCATGTAGTGCTCTTTCAACATGTAAAATGAGGCTGTTGTGCAACCAGCTTATGGATATGAAATGTCAAAGAGAAACTGAAAAAAGAAAAAAAGAGCTCACATAATTGTCTTCAAATGGTGGGAGGGGCTGATCTCTGCTAATCTAGAACAACGAGAAAATGGATTAGCTATGTTTTTAGATAGATAGATAGATAGATAGATAGATAGATAGATAGATAGATAGATAGATAGATAGATGGTGACTATGGAAACAATTAAAATTATATATATAATGTAAGAAATAAAGAATTAAAATTATATGTATTATATTTATATTATTTAGATAGATAGATAGATAGATAGATAGATAGATAGATAGATAGATAGATAGATGGTGACTATGGAAACAATTAAAATTATATATATAATGTAAGAAATAAAGAATTAAAATTATATGTATTATATTTATATTATTTAGATAGATAGATAGATAGATAGATAGATAGATAGATAGATAGATAGATAGATAGATAGATAGATAGATAGATAGATAACAGTTGTAGTTGTTATGTACGTTATATGTTGTAACACTATACATAATAGCCTATAAATAAAAATAGTTTGTGGTATTTGACCTTTTACCATGAGGTTTGTGAGGATGGTGACCATGGACATAATTCAAGTATATGTATATATATATATATATATATATATATATATATATATATATATATACATATATATATATATAACATACATATATATACATATATATGTATATGTATGTATGTATATATATATATATATATATATATATATATATATATATATATATAATTATATATACAAACATACATATACAAATATATATATACATATATATGTATATGTATGTATGTATATATATATATATATATTTTTATATATATATATACTTACATTCTATATTATATTTATATTATCTAGATACATACATACATACATACATACATACATACATACATACATACATACATACATACATACATAAAGTAGTAGGTGTTATGTATAGTATAAACAATACACAGAGTATCTTAGTTCGTGGTATATGACCTAATACCATTAGTTTTATTTTTCTTATGTTGTTAGAAACATGTTGTTATGCACAGCATTTGACCTTGTTTGTAGTATTACCGCCACCATTTTAAACATGGCATGACTTCGTGAAGAAAATATTGTAAAGACGAGGAGGGAGAGAAGAGAGAAAAGGGCATTACACAAAGTTAGAGCGAGAGAGAGAGAGAGAGAGAGAGGGAGGGAGGGAGAGAGAGAGAGAGAGAGAGAGAGTCTCGCGCGGAGGGATAGAGGACAAAAACGTGACTAGGCAGCCTAAGAGCTGTTATGCAACCACTGACCTACTAACACATATTTCTAGAAAGGGAGCCGAGAAACTAGAGCAAAGTGTCCGGCATCATACCACACACAGGCAGACCGAGCCAAGAGACGGAAACAGCTATCCACCCGACCCACTGACTCGACCACAACTGAACCAGCACACCGACACGAACAGGAGAAGAAACTTTTCGTTTTTTGGTGGAGCTTTCTTTGAGGGAACGAGTAAAAGGAGGAAACAGCGACCGAGACGGCTTTGTGTCCGGGAAGCCTGAAAAATTTTCCCCTCCTCCTCCAGGACATGGAAAGGTAATATTCTGAACCAGTTAACTTTCACCCTTCGTGTTTGCCTGTTTCTAACCTTGTATTTATCCACATTTGTGCTTAATTGTATCCGTCTGTTAAAAATGAACATTGTGCTCGCGGCAGGTTATTGTTCACATGGCGACTCGCGGATATGCCGGGCAGATCCGCGCGCCCGTGACTTTGAGAGGTTGCGGCTGTTTTTGTCATATTAAACACGGGGGGGATCGTCGTCTAATGCGCTACATTGTAACCCGTGTAGCTGCAATATTCCGCTTTAATTCTCATAGAAAACACTCGGTGTGAATGTGAAACAGAGGTTTGCGTTATCCCACATTAGTGCTCAATGTCAAGGCGAGGTTGTTTCCTCATGGTGGTGGTTTCTAGTGAATAGGGGGCAGCTGCTGTACTCCGGCTGTGTTGTCTGGTTTTACGCAGACACACACAGTCAAGCTTATGCTACATTTCGCTCCTGCACGTGGCATGCTGTTATAGTCGTTTCTGTTTATATGTAGGTCACTAGTTCACTCTTGTTACTCAGACATTGATCAATACTTTTGGAAATGCAATGTGGAGAAATTGATTAAAAAATGAGGTTTGCTTTTTGTGGATACGGATTTTCCTGTTATAATAACACACTGCCTTTCACATGAAGGGATATGTAAATGCAGATTAAATGCAAAAAAAAAAAAAAAAAAAAAAAAAAGCATTAAGTGGTTAATTCAGTGGAAAAATGCACAATGCAACAATAATAAATTGCTCATAACTCCTCTTAGACATGTTCTGATGTGTTGCAGGTTTTTTTAATGTAAAATTAAAAATATTTAGATGTTAGAAAAACAGGAAAAAATGTCTGATTTTATTCAATGCCATCCGCGGATGACTTTTTTACCCGCACAAGGTGTGTTAAATAAACCACAGGGCTTTGCTTTGAGGGAGTTGGAGGGTATGACATAACCAGCACACAGCAGGGAGACGCAATAAACAGCCGCTCTCTCCTGGGACAGACTGGCCTGTAATTGATTCCAGTTCACACCCTGTGCTTTATTCCAATCATTCATACCCAGCTGGCTGCCAAATCCTTATGTACGGAGAAGAGGAAGAGTGTAAAGATGTACATGAGCACAAAATGTATTCAAGAAGTGTTTGACCTTTATTTAGACAGATTATTTTCATTAAGCTACGGTCTCATTTTCAGCGTCTGTGAGCTATTTTTAACACGTTCAGCCTTCCTCCAAAACAAAAAAGGGAACAGAAAAAGTAGAGTTATGAGTGACCTAAATTAAAAGCTTTTTTTCTTTCCTCCTGTTTCCAAAGATTGTGTGTTCTCACTGTGGACTTTGTTGTGAAATTAGAATAACAAATGAAAACTCAGGCTGTGATGCAATGCATGGAAACCCCTGTCTGGCAGAGGCAGGCAGTGTTCTGGTGAGCTCTTAGTCCGCCTGCTGCCAGTTGGTCTGCTTTCAGAGTAGTCTGCATAGCTCTGTCCCGGCTAACTCTACGAATATAGGTCAGACCTGTAACTGGGTTTGGAAACACACGAGGTGTAAGAGGCAACTGTCTTTTGCTTTGAGGAATTTAAGACCACGCATAACTTGGTCATTTCAGCTCCCCGTTTCACACTATATCCAGTTACATGCTTGTTGATTTTATCTCCTGGTGATCGTGCAAACTAAAAGACGTGACCTTTCAGCAAAGGAATGGACTTCAACTATAGGAAAAAAGGGTTTTAACTTCAAAAATAAAGATAAGGAGTAACACTAAATAGATGTGAATGATAATAATACGATGTGAGAGTTTTAGTAATGTCAAATTTAATGGGTTAACTCCTCTCCAAATTTGCATTTATCTGTTAAATTTAGTGAAAAAGACAGAAAGGGTTGACGTGTTTTAGGACACGATTAAAGAATTAAACGGCACAGAGCCCTTCGTCTCCAAGGCTGACCTGGTTTGTCTGAATTCCTGTCTCCTAGTTTTGTTGTTTGACACAAAGCCATGGGGCAAAATGGAGGCTCTGAGCTGGGGGCCCCTCCACGTGTGTGGTGGTGGTGGATCACTAAAAAAGATGGAGGAGGGGAAGAGGATGCTGTGTGTTTTACTCACACTTGCCTCAGTAGAGGTCAAAGGTGAAGCATTCCTCCTTATCTAGTGAGTGTCTGGGAAATGTGTCAAAGTTGTTCTCCAGCGGAAACAACGAGTTTACAGTGGCTCGTGGCGAATCTTTGAATTCGTAGGACCTGTAACACAAAGCACTTTGTTCTACATCGTGTTGTTTGGGAAGTACTATACAAATAAAGATTGATTAATTGATTGATTAAACCCTTATTAACACACTTTTATCCAGTGCACAGGGATCACAGTAAAGGGGGAACGTTTAGGACATTCACAGCCAGTAACCTGTAGCTTCTGCTGCTGTGTAAATGTGCGTATGTTACACAAGCTTTGCTTTGCAACAAGAGACATTCAGAGCACGTACGCAACAACAGCAGCCCCTCCCCATGCAGTCCTCAGAGAGAGCCTGTTATGTGTGAATTTGGCTGCAGAGATGGGTGTGTGCTCTGACGTCAATGCCAACGCTGTATCTCTCACTATTGTTTTTCATCTGCAACTAATGCATATTATGTCTGAGGTGGTGTTGGAGGGTTTCTAGAGCGGACCAGAATTAACGTTGCATGAAAACCACTGGGGCTTTCATAATCAGATTTTGAGGCGGATGACGTATCCCTTCCTCTCTTTTTTTATTCCTCCTGCTGCAGATTCTGTAAAATTCCTCTCGTTTCCACCAACTGAATTCCTCATGTCAACCCATCCCTTTTTTTGCTTCCTCCCTCCCTCACCTCTTTCTGTTGCTCTATTTTTAGAGTGCACTCTAATACTCTCTTTCCCTCTCCTGCCCTCCCTCCCTTGCAGTCCTACTGACCTATTTTATGGCGCACCGTCAAAGACAGGAGGAGTGTTTACTGCTTAGCGTCGTTTCTAGGTCAGTGGGACAGAGAGACGAGTGCGTGCTTCCTTCCCATCCGCCTTTGTTTCGCGCGCAGGGTGGGGGGATTTTTCCGGGGGGGGAGGAGGTGGGTAGCTATTGGCCCTACATTTTTCCACATCTGTTGGTAGTTGTGTCCTAATCCTTTTCTGTTCGGCAACGCTCGACTCGAGGTTTCAGACACAGAAAAAATGAGGTTAAAGTTTTAAGGAGGGAACTCATAATAAAGAGAAAAGACAACTCAACAAAGTGAGTGAATGAATTAATAGATTATTATTCTGAACATTAGTTTATAGATTATTATTCAAAGCAGTGGGCTGTTTCAAGGTCACAATGGTGGTTTTGTGAGTGTTATGTAACCAGATTGTTGACTCTGTGGGAAGAGAAGAAATGCAGTAACCAGGCGGGGCATGACACACATGCGGTTCAGTGGCTGTTAAACATCGTTTTGGCGCCGTGCTGTTTGTGATATGAGTGAAATACAAAGCAGGGAAACACTCTGGAGTCAGTTGTGTTTACCAGGAGCACTTTATTAGCACTCTGAGGTGTTACAGCGTCTGTCTGTTTGTGCTCTCGCTGTGAAAGTTTGAATAAAGGGAGTAGTCGGGGCGTCTTCTTTGTTCGGATCTGCTTTCAATAAAACTAATAGATTATAATTCAGGAGTATGCGCTATCTTAACCAGACCTGTGTAATGTCTGGATGCAACAGTTTTCATGTCCTGGTTTTTACCTTTTAAGTGAAAAAAAAATAACTTAAATCTGAGGGACTAAAAACAGAGCAGCTGGAATTTTTGTGTTACTAGGAAAAACATTAATACTGCTATGGCGATTTAAAAAAAGCACACGATTGATGACAAACGTTTGTGTTTCTTAGCTTCTAATTCCAGTGTTGGGAAATCTACACCAAAGGAGTCATTGTCAGCCACAGGCACACTGACCTAGATTCCCATATTCCCTCCGTGTGTGTCATATAAAAGATATTTTCATGTTTGTCATGGGCTCAGGGGGTTGGCTCAGGCGTAATGACGCACTAGTAATTACTGCGTATAAACTGTGCAGTGAAAGAACTAGTGGCCTGTAACGAGAACAGCAGCAGCAGCAGCACTTAGTTGTTACATAATGCCGGAGTCAACGTCCATCTGCGCTGCATTCAGCATCATTGTTCATTTTCTTGTGTGGGGGCATAGAAGAGAGCGAGGTTTCCCTTTGTGTTATTTTGTTGACACTGCATAGGGAAGTTCAGCAGCTTGTGTTGTGTAACCGCAAACAGTTTGACGGCTATCAAGGAAACGGAGACATGACAGAGTTGTCGCCCCTCCCCCACAGACATACACAAAAACCAACACAGACAACGTGCAATAATTCAGATTTCTTTTCTATTTTAATTAATTAATAAATGAACTATGAGAGGATTTTTTAGTTACCTTAAATTTTATTATACTAATAAAGCACAATGACAGAATAACTATATTTCCAACCTGACAGTCTTTGCAGGGTTGACATCGGGTCATGTTAGGGCTGGGCGATATAGCCTCAAATCAATATCATGATATATTGAGCAGTTCACCTCGATAACGATAAATGGACGATAACTACTCCACAAGCTGCTCAACCCCTCCCACATTAACTTCATTTACTTCTTAAAGGGACATGAGACCATAGCCTACCTACAAACATCCAAAACCAACTTGTATTTATCTATTTTTTTGACACTGAATATACCGACATGGGCAAAATGACATCGGTTATTGTCATAAATTTCTCTTTATCGCCCAGCCCTACATCCCTCTAACCTTTCTTTTTCCCCTGCATTAAAGACGATACAGATGATAAGAGTTGTGAAACTTTTAGGGTTATGTCAAAGACAGTGTATAAATCTGTACACTGTAGAGAGATGAAACCCACATAACAGTGTTCATAAATCTGTGTCGACCTGACTGAAAAGTTACGTGTTTGTATGCCACAGTGAACTGTAGTGGTTACACAGATCATCTAACGGTGTCTTTCTCCTTCTCCCCTCTCTCTGTTTCTCTAACCCAGTTAGTGGTCAGCAAACGGCAGCACTGAATCTGGATCCTCAGGGAGCACCAAAGTAGACAGACTGACCTACATCTTCTGAAAGACACTCAAAGAAGCAGGGCAGCCGCCTGACAGGCATCACAGCTCTACTAAAGATTTAGGAAGACGCAGACGAACTCTGTCTCACCTCCAGCAAGACTCCAGGGATCACTTTGAACAGTTTGCTGGGATTTAAGCAAAGACTCTTCGCTATAAAAAAAAAACAAACTTGCTTCTTTTTATTGGTTTCGTGTTCAGAACACGAGTTCAATGTCTGAGGTGTTTGTTGAATTCCACCTCTTTTTAATCTTCTTGGCAAACTTGGACACTTGAGCGATTTTATCTAGGAGACAAGGAAAAGGAAATCAATGAGGCTATCTTTTCGAGGAGCACAAATACCTCATCAAGAAGTTTTCGCAGATCCTGCGACATAACTCCCGAATAACAAAAGCAGCAAGTGTCATATCGTTTTACATCTTTCCCTTCACCCCCTTGCCCTTTGCTAGAGTTACACTCTAGCGCCCAAGTCGGGAAAAAATGGAAAGTCTGAGTTTACACCTCCCGTCTACCAGCAACAAAAATGCCATGGAAGTAGATACTTTATCTTCCTACAGTGGAAGCCTTCCATCTCCCAATCCTGAAGGCGGGGCAAGAGTCAGCCGTCAGAGTAAAGGCTCCAAGCCCAACGTGACCTGCCGCCGCAAGAGAGAGTTCATCTCTGAGGAGAAGAAAGATGCGTCCTACTGGGAAAAACGCAGGAAGAACAACGAAGCAGCTAAGCGCTCAAGGGAAAAACGCCGCCTGAATGACATGGTGTTGGAAAACCGGGTCATGGCGCTGAACGAGGAGAATGTCCGCCTCAAAACTGAACTCTTACAGCTCAAGTTGCGCTTCGGTCTAATCAGCACAGCTTCCTACATGGAGAAAAGTCAGCAGATCTCCAACAGCGTTGCTAATGCTAATGCTAGCAGCACCAACGGCACCCCGAACAGTAACGCCTACCTCTCAAGTAGCGGCTACTCCAGTGCATCCCAGGTCATGCAGAATTCTGATTCATCGGAAACCGAACAGTCAAGCCGCGGAGATCGCCACAACATGCTCCACAGTTACTCTCCACGGGGGTCCATCTCCGACATGTCTGATGCCTCCTCAAGGGACAGCCCAGAACCCATGGGCTACACCATCAAGAGGGAGCCGTCAGGTATGGAGATGGCCCGGCTGGAAAGCAACGATATGACCAATGGGACCCCCAATGGTGTGTCAAGTGGGGCTTACCATGGCAGCCACACTCACCAGCAAAACACCTCGTTGGCTGAAAGTGCCATGGACTACCAGCACCACCAACAGCAGCAGTGCCACATGGAGGCCTCCAGCCCGGCCCCTCAGGCCGCCTCCGCACAGAGGAGCGTTATTCTGTATCGCTCCAGCAGCGGCTGTTATCCCATGGAGAGCCAGCGGCCGGAAGACCAGCAGTCCCAGCAGAGCAGACCAGTGCAGCACACCACAAAGTTCTCAGACTGCTCAGTGACCATCACAGAGGTCGCTGAGAAGCTGGAGAGGACAAAGACCATGGACTCTCCTCAGTATGAGTACTCTAACGATCACGATGAGCAAGAGGAGGAACTCCAGCAAAGGTACAGCGCCAGTGCTCAACAGCAACATGAGAATCGTCATGGGCACTACAGCTACCAGAGTCACGAGAGCAGTCTTCAGCATGCAGGGAACCACCAGAATCCCTTCGCCCCTGATCTGATCCACAACACTGAGGAGGGCAAGGCCTCCTTCCGACAGCACAATGGCTACCTCAACACGCTGGATGAAGAGCCTCCAGTGTTAACCTACGAAGGAGGCCCTCGAGCTGACGGCTTCTACCAGGAAAACTCCTCCGCTAAGGACACTTCGTCCAGCGATGGAGACCCCCGTAGCTCTGACAAGGAAGGCTCCACAGACGATGAGTCTCCCTCTTCATCCTCCTCAGACATTAGCAGTTATCACCAGAAGGTGGCTGGAGCTTCCAGTTCACACGGCGAGTGCCAAGCCGAGGTCAGAACCACTGCCCTGCCCCACAAGCTCCGTTTCAAGTACATTGCCTTGTCCAACGGAGCAGCAGCGAGCACGCCGCTGGAGGGACACGTGAACACCTCCATGTCTCCATCTCCCAATTTGCCTCAGCATCCTTATTTAGCTCTTCCCAGCAACCCTCACAGCACCCTGGCCCACGTGGAGGGCAAAGAGGTGGAGAACGAGACTGAGTACGCAGAACATGTCAAGCCTCAGGTGAACGAGAGGGGGGAGGCTAAAAAAGAGGCGGGGAAGAAGGGATCCAGCAGCAGCAGCAGCAGCAGTAAGGGTGGACGCAGTAAGAGGCGTGATTAAGGACAAACAGGAGCAGCTTTTTATCACACCTCTTTGTTGTCTACAGCTGACAGACTATAACAATGACTCACATCGCCACCTCTCGAGAAAGGAGAGAAAAATCCTCGTAGGGTGACGTTAGGATGTGATATCAACATTTCACTGTGTCACCTGTTCCCCTTTCCTCTACTCTGTCCTACCTCCCACCTATCCCTCCAATCCAGATAAACTATCACTCTCAGCAAGAGAGGGTAGGAATGAAACTCTGCAGAGCTGGAGACAGGGGTACTCCCCTTGAGGAAATTTCAACATTATTCAATTATTCATTGTTGTGGACTGCCCAGAAGGCCGGCCAGCATTATTGTGGCATTATGGGAACATTTGTTTAACCAAAGAATTTGCATCCTTCCTTTAGCATCTCTCTCTTTCGTGCAGAGTTACATTCTTCCTCTCTCTTTCACGTCATCATCTTACACCCTCTTAACTATGTGCACACAAGATCCCCTCACTTCTGAAGCACTTAGATTGTATATTACTGTGACATATAAATTTGCATATATGGAATATATATTTTATGAAAAAATACATGAAAAAAACAACAACAACAACAAAAAAATAGAATAGCAGGATTTGGAGGTGGTAGACTTAAAAAGTGATGGGTTTGTTCTTGTGGAGTCACGTTGTACAGTCCCTCTTTGTCTAGAAAAATGCCTCAAATTTTCTTTAGCTAAAAAAAAAACTGAGAGCCACAACTTGTAAAGAATAAAAGGAGTAAAAATAGAAAGGTACACTTTTCTCAGATTTACAAATCAAGAGCCTCATTCAGGTGATCTGAGTTTTTTGACTCTCAAAGCTGTCAAAACACTCAAGGCCAGTTATTATAACGCATATCAGTCAAGGCTATGCAGTCACATTTTACTGTTGGCGAAACCTGACAAGCACAAGGCGAGCCCCCCCCGGCTCGCCTCAAAACACCATGACAAGTTTGTGTTCGAGACGAACAGATGTCTGTGAATTAATTGAAACGGCTCTCCAGTTGCAAAACCAGCAAAGCTGCTCTTTCTACATAAGGTGCCTCTTTTGTTGTGTTGTCCCTCGTTCTAAGTTCAGCCAATGTCTTAAAGATCCCACTCGAGCCTGCACTGATTTGTTTTAGCGACATTAGATCATACAGTCAAAGTTTAACTGTTTCACTTCCTGGTGCCTGCCTCTGGCCACTATGTATAAATGTAAAATTGTCTCTCAATCTCTTGTATACTGCTGTTATTATTTTATTATAATTTTATTAATATTGTTATTTTCTATTATATTCGGTTTATTATTGTTATTATGTGTATTTTTCTGTTATCCTGTTGTGTCATTTTTGCTCTTTGCTATTCCTGTTTGTGCTGTGTATTTACCCATGCTCCTTTACCCCAGTTACCATTCGTATTCTGTGTGTTATCGTATAACCTTTGTTGTTCGCCAAAAGGCTTCCTGAAATGGAAAAAAAAGAAAAAGGCGTGTCCAGAATTGATTATGTATTGCTATACTTCATGTGGATATGCAAACGGTTACAAAAACACTCATTTTTGATGGGAAAAAAATAAAAGTTTGTTGAATTCATGAACGTGTCTTTCGAACTTTCTGAGTATGTTTCTGAGTAAAAGAACACAAACACTCTTGTTTCGAATCAGACAAAAATAACACTGAGTATACAGCAGGAGAAGATCTATCTGCTTAGCCTCAGTCTGAAGATGAACTGATTTTTCTCGAAACAAGAAAATAGATCTGTACACTTATCTTAAAAGTTATGTCAAACCTCAGATAAACTTTATTGATCTAAATATTATGTTGAAACATCACAATTTTCATATTCATTAAACATGTTACTTTATGAATAATCAGAATTCATTGAATTTATTTGAACATGAACAACAATTAAACATACAGTGCTCAGCATAAATGACTAAACCTCTTCAGGTGTTTGAAGTTTCCTTTCAAAATCAACATTTTCTATGTCAGACTATACAACAAAATACTTCACCAAATGTAGGCCATTGATTGCAAACAAGATTTTTTAAGTTGCAAACAAAAAAGTATTTTTTTCAATTTAAAATCAGGATGCAAAAATGAGTACAAAATAAGTACATCCCAATCAAAGTTCTGGGAGCAAAGCTAAATTTTAGTCACCATATCACCCTTATTTTCAACTTATGGTAAATAAAATGTTATAATAACCTCAGCTTTGTTAAAACTTTGGAAATTGTACTTTTGCTCACCTACATATTGAGTAATACTTCACTTTTAATAGGGGGTGTACTGACTTATGCTGGGCACTGTAGTACAAAAAAAAGAAGTAAATGAATAAATAATGAATAATTAACAATTGTGATCAAATATGTAAAATTCCGTTCAGTTTATTTCAGTGAGTCTGGGTCATTAGATATTAGTATACTTTCTTTTTAAACACATGTTTACTGGTTAAGCTTGTGATGACAGATGGAAGACTATTCCATATTTTCATACCTGAAATAACCATTTGATTTGAAATTATGACCATTAATTGATTAAACAAAACATTTGGCCTTTTATACACTCAAATTTTACCTTTTGTGTTTAGAGAGGCACTTATAAATAGAATGTATCATTATTATAATTATTACTATTAAAAGATTGTAAAGGTAAGAATAAGTAATGACTCAAAAAACACTAAAAGACTTCTATAAATGTAAAAAAGCAGCTGCATTTACCCTTTTTATGGTATTGTCATAAGCTTTAAGTTGTATTTGCAGCAAAGAACAGACAGTACAGATAAAACACTCTCACTTCCAATGCCAGAAAAATTGGAGAGGTTATAAATCATGAATCTGCTGTCAAAGTATGTATAGCTCGTACATATAAGCAAAGTATTACAACATCCTGCTCACCAGCTCTGATGTAATACCAGATTGCTCAAGACTGCGGATCATTGCTATAGCAGATGTGCTGAACTTGTACAAAAGAGAAGGGAAAAATCACACAGTGCATCAGAGAGACACAAGCAAAAAAACAAGTTACACAACAACTTTGAGAGAAAACTGCGTCAGACTGTGAACGCTGAGCGTGGCAGCCTCCCTCTGACCCTGCCATTAATGGAGCAATGGCCAATGAGAACAACAAGTTGGCATGGGCTGAGTGTGCCACTGATGAGCGTTACATAAGAGCCATTATAGAGACGCCGAGATGCAGCTACGGAGGTGTTGCAATTTCAACAAAACACTCAAGTCTGGATAGTGACTTTGGCTGGAAAATGAGAGAGACAGAAAAACACTTTTTTTTTCTTCTAAAAGTGTCAAATTTCACTGCCACTAACTTGTAGCAAGTTCCTGAACATGAGTTTTAGGAAGAATTGAGCAGGGAGGTAGTCGTCAACACTCCTGTTTTAGACGGGAATAAAAAACTCTTATAATGTTTGACTACAGACGCACCGGTAATAACAAGGTGACATTCCTGAGAAAACTGCATTGCTTTTCACTGCACTGCCCTTCCCTCTTTCCCAGCCCTACACATTTTTCCACCTCCTCCCCTTCCTTGCAGTATCTCCAGTTCTGGCTTATCCCTCCTTTTTTCTTTTTTTCCCAAATCATGTTTGAGCTGTTAAAGACACTGTGTATTGATTGAGGGCTTGTGAAAACGGGCCAGAAGAGTAAAAGTAGGTCAGCAAGGAGGGGGAGGAGAGTCGAGGATGGAGGAGGGGGTGAGGAAAAAAACAGAGGGAGAGAGAGAGAGAGAGAGCGGGGTTATTCGGAGTGAAAGGCTGGTAGAGAGAAAAAGAGAGAGAGAGGAGAATGAAGTGAAAAGGAAGGGAGGAGGGAGAGGGTTATGTCACATGCCTCTACAGTGTAAACTTCAGCAAACTACGCAGAAAGAAGCTCTCTGAGCTACCCTGAGGGAACAGGTCAGATATAAGCCTTTATAATAAGTTGACATTTACGAAAAACATCAACTGGACTAAAGTAAAAACCCCTGAAGCAAAAGTAAATGGGCGTATCAGTTAAAAACTCAATCAAACTCTGTTTTTCATTTGCTTGCACCTCGATCTTACTGTCACTGCTAGTTTTACAGGTTAAAATAAGGCTTAAATGAATCCTTATGAGAGATTTAGAGTTTTTCTGCTCATTTTAATCAAACAGTGACTCCAAACTTAAGGGATGTGAAAGTACGTGGAAAACATATCAGCTGACAGCATTCCTCTGCACATGTTTGTTTGACCTAATTTGGGTATTTCTCTTTTAGCGTTTGTGCACGTACATCTTTCCAAATCTGTCTATCAAATATATGAGCAGCAATGGAGGTATGGGCTTGTATTTCAAGTTGGAAGTATGTATATTATATCATGAGCTAAAGTGCGCAGTAAAACTGTGTGCATGAGCTGAACGTGTGTGAAAGAGGGAGGTGCTGGCCTTGTGTGGCTTGCAGTGATCAACAGCCTCAGCTGGTTATGTAACCAGGATGCTGCAGTATGTAGGTCAGCAGCACGGGGAGAGGCAGGGATGGGGTAACAAGATGAAGCTGCAGATCGTGTTCGACTCTGAGTGATGTTATGTATTAGCCTACGTGCTCAGAAATCTCTGTTTTTTTCCAGGTTTGACTAATTTCTGGAAGTAGAGGATATACAGTTTATGTAATACTGGTCAAACATCAAATAGCATCACTCGCCGCAGGAGTCTTTGCTGCAGTTTGGCTCAAATTCACAAGCTGGGTGGGTGGGGGTATGAAGAGCCCACAGCTGTTGTGCAAAGAGCGAAACTAAGACGGCTTTACACATTAGATAAGAGTATAGGAAGCTTCATGCGTCTATAATCCAGCTCCTATAATCTTAATCCAACAAGGTTTTTTTATGCTCGTATTTGAAAACAAAGGATTGTGAAGCATCATCTTTACAGATCACATCAAATAAAAACCTTCATGTTTGGAATGAAAGAGAGAAATAATCAGGCAGGATTAAGATTAGCAGTTTCCCGATACGATACCGATATTGTAGCCTTTAATATAGAACGATACTGATATTGATCCGATATTGGCACAAAATTGTTTTTCACTCAGGACTTAAAAGATACTGCCACAAGGCCAACATCACTCTTAAACAACATCACTCTTGAACCTGAAACTTTACAAAGTTTCAAACAAACAAAAGTTAATGGATCAGAGCAGTAATAATAATGTCAATAGTAATGAGAATTATTCAATGTTTTATCAATATACACAAGTTTGAGAGGCATAATTAAGAGTTTCTTCATGGTTACATAAAGAACAAATGACTGTCATTAGTTTTGAATGATCTGCAGCATGAATAAAGTGCAGTGTAAGCATCAGTGAGTTTCATGAAAGCTATTAATAAACCTTATGAGTTAAATCAGTCACTGGCCTTGATCAGCACAGAGCCTGAAAAATCCTCTTTCTTCCTGTTAAAACTCTCTTTCTGATATCTTATGATGTAACTACGGTTGTCACATGTGCCCCTGGAGTTTTTTAAACCCTATCTATAACACTGTTTTTATCCCATTAATACTTTAAATGAACACAGATTCATACGAAAGAGGATTACAACCACAACATGAGAAAAAAAATAATTACAGGAGGGAGATTTTTTTAATTTCCATTGTTTAAGATGATGGTTGTTGAAATGAGAGCCATGGAGCATTTTGTGAAAATGTACTTCAATACATGTTTCTTAAACAAGGAGATACCTAATCTTTCAGCAAATCAGCACCACATTATCATAAGTATCATAATGATTTTATCACGACTTTATTCTCGTAATTAATTACTTTATTACGTCTTCATTCTTATAATTAATTACTTTAATATGACTTTATTCTCGCTAGTAATGACTTCATTTTTTCTTTCACACACAGTCTTCTCTCTGAGCTCCATCATGCCGTAGGTTCCTCTGGATTGCTGCTGCAGACGTCCTGCTACCTGCTTTCCAGCTGCTTCAACTACCTGCATCAGTCTCATCTCTGTTCATCTCTCTCTTTCTGCATCGCCCTCTCTCCCCTTTCTAAACCCAGTGCAGTCTCGGCAGATAACCGTCTTATATGTGTTTGGTTCTGCTCAAGGTTTCTGCCTGGAATGCAAAAACACAGGAAATTACATACAAATATAAAAGGAGAAAAATAGGAAAAACATGGTTGGAAAAAAATCATACCTGACAACCTATCTGTGTCACATTAATTCTTGGGTTTTTCAGTTGTGTTTGTGCGTAGAAGAAACTGCTTGTTTTGTCTGCTTTGCTGTTGGTTTTTATGCAAACATATGATTGCCTGTCTGTACCTGCTATAATGTTAGTTTTTATTCAGTGGTTTATGTATTGTGTGTTGTATTTCCAGCTGTCTAACCGGGGACAAGGACGCAAATTAGCCACGGCTAGAAGTCCTGCATAAACAGCATCGGCTGCTCTTTAATTAGATGCAACAATGTCTGATGTACTGTCCCTGTCAAATAAACAAATGAAAAACAAAAAGTTTTGGCTTAAGTGGCTGTTTTCTCTTTCGGCATCAGTTTGACTGGCAGCAGAGCACACTTTAGCTGTGAGCAAGGAGGCTAAAGATCTGCACCTTTTTTCACTGAATATCAGGTCAGCATTTTCAAAGTGACGATAAGCTTCGAAACTCATCCTCAAGAATAAATGACTGACTCCACTGACACTGTATCCATGTATTATCATGTGTACGCTGAAAACACATGTTTACCTGTCTGCAGGATCCTTTGCTGGCTGTTGAGTCCAAAGCCTAATATTTGGGTTTCTGTGAACTTCAACAGCTGCACTGGTGAAAGAGGAGTACTTTGTACAAGTACAAGTCTCAGGTGCATGGCCTGAATGGTCTTTAGATAAAAGGGGCAGAGTCTGATACGCACATTTTTCATATTTTTATACATTATTCCCCCACTCCAGCTCATAGACTTTATATACTATGGACAACTTGGTTCCGCCTTCCACCAGTATTCGGATTTATAGCCAAAAAGCTCCAAGTTTCTCAGAGTTTTTCTCCACTTCATAAAACCAACATTGCGCAGTAGCATTTGGCGGGAGAGTCGCCGGGAATTGCTGTGATGACGCTTGGCTCAAACAGCGTATCTCTGAGGTGAACCCTCTAATAACTTTTAAAAATGGAGCTGCACAGAAAAAAGAGGACTTGAGCACAAACTGGTCTTACAGTGACGACATGTCAACATCGAAACCAGGGGGGAGAAAAATTAACATTCTGTGGAATTGATTTCTAAAGTTTGTCCACAGCTTCATAGGGATTGCTGGAGGAGGCGGGATTTATGACCTATACTGCAGCCCGTCACCAGAGGGTGCTGTTCTCATGGTAGCTTCACCCAGCGAGGAGGCAGACGGCGTCCATTCTATATAGAGTCTATGCTCCAGCTCCATGCTTACAATAATGATAATAATAGTAGTAAACAGCTTTATTGTTGTTGCGTCTTTCTTGGCTTTAATTCCTCTTTCAGTGGATTTTCATAACCTTGTTTCACTTTATATCGTTACGTCAACCTAAATCCCCTTCCTCTGAATTTTTAAAAAACACTGTTTCAGAGTCTAATTCAGCCAAATCAAGTGTCCCCAGATGACTGAATAATACAAGTGCAGATCATGTGAGCTGTGTTTCCATTTATAATATGAACTAGTTGGAAGTCTTACCATGACCATGTCTGAGAGAGAAAAGGAGAGAGAGCAGAGAAACATCCCCTCTGTCAAACATGCCTGGTTGGCTGCGGTTCAGTAGAGAGTTACGTTGCTTGCCATGACCCATCCAATTTCTGCTGGCTCTGTCTTACACTGCACTGTTAAATAGGTCAGTGCATGTCTGTGTATGAGTGTGTGTGTGCTTGTGCGTGCAGATGTGGGTGCGACAATGATTCGAGGACTGCCATCTTCAGTGACAAAAGACAACACACACTCACGCATGCACACGGACACACAAACACATTTAAAAACACAGACATCGTCACAGCATTTACATCACAATGTAAAAATAGGCCATAAGAATGTGCACGTCTGAAATGAAAGTAGGCCACTAAGAATAACTGTCTGTGTGTGTGTGCGTGTGTGTGTTTGTGTGTGTTAGTGTTCATGTGTATGCGCAGGAGATGAATCAGCTCCATGTTATGCAATGCTAAACCACCCCTGGGTCCCATTACCATATCTTGTGCCCTTATGCTGCAGGAAGTATCTCGCTGGTGTACATACATGTGAGCGTGTGTGTGTGTTACGTGTTTGGAGGGAAGGATCCCCTTTTAGCAAACCGGATCAATCATTATCAGCTTGTTTCATTTCATCTGCCTGTTAGATCTTCCCTCATTATCAGACTGTGTCTAAATATTACCACAGCAGATGCATGTTATTCAGGAACTGAGCATTTATCAAATCTATGGGGAATGGAAGCAATTGAAAATACAGAAAATAAACCACTGTAGAGCATGTTTCTTCCATGTCTAGAGGATACCTGAGTTTATATTTATTCATTTTTATTTAACTGGGGAAAAAACACATTAAGATCAAAAATCTTAATTTATATTCTGAAAATGTATATTCTGGGTGATAAATTTCTAAAGTTTGTCCACAGCTCCATAGGGATTGCTGGAGGAGGCGGGATTTATGACCTATACTGCAGCCCGTCACCAGAGGGTGCTGTTCTCGTGACGGCTTCACCCAGCGAGGAGGCAAACAGCGTTCATTCTACATACAGTCTGTGGTCCTGGCTAAGAAAGGCAGCAGCACAGTTCCCATGACATTAACAGACAAATTTACAGCCAGAATGTAAATATGATCACAATTAAAACGTTAGTCGATCACAAAACATTAGACACCCACGCTATCACGAGTCCCATGGTCCCTCAGAGGGAACATCTGCAGACGGATTAATCATTAAGCATTTTGTAAAAAATGTTTAAAGAGTTTAGGTCTTTGAGTTTTGGACTTTCTAAAGTTCATTCCAGGTAAAAGTACCCTTTTTTTTTTCTTTTTCTATTTTTCTGACATTTTTTTCCTTCTGTTTTTTGTACTAATATTTTCCCCCCTTTTTGTTTTACAGACAATTTTTTATTCTGTTTTTCATACTGTTTTTCGTCTTTCTGTTTTTCGGACTATTTTTTTTTCCTGACTAAATGAGACACTTCAAAGTCCTGCGAGAATCTCATACAATCAGATAACATTAACCACCGCGGCTGCTCCAAATCAGCAGATTCTCCAGCTCCTAGATAACTTCGACTATCAGGTCAATGAGAGTAAAGCATGTCATTAGTTAAACATAGGGTATGCAAATCCTGAGTAGACAAACTTATGGTGATTCACTCAATCTGTCTTAAAGAAAGAAGGATCTCCCAGTGTCTCAAACTCAGAAGAAATTAAAACTTGATTAAAGTAAACAAGTGGGCCATGTTTGCTTCTGATAAATCGATCATGATCCCAGAAAATAGTAAAAACAAAAAACAAACAAACAAACAAAAAACATTCAGAAAAGAAAATAAACAGAAAAGAAAAAAATTGTCTGAAAAACAGAGCTTTTTTCTTATTTGTATTTCACAATTTCGACTTTCCTAACCTAGATGCCACATCTTTATTTCGACATTGATAATTAATGAGGTCTTAAATTTTATGACACCCAGTGTTTTTCCAGGGGCTTATATAACTGTTGAAGTTTATGGTGAAACCGAGCATCCAGCTTTATGATCAATAAGGATGATTACTCACTTTGTATAAATCAATAAATGATTCACTCAGTCATTCTTCTAAACCAGTTCATGCTGCTTTAGTGGAGATCATTTGCCAACTAAGAGGCCAGCATAAAAATCCACTAGAGGTCAGATTTCACGTGTAAAGTGGGTCGTGCTCTTTTGAGATCTAAGTCCCTTTTTAATTTTATCCAACCTTTACCTCTTTACGCCAGGCTTGGAGAATTTTCACAGATTTCTTTCTTTGTACTGAAAGGCAGATAAAAATGAAGGTCAAGCACTTTAGCCTCTCTTTAGCTTCAGCTCAACTTTCGAGGATTTTTAGAGACAAAACAAAGCCTCTGATTTCGATCAATTTGTTGCAATAGAAGGATTTTTTTTTAAGGGACTAATAAGGACCTTGTACTGAGGTGGATCTTTTTTAAAACAGCCTGATCTGACCATCTCAGGTGAATTCTTCTGCAGGTATAACGCTGTCTCTGAGCAGACTTTATTGGAGCTCCTGCAACCTGCTGGAGAACAGGTTGGCGCTGCAGTGTGTGAGGTAACCTACAATCCTTTGTGGTGGTTATTAAGTGGATTAACCCCCTTAGGTCTGTCTCAACTATTTCCCCCCATCTGTCTACTGTAACACCACAGACTTACGATGTGCAACTGCCTCAAAACACGCTCCAAAAAGTTGAGGAAACACCGAGAGAGTCATGAGCAGAGTGAGCCTTACCACGAGCATGTAACAAATCTTCACCTACTGACCTACTGTGCTACATAGCTCTGCGTGACTGGGCGTGTACTAGCAACACACTGAACACACACATATCGCATGCTCACATTTTACTGTTGAAACACGCATGGTGTGGCCTCTGGCTCACATGCAAAACAACACACACACGCACGCACACACACACACACACACACACACACACACACACACACACACTAATTCGTGATTAGTCGTTGGTTATTATTCTCAGCTGAGTGAACAGAAGACTTGCAACTTATGTACAGTGCTGATACAAAGAGGTGGAGTGAGAGACACGTGACCGTACACACAGCTGTCTGCGTGGAGGGATTTAGATTAAATGTTTAAGTGTGTCAGGGCATGTGAGAGAGAGAGAGAGAGAGAGAGAGAGAGAGAGAGAGAGAGAGAGAGAGAGAGAGAGAGAGAGAGAGACACTGAGGGCTTTGACTGAGGTAACAGAGGCAGGGCCGGGGACAAGGTCACAAAGAGCAGTTATACAATCGTAGATAACCTCAGTTATAAAGCGATGAGTCTCTGAGATACATGAATGCCAAATAAAGAAATACAACCCCCAATTAAAATGAAATTAGGGGGCTGACTAAAACTTTTCTTTTTTAAAACGTTGCAGGTTTAAAATTCAAAATGAGTGAATATTTAAAAAAAAAAAGAATAAAATTTATCAGTTTGAACATTAAATGTAATTTCTTTTTGTGTATTTAGTAAAAGGATTTGCAAACATAGATTGTATTCTGTTTTCATTCATGGTATTGTAATTAGAAATTGTATATTCTACACATATCTTTCTTGACTCTAAGTTTCTTTTTCCTTTAATTTCTCTTATTTATTTGTATTTTTGCTGCTGTAATTTTGGAATTTCCCCCAGTGGGAAATAAAGGTATATCTTATCTTATCTTAACTTAACTTAACTAATCTGAACTTCTCTTATTTGTTCTTAACTTTATTTATCTTATTTTATTTTATCTTATCTTAACTTCTTTTCTTAACTTATCTTATTTCTTCTTATCTTAACTTATCTCTTCTTAAATTAACTTATCTGAACTTCTCTTATCTATACTTTACTTATTTTATTTTATCTTACCTTACCTTAACTTATCTTATCTTAACTTATTTTATCTTAACTTATCTTATCTTAAATTAACTTGTTTTATTTTATCTTAACTTCACTTATCTCTTCTTAACTAAACTTACCTTATTTCATCCTATCCTATCCTAACTTAACTTATTTTATCTTACCTTATCTTTTCTTGACTTAGCTTATTTTATCTTGTCTTATCTTAACTTATCTCTTCTTAACTTAACTTCTCCTACGTCGTCTTATCTTAACTCAAATTAACTTATCTTATCATATCTTATCTTAACTTATCATGATTAAAACCTTTTTAGTCATTTGGTGTCTGTGTAGTAAACATTCAAACTTTAGTTTTTTTCAGTCTCCTGAACCAAACTAACCACTTTGTATTGATTAGGCGGAAACATTGCTCTTTATTCCTCATCACTGATTTATATCAATATGCATGGAAGAGGATTAGGGCCACTGGAAAAAAGATAAAAGTTCCAATATAATTTTTAAGAAATTATTATTCTAAGTTTAGGGGCAGAATTCTGACTTTTTTTCTCTGAATAACAATAAAAAAAACAAACATTATATCTGACCTTTTTTTTTTTTAAGTGGCCCTAATCCTCTTCCGTAAATATGTGAAGCTGTGCTTTAAACAACTGTGTATCTACGATCAACATCCAGCTACTGTTGCTCTATGCCTTTTTCTGGGAACAAAGTTTAAAGAGTTTCTAAACTTTGTTGCCAACTTTTTCTTTTTCTACATCTAACCTCAGTTTGACTGTTATCCAACAGTATCGGGAAAACTAAAACGAAACATTAAACATGGTGTCTGTCACACTGAGACCAGGAAATAAATCATGTGAGTGTCAAATGAAAAGAGTGGAAAAGTGGTGGCCAGATTACAACTACTATGTATGAGGAAAATCATCCTTACAACATAAATGATTGAATTAAGCCAAGACTAGAGTCAACTTGAGGTGAAGTCAGACCAATTTTGATTCACATGATACCAATAAAATGCATGTTTAGCAGGCAGACCATTGAGAAACACTTGGGAAGTGTTTTAACAGTGGATGTCCTGGTCTGCCCTGAATGCACTCAAAGATTTTAGACCCTATGAGCCCCGAGGCCCTGAGTCGGAAAAAGACAGAGAGGAACAAAAACCACATGCAAGACAAAAAAAAAAGAGAGAGAGAGACTGCTCTGGACTCAGAGTTCAGTCAAAGTTTGTTTATCTGTTTTTATGTGTTAAGCTGTGAGATAAAAAAAGAATCACACACAAACAGAAACACAGGGATTCCCCGAAGTAATATGAGCAGTCAGTTAAAGGGATATTCCAGCGTAAATTTAAGTGATGGTAAAACACACTGTAACACCGAGTTAGACACCCCCTCGAGAGATGAATGTTGCCGACTGCTTGCTTCTCTAGTCATACCGACTTAAGTAATGGTCGCACGATAGCAATACACAGCGGTCTACATCTCCACGCGCAAACCTCAACCAAAACGCCACTCTATAACCACAAATAATGCTCAGAACAACACCTAACTTCATCAACAGTACATGTAGGGTCGTAGCCATAGTACTAGACACCAAACATCTTTTTAGCTTTGCCTTATATCTTAAGTAAAGAGACCAAACAAAACTCACCCACTCTCCTCCAGCAGCCAGTTGTTTGTGGGGGGATTCCTGGTGAGTCGATCACCGAGTGCAGCGGAGTTTCGCAGCTCAAGGAAGAACATTTATGATTATTACTTCATGGAAATGCAATCAGACCGAGACGATATGGCAGAAAAACTACCGCATCTGCAGTGCAAAATGATCATTATGATGACTATTAATTCGTGGAAATTATCGAGGTTTGCAAGTGGGGACGTAGACTTTTGTGTATTGCTATCGTGCGGTCATTACTAAAGTTGGTATAACTAGAGAAGCAAGCAGTCGGCAATATCCATCTCTCCAGGCAGTTTCTAACTCTGTGTTACGGTGTGTTTGACCAAAACTTAAATTTATGCCGGAAAATTCCTTTAAGGGAAGAATAAGACAAAGACATTAATTTAAATGAGCCAAAACCAACACAGGGACTCTGTCAGATCACTTTGATGGCTCTATTTCCATTTGATGCTGCATCCACTCAAACCATGACACAGACATCTATATATGCAAATAAATACAAGAGAGATGAGCAGAAGGAAAACAAAGAACAAAACAAGTTGAAAGGCAGAAAAAGACATGTGAATGAATGAGCGAGGGTGTGTGAGAAACTGACATTTGAGCAACATGAAGCCAAGCCGGCCAGACAGGTCATGACCTTTACTTCCACCAGCACACCACACACACACACACACACACACACACACACACACACATGCACACGCCTGCTCACACACATCTGGCCTCTGTGACCTTTTACCCCCGGCATTGTTTAGGGTTTCACCAGGGGGCAGAGGCCAGAGAACGACCCTGTTGACCCAACCTTTTCTCTGTTTTCTGCACCTCTGCTGCTCCAGTCTTGAAAATTCATCGTTTAACTTTAGTTTTAATCTTATAAATCTAAATCGAGGATCTTAAAAACATAATTCTCTCATAAAAAGCCGTGTTAGCTTGAACAAAATGGTTAGATCTAAAAATCTACTGATTGTCTGTGAATGGAGCCATGAGGAGCAGAGCAGCACATGGACTCAAGTATTTGTCTTGGGCGCCATCTAGTGTTCATTTCCAACCATAACTTTTACCTTCTTTTATCCACATGAAGTTCCAGCTCTGATATTCTCTGGAGAGATTAAACCATGAACAACACAATCAATAAAAACAAACATGATAAACATTAAATTGGCTTTATTAATACTTATCATCGACAGTAAGTGCTTAGATTTCACTTTAAAATATCATGAATCTGTGGAAATACATTATTACAACCAAATACATGTGGTGTTTATAATTTAACTTATATTATGAAAGAGAAAACGAAGCAAACACTTGAAATCCGGCTGACAGAAACCATACAGAAACTCCTTCATACTGAATTTTGCAGCTGCCACACCTTTGTTACCAACCTGTAACCTGATGCTAAAAACACCAAAGCATTATTCAAGAGAGGCAAAACCTTGCAAAGGCCTCTTCAAGAGTGTGTAATGACTTTTTTAAAAACTATTTTTGTTCATTTTTAATCGCGCTTTGACTCCGTCTGTGTACATCGACCAAATAAAGAAGAATTTATGAAGTTCTGACATGTTTTCTCTTTTTATGAGAGTGTTTTGAGGAAGGCTCTGCATCTCTGAGCTGATCTTAAAAAAATCGACATACCGTTACGCTTCATTTTCACATACAGACACCAGTTTCCAGAACGACCTCTTTCACAGTCTTACTGAAGTGGAAACAGCTACAGACCGATCTTGAGTTAGCCTGGATATAAAAACTGCAGCCTCACCTGTTTCCACCAGCAAGGTGAAAAAACACAGACACCAGTACCCCCCACTCTAATGCCACAGTCCATTATAGAAGCAACAAAACCCCCTGGGTATTAACATTTATATCATGTGCACACTTTGCTCAAATACGATGATTCCTTCATTAAAAACAGCCGACAGTAAAAAGTCAGCGTCCTTCATTTATGCTTATTGGATACCAAAGACATTTAAACATATTTTTATCCAAAAATATTTAAGCCTTTAAGACTGAAGACAGAAACAAAACAAACACACATACATATATATATATATACAGTTTATAAGCTCTAGAGGCTGAATACTGAAGTGCAATTATAACTTAAAATGACTTAAAATTAAATTAAAACATTTAAATCTTTAGCTAGAGCTCCTCTAACGGACTGATAAAATGTCACAGCAGGCTAACAGGCTTGGAGTCACACTTCTCGTGCTCAACCCACTGATTTCACACTGACCCAAATCCATTTGAGAACGCTTACTCATGATCGAACAGTAAACATCCCTGCTTATTCACCGGCTTTGTGTGGTTAGAGAGGCTCTTAGTCATCCGAAAGAAAGTCCTACGCCTGCTGTAACCAGTCTCAGACCACAAACCAAAGCTCTGCAGCTGAAGCCTGTCCTTCACATTTGTGTCTCCATCTTCCCTGTTGAGCAGCAGAAAAGACGTGCAGTGCTTTTGTTAGTCCATCATGTAACGCTCATTTTTTCCATGTTACGTGTGTGTACGTCAGGTCTCAGGATGAACTGAACCGAGAGGGAAAACTAAATCCCGAGTCCACCTTTGCTTCCATCCTCATGTTGGAATAGTTTCTACGTTCAGTCCAGATCAGACTAAATTCTTATTGAGATCTCCTCGATTTCCAACATGGACACCAGGTACCACAGTGTACTGCTCACTGATAATCTGGTGGAGACGTCTCCTCTTGAGCCGTTGTTGAGGATGAGTACCTCCTCTGTCTTTTCTGCCTTTCACTTGGCGTGACGGTTCCTGCGTGGAGCTCCAGGGCTGGAGAGGGAGCCCAGGTGTCTCCTCCAGCGTGGTCGTAACATGAAGTCGTAGTTTGCAGAGGTGCACATTGCATAATAGACGTTGGCGTTGTCAGGGATCTGGAGCTCTACGACAAATAAAGAAATGTAATTTCTGTCAGACTTAAGACTAAAAAAGAGAACAGAGCCTGAGTTACACATCATATTTAAATAGTAGATAGCAATATATCTTCATATTCATTTTTTTATTTGGATTATAATAAATGTGAATAAAAGAGGACTGCATGAGGCTCAAAGTTATAGAGATTTAACCAGAGTCTAAATCTGCTACGCTTACAACTTAATTTTACGCCAGAATATCCCTTTAAGTTATGGTCAAACACACCGTAACACTGAGTTAGACACCCCCTCAAGAGATGAGTGTTGCCAACTACTCCCTCACTCTCCTCCAGCTGCCCCTTGTTTGTGGGGGAGCCCTGACGAGTCGATCACCGAGTGCAGCGGAGTTTCGCAGCTCAAGGAAGAACATTTATGATCATTACTTCATGGAAATACAATCAGACTGAGACGCTAAGGTGGAAGAACCGCCGCGTCTGCAGTGCAAAATGATCATTATGATGATTATTACTTCATGGAAATGATCCGCTGCACTCGGTGATCAACTCGTCAGGGCTCCCCAACAAACAAGTGGCTGCTGGAGGAGAGTGGGTGAGTTGCTGAAATTGTCAGAACTAAAGAAGCAAGCAGTCATCGACATTCATCTCTCTCTGTGTTACGGTGTGTTTGACCATAACTTAAGTTTATGCCGAATATCCCTTTAAGAAACTCAAAATAAGCACGCAAAATCGCATGCAACTTCAGTGTCTTGCATGGACTGCAGTTGTCTTGTATCCGGCTTGTAAAAAAAACACTGATCAGAAAAAGCAGGACATTTTTTCGTCACTCCTTGTCACAGCAGGTTAGACCCGGAACCAGGAAGCAAAAGGAGAAAATACTCACCCTTCGAACTGTTGAGTATCTGGGAGAGGCTGAAGTCACGGCAGCTAACGCCCTCCATGTTGTGTTTTTCAAGAGCCCTCTGAATCACCTGAGGCGTGTGGTCCTGACTCGTCAACTGGAGGAAAACCCCACACACAAAAATGTCAAATTGTGAATAAATCCGCAGGGAAAGTAGCACAAAAACCGTGGACATAAATCAAAACTTCGATTCATTGTCTTATTTTTTGTCCTTACCAGTATGCTCTTGTAGACGTTTCCATTGATGACACACTCCACGCTGACCCTGATGATACAAGAATCTGCGACCTGCTTATTGTAAACAGGCTGCAAAGGAGGAGAGCAGCTGGACGATGACGACTCGTGGTTCAGAACCAGAGATGAAGAGCTGAGGTCTGGTTGCGAGGAGCTGCAAGAGGAGCTGGAGAGGCTGGGAGAGGAGGACATGGAGCTGCAGGAAAAGTCTTCTGCGACGTTGTGTAGAGAGCCGGAGAAAGACTGAGGAAGATGAGGAGGAAGAGAAAATACGTTCAAATATACGTAAATCTGTTTTTAGTTGTTTCATGTTTTTAATCAGTTGAGGTATCATACCTTGAGTTTGAGTCTGAGGGGGGAGGACAGCGGGACGGGGAGGTCTTCCATGTCTGAACTGCTGGAGCCGGAGGACGACACGCTGATCTGGTCAGAGTGGGTCTTCCTGCGAGGGCAGTCACTGGCTGTACGTAACCTGCACACAAAGACAGTTTAGGCTTTTAAAAATAAGAAACAAAAAACATTAAAATATCTGAAAGGTTGGAGATGGTTTTCAAGAACTTACGAGGTGAGTTTCTTGGTGAGAAGACGGCTGCTCCATAAGCTGGGGGAGTTGGGACACGGGTCAACTGGAGGCTCCAGGTCTCGGGACACCTCGTAACTTCAGGGAACAAAAAAATATATATTACCGGGTCTGCAAAAGTCATCTGCTGCCTCATTTATACTCTTTTCAGTGTCGCCACTGCGTCTCACCTTTCTTGGTCTGTGAGCAGCGTGTGCGCCTGCAGCCAGGTGGTGATGTGAGTGTTGACTGGGAGCTTGTAGTGGGAACAGGAGGCCTGAAACTGCCTGATCTGAGAGAGAATCTCAAACTCCTGCAAGAAAATACAATAATTGTAATAAATGCATCGGAGACGAGAGGAAATGATGAAACATGAACGAACAGTCAGTTATACGAGACACCACTAGGAGGCGACACCTACCCGTCTACGCTTCTCAAAGTTGATGAGTCCACCCTGACGAAAGCAACAAAACAAACCGGTGTTACAAACACGGCGACGTTACTTTAGTTAATCATTATAAAATAGAGAAAAGAAACTGGCGCTCGACTTGTACTCACATCCACAGTGTCGGACAGCGCCGTGTCAAGCATGGTGAGGACGGTTAAGTAAGTGCCAAGGTATGGAACAACACCGCTGCTGAAGTTCTGAGGACACAGATCAAGATACACCTTCAGAGGTTTGCTAAAAGACACATTTATTTATATTTTTTCATAAATAAAGAAAAAGTGATTGAAAAGAAAAGAGCTAAGGCGATGTAACGCCATGGATAGCTGGACTGGAACTGCAAAAGAAATATACTGTCTGCTCAGGACTTTCTATGACTCTGTGGTAGGAAGCATCTGCAGAGAGGGACAGGAAGAGACTGAATAGACTGGTCAGGAGGGCCAGTTCTGTCCTGGACTGTTCTTTGGACTCCCTGGAGGAGGTGGGTGAGAGGAGGATGTTAACAAAGCTTGTATCCATCATGGACAATCCCTCTCACCCACTGCTCCAGACTGTGGGGGCTTTAAGCAGCTCCTTCAGCAGCAGACTGAGACTCCCACCTTGTAAGACGGAGCGCTACCACAGATCATTCCTCCCCTCTGCAATAAGACTCTACAACGAACTGTATTAATAACTGGATTTTTTTTCTGGCATATAAATTGTGTATATTGTAGATAGTTTTATTTTTCTTCTCCCTTTTTCCTTTTTCTAAATTTTTTCTTAATTATTACATTTATTTAAGTTCTTAATATTAGCATTTTTAAATTTATAACTGCATTTTTCCACTCTTTGTCTGTGATGCTGCTGTGACAAAAAAATCAATAAAGGAATATTCTACTCTATTCTATTCTATACACAAACAACTAAAAACACAACACAGTGCTATCACTGACTAAACAAAGTAAAGAGAGAGTAAAAAGGGGGTATAAACGTATAAAACACTCAACACAGCCCAGCCTGGGCTAAGTAAACTTCCTCACAGTGAGAACTTTGGTCAGATGTCAATTTTATAATCCTCCAAATGTCAGGGGAAAATCTAACAGACGCGTGTATCACCGTTTCCGTCAAACGAACAGATTGAAGAAGAAATGGGAAGTGGGAGTGTGGCGTCGATAATAGGAACTTTAAACATCTGAAAAACATGTGACTTTAGGGAAGTTGAATTGATGATCCAAGCAAAGAAAAAACTGCCTTTCATTTTTTCCTGACTGACTCTTTATTTATCAAGGGTTGTTTGTTTTCTTACTGTGTGTCTGGATACCGAGCAGAGCTGGCTTGATTTGGAGCCTGGGGTGGCACTGCCATCTGAATGAGTCCCATCCTGCAGAGAAACAGGCATTATATTCTGGTCATCTTTAATGGAGTTCAAATGGCTTATATTCAGAGTGTTAATATGACAAAAAAGCTTCTTATATAACTGTTCTCTTCACGGTTGAGCACCATCTGACAGAGTGTTAGTGGGTGTGGGAGGGAGCCTCTGCAGAGCACAGTTTGTAACAAAGACAGCCGCATGCTTTCAGCCCTCTGTGTCGTTAATGACCTCAGGTGTGCAGAGTTTATGCGTGTTTACAAGGAGAGCACTAATAAGTGTCTAATTAATGCAATAAGTTTTGATAAGCGCCGGTCCCACGGGCAGCTTTTCATTTGCATTGGTGGTGAACAAGGCTCTCTCATTATGTAATAGGAACAGGGCCGCTCATAACAAGTACTATCACTGAATACACAATGGTATCAGTTTTATTCTACCTGGAACAAAAGACAAAGACTTGATTGTGAAATATGTGCATTCAGTCTGATAAAGACATGAGATAATATCATTTATAGGAAAACAGATACTGGAAAACCCCCATGAAAGTCCACTTTGACATGAGTCAGGAATTTTTCAAGGGGCTGTGAAATAAATGTTGAGATTCATACTGATGGACCGACATGCAGTTATCACACTTCACAGTCAATGATTTTGCTTTTTTAAGGCATATATTTAATAAACGCAAGTAAAGACACATTAACACATAAACTATTTTTAATTCTTTTCTGTACCGATATTTTTTTTTCCACTTTTTTTTTATTCTACATTTTCTTTTTGTTGAAAGAAAAAGAAATCCTAATATACAAACTTTGTAAACCAAAATACAGTCATTTTACAGTGTTACTGTGATGATCTTCATATAAAAGGGTGACCATTTTCTGACTTCCCAAAAAGAGGACATGACTACGTGGGGGCGAAATCAGTGTTTCATCCACACGTGACTGTAAAAGATACTTTTAGAAAATGGGTCTCAGGTTGGATACATCCGTATAAGACTACCATTTCGTCTCTGTGTGGATGCCTATCCATGTATTTCTTAAAACTTTTACGTTACACACAGCGTAACAGAAAAAATAGAACTCTGGTGATCGGCCGCAGAGTCCACTGATTCGCAGCGGAACAGAAATAAGCCGGTGGAAATTGACACCTTAACTTGAATGGAAACAATCAGCTGCGATTGGCAGATACAGTCTTTTTGCAGCCGTTCCGGATGTGGTGGAAATCGGGGGCAACTTTCTTACAGTGCCTGCGCAAGTCGGGCCAAAGAAAAACAGCTTTTATACACATGCTTAGTACTCTTCATCTGTCTTTTGGTGCATGAGAACCCTAAGGGCATCTTTTACCATGTTTCCATCCAGTTGTTGTTTGAGTGGCATTTGTTTCTGAACAACGAGTACGATTGGCTGGGAAGTCAGTTAAGAAAAATGAGCACCGCTGAAGAGGACGAGGATGAATGGAGGCCGAAAAGATGTGGGGTGGGGCGGTGAATGATCACAAAACTGTAGCCACAAAATCATGAGCGCCTATAGGACGGTAAACCGAGTGACTATATATCGGACGATCATGCAACAGTAAGATTGTTATTTTGATTATGACAGGTGTACGATAATACCAAAATATGATAATTTTGGGTCTCTGGTACGATAGTTTTATATTTACCATCTGACACCACTGTGGCACTACGTCGCTTTCAGTTGTTTTTGTGTTTACGTGGATATTTCCTGAAAGAACGCCGTCTTTAAGAAAAACAAAATGACAGTAAATTGTTTTTGTCTCTGTGTGGACAAGGCCTTAAGTCTAAAAGCTGTCGTGCTGCAGTAACATTTCAATTCTTTGCTGTGGTTAAATTTACTGGTCTGTTCAGAGATTCCTTTTGTTTTCAAGTGAACACGCCTGTGAAGTTACACCTTCACACCTCCACCCACGCCCCGGGAAACAGCTGACAACAATAACGCCACCACAGATATTTCCCTCATTAATTAAGAAGAACAAACTGTCCCATATGTGTTCATGTAAAAAATAAAAGTAGTCACCTCCATCAGGTCCTCTTTGCTGGTAAACGCACAGTTCTCATCGAGGAACGTCTCACACAGGTGGTCAAAAGTGGCCATGCTCTCCCTGAAATCAAGACAGAATTTTTCATGCAGAGTTGAACGATAAAAGAGGTAAATAAAAAGTCTGGAGTTATGTTTTGTATCTTAAATAAAAAATAAGTAAAACTTTAACGTGGATGAAGTCTTGTTTTTGTTTTTTTAGGTGCATTGCTGACCTGCAGACAGCAGCCCAGGTCTTCTTGAGGCGATAAACAGCGTTGGATTGAAGGGCTGAAAGGATGGCCCTCAAAGAGGAGAAGTTTTTGAGCTGTCTACACTCCTGCAAAAGAGAAGAAACAAACTTAATCTGTGTTCATTTATGGTATTTTAATGAGAATGAGATTCAAACTATTCCTAATCCTGACCTGAGCGATGGCGATCCACCGCTCGATGATGTGTGCTCTGTAGGAGGGGCTGGTGTGAGGACAGCGAGGGGAGCTTGGCGCAAGAGGGGAACGGTACAGGAGAGGGGAGGAGGAGCCGGGTGATGAAGCAGGTGAGGAAGTGGAAGGTCTGGGAGAGGATGGGCAGAGGAGCGAGGTAATGACACGGTTGGTGACGGCGTTGAACTGAGAGATAGTGGCGCGGACGGTGGGCGCGATGCTTCGGTTTTCTTTTTTATCGCGCTGGGACCAGACACAGCCTAGACAGTCAAACGGAACCACCCTGACGAATAGATCCTAAAGTGGAGAGGATGACAGGGTGAGTTATTGTCAACAAGTGACACTGAATAAAATGAGCTCGGAAAACAATGAAACCTACTGCATCCAATCTGGTCAGCTGCTCCGCCACCTCTCTCACTGGGAAGAGCATAAAGTTGTTTCTGTCTTCGTCCCTCGTGGATGTCTCACCTCTGTCCTCCAGTTCACTGTGCTCTTGTTGCAACGATTCGCTGTGGTTCACTAATGCAGACTGGCTGCAATCTGTCAAACACACCAAATCACAAATGACAAAAGGATCTCTCAGGATTCGAGGATTGAGCATGAGTGGTCGGTTTTTCATGCGTCAAGTTGGCAGGTAGAAACAAATGCTAAACGATCATGTCGCTGATTGCTTTATACCTTGCTCCTGGAGCCTCTTGAGGAGCGCCTCGGCCGTGTGAGCTAAACGCCGAAAACAGAGACGCCTACGCAAGTGTGCACACAACAGCCTGAGATCCTGGTACTGCGGGGGCTCGTGAAAGTCTTCACTGTACTCCTCCAGCCACAGACGGATCACTGGGGGTAAGGTGCTAAGGGAAGAGAAGAGACATTATTAAGCCTTTAAGACCCACTCTGATGAAAATCATGTTTTTCATGTTGTCTACATGTTCATATGACATTTTTCTGATGCTAAAGGACATATCATGATTAAAATAAGTGCAAAAGTGCATATCTGAGTATTTCTGTATTCAAATCACTGTGAATCTATGACAGACCCAAATGGCAGGCTCAGATACAATGAGATTTCCTATGTCACAAATCCAAGCTCCACCCCTGGAGCCTCGCTATGCAGGCCAGATGAAAATAAAGAGTGCAATTGCAGAACAAGCATGTGCGTTAGCGGATTGTAATGCTTGTAAGAAAGCTAATTAATGGGGATGAGTAGCTCCTATGTTACCTGCTACTTCTACTACACTGGCAATGTTAGGCTACAAGCTAACGCAAAGAGGAGTGTGCAGAGCAGCGCTGTCTCTGCCCACGACTTAGAGGTGAATCGCTAATGAGCTACTGGAGCTCTGCAGAAGAAAGGCTCTTGAAAATGACACAGGTAACATGCTTTTGGCTAAAAACTTAAAACATAATCGCAACTTAAAGACAACTGAGAACACTTTAAGTAGTAAAAAAAAAAGTAATCAGAGTGGGACTTTAATCATAGTTATAAGGATTTATTCGCCCAAATGAATGCTAGATTGAGAAACTTGGACAAACTTGGAATAACTTATAACAATTTTCAGTTTAAATTTAATCATTTGTGAGTGAGAGTAGATTGTAAAAAGAAAATAAAACACTCACCTGCGTATACAGACAGTGTTATCCAGGTTAGCTATAGCGTCGTCTCTGTGAAATAAGTAAACAGGAGTCACTTTTAGCTCATAGACACATATTTACGGTGGCCCTGAGGTGCAAAACACAACAGCAAATCAAAGAACACAACACAAAAGGAGAGAACACAACGACAAAAAGAGAAAATAAATAGGAAACACAACATTAACCATTGTGTTTTCTCTTTTTGTGTTATGTTTTCTGATTTGCCTTTGTGTTTTGCACCTCAGGGCCACTGTACATATCAGTAAAGTTAATGTCATAAATTATTACAGTGAGCCACTGATGACGAAATCAACTTGTAAACATCAATTGCCCTCTATCACTTCTGCCAGTATCACTCTGAGTTTCTGCAGAAACCCTCCAAACCAAAGTAGATGGAAAACTAGTCAAAGTGTGGTCAGTGTTTTCTTACAGCACAATTTTCTATCATGTTTCAAGTCTCAAGGTTTAAAACAATGGAAACTGTATTATTATTTTGTACTATTTAACTGTCAAATTCAAAGACCAGTCAATAAGACAGATAAACTCTTCTTTATAGAGCCCCTATAAAGAGGCGGCACAGCAGGTTTATAGGCTAATGACGGCAACAAATGTTACATCCTGAACGAGATCCTGTGAGGCAAAGAAGAGGAAACAGAAGTCTCTGTCCGTTCTCAGGATGACCTGACAGACAGCTCACAGGAAACCTGTTGTCACCAGCATCACAGATATGAGGGTGACTGTTTGACGAATAATATATCAAGTGGACCGTACTAATGGCCACGTTGGAAAAGGTGAGCTATAGGGACCCAGAGGAGATGAAGGTGGTGGGACCAGCTGGATCTGAGCTTTAGTAACCTATACTCTCAACAGAGTTAGTAGAGCATTAAAAACCAACCAGACTTTCTGTGTCCAAAGGCTATTAAACAAAAACATAATTAGGTGGAGAAGCACCTGTGCTGGGTGTGGAGGGTGTAGTCATGACCACTCAGGAATGGAACAAAGCTGCAGGCTGCTTTGTTTACTGCATGACGATAATACTTGTCATAGAAACCAGTAAACTGCTTTGTGAATACTTAAGGGACTAAGAAAAGACCGATTTTGGAAGTATTTTAAAACTATTGAGAACTTTTTACTGTCAAGTTTAAGATTTAGCCGAGAAAGATCATTCTGTATGCATAACTAGATGGAGATAAAGCCATCAGCAAGTGACCCAAACTTGACATATATGCTGGAAACAAATGAGAAGAGCTAACCTGGTTCGGATTTCAATTCATAAAATCACTAATTAACATGATAGGGGAGAGTGGGGTAAGATGAGCCATTTTTCATATTTCGGATCACTACATCAAGTCAATCATAATTTTGTCTCTAACTAGTGTGTCTGCACAGATTTGAGGATGTTGTGCATCCCTGCAAACCAACAGAATGAGTGTAATGAGTGTTTATATATTATGCACTATTCAACAGGTACAAGAATTGTTTTAATTATCATTGCATATAACATGAGAAAACACGAGAATGTCTTTAAGTGATTCAGAACATTCACAGCTGTATCTTTAAAAAGAAAAAGTCACACATTTCAACAATCTGAACTGAAACTCTGATCCTTTGTGATCAAGATCACAGGGCTCAACTTACCCCAGAACTACTATGATGACTTTATTAGTCCTCAAAGCTAAAATGGTGGACTTTTATACTAGGTTTTTGACCTCATGTTGTAGCTCATAGATATCACAATTGATGTCTAAAACAAATTTAAAATGATCTTTTTTGGTCTGGACACAATTCTGATAAAACTTATGACAGACTAAATTCACTTTCAAGAGTGAAAAATGTGCTTCTAACCTTCACAGACTCCATGAATTGATACCCATCTCCTACATATTTGGTCAAATGATCAATTTCTTTGACCATTTCAGAGCAACAGGGGGTGGCTCAACTTACCCCAGTCCCCCCTATATTAACCAAGTGATAAAATATAACCTAAATGAGTTTTTGAAACTTTTATTTCCATAAAAGTTGAACAAATATTAAAAATATAGAGTCGCAGAAATTTCTGTTTTCTCTCTGCTTGAATTTTATGTTGGATAGACATCACTTTTTTTACATGAGAGCAAAGGGGAAGTAAGCACTGTCCCAAACATGATCCATAACAGCTGCTATGCTGCGCAGAAATGAGTCAAACAGCTAAAGTTATATCATTTGTTGTTGTCCAGATCTGCTGACCGAGCATGTTTTTAAACACTTGAACATAGTCACTAACAAAAGCCTGAAGAGTCTCAGTGTGGTGCGAGTCCCTCACCTCTGAAACAGCAGCTCGATCAGAGTGCTGGTGGATGTGAAGGCCTTGTAAGTGGAGAGGAAGATGCGGGTGAAGTCGGGCTCCTGTGGCTCTGGAGTCAGCAGGTGTGTGACAAGACGCTCCAGGGTGCCAGCCTTCAGCCTTCGAACCTTAACCGTGTGGTACTGGACGAAGGTGAACATGGCCGGGTGATCTGCTGCGTCTGAATTCGGCTGGGTGGGCTCTCTACGTAGCGTTATACCAAACACGGCCCCGTTCTCCTCCTCCTCTCCCCACTCTTGCACTGGGTCCTGCAGGTGAGAAAGCAAGATCATCAGAATGTGGTGAACAATACAATCTGCTCCACTACAAAACTGAGCTTAGAGAAGCATATACAAATAAAGAGTCTCTTCTGACTGCTGTTCCTCAACTCCACATTGTGACATACATACAGATGCTCCACAGATTTAAACTATACGTCAATCAGCCTCATTCTTAAGATTCTAGCGTGGCCCAGCCTTTCTCTCTGACGCCACAGACTCCCGGTGACTAACCTAATGAGCTGACATAGAGGCATTCACAGGCGATTTGTTTATGTCCACAAACAGAGGAGCCGAGTGTTGAGCCATGACACAGTTTTACAGCTTCATCTAACTCGCAACATCATCCTTTTACACGCTCAGTATAAAAAACTACAATATGTCCCCTCATGGTTTGCTTTTAAACATGTTACCCTACAAATGGGAAATGAGGGAGGGTTTTATTTGACCATTTCTTTAAGTAGACTGCAGAGATTTTTCAAGGAACCGAAAACAAATGCAGACAAAATACCTTTTTTTAATCATATCAGACTTTTTAAACATAATATAATCAAGTCTAAGCTTTAAAAATGGAACCACCTGTAGTTATTTTATATAAAGGTGAACCTAGATTGAGAGATTTCAGGCGTAAGGGCAGGATAAAAAACATTTTACAGACCATTACCTTGACAAAAAGGTAGTCATCGCCCTGGAATGAGCCTCAGTGACCTAACTCTCTTGTACAGCTTTATGTAATCACTATATTGTCTCAACAATAGAAGCAAGAGGCCATCTGTACACACTGAATAGGCTAATAATATAACAGAAACTCAGATAAGAACCAAACACTGGATGTTCATAAATCATTTTATATTGTGAGCTGATCCAGGTGATGAAAGTCAACCTGAGTTTATTTTTTTAACAGGTAAAACTAGAGCAGAAAAAAACAAATACAACGTTTGACCCAAAAGGGAACACCTCACACTTGATTTCTTCATATTTCAAGTTGGAATTTATCCTGAAAAAAACAAAAACAAAACAAGAACACATAATTTAACTTACCATCGATAAGTGACATTTTCTCATGTTTGCAGAAAAGAAGTTTGATTTATAAAAGCTTCCTGTCCCTTAAGGTAATTGGTCCTGAGTGCAGGTACAATGTAAGGACTTAAACTCCGCTATTGGAAGACCTTTAGTCTGAAATGTGTGAGACTTTTCCATTTTTGTCAAAGCAAAGACGAAAAGAGAAGTTGTATCCAGTCATTGAGGTCGAACAGCGACAGTGACTGAACAAGTTTCACACGGACTGTCAGGGCATATCAGTGGGCGGGGCTACTTTAAGTATCAGGGGCGGGGCTTAAGCAATCCACCAATGAGGAAGAGGGTATAGGTACAATTATACAGATTTTATATATGAGGCTATGTAGAAATTTGCAGTACTTTGCAATCAAAATTAAGCTCCCAGAAGTGTTACATGAAGAAAACTGAACTAATTAAAAGGAGATCTGGAAGACCATCAATTTATCTTATTCACTGTGAAGTTTGTTGACACTGAAGGCTGTGAAAGAAACATCTGTGCTTCATATGAGATATAGGTCATCTGTTTATTATGAAGGGCCTACTGTTTTACTAAAGCAGTGTAAGCTGCCTCTGATAAGTCCCTTATATTTAGTTGCAAAATTCATAAAGCAGTAAATAAAAGTTGTTCAAACCCTTCCTAATGCAAAGTTAGTATCTGACATTTACTCACAGAGACTTACTAAGAGAGTTACTAACTAGCAATGCTGTATTCTATAAATTAAGGTTAAAATAAATTAAATTAAAGTGTAAAAGAGTTGACCTAATATGGGGTATAACTAGGTAAATGGTGCATGAATTGTAATCAGTCCAGATAGATAGATAAATACTTTATTAATCCCATTTGGGAAATTCAGGGGTCACGCCACTCACAGACTCATACACAGCACACTAACATAGACAACAACAAGTGCACCTCTGCAGACCAGCCAAGTAGAGTAAAACCAGTATAAAACCAGTATAAAAAGTGCAATAAATGCAGTAGTGCTCACAGTGCAATATGTATATAGTGCTGAGGTGCACAGGTCCTCAACTCAGCTCACCATGTCACAAGCTTAAAAACTAAAGGTGGTGATTCAAAGTAGAGCTTTTTCCCCTTGCTTGGACTGTAAATGTTCAAATTACAAAAATAACTTGATAGGAGAGCTTTACAGGATGTGCCAAAACAGTGTGGTGACAGTAACAGTTTGTAATATGATAGAGGAGTCAGACAGGCAGAGTTATCTATGTGGAAGTAGTTTATCTAAACTTTGTTCTCCCAGAGATGAACAACAGAGACGGTGACCTCTAGTGGCAAAACTCTGGACATCAAAAATCAAGTTCCCTCATTGTGTGAATCAAAGACTGTCCAGATTATATCAGGAAATCTTTGTTTATTTTACCGGAACAAGATGCAAGATGAAACAAAGAGACTCTATCTTACAGGAGTGTGAAAATGAACACGCTGTGAACGCTGCACTTCGGTGCCATGCGACTAAAGAATCTTGTCAGGAATCTGGTTTTTCTTGACTGCTTCTAGCTGATGTTCCTGTGGACAGGGACAGAGGCGTGGTTGACAAACCACGTAAAGCAGGTCTGTTCTGCTCCCTGAAATAACTCAAGCTGTGTGACTAAAATAAAGCTGAAGTGAAAGATGTTAATAAACTTCTAGTGCTGCTGTAGAAGCTGCATATTGTGGTACCATGGACAAGCTGAGCACACGGGACATCTTCCGTCAGCTGTCCACAGCTATTTTAGCTCAGAAAAAGAAATAATGAGCGTTTTGTTCCTGTAATGAGTCTCTGGCTCTCTCTTGACTGAGAATCAAGCTTCGTGTTTACCCAAGCCACTCAGGCTGAACAAAAGAGCAGAGAGAAAGTGCCAGTGGGGACCTCAATTAGCGCCCATTAGACACATGAATGGTTGACGAGGCAGGAGACAGCCAACAAGTAAAAAGCATGTGAGTAAGTTGATTCTGTAGCATGCTGGTGATAGTTGTTTCATCAAAGATTACGGGATCAAAAAAGGCTTTTCTCAGCAGGAAATAGACAGCACAGTCACAGGTTTTGGTATTCTTCCTGGAGAGTCTGAAGCAGTTCCTTCTCTGCATGCTGGTGTGGAACAAATACCAACTACAAGACTCAAGAATCAGACGGAAATATCTCAGAAGTTCCCAGGTAGAAACCTGACGTCAGCACGTGCGGAATATATGACTGCTGTTCTTTCACAGATATATCTGTGTTTACTGCAGGGGTCCAATTACCCCTAATAATTCACAAAGTGATGGTGTTAACGTCAGAGGATAATAAATATCAGAGGAGGAAACTTCATTCGAAAACACTCAGGATGACATATATTTAGACCTGGACTGTTATTCTGAAAGAAATAATAAGGGAAATGAAGATAATATGTTGGACCCTGTGACGTTATCATAGACCTGTTTTTCCACATCAGCCTACATTAAAACGTTAATACTGAAAATAATTGACAGATTACCAAGCAGTAAAGTATTTATTATTTCCAGACTTTGGTGGGTGATGTGAACTCAATCTAATACAGATATAAGAGTAAGATCAGATGAATAAAGAGTCAAATCCCACTTAAAGAAACTGGTTATGATATGATAAGTATCACATGATAAGTTCACAATATGTTATGATATATCCGGATCTCATAGTCGATGGTGGAGTGCCTTAGAGTTTTCAGTCTCATTAAAAATCCTCAGATTGGACCATAAAGTCGGTGTTGACAGTAAACAGACTTTTAAACTTCTTTATAATGTTGTTTATTAACAGTGTGTGTTAGGGTCTGACTTGGCACTGCTGCAGAGTTTGTAGAGGTATTTATTTAGTATTTATTCATTTTTATTAGGCTTTTGGTGTAATTAATCATGTCCTTAACTTTTATCACACCACTTTTAAATCATGTTTCACTGGCATTTACTGTGTTTATTGTGTATCTGGTGTTAGTCTGTTTTTTCTGATGTCTCCATGCTGTTTGTTGTCTGTATGAGTCTTCTTGTCCTTTGGTTAAATATTTAGATTGAATCCATGTAAGACCTGTTGATAATGTGAGATCTGTGCACGTCAGGAGCAGCTTTAAGACATCGTAACACAACAGGCCGACCTCCTGTATGTGGGATCATCTTACCTCGTTCTGTCCATCAGTGTCCAGTAGTTGGAAGCTCGTCAGCCACACACTGGACTCTGTGTGCATGTGGACGTCGACGCAGTGACTCGGCTTGAGCCAAAGCAGCCTCTTCATCCTGCCCACCTTACTGCGGAGGCCGTGGGACTCCCCTCCATCACCGCCTCCACACACAGGAAGGATGGTCCGCATCTCCCTCTCTGTGTCACGCTACTGGCCCACACACCTCGTCAGATTTCCTCTACACATGCTGCCTCATCTGCGCCGAGGAGGACGGTAAAAAAACATTAGGCATGGTTGTTGAAACGGGATCATTTTAATATTAAATACATACCAGTGTGCCATGACATGATAGTCAGGTGTACCCTGAGAAATTATCCAATTTCACTTTATTGGTCTATTTTTTTTTTTAAAGAACTTATTATCTGCAAATAATATGCAATTCTCAAGTGTCTGTAATCCACAGCCCCAGGTTTCACACTTGGTGAGTATGAATTAACTGAGAGACTATATTGTTATATAAACTGTATTTGGGGCTACCAAGTGTCATTTAGTAAAATTTTGGTCGGTGGTGTGCCTCGTGATTTTTTTAGATGAAAAATGTACCGTGGCTCAAAAAAGGTTGAAAAACACTAAGTCATCTAAAAGACAAGGTCTCAAAATGCCATCAGTATCATATCTGAGTTCACATTTATGAAACTTTATGATCACATTTACAAGATGCTGATTAAAACAAATGATCTTGACTGATTAAAGATTCAGGACTCTGCTTAAAAATAACTTTAAAGTTATGAGACAATACAACACTTGATGAGTAGCATAGTGCATCATACTGATTCAACATGCACGGTTATCTCCATCATTAAAAAGCTGATAATAATATCAAAATTTATGGTGACACCTTCTTGTAAATGCTCAACAGTACCATGAAATATTTCTTACATAATTCACACACACAATAACATGAGTTACTCCAAAAATATCCACTTCTTTGGAAATAAAATGTCTCTTTCACAGCACACTTTAAAGCAAAGACACACTGAATAAGTTAAAAAGAAAAAGAAATCATCACTTAACTGTAATCCTTCCTCTGTTGAATCCGTGTTTCCTGAATCCTGATGAAGTCCATGTTCAGATCTCTATTTTCTCAGACAGAATATCCAAGTTGAGACAGTGTGAAACTTGGACGGTGGAGACTCTGGCATTTATCACCAAGAACTGATTGTACTGAGTATCTGTGTGGGTGGATGATGCTCCACACGCATGTCCATGAGTGAGTGTGTGAGTGTGTGAGTGTGTGAGTGTGTGAATGTGTGAGTGTGTGTTGGAACTGCCTCCTCCCCTGTTTGGCTGCCTCTGATAAATAATTGTGTCCCATTTTGATTGCATTGCACACATCTAATCATTCCAGTTCATTGCCCCCCTCTCATTACAATGAGGCACCACCTCCCTGTCCCCATTAACACCTTTATCAACAAACACTGGAGCCAACATACTAACATACAGACGCTTTAAATCTGCTACAAGAGCGTTTGAGGACCTGCAAGGTGGGAGATGACACACCTGATTTAATCTCTCTTACCTGTGGTAGAGTGAGGGTGGGAATGTTCTGGCAGGGTTGACACGTGAAAACGACTTAAAAACATCTACACAGACGGATGGGACATGGTGTGTTGGAGGTCTGGAGGTAGAGGACCTTTAGGACGCTCATTCACGCCACCGGCAGCCATTCAAACTCTGAAGAAGCAGGCCGCAGAGACCCGCCCCCTTTCACTGATTGGTGGATTAAAGTACCAATAGAACTCATCATTTCTGCACACATGGATGTATGTACCTCTGATACACTGTATTTGGCACGTTTATAAGTTAGTATTTTTTATTATCACCAATTTATTATGTCTATATTTTACTGTGTGATGGAATCAAAGCTTGTAATCAGTCTATTTTAAAAGTATCACGAATAAATGTATACATGTTTTTACATGTGAAATGCACAATACTTCACTCGTAAAAACATGTATATTTCTCTTATTGCAAATGTTCACTTTAATTGAAGTTCTTCGTGTTTATTTTATGTCATTTTATTTATTATTTCTGTTTTTAATCTTTTTCTTTTACATCTTTTACCCTTTTTCATATGGTAAAGAGCTCTTATCTGTTCATTTAAGATTGTTTTCTTGTTTCACTCTTTCTTTTTACCATTTTTATCTTTTATCGCCAGTGTTTCCCAAAGGAAAAACTCTTTCCTCATGTAATGTCTCGGTGTCAGGCGTTATCTCTTTAACAATATATCTTAAATTCTCACACTGTGTGCGCTTGTGTGTGTGTGTGTGTGTGTGTGTATGTGTGGGTGAGTGAGTGAGGGTGAGTGTATGTCTTTGTGTGTGTGTGGGTCCATGGGTGGGTGTGTGGGTGGGAGGGCTGGGTTTATTGTTGTTAATTGTTGTTTTTAGCCTCTGTGAGGCACTTTAAGTGCCATAAATATAAATTTGAATTTGAACACATTCAAGACCTGAGAGACCAATAAGTGGCTGAACTGAACAACCTGAAAGTTAAAATCATTCATGAAATATTTATGACCCACATAAATGAACCCACTGAGCAATAGGCGGCTAGTTTAAAAAAAAAAAAACTAATTTCAACCGTCTAGATTCTGTAATCTAAATGTTGCACTTAAACCCATTATTCAATAACTGTTTATTTCAAAAAGCAACTGTGAGTTGCAGAACTGATCTCCAAGTACTTAACCAAAATAACTCTAATAGCTGTTGAGCAATACAGTGTAGTATAAATATAGCCGAGATTTAGATTTAGTCTAAACTTGGTCTAAATTTAGACATCTAAAAACTTTCATTTTTGCACCTGTGGTAGCCTGATTTTAGACCAGTCGTCTAGGCTACATTTAGACGTCTATTAGACCACTTTTAGACCAAAATATGCTCAGCGGGAATATATCTGAGATGTTGGATGCATTTTGTCAGGCTTTAAACAGAAATTGTGAACAAATGCTGTCTTTAAGAAGAGGTCAACTTTTAATTTTCAGGATTTTTTTTAATGACTTTCTAAAATAGTTTTGAATGAAAATCAAACATAGAAATCAGACAGATATGGACTCATTCAACACAAACTTAAGAGGAAACGTGAACTGAATATGCAAAATAAGGTTTGTTTACATGGAAGTACTTGTCTGGTTACATTGTGAGAAGTACACCAGGTAATTCTCTGAGGTTTATACTTTGACATTTTGGTATGAGCAAGCAGCGCAGGACCGGCATCGCAACATTTCAAAGGGCAGAGGCAATTTTAAGATGCTAAAACACAATAGAGATTCATGTTGGTGTTGGCTGTGCTGCATGTCTGCAAACAAGAGAGGTTTTACACCCACTTTTTATTATCACATTTCATTGAGACTAAGTATGTGTATCTATGAATACATGTATCCTGAGCTGTGAGAGGAGGAGCAGCGAGCCTCTGTCCATGACATCTAACTGAGAACAATACTGTTGTCAAAACAAAGGTGTGCATACGACAGAAAACCACATCATTATATCTCACAATTTACTTTGATATTTAATTATTGCAGAAGTTTATCATTAAAGGGCCATTACAACGATGGAAAAACTGTCTCGGGGCTGTGGCGTCACATCAAAACTTGCCCTTCTTCTTCTTCCACGGCTTTTTCTTGGACTTGGAGTCAATGATGAGCCGAGACTGACGCTTCAGCGCCTCTCGTGATAGGATGTCTGCTTCGTCCTCTTCACTCTCGTCCTCTGAGACACAGTCGGGGTGGGAAGAGACGGATTTAGACTGTGTGCCCTTGTTAGGATGTAGGCTTATGTGTGTGTGTGTGTCTGTGTGTGTGTGTGTGTGTGTGGTTCTTAACTTACCATCCTGAAAGAGGTCCAGATTGTGGTCTTCAGGCAGCTTGACACGTGTATTATAGGCTGGCAATTTTCTCTCGATCCTGATAAAGAACTGCTCACAAACAACAACAACAACAACAACACACACTTAAAACAATCATTCATCTGCAAACATTTGGGCCTTTTTACATTTTTTAAAATTTGCTGTTTTTAGTTTTGATGTTAAATCCTCAACTTGTACCTCTCCTTACTGTTAAGACTGTTATTTAAAGTTGTGTTTTAAAGAACTTTATTGTTGCCCCCTTTTTTGTTTTTAGGTTGCCTTCAACATCTGGCCAGGGATGTAAAACTAGCCTTGCTGGCTGACTCTGGCTCTGGCAAAAAATATAAACGTCCAATGTCTTCTTCCTTTAAGGATTGTTTATTGCTCACTATAGTGCCAATGTCCAACAATGTGTTCACAATATTCCAAAAATCAATCCACAATTTCACAGATCCCCGGTGTCACGGTCAAAAAACTTTATGCTCCTGTGTCGTACAGCAACACCTGTCACCTGCACAAAGGTTCCTACCTGAATAAACCCACTTATTGAGACCTGAGGGCGACATCTAGTGGTAGAACATATGAATAACATAAGACCCAAAAATGGCTCTTACACACAGTCTTGATATCTGGAAACTGTTGGTCAAACCTGAAAATGCAGTTGATTTATTTTGTTTCCACACATTTTGCCGTTATTTCCATGGTTACCTAGAGCTTCAAATGCACTGTGGTGCTGAATGAGTGTCTGCGTGTTTTTGACTCACCTCCTCCTCCTCCATCTCCTTCATGATGGCAGCCAGATCCTTCCCCTGAAGCTCCTCGTGGAGCGACTGCAGCTTCAGCTCACACTGAGTCAGCAGCTCCACCACAAACTCGTCTGAATCAGGAGATGGATCGGCCTCTGTGGGCTCAGTCTGGACAGAAACGTGTCAAAACAAGAGGACAAAAGCCTGGTTGTCATACAGACATACTGACAGGAATAAAAGAAAAGAGTAGTCAGAAAAAGACAGTTGTATTAATGTGGGAAATTATAAACAAAAACTACCAGTGTGACATGTTGAAGTTTGTCTGCGAGGTGCTCCACCCCGGCTCGGACTGTGCTGAGGGTTTTGACAAGACAATCCAGACCCTCTTCACTGGTGTCACATCGGCGCTGCTGAGCCTGTAGCTGCTGCTCACACTCATCCCGCAGCTGCTGCTCACTGATAAAACACAGATCAGAAGGAAAGGCTAAAGCAGGGGTGTCAAACTCAACCACAGCAAGGACCATAATCTGGATTTAGGTCAAACCTGAGGGCCAAAGAGGGTCAACATAAAAAGTAAATACATGAGGATAAAGTTGAAATCACAAGTCTGAAGTGTCAAAGAATGAGATAATTTTGCAATCAAAATGACTTAAATTTTAAAATTGGAATCTCAAGGATTAAAACGACATTAATCTAAATACTGAGCTGAAAAAAATCAAAGCACAAAATAAAAAGTCAAATCATGTTCGACTTGTAATCTTGAGATGCAAAATTGAAAACATGGAAACATTCTTGACTAAAATATGACATGATCTAGTGGGCCAGATATAGCTGCTCCAGGGGCCAGATTTGTCTTGAGTTTGACACCTGTGGGCTAGAAAATAAGCATCACACAGGTACATGCATGCTTCCTGCCTTTCACTGCTGCTATCTGTGACTGTCTCACCTGGAAAGTTTAGCCTCTCCAGAATATTTCATGTCCTGGAACTGTTGACTGAGGAGCTCCTTTTGCTCCTTCAGCTGCAGCAGCACCTTCTCGTTATCTTCCTTCAGCTTCTCAAGGCGTTGATGCGTCTCTTTCTGTGAGATGAAGCGCTCCACTATCTCCTGGACTCATGTAAAAAAAAACATCACATATAAACACAGTAACAGTAACCTTATGGATCCATCCACAGCGTCCTCTCATGTCTCTACCTGTATGTCTGTGACTCCAGCGGCCTCCTTGATGCGTCTGAAGGCTTCTTCAAAAGTAGAGATGACTTTCTCCTCCTCCCCCGCCATCCTGGGGCTGCTGCGCTGAGGCTCGCTGCTCAGCTCATCTGGCTGCATCGCTGCTCTCTGACCCTGAAGGTAGACGAGTTCCTGCTCTTACTCTCAAATACATAATTGTCGTACTTGTTGATAGCAGCATTTCTATCTCACCCTTCTATCAGCTTTTTCAGCTTGGGCCTTGCGTTCCTCGACCTTCTTCCTGTAGTGGGCGATAACACGCTCTCTCTCTTTGCGCTCCTTGTAGAGCTGCTCCTCCTGTTTCTGCAACTCTGCCTGTAATAAAATAAGATATGATACATGGATTTATCTCAGAGATACATAGAGCAATTCTCCATTTTACTCATAGTGATGGGAGATAAAGAGCCTCACAACTTATCACACAGACTTTGTCTTCAAGGATTCAGTTACCTTTACATTTAGTAAATGATGTAGTTTAGTTACAATGTTACACTGTGGAAATGCTGCTGTTGTACAGAGCCATAATATGGAAGTAAATCTGTGCCATCTGATTTTGAATTTGAATTTCTTAAGTTGAATTTTTTTTTTGCATCACATTCAGACTTTGAACTTCAAAACCATCGGATTTCTAGCATGTTTTTTTTTTTTTTTAAATTATTATTTTTTATTTCAGACACTTATTTTTTTCACAAAGATGAAATAAATCCAGTGTTAAATAGATGGTCTCTCAAAATATTAATTTAGTAAAAATTCAACTTAAAAAAAAAACTTTAAAAAAAAATCAACATAAAAAAAATTCAGTGTCAAATAATTCAGTGTAAAAGAGACAAACTCAACATCCAGGTAACCAAGGAGAAGCAATCATCCCTCGTCTAGCCAATCAAATAATGCTTGATTGGTCATGTGGCACCAACCCCAGTCAGCCAGGAATCGATTGCTTCTCCCAGTTCATGTTATTAGTAAAAGCAGAAAGAGATGCAGGTCACCTTGGCAGCTTCTTTAGAGAGCTGGGCTGTTGTATAAATGGACTGCATGTTACTGAGTTCCTCTCTGTGCTTCAGGATTCCCTCTTCCAGACTGTCCAGCTGGCCCTGGAAGGTAAGAGCCTCATCCTGCGAGAGAAAAGTGAAAGGGAGAGTAAAAAAGTGACTGTGACTTACGGATTTATCACCATTTAAAGTTTGGTCTTATTCAAACAACATGAAATGAAACAAGTGAAACAACAGCTCATTGACCAGCTGGGAAATTTAGGTAAACAAATCAACCCTGTTTTCAATTAATTAACACGAAAAATAGAAAGAAAGTTCAGTCCAAATACAATTTGTGTATTTGATGGATAGATGGTAAAATGATTTTTACATTGAGGACCTCAGGACATTTTGGAGAAGCCACCAAAAAATCTCCTACCTGCAGGTGACTTTTGACTTTCTGATAGTTGGCCATGATGCTCTCAGCCTCCTTGCATTTAAACTGGGTCTTCTCCAGACTGTTTTTAAGAGTCCGCAAGTTCTGAAGACACAAAACATGGACACACACCAACACAAAAACATGGACAGAGAAGGTATGTGTGTTAGAAACAGGAACACTAACTTTATGATTTTATTAAAGAGCCAGATTAGTGACTACCATGGCTTCTTCCCCTTTTTCACGAGTTTGAGTATCAGCAGGCCGAGCCTCACTGCTGTCATCTGGTTTCATCCTCTGGTATTCTCTTTTCAGCTCCTCAAGGTGGCGCTGTTTGGTCTGGGTGGTGTGTTTCAGGGCGTTGAGGCGCTTCATCTTGGACAGAACACTCTGGTCTAGTGCTGTGAGAGCTGCCTGAGAACAGAGAGATAAGAGTGAAAGGAACAACACTCACTCCGATGTTGTTGTTGTGGTTGCAATAAAACCTAAGGGAGGGTAAAAGTAGTCTCCAAATAAAACAGGAAGTTATTTGATGTTTATGAAATAGTCTGAAATTCACATATTACTTTTTTTATCATCTGCAAAAACAAAAAAATCTTCTCTGTCTACTTTAGCAGTTTTCATATTATCGTTTTAAAGAATGTGATACGGTGGCCCTGAGGTGCAAAAGACAAAACACAACAGCAAATCAGAAAACACAACACAAATAGAGAAAACACAATGACATTAGCCATTGTGTTTTCTCATTTTGTGTTGTGTTTTCACTTTTTATGTTGTTTTCTCTTTTGTGTTGTTTTTTTCCATTACCATTTTGTTCTCTGTTTTTGTGTTGTGTTTTCTCTTTTACCGCTTATTTTTGTTGTGTTTTTTTGTGTTGTGTTTTCTTTTTTGTGTTTTCTCTTTTGCCGCTGTGTTTTCTGATCTGCTGCTGTGTTTTCTGATTTGTGTTGTGTTTACTCTTTTAATGTTGTTATCTCTTTTGCCGTTGTGTTTTTCTCTTTTTGTGCTGTTGTTTTCTCTTTTGTCATTGTGTTTTGCACCTCAGGGCCACCGTACTGGAACCTTTGTGAAGGTGTAGGTGTCAGCTGATCAGCTGCAGAAACAGTCCTGTTTTTACACTTTAAATAAAAAATATTCACAATAAATGATAATAAATAACATCCTTTGTGTTCCTCTCACCTTCCCTGACATGTTGCGGTAGGTCTCCTTCTCCTGACCTCTGTTCTGAAAAGCCATTTTGATGACATTTTCATCACTCTGAGAAGAAAAAAAAGAGAAAAACAAAGATAGTCACTGGCAGGTATGATTTGTCGCTCCTACTCTGAGATAGCCCTGTGTCGTGGAGACTTACAGAGTTTGCCTGTGCCAGTTTTCTGTACAGCATCTTGTTCTCCTGTCTCAGCTTCAGGATGGACTCTCTGTTCTTCTTGATTAGGGACTGACAGCTCTCATAGAGCGCTGTTCTGTCGCCCTCTAGTTGACAGATTTGATCATGGCATCAACAACATGGAGGCAGTCATTTTTTCAGTCAATGTACAATCACAGATACGTACAGCAAATCTCTCTTTCTGTTAAATACAGTCATAGATCTACATCTGTTATAAGCATGGTAAAACGATAAAACGGAGGAAATGCATGAGCTGAACTCAAAGAGACTTTAACTCACCCAACAGTTGAATTTTACGCTGCATCTCAGATATTTGGTCATGCAGAGGAGATGATATTGAACCGCTAAACGGCATTTTTGTGCTGCACGGTCGCTGAATCCAATTTGTAAAGAAAGACAGAAAGAAAGAAAGACAGAAAACCTTCAGTCACCACTGGCTGGAAGACTTCTGGTTGCCTCCACCGTTGCTTAGCAACATGTACACAAAAGCCAAAGTGTGGCTCAAATGAACTCACAGAGTCGGCCTATATTAAGTGGACTGTACTGTGAGCTCAGCAGTGAGTATTGATAAAGACATGGACACTTAAAAATGCATATATGTACCTAACAATCACGTCTAATCTTGACACAGAAGATTGATGATTTTAAAAATACAAACACTGACACACAGATAATGGCAAACTGTTTAATCTTTTGTATATTCTGGAGTCTGAATGACCATTAAAGAAACCAGCAGAACAGTTCGTATTATTTTTAAAGACATTGAAACTCCAACACCAGGAAATCTCTTTGGATATCCAACATTTTTCTTGGACAAATGATGCCCCGTTTATCAGTCATGTATCCTATGGTTTCGTTTTCGTTGCATCTCAGTTTGATTCGACACTCGAACAACAACATACCAAAAATACAGATTCATCATGTAACTTTTAATATCCTATAATGGAATAAAAGAATCAGGGTTGTAAGAGAATTGAAATTACAGATCATGTCAGTGACTAAAAAGGTGATAATGTCAACCTGAATATTTACTGTTTTATAAAATGCGTTTGATGAGTCTGTATTTTCAGACACGGTGGCCACTTTGAACACTAAAATGGCAACATATCTTTTGTTAGCTCACACAAAAAGGGAAATATCCCCTAAAAATAAACAAAATCTTTAAAACTTCAAATACTTTTGGATTAAAAAACAACTTAAAAACATAAAAAGAGACATGATTTATTCTTGAATCTTTTCAGGCTTTTAGTATCATACTTAACTGTTATCAGCCCCATTATTCAACATTACTTTGTTAAGCTTATTTAAAACAGTGCAGTACGCTTAATGTGCTAACAAACTACATCTGCCTCAAGAGGAGATGTCACTGAAAGATATCGGACCCTTTACAGCTTCTCGTCAAACTGCATGATCGAATATACAAACAAATAACAAGAAATGGGAAAAATACATTCAAAACAAACTGTAATCTCTGACTTAAGCTCCCTTTGGTCCTTCTGTATCAAAATGACCTGTTTGGCATGTACAAAAGTGAAAGGTTTTAAGGCTTTGTAACAAAGTGAATTACAAATACAATTAATAATACACTGTACAACATCAGAGAAGCCCTTTGACAGAAAAACACAAACTTTACATACAAAATGTAGCACATAAAATACTGTCATAATCTTCCTTTTGTTCAGATTTGTCTTATATTTAACACATGTACAACCATGCGTGCTGACAGACACACAAACACACACTCACAGCACACAAAGCTGTGATTTAGTCCACAGATTTGGGCTCTTCGTTGGACTTCTTCAGGACTGTGAGCAGGTTCTGGGACATGAAATAAGGCCTCTCTGTGGATCCATCGTTGCGCTCCAGATCCTCCACTGTGACAAGGACAGAAGCAATTGAGGAACATTTTTCTGACAGAGGTCAAACTTTCTCTGTATAAATAAAGTTAATTTGTGGTAGTGCACTCTGATATGTTATTTAGGAGTACTCGTAGGCGATTGAAACCTGCACAGCCCCCCAATAAAGCAGTCAAAGGGTTAATTTAAATTATGCTTAGAGTTTTACAGTCTGTTTAAAATAATGTGATAACAGTTTAATCTGATAGATGTCACAGTCCTGGAGAGTGAATCACTCAGAAAAGGTAGGAGAAGGATATATACATATATATATATATATACTGTATATATATATATACTGTATATATATATATATATATATATATATGTTCTGTCTTTTTTACTTAGGATTTTTGTTCTGTATTTCTTTTGATTGTACCTTTTTCATACGGTGGCCGAGAACTACCACTGCAGCAAGTAAAAAATAATGCTAAAAAGTAAAGCTACAATGGAAGTTACAGATGAAAAAAAAGAAACTGGAGCCTGCTGAAAATTTAAAAAATGGTGCCGATTTAAAAAAAAAAAGCCACAACGGAAGTTAACGACGCAAAGAAAGTGCAGATCCCCCCCCCCCAAAAAAAAAGTTACTCCCTGCAAAAATAAAAGGATGCAAATATAAAAAGCCACAACGGAAGTGAGCTGCCGGGGACCAATAATGAAAAAAAAGCGAGGGGTCTGCGAACTTATTTCTATGAGTAAAGCAACCAAACTCGATTCTCCTTTCGTGGGTGGTCTTTTGGGGCGCAGTGGGTTTCCCCTGTTAGCCAAAGCTAACACTACACCGGCATCCTTCAGTTCAACTTCATATCGACTCAGGCGCAACATGGCCTAACCAAATGACACACTGAAAAGATTACAAAGCTCTTCTTTTAAGAAGAAGGTTCTTCTTGCCGTCGTCTTCTTTGGCTAGATCGTGAAACACAACTTCTGTTGTGGCTTTTTTTATTTGCATCTTTTTATTTTCACAGTAAGTAGCATTTTTTTTACATCGCTGCTTTTTTTGCGTCGTTTACTTCTGTTGTGGCTTTTTTTTTGCATCTTTTTTATTTTTGCAGTAGGTAACTTTTTTTTTTACATCGCAACTTTTTTTAGTCGTTAACTTCTGTTGTGGCTTCCTTTTTTTGCATTATTTTCTATTTGCAGCAGTGGCGGTTCTAGGCCACCATAATTTCACAATCAATAATTATGTCATTTATTAAAGAAAACGAAAAACCTAAAATTAAATGTAATGGGTAAATTTACAAAAAACTATTTCAAATTAGCAAAAGCAAACAAGTAAATAGTTGGAATACTCCTTTAAAGACAAAAGTCAAATGCCTCTCTGACTCTGTTGAAGATCGAAACTCACCTGCTCCCAAAAGCTGAGACTCATTGAAACAAGTATGCACCATGAACAGATATGCCACGGTTAAATGCAATCACCTTTAATTGAGATATACATCCAATAAATACGGAATGTCATAAGTGATTTCAGTGGAAAATCAACTTACATCTTACACAAAGTGACAAACAAGAGAAAAATACAAAAGCATCCAAAGACCAAAGATGTTAGTTTAGAGCATCCAGAAGGCCATGTAAACACCATGCAGCACTTAGAGAGAGATACAAAGAGGACAGGGTCAAAGCAAGGCAAGCAGGGTCAATGTACAATTGTGGAGGATGGGGGACGGGAGAGTCGGGGTCTGCAGAGAGGTCACGATTCCCGCGTCATGGCCACACAATCACAGGACTTACACCTGTACGAAATACCAAGGCAAGTAGGTGGCAATACAATACATGGGATATCATCTTGGCAGGGATCTCTACAAGACCACAGCCAAAAACAAAAGACATACACTACTGTAGATATACAAGTTCCATAGGAAAAAGATCCAATATTCATACAGTATATCAAATATGTCTGTAACATTTTGGCGTCAGCTGGTATTATTGTAAACAGTGAAGTAGATTCACCATCGAGAAGTTGAGAAGTGTGTGTTGTGACTGTAAACACGGTACTGAGTGGTTCTGTAGTGCATTCGTTAAAGGGATATTCCGGCGTAATTTTAAGTTATGGTCAAACACACCGTAACACAGAGTTAGACACTCTCTTGAGAGATGAATGTTGCCGACTGCTCGCTTCTCTAGTTAAACCAACTTCAGCAACGACGGCGCGATAACAATACACAGCAGCCACCTGTTTGTGAGGGGAGCCCTGACGAATCGATCACCGAACAGTGAATCTTCATCAAGTAATAATCGTCGTAATAATCATTTTGCGCTGTAGACATGGTAGTTCTTCTGCCTTACTGTCTCCACACATGGAGTGCGAGTAAAATCATTCGCGCGAATGAATTACATGTTAAGTCAATGCAAAGACGTGATCACACGCTCATACTACTGTGGCGGCGCGAATGACGCAAATTGGGCGGGAGCTGAAAATGTCTCAACTTGAGCGGATATTTGCATTGGGAGAACTAATCAGCACGAAAGTTGCTGGGTGAAGTATCTAAAATGGAGGAAAAACTGATCGTGTTGGTGTGTGGGTTCCTCGAATAATGTGATACCCTTTCTTTCAATAACTGAAACTGGAATAAAAAGGAGCTTGCCTGGAGGCAAATGAGTAAGGAGGTCGGATTACTTGATTAATTGTAAAAGACCTTTGTCTATCATTTGATCCCACTGGTTGAATTGGCAGGGATTATCGTTGAAATTACAATAAACGCGCAAACGAAGCGAGTAAATACTATTCATTCCCGCAAGTAATAGGGTAGATGATTTTACTTGAACTTGGTGTGAGAGTTCCATTAGCATCACGGTCTGATAGCATTTCCATGAAGTAACAATCATAAATGTTCTTCCTTGAGCTGCGAAACTCCACTGCACTTGGTGATTGACTCGTCAGGGCTCCCCCCACAAACAAGCAGCTCCTGGAGGGTAGTGAGTGAGTTGTGTTTGGTCTCTTTGCTAAAGGAAACCAGGCATGTTTGATGGCTAATGTAATGGCTTGGACCCTATATGTACTGTTGATGAAGTTAGGTGCTGTTCTGAGCATTATTTGTGGTTATAAAGTGGCTTTTTGGTTGAGATTTGCACGTTGAGACATAGACCGCTGTGTGTTGCTATCGTGCGGTCTTTACTTAAGTTGGTATAACTAGAGAAGGAAGCAGTCGGCAACATTCATCTCTCGAGTGGGTGTCTAACTCGGTGTTACGGTGTGATTGACCATCACTTAAATTTACGCCGGAATATCCCTTTAACTGGATTCAAACGACAAATATTAGTGACAGCGATCAGGCACAGGTTCAGCACTCACAAAGTTCTACAGATCTTCACGATATAAAAACCAACACTGTTCTAAAACCAACACAAGAGAGCAGTTGTTCAAGCTACAGAGATGCACTGGGCTTTTGACCTGCTTCATCCTTCACAGAGCCACCGCGACTTTCTCCAGCACAACGTCACACCACTCACAAAGCAAGGCGTTCGGGATTTTTAGCTTGTTGTATGCCACACACATAACAGGTCCGTACCACAAAGTTTGAAGTATTGTTTTCATTCTTTATGCTTCATGAGGTTTATCAAGCTTGATTTTTTTTTTTTTTGCCCTGACAATAAATATTATTCCTGTTTGGAAGCGGGAGGAGTCTCTTCTTTTAACTCCTTAGCCTCCTCCTTCGTCTCTTCAGTGACCTCCTCCTGGGACTCTACGACTGGCGACGACACCTTCTCTGTCTTTTCCTCCGTTATCAACTCCTGTTTTTCTGCTTCCTCCTTCACCTCCGTCTCTTCTTTCTTTTCTCCCGCCTCTGCCGGACTCACTGTCTGTTCGTCCTTTTTCTCCTCTTTCTCAGCATCAGTCGTAGTCTGCAGAGGTTGCGCCTCTTCCTGCTCCTGCTTGACCAAGGTCTGCTGTTTGAGCTGGATCTCGCCATCTGGTTCCTGTTGAAGTGGGGTCTCCTCTTCCAGTTTTACACTGTTGACCTGCTTTGCAGAATCGGCTTGCTCGACACCATCCTCCTCCAGCCTCTTTGCTTTCGAGAGGATCTCATGCAGCTCAACGGACATGAAGTACGGCCTTTCAGACGAGCCGTCATTTCTTTCCAAGTCTTCGCCTTTAGCGTGCGTGCGTGTGTTTTTATGAGGATGAATCAAAGAGGAAACCAAACCACAACATAAAGGAAGTATGAAATAAAGTGAAGTGAAATTAATGGGAGACAGAGAGGAGAAGAATCAGAAACACGTTAGGAAACAAGCAGAAGAAGCAGAAGCTGAATAAGTGATTTCAAACAGGACAGGAGATTCGCAGGAGAGACATCTGAATGTAAAGTTACTCACAGAAGCAGAGGAAGAGTGTGTCCACACACATGGCGTACACGCTGAAGAAGCCGTGGGCGATGAGGTAGGATCCCACAACCAGAGTCTAGGTAAAGAAAACCACACCTCAAGAACTCTGCTGTGGGTTGAAGCTCTCAGAGAAACAGATCATATCATACATTTATATATATATATACGCTGCTGTCTCTCACCAAAATTGGCACCCAGTAGTAGTTAAGAGATGGAGCCGCCTCCTCCACAGCTTTGATCCTTCCAGAGAAGAAGAAAAAGGAGAATATCCCTGTGGAAGTAGAGGAGGATGATCAAAAGACACCGTCAGATCTCTTTACACTCTTGGAAACAGATATTTTCCGTCTAAAAATAAACACCCTCCTACCGACGATGCCGACAATGAGGAGCTTCCCGAGGAACAGCAGGAAATCCGTCACTTTATCTAAAACAGCAACCCTGCAATGAAATCCACATAGATGAGACAATCAAGAGAACATCTAAATTTGAAACAACCTCAAAGTAGCTTCTGATTGATTTTTCTTCAATGACTCTGAGAGTAAATGTAATGTCACCAAACCTGAGGATGTTTCTCATTAAAAGGAAGAAAGCGTCTCGAGCTGAAGGACAGAAACTTTTTCCATAGATGGCGATCTGCGAGACGAATTAAAAAGTTAAAAACCTTAAAACCTATTCAATCCATCGTCTATCAAATGCTTCGTCCAGTTACAGGAACTCACCATGATGTAGGCATTTCTGTTGAGGAACTTAATACACTTCTCCAGACACCAGAAGCAGCACTTCATGCAGCTCAGCATGAATTTAGCAAACTTGTTCTGGGCACCTAAAGGTCAGACAGGTTACAATTCAGAAACTGAGAACTGAGGATTGGAATAATTGGACTGTTTCATGGGTTAGAATAAAAGGATGAACATGGAGAGAAGTGACAGAGAAAGCACAGTCTTCTCACCTTTCAGCTTGTGATCCAAGTACTCCAGAATGACCCTGATGACCTGGACCAGAGACAGGATCAGAGAACCAAAGGCCAGAGATCCTGTGTGATATCTGGACCACAGAAAGAAACAGAAGCAGAAGTTTTTATAGGTCGGCTATAGGTAGTATAAAGTAGGGCTGGGCAATATGGCCTCAAATCAATATCACGATATAATGAGCAGTTCACCTCGATAACGAAAAATGGATGATAATTACGCCGCAGGCTGCTCACCCCCTCCTACATTGACCTTTGCTGCGTCCGAATTGCCCGCTCGGATACTACATGCTACTGCTACATGCTACTGCTAGATCCTACTCCTACATCCTAAACACGTTGGCCCAATTCGGACACACTAGATGAGCGGTGGGGAAAGATGGCCCCCGCAGGCAGAGAGTAGGTACTGCGCCCGTGCAGACAGTGGTAACTGAAGCCCTCATCTGCGGCCCTGGCTGTAGTACTGCAGCTGTGCAGTTTAATGATGGAATAAGTGAGCTTTACCTCCATGATGTCGCCACATATTTGCTCATAAAATGATTACTTGGGCAAATATGACACCATGACATGACAAAGAGATACAACCGCACATTTTTTAGGACAGTGTGTGAAGTTACATGAAACCGCCATGGTGCGCGCTGCTGTGGCCAGCCGGCGTTCGCGACGCATCTATGCTGGTGGCGCTAGCATCACATGCGCTTCTACAACTTTTAAGAGGACGAAGAAGAAGCCCACGGTGCATTTTGCGTCAGTAGCATGCCCGTAGGATGCACCGCGACCAACCTACAATGTGGGCGTGTCTAGTATCTGAAGTAGTATCTGAAGTAGCATGCTACTCGCTCCGGTGGCCAATTCGGACATGCTGGATACTACTTCGACTACTACTTCGACTACTACTTGGCAATTCGGACGCAGCTCTTGTCTACTTCAGCCGCTACAACTTTTGAACAGTCACATCTCTACTGTAGGACAGCATCTTAAAGGGACATGAGACCATAGCCTACCTATACACATCCAAAACCAACTTTTATTTATCTATTTTTTGACACTGAATATACTGATACGGGCAAAATGATGTCAGTTATTGATGTAAATTTCGGTATCGGTAAATTTTCGGTTTATCGCCCAGACCTAGTATAAGGTTTATTGAACTTAACATGGAGGTTGACAGATTGCACACACAGTTACAGAGTCAGTGTCTGACCTGAGGGCTCGTCCCAGTGAGGAGAAAATGGGGTAGGCTGGAATATCCTCAGGCTTCTTGAAGGCCCAGTAATACGAAGCGAAAGCCCCAGAGAGAGTGACCTGGCCCAGGGCTGTCACAAAGTTGGCGCACCAGAAGAAGAGGAAGACGTTGTAGAACTGGAACAGGATGAGGTATTTGTGGTAGAGGGTCTCCCCACCGTAGAAGGCAAACAGGCACTCTGCATCAGGACACTGAGCTGACGCGTTCGAAGTGTTGAAGGTCTGGAGAGGACGAGAAAACAGGAGTAGACAAGTTTTATTTTCATACAGCAAATCAAAATGAAACCTTTGATACCGCCCTGATACACAGTTGAACAGTACTTCTTCCTAAAAGTTCTCTAATTAAAGCAGAACATATTTGGACTAATTGGTTGAAATAAATAAACACCTTTAATTTGAATTCACAGCGATATCTAAAGCGTACCTTGGGGTCGCAGGTCTCCCGGGAGTACTCACACTCGGAGGTGTTAAACACTTTGTACACCTGCTCATTAGAGGTGGACAAGAAACTGGTCAAAACAGTCAAGGAGATTATGTCAACAAAGAGCATGTGTGTACAGTAAGTAAACGGAAAAAAAATCAGTTACCCATATCAAGTTACAACTAGGGCTGTAAAGTCCTAGTCGACTGATCAACTTATGCCAGGATTCCACCGCATGCAGATCTGCTCCGCTCTGGAATGGCAGGCGGATCAAAAACGCAAGCATACAGCGCCCACCGAATCCAATCCACTTCCGCAAGCGGAGGAGAAGGGCTTGCAATATTACAGATATTTCTTGCAAGACTGGACAAGATCTCACAAGATCTCACGTTGAATGAGATCGACGGTGAATATAAACACCCACATCCCACAACCCTGGCCTCTCCTATGATCACATGACGATTGGTTAATTAGATTTTTTTCCGCGTCAGTTTACAATCGATGGTAAATTTCACCAGGAGGAACATACCAAGTGCTAATGGGGGTATTTTCAGAGCACCCCTGTTTCACAGGTAACAGTCTGTCTCAGAACACCCCCCTTGCATTTTGGATTCGCCCATCCCACTGCAGACCGGCTAAAGACAGGAAGATTGAAGAGCGTCCACGTTAATCAACGTCCAGTGGTTTTCTGAATATTTATTTTTATCTTGAGTGTTTATACCAGCTTTTTGTGTTTAATTGATTTTTTGTCGAAAATTTCGTGGTTTTAGTCGAACAAGAATTTCTTTGGTTGATTACAGCCGAAGTTACAACAATAATTTAATACGACATTTGCAAAGAAGATTCAGAATAATTGAACTACAGTGTGCAGTAAAGAGATGGAATTAAATCTTTGATTATCATGTCGACAGGTTAAAGGATACACAGCAGTGATGGCCCAGTAAGCAATCACCACTGCTAAGAGGGCAAAGGTCAGCAGGGGGTAGAACAGCGAAGACATCACATGTCCTACAGCTCTGGAAAAGAAGACGATGACAGGATTTTAGTCTAATAAAACAAATATGTTTGTAAACTAAACACATATTTTCACGCCCAACAATGAAAGAGAGAGATTAGCGTTCATTTGGATGAGTTCCTCCTCACCACCTGGTGCATCAAAATCTAATATTCAGCACACTTCTCCTCCATAATGGTCACTATACTGGAGCTCACTGCGTCTTTCAGAGCTAGACTACAGAGGGTTCATCAAAGATTCATGCTGATGAGGGAAAAATCTGGAAAGGCTGCAGATCAGCACAAATAAAAACCATACGTATTTTCATTGTCCCTTTAAAGAATTTGACAAATAAATGTAATACTACTCAATGCAGCTGTAAAAGATATCTGCAGATCCTATCACTCTGCCTAGATGCTAAAGGAGGTGATTCTGCAAAATGCCAGTGACGGATTTAGAGCTGACCTGCTGGCTTCTTTGATGAGGGCGATAGCGATCATGATTCTCTTCCTGAGGAAGATGAGCAGCAGGATGATGATGACCTCCACAATAGCCAGGATGATCACTGTGAAACGGTGAGGTATTAGATCACAGGAGCCATAAACAGTGAATACAGAGATGAACAGAGGGATACATACTGAATGCCAGCCAGGTCTGTCTGATCTGCAGGTACACAGCAAAGTCTGTCTGGATGCCAAGGTCACGGATGGTCACATCAGCGCCGGGCTCTCCCTTCAGACTCGCAAACTCCATGTAACAGTGGAAAATTCCTGAGAGAGAAGTTACCAGGTTAAGAAGCTCGTACTTCTTCTGGACCTGATTTTAACTTTATCATCATTTATAGCAAAAGACTTACCGTATCCGATGACGAGAATGACCAGAATAATCATGACCCAGACCATGACACCGGCCAAAAATCTCAGCAAGACGATGAAAATCAAGCTGACAACCATGGCAATCACCAGACCGCTGGAGAAGGAGGAAACAACAAATGTTTGATCATACCTCAAATTTACAGCGGAATATCCCTTTAACATCATCAGTCAAACAGGCGGTAACGAAGCTGGCTGGCTGGAGTTGTTGAGGTTTTTTGTCATATGAACGTTCAACAATGTTTTCTGTTGTGCTTCTCTGACTAATGAGAGGACAGACTTACAGCAGGATCCAGTGCCAAGACTGCGTGTAGTCCTCGAAAATTCTCATGGCCACCTGGCGAGCTTCAACAGCCACATTTGATTTCCTGTTAAAAAAAAAAAAAGGATATTAATAACAAACAAATCGCGACTTTCCAAATTTAGTATCATAGTCACTGAGAAGTACAAAGTGTTTAATCCTTTGAAGACCAAAATTTGTAAAAAGCTGAAGTTAAAAGGGATGTATGACCACATTACCAAATAATCAAGAACTATTTTAACCACCTGATGTAAACAGTTTTTTAAAAAGAATTTATTTATTAATATTTTTTCATGAACAGTATAAAACTTCAATAACAGCAACAGAACTTCAAATTTCATTCAAACCCATCCCCCTCCCAAAACAGACCCCATAGGCTAACTCTAACCTACATCTCCTTAAATAATAATAATAGTAATAATAACAACAATATATAAAAGAAAATATAAAAGTAAATAAATAAACAGTAAAATAATAATAAAATATTATAATTATTATTATTATTATAATAATAATATAAAATAAATTTCTAAAAGTAAATAAATAAAGGGTAAATTAATAATAATAATAATTTTAATAATATTTAACTAAATAAGTTCAATAATTAAATAAAAAATAAAGAAATAACAGCAAAATACACACAGCAAAGATTAAGACATTGACAATGGAAAAGCGCATCTTCTCCTGCAGATGTGCTACAACCAACAACCACCGCCACACCATTGACAGTACTCATTAAGTTAACTGTGAGAAGTTATCCAGACACATTTTAAAGTCATTCCAGCATTTGTCAGAAAGATGGGGTTCTGATGTGACAGTTTGACAGACACACTACACACACAATAAAATCTAAAATCTAAAGGCCTGGATATTGTCTTCTCTCCTTTTATCACCTTTGTATCATTGAGAGACATTTATAGAGTAAACTCATGATTTAAATATAGTTAACTTCAATTTCTGTCATGCAATGTTCGATTTAAACTACAGTATGGTGAATCATAAATATAAATGAGTTTATATTAGCTACTGGGGCTGCAACATAGAATTAAAAAATATATATCATAGTTATGTCTTTACTTGGAGTCTAGCATGCAAACAGTTTAAAATTAACCTTGTGTTTTCCATACAGGGGGGACAGCACTTACTTGGATGCCTCTAGGATCTCAGTGGCGTTGATATTGACCCCCTGTCCGTCATTAAAAGTGGTCTCATTTCCCACCACCACCACCCCGCCTTTCATGGTTCCCAGAGCTGGGAGGCAGCGGCGTGTGACTGTGCAGAAAGGACAACAGCTGTTTATGTAGTTCATCAGTCATGTTTTTTAGTTTTAAAGCAAAACAGCAGCTGTTTGGATTCAGAAACTTGTAACAGAAACTTCTTACTTACAGGCTTTACTGGGTATAAGCATGGTAGGACACAGGCCATCCCTCAGGAGCTCAGGAGGGCTCTAAACCATGGAAAAACAGAGCTAGGTGTCATCTAACTGCAATCACTACGACATATTAAAAATGTAAAAAGTTGAAATACTTGAGCTCTCACCAGTTTAGCAAAGTCCACTCCGTCCTTACAGTACTGCTGGTAGTACTCACGGTCTTCTTTTCCTCCTAACTTGGCTTTCACCAGAGTCAGATGTCTGTCAGGACACTTTTCCACACATAACTGGACAAAATAACAACATAAAGATGACAGTGTGAGGCGTTATGAAAATGAGGAAAATGCTCAACACCATAGACTGTATATAATATTTTATAATATAATGTTTTTATAATAATATATAACATTTTCAAGATTTTTCTCCATTTCCTGAATCTGGCATTTAAGACGGAGAGTTGCTGTGATGACTCCCAGCTCAAACAGCGTACCCCGGATGATCTACGCAATCTTCGTACGCCCATAGGCTGTATCAAGTGTCAATCATAGAAAACATGAACCCCCTATAACGCTTAAAAACTGAGCTGCACAGAAAAAAGAGGACTTTAGCACAAACCAGTCTGACAGTAACTACATGTCAACATCGAAACCAGGAGGAGAAAAATGTATATTCTGTGTAATTAATTTGTCTACAGCTCCATTAAGTTTGCTAGAGGAGGTGGGATTTATGTCATATACTGCAACCAGTCACCAGAGGGTGCTGTTCTCGCAGAGGCTTTTCCCAGTGAAGAGGCAGACCGTGTCTATTCTATATACAGTCTATGGCTGACACAGAGAAAAATGAGAGCAGATGCTGACTCTGACCTGTGTGGTGGGACACTGGAACTCCAGCAGCACCAGAGGACTGGCACATTTGAGGATGTTGAAGTAGAAAAGAAGAGGCTTCTTCCTGTTGGTTTTAAAAAAGAGTGACAGATCTATTGTTTGGCTCAAATGACGGGTCTCACATTACAATCCATCAGTTTATGAAAACACATACAGCAGTTTGTATGTGAAAGTGTCTCCATGGACATACTACAATCATGTTCACATTGTCGACTGACTCACTCCAGAGGTGTTCCAGCTTGTCCACAAAACTGACCCCTGCTGTCTGTGGGGTAGATCACTTTTCTTGGGTCACCCTGAGACCAGGCTGAATCGAAAACAACCAGAGTCAGTGAAAAAAACAAGATGGAAAGTAGTTAGTCACAGTGACACGCCCCAAGTTTGACATGAATGCGAAACATGTCATTTAGATAACTTTTCTGTAGAGCTGCATTAAAGAGAAGAAATAACCCATAATATTCTGTCAGAGGAGAAATGAGGGGGAGGATGTTAGGACAGGAAACTGTCAGATGATTAAACTAAGTGGGTAGGAACAGCAGCACAAAAACTTTAAAGTCAACCAAAATTAAACAACAAATATAAAAGAGAAGATACAAGATCAGTGACAACAGCAGTCTTACATGGATGATAAAGTAAAGTTTTAGGAAGCAAAGCTGCTGAGACTCAGATTTTAAGCAGTGCAAGCCTCTGACTCAACATAAAACTTTAGATTACACCCCTAAACAAGAATCTATATATAATCTGACAATCAGATGGAGTTTTCATCACTTTCCATGAAGCGGCGGAAAACTGTCTATCTGGTTTCTTCAATGTGAGCAGTCTTGAGTTAACATTACAACGACCCCACAGTGTATTGATCAGATTTAAATATTAAGAATAAATAAATTTAGTATTAATCAACTTGGAGGCCCCGACTGAAGACGTTTGTATCACGTTCATCAAATTTCAGAACCTTGACAGTATATGTTTGTGTTTTCTTGTATATGGTCAATGCCCTCTATAGATAAAACTGATGCATGGACTTCAATAGGAGCAAAAATCGAGAAACCAAATCCAGTCTGGCAGATTTAAATGCTTGCGATATCTGCAATTTAAAACAATATCAACTTTGCTTCCGTGAAATAACAGCTTCATGTCCGACCTTCATTGTTCAACAGTATTTTTGTTTTTAAACTTAAAGCTGCTGTGAGGAGTTTTTGATTTGTGTCGGTTTTGGTGCTGCTTGTAGACAAAGTGATTCCTCTCATCTATTATGACATGTAAAAACTGTGATTTCAGATACAAACCTCACTCTGAGGACAGCTTGACTTGACTGTGAATATTCGCTGTGATTAAAGTATCACAAAGCTGTTCCTGCAGCCTGCTGTCAATCATCTGTTTTAACACCTATTTATAACAGTGATTTCAGGAACTAAACATTACAGCAGACAAATTATTCACAGATGGTTTCATCTTCTTTTTGAGGTCATTAAAGGGCATCAGAATAAACTTTACTCTGTTTCTCAACTAGTTTAAAACTCCTCACAGGATCTTTAACATTTTAAGTTATTTGTGCCTTTGTTGATTCTTTCCTGCTATTATGTAATGCTGAATGTCTCTGTTGTGGGATCATTAAAGGATTCTTTTCTTATCTTTAGTTACTTTTTGTCTTAACCTAAAATCTATGATGAAGACGCACAGTCACTATGTTATCTGGGAGCACCCCTCTGCTGCTCAATACCGCCCTGATAAGAGTAGGGTCTAAGTGGTGTGATGAAAACACGAGGTGAGCTGTGTGGCATGTTCTGATATAGATAACTTTAAATTTTAACAAATAAACAATTTAGACAGTTAGCATTATAAATGCTTTGTCTACAAAAAGAGATAAGGAGAATGACTTACCGAGAATACCCACAGCGAAGTATCCCAACAAAGCCAAGATGAAGAGAATACAGCAGAGGATATCTGTGCAGCCCCTGAGGAGAGGAGAGGAAAGGAGAAGAGTAAGGGCATGTATGTCCTGTGCAACTGAAACAACATATTCCAGGAAAGGTACGAAACTCAAACAGGAAGCTTACCTGTTATGAATCGGCCCTTTAAAGTTCGGGTCAAACTTCCGGGACTCCCCTGAGGAATAAAAGACACGAGATTATAAACTCTGATGAATCTATCAAAACCTGATGATTAACTCTGAGGTACGTCTTTTAACTGGCACTAGAAAACACAAGCACATGATACCATAGCTTCACCCATACATTTTGGGGTTCATTTTAAAATTCTTTTATTTGCTTGTAAATCCTTCAATGTTCCTCTCTGAGCTTCTACACTTTCATACTCCTTCCCGGTCTCTCAGGTCAGCTGATGAGCTTCTCCTGAGAGAGCCCAAAACAAAGTGGGAGCTCAGAGGGGTTCGTACCTTTGCTGTTGCAGCTCCTAAACTTTGGAACAACCTGCCTCAGCACATCAGACAGGCCTCCTCTTTGCCTGTTTTTAAACCCCATCTTAAGATCCCCCTCATCTCCTTGGCTTTTAACACCCAGTAGGAGGTTGACTTAATTTATTTTATTTTATTGATTTTATTCACTGTATTTGTTTTTATTTGATTTGACTGTGTTTTATCTCATTTTATTTTTATCTTATCTATTGTGCTTCTGTTGTTTTATTTATTGTATTTTTATCTTAGTGTGCAGTAGGCCTGGGCGATTTGGCCAAAAAGATGATCACGATATACTTTGTCATATTGTCCGATTTTTTTTTTTTAAACTGCCAGTTTTAAAGCATCTGTACTTAAAACTAAAAAATAAACAGATAAATACTAAATAAGACATTAAATATTTTTTCTTCTCCACGATAACATCTTTGGAGGATGACTCAAAGTCATGGCTGACATCTGTTTTACTGCCCTCAGCACCATGTTCAGTTACTCTGTTCACTTCTCCGGCAACTTAAAGAAGTGAGCAGGAAAAGCTCGACTCTGATTGGCTGTTGTGATGCACATTTTCGCCATATTTGATCGAGTAAATAAGCTCACAGCTGATCACCGTGATCAAACTGAAATTTATCACGGTCATTAACCACGATCATATAATCGCCCAGTCCTAGTGTGCAGCACTTTGGAAACCTTAAATCATGCTATATAAATAAAATGGATTGGATTGAACGATCTGAACCACCAACTCATGGCTTTTTTGTCTTTTTTTACAGGTATTTAACTTGATTTATTTGCCATCCTGGTGATTCTTTCAACACACTCACTTTACTGCATCTTTACCAAGTCTGAACTGCCAGGTGTCATCTCAACACTTTAATTTCACAACAATAATGATGAATAATCATCTGATCTGAGCTGTTCGTGGCCTTCGCTCTTCTTTAAAGCTTCCTTGTTGGCTCATCATTTCTCTCTAAGACCATCAGTCAACTTCACGCGAGCAAAAATAGAGAGGATGCAGGTGCTGAAAATGTCACTGCTGACAAAGACAAAGGACAACAAAAGGATTCTTCAGTCATGCCTAGCAACAGACAAAATGGCTCCCCAGCGACTGAGGGCTCCCCGGTGGACACTGGCAGCAACCATAGAAACACCTCAGAAATGGCAGCAAAGAAACATGAACCGCACCTTCTCTGCCCAGAGTGAGGTCATCATGAGCCGAGACGACCAGTCAGTGTTTCATAGACTCTGAATGTGCCTGAACACGGAGTCAGCTTGAAGATTTCAACAGAGAGTCTCTTACACATCCTCTTTATCGCACGAGCTGTCATCGAACCGTCTCCGTCAGGATGTCAAAGGCTTTAACTGTTCTTTACTCTGCAATGCTCAAGGCAAACCCAGCTACTTTCACCACTGTTTGTGTTTATACACCATCTGCTACCGCAACAAATATTAGCAAAATCTAATACACACCTAAAACAGGAAACACAAACACACTTGAAGGTATGATGTAGGTGAAATGTGGGACAGAGAGCGGACTGTAAACCCAAGCAGTTTATGACCATAACCACAAATTTAATAAATCATTACCCTGAAGTTGATGATAAATGGAGCCCTCACAGGCCGTTACAGTACCTTGTTTTTTGTATTTTGTCATTCTCTCTCAGTTTTAAATTTCCTGCGGTGTGTCGTGTAGCAGCTGTTTCTTGATGGTCGGTCTTAAAATCTTTAACTCTTCACTTCCGTCTTCTGCTGAACACATTGCTCTAACCCTATTTCCTCTGCCTGTCTGTCTATGGCCTCTCTCTCTCTGTCTCTGCTCAGTACTTGTCAGGGGAACTGAAGTCAAGCACTTCTGATGTGGAAATGGAGAGAGGAGCAGCAGAGGCGTCAGGCTTGTGGCGCCTGTGAACCTCCTGTTGCCAAAATAAAGAGGTTTGACTGCAAGGAAATGCTCTGATATGGGGACTGTGTTTCAACCTGCATCAAAACAGTTATCTCAAACTCCAGCCTATAAGAAGTTACTTTCGTTTTGCTTGGATAGTTGTTGTTTTTCATATGTGCGTCTCTTTGCAGAGCAGCTGCACTTTAACTTGGCAGTAGCTATGAGGCCAACACCCTTTATAGAGAAACAGCGAAGCAAATCACCGTACTTCACCCACTTCTACTTTTCAGTTTTTAACATTCATCCATACATTATATAATTCATAGCCTTTGTGTTTTCTGAGTTTCCTGTTTATACTCGCAGCTGTGTTTTGTCACAGATCTTTTACCACATCCTCCTACTTTCAAGCTTTGCATCACCTACTCAAAAAACAGCAGCACACTTTACAGCGATAGTTGCACGCCCTGCCGAGACAAAGATCTGATTAAGGTAAATCATGTGTCTGAAGTAAACAAGGCGGCGTTTAGATCTGATATGAGACAGTGGGTCTGATGACTGAGCGCCGAGGCCCTCTCTGCCCACCTCAGCTGCCATGTGACAGACTGCGTGCCATAGCATGAAATACAATACTAGCTATTGATCGCACGCACATGCCTGTCACATACACAGTGCCAAGTCCACGCAAAATGAAACTCAACCTTTTTACTTCTGAAGTGATCTCAAATCCTCAGAATCTAAGGCTGAGCAGATTTGGGATTTTTGAAGGTGATAAATGTGTGTTAGTTCAACATTTAAAGAAGTATACTTGTCTTTCTCACTGTCTTATTGAGGGTTATCCACTCACTCAGTTTGTGAAATAAGAAGCGTCACACAGGAATTGTGTCGTAGATTTGCTTTCATACATTTAGCCATGGAGCTGAAAAAGAGGGGTGAAGTAGCATAACTGTATCCAATTGTAAAGTGTGATAGCAGCTAGGGATGGGCGATATAGACTAAATTATTTATCACAATAAGTTATGCCATTCTGGCGATAACGAAAGAAGTCCCGATAAAAAACATTATAATTACTATCTACTTTTTTGACTAATTTTGTCTTGACACCACCAGTTGAAATAGTCAAATAAGACACTTAACCACAAGTTTAAGTGGTAGGTAAAAGAAGAAAACTAGTGACATCAAACGAGTCTCAAATGTGAAAACATTTAAGCAGATCCACTGTCCGATGTCAGGCAGACCTGGTTGCACTCATCTAAACCCCAATCTTAAAGGAAATCCCTCATGTGGGGCCTCGTTTAGCAACAAGCAGCTCAGAAACATCTTCTTCACCACCTTCTGCCATGCTTGTTTGTTATACTGATCTGTGTGGGCTTCCGCTTGCATTTACATTATCAACTTGCATTTATCGCTTTATGGTCAAAAGGCAAATATTTATTGTGGAGGAATTTTCCTGACGATATATCATGAACGATAATTTGTCGCCCATCCCTAATAGCAGCTAACGATCTCACATGAAAAGCTTAACTCCATGAAAAAACTGAATTCATTGTGGACGGTGATAAATGAGAACAAACAGACAAACATGTGGGCCCAGAATAAAAGGCCTGTGAAATAACGTAGTCTCGTTATTACCCATAATCCCCGTACACAAACAGACCCACTTGTTTTCTCTTTGTTCCTTGTCTTTGTTAGCTCAGTGACATTAAATCATACGCACATGACGCTGGGGTACTTTCTCTGAAGTTTATGCAAACAAACAGCTGCACAGTGAAATACAGAAGTAATACGCCTGTTTTTGTGTCAGAACTGAAAAAAAGAAACTATTTTAAAAAGAGGGTTTTCTGCTTTTTCACGCCCTGTAAAGTGTGGCTGTATTTATAATTAAAACAATTAACTTAGCCCTCTGGCTGTAGTAACAAACTGGTATAGCAGACTTTTAGCACTGAATATGATAATGTCAAAAAAAAAAAAGTGTAAAAAGGTGAACAGTAGCTGTTCAATCCTAACACCCTCCCCCGCCCCGGCCTGCAGTCTGTGTTTATACTCTCCCTCTTTCTCTTCACCAAACAGCGGAAACACTGAAAGTCTTCTTTTAATTTCTCGGGCCATCTGTGCATGTGAGTGACACAGCTCCACTGGAGCTGCAGGAACAGGCAGCTCTTTGCTTTCTTTGTGCCATTAAACAATCTCTGGTGGTGCTTAAAAGCTTCCAAGCAGATTTGACTTAAGACGTCCAAATGTTGAGTTCATAGTTGTGTTTGTTTGTGTAATCAACTAAATAAATTTGGTTCAGTCTTTCTCATTAATGAAGCAGAGGATGGCCTCTTTTGAAATGATCTCACTGCTATTGTTTTTGCCACTTTCATCAACCTTGTGATCTTAAAGAAATAAAAGGCCAATTTATAATGAGAGAGAGATAATAATCATGAAGGAACAAGTTTAGTTTTTGAGGGGATATTTCACACCTGAGGATAAATAAATATAAAAAATCTCTGAACTGATTTAAGCTGTTGAAATAACTGTAGTGACTGTCAAATAGGGCCGGGCAGTAAACCAAAAGTATGAGGAGATGGAGGAAGGTTCTAGGGCCCGACCGATATGGATTTTTTTGGGGACGATGCCAATATCGAAATATTAGGGGGGGGGGGGGGGGGGGGGTCTGATAATTGATAAATCGGTCATTTTTTAAAAATTTTATGACGTTTTAAAAATTTTGTTAACTTAAGTAATATATCTTCATATTTTCTTATTTTTCTAATAAATGGCTGCTTTTGAGCCTTTCAAACACTTCTTCATAGAATTAAAGGCAGAAAACTCATTTCAAATTCTTTTTATTACTAAAACAACTGAAAAAAATAAGGTATTTTGTGTAAAGTGCAAACAGTTAAATTAACTTCCAACACTTTTGCTCAAGGTGAAGTGATCCCACACCTTGCTACGCTCGCTTTCTTTTGACATCTGTAAATACAACAACAAAAAGAAATAAAGTGAGAGAACAGCAAGTATGCATTAAATATGCATTGTTTAAAAGAATCTGTCTGGTTATATATGGGCCATTTTCAAACTCATAGTCTACATTAAGCATTTTTCTAATTGTGTTTACATAATATGACTTACACTACAGCCCTGGCGATTTATTTTAACTGTAATAAAGATGATAAACTAATTCTTTTCAGCTTATTATTCAGACTGTAGCGGGTGTGAGTCTGATTATTTTGTCAACCTCTGTCTCGTCAAACTCACACACTCGTCATCCTCTAAAATAAATAGCCTGTATGAATAAATAAAAATAAAGCTAACTCACGAACATCATAAAAATGAGGAACACTCAATATACTGTAGGCTACTGCTCTTCACGCCGACAAGAAGACCGACTGATCATTTCAGTAATATTCTATGTATTTATCATGAATCATGAATCAGTAGATGCCAACAGACTACCAGCAAACACAATGTCTACAGGACTTCTACAACTAGGATAAAGTGACATAGTCCAGGACCCGAGGTAAACAGATTAGCGGTGCTACAACATGCAGCAGGTCTCGTTTGACAAGAAACACTTCTGTTACAGACACTTGGTTTACTTTGTTAAAGCGGTTTACCAGCAGAAAGGTTACAGGGTACATAAGATCGCGAAGTGTCTCCCATGTTTATGCTTCATTGATGTTGACTCGGCTTTTTAGCTCTTGTCTGGTCTACCTCCTTTTTAAGCGCCCGTTATTCCACCAGTCTCTGGTATTTACTTCGTTTTCTTGCTTGTGTCAGCAGTCGTGGCCAAAGAAGGATTCAGACAATTCTCCAGACTTTCTGGTCGGTTGCTACTGTCCGATATTGCAGCACGCTAACTTTGTTTAGTCTCGTGAAAGTTATTCGAGGACGTGGAGCGTGCCTCACAACATAAGGGAGCAGCGTCTGCCTTACAACCAATCAGGTTGGGGAGGTGGAGAACGGCTTTGTTTACAGTCAGAAAGAGTGGGCTGCTCAGATAATTTAAATGTTATAATAGCTATTGGCTGATACCAAAAGATGCTTATTTAACGGAATCCTGCCTACCCCACCTTTAATGTGGGAGGAGGTGAGCAGATTGTGGAGTAGTTACCGTCTATTTATTGTTATCGAGGTAAATCGAGATATTGATTTGGCCATATCGCCCAGCCCTACTGTCAATGAGGTGTTATAATTTATCTGTTGGAAAACAGTTTACACTTGTCCTGGGCTTTGTTAATCCTCTGAATATAGTGGCAAACCAATACAGGATTTTTAATACCCAAACAGGCTGCATTCTGTGTCTGTCAACATGATTTGTCCTTTTTTTAAAATCAGCCTCATTATTTCGAAATACCATCAATAACCCGACCAGTTAATAACTCTATTTCTATCTCTGACCATTCAAAGTACTGTCCACATCATGTCAGAGTCTGTTTATTCACACATCCATTCACAGACTCTAAACCAACCTGCCCTACAACCACTCTAACTCACAGGCCACATTCTGAATGGATACACATTAGAGAGAAAATTACTGTTCAATAATTAACACTGTCCATCTCTGTGTGCAATTTAAAGGGATTCCAGTGAAAGAATCAACTTTATTAAGAGTTTTGGTCTCAAAGAAATGTGTTAATGCTGTAATTTCTTCTCCTGTGTGGTCAGCCTTAGTTCATCATCCAGCAGCAGAGGTCGCTGTGGAGAAAAACACCCCAGACTACATTCAGGTCATTCCAGTTAAAAACATCAAACCACGTTAGGTGAAATCCTAACATTTTGGCTGTTGTTTGACTAGAAATAGATACGAATGCTGAAGGAGAGTACGACTGAGTCCTCAGATAAAATACCAAGAAGAGGTGACGTCATGACCAAAATGACTTGCTAATGGGCCCAGAGGGGTTACAGATCAATCCTACTATGGCTACCATAATGGCTTAGTGGGCACTGTGGATGTTAGTGTGCACACAGACCATATAAGCATTTTGAGTACATCTTGTCTTCTTGACTCCTTTTCTTTAAATCTCTTCACACATGCAACTTGATGGATTCACATAAACTGTTCTCTCTGTTCTGCTGCCAGCTGTTACTGCTGTGGGCCATTGACCTCATTTAGCTTGACAGCAACTATAATAAAGCTATTGCCCTATATACTTGACAGGGAAAGTGAAGGGAAAAAGTACGTCTCTCTCTACAACACTTGAAACCTGACAACTACTGGCTCTGATCTCTGTCTCTTTCCTCTCCACCGCTGCTCCGATCAAACAGCAACAGTTTGTCGGATTTTCCCAAAACGCCAGCTTGATATTGACAGGAGCTTATTGTGAAACACACACTATTGCTCCAGTGTGCTGTAATCATGCCTGTGTGTGAACATGGAGCGAGCGTGTGTGGTACCGCATCTAAGTTTTTGCCAGCTTGATATTGACAGGAAATCTCACGACTCTGTCTGCTGAGTGGGAAGAGCAGGCGAGGCTGAACACAATCCAGGCAGGCAGGCAGGCTGCAGCCTGCCTGCACAGCAACCTAGACAGGGGAAAATGTAGGAGTAACTAATGGTAGACAACTTGGGATTGCTCACAGGTCAAACTCCGCGAATAAAAACTGCTGATGAGCTGGGATGTGTGTTCTATGTTTGCTTGATATAATCTTTGCTTAGAGGACTTGTGGCTTTTGACCTTTCGGCCTTCATGGGGGAGGAGAGCTAGGGAGAAAGAACTGTTTTTCTATGGTAACAGGAAAGTGTCAAGGAAATGCTCCACAGTAGGAGTCCCATAGATTGACTAGAGAGGATATGAATTTGCACAGTGGGTGTGGGCAGCTAGGAGCATCTCACACTGCGAACAGCAAAACAACTCAACAGTTAGGCATCATTAGAGAGCCCTATATTTACGACGGCAGTGTATGATGGTGAGGACTCTGGTTTGCTTTGAGAAATCTCTGTTTAAATATTGACACCGGGTATTAGAGCAAGAAAAACACCAGTTTCAAAATCTTCATGACTCAACAGTTCACATGAGCAGCAACTAAAGCCAGACACCACAAGACCACACCGGCCTGCAGAGGCCTGATAAGTTGGTACTGTTGAGAAAATGCATGTGTGACTCATGGAGGATTGATGTGTCACATCTCTGGCTGGTTTACATCACACATTTTCCATAATGTGTTAAGAGTTATTGTGAAGAAAAGCAACACAACTAAAGTAAATGTATGTGTGTGTGTTTGTGGCTGAAATAACCATATGTCAAAATAAAGCATGTTGTTTGGACCTTATGTGAAGCACAATTATACCATCAACACCTCCTCTGCGGCCTGTTCTGTACCTACTGTACAGTATAGATCCTGTCATGACAGAAAACACACACTACATCAGAAATATATACAGGTAATATATGACTCTATTGAGGTTTTATTGTGGCTTCATTAGAGGCTACATTTATCTGCATTGGGCAAAGCCTAACCTGATAAAAATAAGGCAAACAGGCCAAATACAGAAACTCATTCAAAATGTAACAATATACTGTCAAACTATGGTTAACACGTCGACGTTATTTTGTAAAAGATCCGACAAAAACTGAAACTGAGAATAAAATAAAGCGGCTGAGTGTTGAATGAAGCTGACTCCAGATCTGCATTGGAAGCATGAGGTCCACACCCATCCATCCCTTGCAGTCATTGTTTCCATTTCTTCCCCCCGTTAGAGGAAAATCAAAGATCGAAGATAGATGAGTCAAATTAGGCGAAACATTGTTCTTACCGTATTTAGGGTCCGGGTTTTTCTCCTCCAGTTCCATTCTCACACTCTGCTCAGCTCTTCGCTTGCTAATCAGACCTTAGACAGGACAGTTACCATGGAAATGTCGAGGAAAAAAACATCAATAACAGTGGCGGAGTGCTACGGCTCCACGGCGAAGAGGGAGAGTGAGAGCATGCCATATGGATTCAAACCAAAGTGGAGCGCAGCACATTCCGGGCTAACGGAATGAAAAAGTAACCAATGGGAGAGCGCGGTCTGGTGATTGACATCTGCCAAAGCCAATCAGAATGCGGTTCACAGGCACAACAACCTTTGGCTTGCCGCTCCCTGTATAAAACGTGTAATGGGTTTAAAAGGACTAGATGTGAGTTAAGTTTGCAAACTGTATCTTAAAAAGTCATGTGAAATTATAAGTTTATAGATAATATTTCAAATTAAACTGGTGGAGAACAATAAATACCTGAAACAAATGAAAACCTGAAATATACAGCCCTCGTACTTAACTTTTTGTCCTTTTTTAACTGTTTCCACACGTTTAGTTAACAGAAATAATGTGATTGTTTAATCAAACAATGTCAATTAAATTGGAAAAATGTGTAAATTTAAATGATAAGGGAATACTGGGTCACATTAGGTAACATGTCAAATAAAAATAGGTAAAAATGCCTTTTGAGATTTTATTTTTCTATCTGAAAGTGGGCCTTTGTTAATAATGATTCATTAAAGTCACTAAAAGGCGTCTTTAACATGGGCTGAGTGGGTCTATGTTAATTGTAGTGACTGCTTTCCTTTAACAAAAAGGCTGCTGGGGTTTAGGTTTGCTTGCATCTGTGACTCGTTCAATTATCAGATTTTAGTGTTAAAAAGTGGTTAATCGTTACAAAAAAATAAAAGAAAACACACTGATCCAGGTCCAAAACTTTTGCCTTTGAATGAAAAAGTGATAAGATGAAATGAGGTTAAAACAGGATGAGTGAAACGGTCAACAGAAAATTATCAGAGCTTACTACAACCCCTTGTCTGACTACACTAGTGAGATTTAGATAACCCGCAAAACATCCCAAAACCATACCCCTCAGTGACAATCCCCGGAAGTGATGCACCTAGAAATCATACCCTTAACAAATATATTTTGGCTATTACATTAATGATGATTCGTTAAAGTCACTGAAGGAGGTTTTAACTGGTCGACAAACAGATCAAAAGTGATGCTCATGCTTCTTGAGGACCTTTAAAAGTAAATAAAACCATCACCAAGCGGTCCAATAACAATTCTGTAGTATTTTCAGTGCTTAAAAACACTATTGGGGGGTAGGAACAGAAAAAAAAAAAAATACACCCTATTTTGAGTTTGTCTGCTGCAGATATTAACTGTCAGTACATTTACATGCACAGCTCAATCAGGCAACTAAACTGACTCTTTGTTCCAGTTTACACATGCCAGGCAAGAGCTGAATTATTGACATGAACATGTCTGCCTCCTCTACTGAAGAAGGCAAATACCCCTTTCAGCTTGTTATGGTTGAGTCAATGTGTTATGTATCATAAACATGCATGGTAGCAAGAGGCTATAGCAGGATGTCTATTTTACAGCCCTGTGTCGTTTGTTAGGAAAGTCTTGTCTTTTTTACGCCCTTTCTTTGTCTGTCGAGGTTTTGTTTACTACTTGACTTCCTAGCAACGTCTCCATGCTGTTCAACCACCAGCTCAGAGCCTGGTGCCAAGAACACTGGAGCATGTGCAGAAAGTAGATTTTTCTACTTTTACATGTATAAAATAAAAGATCACAGATATCACTTTGTCCAAACAGGACGCCAGTGCTAACACAAACCAAAAGTTCCTCACAGCATCTTTACTACAGATAAAACTTCCCAGTCATTCCTGATACATTACGCCTTTCATGAAAATTTATTCAAAAGTGAATTCATGTGAAAATAATCATACATTATGACCCGAATGTTAATGTTACACATTAGTCTCCTCTCTTTTCAGGCTTTCTGGTGATCAATATTTCTTTTTATCAAAATAAAACAATTTCACATCTACAGTATTTTATATTTATTAAATGTGAGCACAGATATCTATGGAAGAGGATTAGGGCCAATATGTATTTTTTCTTTAAATCATTCTGAGAAAAAGTCAGATTTCGACTTTAATCTGATAAATCTGACTTTTTCTCTGAATAAATATGATGGACTACATAGCTTTTATTTTCCAGTGGCCCTAATCCTCTCCCATAGATATCACTGAGACACATCTCTCACACAAAAATGTATTTGCTAGCATGTTCAATGTCAAATCTCTGCTGTAATACATCAGAGGGGAAAAAAAGTGTTTACTACACCTCCACTTACAACCTAAAAATACCACAGCAGTTCTGTGAAGGACAGAAACAAAACAAATATAGAACCTGTCTGCGTTACTCGTGGGCATAGTTGGGTGTATTAGTTATGCAATTAATTATTTAAAGTTTGAAAAAGTATCAGATTTCAAAGGAAAGCATCAGCTTTTAGATTTAAATGTTAACACCACTGCTTCTTTATCAATAATTCAGTCAAACTGCTTTATATCTTAACAGGGAAAAACACTAACATTGGCTGCATTGCAAATGCACTTAGTTCTCATTATCTTGTTTTACCACTTTGTCAGGTGTACTCTTGTAAAAGTTTGTTACAGCACACACACTTGTGCTCAACCTGCACACGACTTCTGTTTTTAGCAGCCAATGGGGAGTAAAGGCGTGAGCCGACACCCTCCGGTTCTCCACGGTGATGCAGTCGTCCGGAAACGCCATTTTGAGTGTGAAAACATGTTGAATAACTCGAGTTACACTCACTCTAAAAGTCTTAAAAGTGTGCAGGTACAGACAGACAAACTCCTCGGGTATGTTTAATGCATTTCTCCTGTATTAAAGGGAGTCTTAAAGTAGTTGCATAACTACAGCGTATTGCTTAACCATGGCTCTCAGGTATGTGTTGCCTCACCAATCATGGAGGACAAGCGCTCCCATGTTATATATCACACATCCTGGTAACGTCACAACCGCTGAAGTATTATTTAAGCAACTCTGACCAAGTTCAATTCAGCAAGAAAGTCATCGGACCCTCAGCACGAGAAGTAAGAGGAAACAGGTAATGGACGGATTGTTTTATATCTAGACGATCAGAAAGATGTAACTAAAAGCATGTTTAATCCGATTTAGAGTGATTTGTCTGTACTTGTTGTCTGCATTCTTCCTAAACCTCGACTCTGTCCTTAACATGGGGACCACAAAAGACTGAAGAGAAGCAGCTGACAAATGTTTTAATAAAGTCAATTCCTTTAAGTCTTTTATTTTGCCATATGAAACTAATAAACTGTAAGGGCTGCTCAGCCTCCATTATTGTTACATAACAAGCATGTGTGAACCTATGGGGCATTTACTTGCACTGTGTTAATAAATTATATCTTCATTAATTTTTAACTTTCCTTTATGTTTAGTGAACATAATGGCTCTCAGAGGTGCTGTCACCCGCCTGCTTTCCAACAGCCAGAAATGTGTTGTTGCCACTGCATCCAGAGCTCAGGGAACAGCTGCTGCAGCCCCAAAAGGTACCCTTCAACTTCTGTATCAACTCGTGAATTATTCTGCAAAGATGTGAAAAACCAAACAGATTTAACAGAATTCTCTCTTTTTTTTCAATCTTAAGATGCTGAAGAAGTCAAGAAACCTGCAAAAGCTCGTAAGTGAAAGTTCAATAAGTTAGACCCAGTCTGTCTGTGTGGAGTCCTGCGCATGTTCTGTTTTCACATGCACTGATGACATAACCGCTGTGCGTCTGTATGTTTTAAATGTTTTGACCTTCAGCCAAGGTGCTATTTAACTGGCGGGACGCTCTAGATCTGGAGGGTCAGCTGACAGAGGAGGAGATCATGATCCGAGATTCCTTCCGCGACTACTGCCAGGAGAAACTCATGCCCCGTATTCTCATGGCCAACAGGCATGAACGTAAGGGTGGCAAACATCTATGATTAAAAACAAATACAAGTTCAAGGTCTGTTGAAGACCACCTAAACTCATTGAAATTCTTTTAAATGGAGTGAATCATTAAAGCACATACAGTGGATCAAATTTTGGTTTGAAATTTTCTATTAGGACCATATTTCTGTTCAAGTTTTGAATAACATTTGATCATCATTTTCCGTCTGTGTGTTACAGACTTCCACAGAGAGATTGTTTCAGAGATGGGAGAGTTGGGAGTCTTAGGCCCAACTATTAAAGGTAAGCAGGAACAAAACAACATGATAATCACTGTTATACACAATACATGAGAAGCTGAAGTGCATTTAGGAAACTCAGATTGAAATGTGTCATGATGAGAAGTACTTGGACAATTTGACACAGTGTTATTTTCCCTGCAGGGTTCGGCTGTGCTGGCACCAGTTATGTGGCTTATGGTTTGATTGCCAGAGAGGTAGAGAGAGTGGACAGTGGGTATCGGTCTGTCATGAGTGTCCAGTCTTCACTGGTCATGCACCCCATCAATGCCTACGGCACTGAGGCCCAGAAGGAGAAGTACCTGCCAAAGCTCGGTGAGAGTGGTGATGTCTGCAGTTTTGAAATGCATATTGAAAGTGGCAAGAGGGCAGCTTCTAAGATTGTCATGTCTGTTTTTCCACACAGCTCGTGGAGAAATCCTGGGTTGTTTTGGGTTAACAGAGCCAAATCATGGCAGCGACCCCAGCAGTATGGAGACCAAGGCCAAATACAACCCGTCAAGTGGTACCTTCAGTCTCAGCGGATCCAAAACCTGGTAAGCACAAATGACAACAACCCCACACATAATATAAAGTAGTTAACAGTTACACATTTCTTACGCATTTGGCTGTCAGAGCCTGCTCTAATTCCTTATCTTACAGAAAGTCTGGCATTTAGGTTGATTAAAAGTAAAAATGTTAATCATTAAATTAAACCTGGGTCATAGTGAGGAGTCATATTCTTAGTCAAAGACGGAAATATGCAATTAACCTTTTAACAAAGTTGGAAATCTGTCATTGACAAACCAACTCTGTCCTCCAACAGGATCACAAACTCCCCTGTGGCAGACATTGCAGTGGTGTGGGCAAAGTGTGAAGATGGTAAGGTGCGGGGTTTCATCTTGGAGCGTGGAATGAAAGGTTTTTCCACCCCCAAGATTGAGGGCAAGTTCTCTTTAAGAGCATCGGCTACTGGCATGATCCTCATGGATGAGGTGGAAGTACCCCAGGAGAACCTCCTGCCAAATGTCTCTGGTCTGGCTGTAAGTGCCTTCTCTCTCAATACACCAAAGGAATTTCAGTCTCACAGTAAAACTAGTTTTTTCCCTGCTGGTATATAACCTCTCTTTTGTTGCCCCCAACAGGGTCCATTTGGCTGTCTGAATAATGCCCGCTATGGCATTGCATGGGGAGCTTTGGGAGCTGCTGAATTCTGCTTTCACGCTGCCCGTCAGTACACTCTGGACAGGTACAAGATATTCTGCTGAGTTTGAACACAAGTCAATTACTTTAACCACTAGATGGTGCTGTAGTCAGCAGTTAACTTGATAGCAGACACAACAGTGGATACCCCAGGGGAGCTGACCTTGGCTCTGATTGTGCATGGCTTTAAGTACAACAAGAACACATCTGCTGTGCGTAACTATCTCAAGATAAAACACCTGCTGAGGATAGCAAGGATCACTTGTAATTTCAGGAACTCTGGGAATTTGAAAGGTTTGCACTCCAGAATACCACTTTTGTTTCACTGCAAACCTTTTTTCTTTATCGTTCTCATATAATGTTTGACTGACTAGCATTTTTAAAAAACTCTAACTAGTAGAAACAAGTAATCCTAAACTGCCTGCTGCTCAGTACTCTTTCAGATTGTGTCCTCATGTTTTGCCAGTCTCTTTCATAAAGATTGTTTTCTAATCCCAGAATCCAGTTTGGGGTGCCACTGGCCAGAAACCAGCTGATGCAGAAAAAAATGGCTGACATGCTGACAGAAATTACTCTTGGGCTACAATCCTGTTTGGCTCTGGGAAGACTTATTGACGACAAGAAGTGAGTTGTCTTTATGTTTTTCTAAAAATTTGCTTTGGCCTCTGTTTGCCACTTAAGAACCAAAATATTTTTTCTCCATTGTTTTTTATTCTTCTGCTTTCAGGTCAGCACCAGAGATGATCTCTCTGCTCAAAAGGAATAGTTGTGGAAAAGCTTTGGATATCGCCAGACAAGCGAGGGATATGCTCGGGGGTAATGGCATCGCAGATGAGTACCACATTATTCGGCACGTCATGAACCTGGAGGCTGTCAACACATATGAGGGTAAGCAAACACCACAGGATACACTTGGACTTAGTATTTAGCATTTTCAACATTACTTTGGGTGTCAAACTTAGGCTGCAAGTGCATGCATTCACCACAAGAGGTCGGTAGAGTGCAGAATGTTACAGGTTGACGGTTGCTGATAAAGGAAACTCTTAATTTTATTCATGTAAAGCAAATATTTGAACTAAATGAAAGGAAATGATCAGGTATTATTTTTGCCAATCCATTAGAAACACCCTAATGATAGAAGAAAACTAAATTTATCTGACAAATCAAATCACTGGTCAAGTAAAACCAATGTTTGTGTATTTCTTAATTTATCTTAGGAACTCATGACATCCATGCTCTGATCCTGGGCAGAGCCATCACAGGACTACAGTCTTTTACAGTGGGGAAGTAAATACTCCCTCAGCACCTCCTTGAAATGGACTCAATGTGGATTTGTACTGTTGTCCCCCCTTTGAGAACCAGATACAAATACCTCACTACATGACGTCTGATCTAATGGGAGCCCTCCACAACTACCTCTGTTTGGTAGAAACAACAGGTCCACCTATCATGGCATTTGCACAGTTTGTTTATATTGTAGGGATTGAATATGTATGTCAAGGGTTTGAATGAGAGAAAAGCTTTTAATAAAAGAAGCTTGTATGTGAGAGATTAAATTGTTGCTATTTTACACTGTTTTCATTTGTAAACTCCTGTAGCTTTAAAAACACATTTCTGTGCTGATACTTTTTAGTTTTGGAGAAGCACTTAAGCCTACAGTTGGGTGTGATAATACTTTTGAATCGACACATGGGAGCTAAATAATTATCTGTATTTAATTTCTTTTATCAACAGATATTCTTGAACATAACTTGAACTTCAAGAATTCCTCTAAACAAAGGCACAGTGTTTGTCCTCAAAAAACAAAAAAAATTAATCATTCAAAAGTCCACTGTTAATTCTGGGTACAGTTATACACATGTAAACAATATTTCATTTCTTTTACAAACAGATTCTTGAACATAAAAACACATGGATTTAATAACTGTAATCTGAGCCAGTTTCCTCAAAACAAACTGTGTTTCTCTTCAAAAAACAAGAATGGGAGACAAATTAATCATTCAGAAGTCTGCTGATGTAAATTCTGGGTACAGTTATAAACATGTAAACAATATAACTGATTTAAAATGACTTGGATATCAAAATAACTTGTATCAGGTTACTCTGGTGTCTGGTAAATGGGCAGGCCTTCCCTGAGTCTTGACAGCGCCTGATTAGCTTCCATGAGCTCCTCATTGAGTTTAGTGCAGTTGTCAAGGACCTCAGACAACTCCTGCAGTTTTGTCTGCATCACACTAGTGTTCTCTTCATAGACTGTATACAAGCCCTCTTTCATTTGCTGAGTCATCTCTCTCACCTAGGATTCAAATGTAAAATGATAGAAATTTACAAGATTTACTAGTTTGCAAATATAAAGTCTAGGGATAGTATAAAAACACACACAAAAAAATAGTTAAGTACACATAGCAATCCATAATCCATTATTGGGTTCAAACATTAAAAGAACAGAGTATTTTGTTTGCAAAGAAAAGTGGATTAAAAACACAAAAAAGTTTGGATACCCTTGTAACTAATTGCTCTTCAAAGTCATCCACCTCTTTTTGGTCACTGGTGCGGCGGTCATTAATCTTTTGCACTAAATCTTGAACTCTTCCTCTGATGCTATCAATGACTAAGCTGCAAAAGAAAACAAGTTACGGGATGTTGAAACTGTCAATGCCTTTACCACACAAGAGCCACGGTTGGTGATCAGACAATAATACCACTTGTAAATAAATTTATTGCTATGTGTGTGTGTACCTTGTGTGCTGCTCTTGAACCTCAGCAATGCCCAAACTTGAGGCATTTGTTCTCAGTGAGTCATGAGAATCTCCAGTCTAAATAGAAAAGCACAGTTAAAAAAAATAATAAATAAGGTTCGACTCTTTCTGCTTTAGCTGTTCTAATTCAACTCCCATACCTCAGCTTCAACATTAAAATGCCATTACTGCTCTGCTAAAAATACATGGACCTGATGAATTTAATGTAACATAAATTAAACTAAAATAAGTGTTTAAATCAACATGCTGTTCCTGTAAATGTCATGCATACTTGTACCATTATCTATGCCCCTGTTACCAAACATCTCTGTTGTAGTTTGTCTTCATCTCGCTTTCTCTTTCTGCGTCTCCCTCTATAACCCCAATACCGTCTCAGCAGATGACTGTCCACCATGAGTCTGATACTGCTCGAGATTTCTGCCTTTTGTAATGAAATTGTAAATTGCTAAACGCTGAAAAGTGATACACTCATAGTAGATGCCGATGGGATTAGAGGGGCGTCTTATCTCATGGGATGGGTCTCAATTTCACTCCATCTTGATGTTGGGTCTTTGTCAATATGATTTGAGAGTATAGTCCAAACCAGCCCCCTTTTGTTAAGCAACTTATAATAGCATTTGTTGTGAATTGGCGTGAAATAAAGATCGATTGACTTTTCTGGCATCTTTTTTTACACTTAAAATGTCCATTTTTGTTTGAAGTAAATCTCTATTCTCACTAACTTGTATGTGACCTGATCAAGGTTATCGAGCTCTGTTCACCTAAAATTGATTAAATTACTTTAATCTCCCTGGGACTAATTGAAGAATATGTTTAGAAGATGACACATTACCATCTGTGAGTCTACAAGGCCGGCTGTTGGGCTGGACTCCGGTAAACATGGTAGGTTGCCACTAGAGAAATCCATTTGGCTCAGTTTGATCTGGCAAGTGTAGTCAAAAAGACACATAAGTTATTAAATACACCAAACATTACTAAAAGAGTTCTGGATAACGACCAATACAATACTCTCTATTTGTGAGCGTTAAAACGGATAAAACAAACTGATGACTCATACTCCCTTAGCTTTAGCGGTGTAGCTAACTACCACAGCTACCTTCGCCTGGGTTTGAATCATAGACTGTATATACTATATATTTGTAAGGAAACCTTTCTTTTTACTTAATACTTGTAAATGTTGGTGACAGAAACGATAAAGTTAAAACATTCTTCAAAATTACCCGTACCTACCTGCCAATTATTTTTGAAATACCAGATCAGATCAAGGAGTTGTCTTTGCCTGTGTGTCAGTTAAAGTACCGTAGGTGTTGTGCCGTAGAATGCATCCCCTGCAACCCATCCACTTAGTAGCATCTTAAAGTGGAAGAAAATGATCTCATATTTAAAAACAAAAAAACACAAGTATTGGATCATGACAATATATCAAATAGAGCAGCAAACTTTCGCTCTGTTTTTATGTGTCTCAGAAATGCACATATTAAGGTGTACTTGTGTATGTAAACTGTACAGTTAGCTGTCAAGGTAGAGAAAATTATATTTTAGGGACAGCGATTATTCCGAATTAGAGGGTCTATGTTTTCGGTTTATTTGAATAGCCTGAATGAAATCATTAATGGCACACGCTTTGAATCCACCCAACGGAAAGGGAAACTTGGATTATTTCGCCTTGTTATGTACTTTTAACCGCGCTCTCGTCAGGGGGTGCATTCTACGGCAGGGGTGCATTCTACGGCACAACACCTGTGTGTAAGCTAGTTCTCTGGTTGCTGTGACAGGTGGTTAATTATCTTTGCTAATCAAACCACCTGTCACAGTTGAAGTGGAAGTATGAAATTACTGCCTTTAAATTCTTTTTTTTAAAGTCGCTTAAACTGTTACATTTCACTCTCTTAACTCACATTCAACCATTTTAGCACTAAATGTTTGTAATACACATACCCCTTAGCTTTAACAGTGTAGCTAGCTACTACAGCTACCATTGTCTGCGGTAGCTAGTCTAGTAACCTTTCTTTTCACTTCATAATGTTAAAGGAAAATGTTAAACATTCTTCAAAATCACTCATAACCGCCTTTTGTTTTTTACAATCAGATCAAAACAAGGAGTTGCCTTTGCCTGTGTGTCAGCCTTGTAGTTCGCTAGCTCGTCCTCTGGTTGTTTTGTTGGGTGGTTTAATTGTCGTTGCTAATCAAACCACCTGTCACAGTTGAAAGTGGAAGTAGTAGTGGAAAATTTTCCCCCTTTAAATTAACTTCTTGTTTTAAAAAAAGTCACCTATAACTGTCAAATTGTCTGCTCTTCTCTCTTTTTACTCATATTCAACCATTTAGCATGTTTATAATACACATGAATCATTATTTAAGAAATATTCATCAACACATTAGTAGCCTACAGTAATAACAGACTCAAACAACAATCTGAACAAAGAAACTAAAGAAGCTAAATCAAATTTTATCTTCAAAAAAAAAGTGTCAAATCCAGTATGTTAAATTAAATACAGGAAAATATGTTCATCTAAGTCTTGGTATGTTTGTATTGTGGAAAAATGTGAATAAACGTGGTCTTTTCTGTTTGTTTTTGTTGGTTGTTTTTGAAAATAAGAAATAATGAACTGTAAAAAGGTATGTTGGCCTGCAGCTTAATTGACCCATCATGTCAATTAAACTTAGCCTAATTTGTTCATCTTTAATATATTGTGAAGGGGTAACATCAAAATGACATTACAGAGTTGAGTGTTTTCCTTGCACGAGTATGAGATTGAGCACAGTGTGTTTGTGCTATCAAGGAGAGAGCATTTGCTCTAACGGTTATCTGTGGATTAAGGAATCTGTGTGGGCAGGGATGGGGTGTTGGGATGAGGGACTGATTGCTTGCTGCTGTGATTGTAGGCGTAATCTCTCCCTCCCTTCCTCTCTTTCTCTCTGCTTCTATCTGTCCACGCCCACAGGATGGATTATTTCAGATGAGAAGACTCAACACACAGCGAACAGCCACAGAGGATGAAGAAAAGCCTGTCCTGATGTTTGGTGGGCCTGGTGGATGATAAATTGATGATAACAACATGACACCAGTTCTTTTTAGAAGCATTTTAGGCAAAGAGCATCTCTTCTATCCAAATGTGTCTATCCTGGGACTTGCATGTACTTGGTGTTGACAGGTAGGTGGATTTATTGACTGGCCTATATTCATGCTAGTTGAGTAGCTACACCTTCAAAATGAAACAAGTGGTTAAGCATAACATTTCAGTATATATAAGCATTTTTTAATGCAAAATTGTGAAATACTTTTCTACTTTGGAGGTAGCAACATCTCAACAAGTGGATCCATGAGAAGGAAGCATCTTTGCCTTGAATATAATGGAATAAGCAGTATCCACTAAGAAAAGTGCCCCCACTGTGGGAATATGGACAACTTCAACTTCACAGAAGAAGGAGGACTTCAGTACTTGGTGAATAAAATGGAGCCACTCTACAAGGAGTACAGGCCTCCTCCAAGGGACATTATCCAGCTACCAAAATCTGTTCTCTACCTCCTTATGGCGGCTGTGGTAGTGGTTGCTGTGGCTTATGCTATCGTGGGTCACCTCATCAAAGATCTCATGCTGGATATAACAGGTACTCAAGTCTATTACAGGCACAGCATGCTGCCAGAGTGAAGGTTTAACATCATAACCCCTTAATAAGGTTGCAGAAGTTTAAAAGTCATGTGATTTGTGCTGAAAGTAACATCACTTTGAATATAGTTTATGTGTTGATCAATATAAATAAACATAAGGTGTATTTGTAGTGTAGTTCTGGGACAGTTGCTTTTTCTGCTACAGCTACTCAATTACACTGTGAAACAATAAGAATTTCTTACACATAAATGAGGAACAAAGTTATGTTTTGGTGACAAACTCAAGAAGTAGCTGCAGTTTCAAGTCTGCAAAACTGTTATTTGGGTATATCTTAAATCCTGAAGAGAATGTGAAGAAAATATTCTCAACATCAGGTTTTAATTGTGACATATAAGACAAAATCTGTGAAGTTTGAGGTTCACAAAAAGTCTCAAATATTGCACTTGATTAAATTTGAAATTGTTTTCTGCATTATAATGTCAGGGATCAAACCCTAAACCACATGTATTATGATGTCAGTGTACCAAATATTGTTTCAAATAATGTATTATACGATGAATAATTTCCTTTGGCGAGTAAGCAAAGGGCAACAAGCATTTGGCAAAATTGGAAGAGGTGTATTTGAGACAGCAGCCAAACTTAATGAAAAAAAATGTAAGCATGCTATTCCTTTTTTTCTTCTTCAGACTGTTTGCTGGGCCCCGTCGAGGAGGACATGAAAAAAGATGGAGAGGTAGAGGGAGTCAGCCCTCTGCATTTACCACCTAACCTCTCCCACTCCCACCCAAATGCCTTCCATGTGTGGGACCAGGACGATGTCATCATTCCCATGTCCCCCCCAGATGACAGCCCGCTAACCAGCCCTCTGATTAACGTCATCCCTTACATACCTTCATTTTTTCCCTCCGCTCTAAGCATGAACAGCCCGTCCTACATTCAGCCAATCCCAAAGGAGGCTGACGCGTGAGACAGCACAAAGGATCCGGGACAGTTTTAATGGTGCGGGGTCAGGGTCATCTCTGGGCCACACTGTCTTCTCTCCCTTTAATCACTTCAGTTCTTTTCTGGACAAGAAAACTGCAGTGATTCCTGCTTGTGTCTCGAATCCTGCAACACCGCATGACCAGCAGAGACTTGCAAATCTTGAACTTAAGATATTGTCCATATCTGGCTGGAATCAGAAGTAAAAGCTGTGATCAAACGGTGATTGACTATGATTGGAACATGATGTCGGCACTGAAAACTCATTCAGGACTAAAATAAAGGCCTCTCAGTGGGATGGCCTTCACCTGTTAGTGTTCCCTGTGAGTGGACTGTGCCATGTGAGCGTCTTGACTGTATACCTCCACAAAGTAAGCCCATCGGTCCATGCTGTAAATTCATTTTCATGTCCGATCTTCACCTTGTCCTACAACCTTTGGATGGACTTAAGTTAAGAAGAGCCTGTGTCCAAATCCAAGTTATAAAAATAATAATCCAAATTGTCTGACTTGAATATTTGGCTTTATATTCACTTTTTCAAAAAATGAGGTCTCATCCCACACAGGGTATTTTGTCTTTCATAAATACCTGTGAAAAAATGATGAAGACATCAGTGTGCAAACCTCACAAGAACCCAGTGAGTCTGTTTAACTGTTTGTACAAAGTTGAATGCTGCTGTCTGCTGAGTTTGCTCAGACTCGTGTCTCAGTCTAATACAGATGCTAAATATATTTCCTGTCTTAAAGGAGGATTGGCCTAACTCACCTACGAATAGAGAAGAGTTAATTCAATTAGTGGAGGTGACTGCATTCACGTGACTGTTTGACCTTTTCAATAAGAAACGAAAGACCCGGAGTGGACATCTCCTTTATTTGCAAAGCAAATGTGACGATAACCCTGAATTTATTTATTTATTTCTTCTCTTATTTTTCATACTTTTTTAAAAATTTCTAACATTGTAGCACAAATGTTATGTAAGTATTGTGTTAACACTGGTATATCATTTTTTTCATGTCATACCTATTTAAGTGTTGATGTTTTGTTATGTGTTAAGAGTCTCTCTGCAGGAGGTATTGGGCTCTATTTTTTGCTTGCTGGCATTAGAAAAAACGCACACTGTTACACAACTCAAAACAACATATCCATTTAAAGCAGGATATTGGCTGGGATGCAGAAATCCTGGGTTATTAACGGCAGATAAATGCCCATGAACACATGCTCCTCCCTCCTTATCTTGTAAACACGCACTCGCAAACATTTTTACATTTTCTTCTCTCATTCTTTCGCGTCTCTCTGGACAGGCGTCAAAGTTTTAGCTTTGTATTTTTGATTTGAGTTTATTTTGGGCACCTCATCGAGTTAACATTGTTCATCCCATCCGTAAAACCCAGAGTGCCTGTATTCAGCAAGTAGAGGAGATTAGGGAGAGAAGATTAGATGAACAGCTTAGCCTTTAATACACTGTCCTTTTATTACTTTTGAGCTCTGGAATTAGATAATCTGAGAGCAGCCGCTCAATCTGAGGAAACAGACTTCTGAAACGCACATTGTTATTCAGTTTGTATAACAAGATTAATTGAATACATGGCAGCATGTGTAAAGACAGCCAAAGATGAAGTTGGAGTGTCAGTGATATGTGAAACTGAAGGAGCGAAGCGCAGCTCTACAAAGATGCACGATTTCTGATCTGCGGGAAATGAGATTTTGGATGACGACACTGGCAGCCTGGGCAGAAGTCCCATGTTAGAGTAGCTGTTTACAGAGACGTCACAGCGTGTCTAATGGCCTAAAGCTGGAGTTTGTGACAGCATGCACAGATATAGAGCGCTGTATGGCAGATACAAGGTTCAGGGTACAAGAGGATCACCATAAGATGGAAGGACAAGGTGGAGGAGGTACAGCCACAACAGAGGGAAATGAAAAGAACTTTTTTCACTTGCTCTGATCAAAGTTTTGATGCTAAAAGAAAAGCAGTATTGAAATGAATAACAGAGAGTGTATGTTGTTGTTTTTTTTAAGCGGTGTTTATTTGCTTTAACATATTTTTCATTGCTTGAAACAAATAAAAATGATGTGCAAAACTTTTAACAGGTCTCTCTATAATAAATCTTATCCCTAAAAAAAACACAATTTTCGGCCAATTTTGTTTTTAAGGAAAACTTCAGTATTTCTGTTAAGCAGGGTTTCCTCACAGATGGTTGGAGCGGTTTCACATATTTCCAGAGACAATCAGATGAGGCGAGTTTGGATGATTTTAAAGTTCAGACCAAGCCTCGAACACTAAAACAAAAACTGATTCTTTTTTAGATTTGTTTTCAACCTTATGGTTACATTTGATATTACCAAGGCTCTCAATAAAATTTAAACACGTTTGAAAAGTCTTTACCATCACTGCTCAGTAAAAGCCTGTTAAAGATTTTACTCTGCATGTCATTTGTTCTCCTGAGGAATTTTCATCCTGTGTCCACTTTGACGACTCTGATGAACAAAGTTTTGCCTTTTTCTCTCTTTGCTGGTCTCGTTGTCTTTGAACCGTCAAACACATCACTCTCTACAAAAAGTAAAAATGTAGAAAAGGTTGTTTTGGTAATGGCTACAACTGTCTGTTAATTAACATTTTAAAAATGGTGTACTTTAGTTCAGAGAGAGTTTGATCCTATTTCCTTAAACCTTGTTTGACTCTTTGACTGAAGCTGCGATGACACACCAGTTCTCCCATTGGTGCAGAGAGGTGAGGGCTTAAGGTGGAACCAAGAAAGACTCGCAGAAGGTCAGGCTGGGTCAGAGCAAGTCAGCCCACAGACCTTCTTGTGGCTCACATAAGCCATGAGGAGGGACAGTGTTGAGGAGATATATCTGAGTAAGCATAAAAACTCTTCAGGTGACAGCGAGGTCCACAAGAGCAAAGCTGTCAGATGTAGAAATATAAACTAGATTATTCAGCTATTTGAAGTCTCTACACCTTCAGAGCAGTTACAGACATGTTGCATTTTAGCGAATGACTAAAATAAACTAATTTAATAGCTATAATGTGATTTAACATTCTTCTCATACAGTGTGAAACTGATGCATCACACAGAGTTTAGGGCTTTTGCTAATTTTCAGCACTTTTACACACACAGTATGATTAAAACATCTAATATAGAAGCGCAATGATATTTAGATAACAATAAAAGCATATGATAATATAGATTATAAACAGCAATAAGAAATGTAGAATAAAGAAGCTAAATGTGAAAAGTGTCCAGTCAACTGTCTGTCCTGATGTGCAAGTCAGCACGGCTTTATTTGGTCTGCAGTGAACGACGTCAGTCGGGGTTAAGTGATCCTTACCTGTCCTTTATCCTCAGGTGTCAGCTTATCCGAGACCGATTTCTTATTGGCACTGACTCAGTTCTGTTAGTCCAACTCTCAGTCTGTCGATGCATGACACCAACGGACTTTAATTCAGCTGAATTGGATCAGGTAAAACACACTAAGAGACACTTACTCAGGAGAAGATATTCGAGTCAGACTGTTAAACAAGGAGAAAAGGAAAAAGCTGTTATAGTATAAAAGAACAAATAAAGAAAGTGTAGCATGCCCTGGTTCTGTGACACTACCCTCTATTTTGCACACTCTATAAACATTATTTGGTTGTTATTTCTTACAATAACACTCATTAAAACACTACAGCTGAATAATTCACTGACCTGTGGTCTGTGCTCTACCCTCGGTTACTTCTCATTGGTTGGCTGAGTTTATTCTGGTTGCTGTCAATCTTCTGTTATTTAGCCTAATCCTCTATTGGCAGGTCAGGTGGTTCTTTGTGATGGACAAAGAGCAGTGACAGGGGAAATCCTGATCCCTCCTCCTGCAGCCAAAGGTTGCAAGTAGACTGTATACATACGAGCTGCGCCTACTAGCTTGTCAAAGTGAAATCTGTTTTTTTTTTGTGAGACACTGAACATTTGATACTGGTGCCATTTGAATCATTGACCAGCATTTCACACCCTAACTACTGCAGCTTTTCATTTGTTTTAGGGAAATTCTGTAATTTACTTTTTCTTGCTATAAAAGGGGTAACAGAGATCCACGTGTTTCTAAAATAAATATTTAGCTTTTGTTTGTGCTTTTATCTGCAGCACCATATTTGGTTGTATTAGTGTTTTTTACAAGGCTTGACAAATCACTTCAGTCCACAGTGGGAGAGCTCTAGCCTGGCTAGGAGAGCTCAGCAACACCAAGGACACCAAACACTGGTTACACCCGCCCTCAGATCTCTGCAGTAGGTTATTCTGAGTCCAAGGGTAGAATCTGAAATTCATCCTCTATAATATACCTAAAAGCACCTTGTGATCTTGGGCCATAATACCAACCATGAATGTGAAAATGAGGCATCTAGATCTCCCATTCAACAAAGCAGTATGGGATAGCTTTTAGTCCCCTTCATTGTGAAGAAAAAACAAAAAACAGTTAACAGTCCTTTCCGAGGTTATGAGTCAATCCACATCTACTTTTTTGTTTTTAATCCTACAAAAGATTTATGTACGTGATCTTTTTTTGATTTTAAATCTTTTTTTTTTTGGTTTACATTGTTAATTTAATTTGATTTAATTAGTTAATTTAATTTTGCTAACTGCATGTCTTATTTTTGCCTGATGCCATGTTTCTAGTTCGATCTGTTTAAGTAGAACTGTCTAACATCTTGCTTGATGTCACACTCCTATAATGCACTTCATGTGATTAATATTTGCTTTTCTTACTCTGCAAAGAAAGAAATGTATTTATGGACAAGTATCTGAAATGGGAGGGGCATCATTTTAACACAAACTGAAACATGGGAGAGAATAATTTGGGGGTTAATCTCTTAAATAACAAAACATGTGCGATTAAAACAGAACATTTAAGAAAACAAAAGTTTAATCAAATGTTCTGTATTAAATCGCACATGTTCTGGTGTTGACAGTAAACACTGAAAACAAGTTGAGAAATGAGGAAGTTATGATTCATTTCCAATAGAAACCACTAGCCTAGTCTCGTTGTTCAAAGGGGTGTGTCGTATCTATGCATTTATATCTATGGTTCCTTATGTATCCATGTGCAGGGTTATGGTGTGTGCGGCTTATTGACTGATTAACAAAACTCAACTTTGTCACAATGATTCCTGTAATTAATTTGTGTTGATGCAGCTTCATACATTACATGATTAAACTTCGACTCACGCAGGTCATCCCACCTGCACTAGTTTCACTTTTTCCTCTGAAGAAAATGAGGCAAAGCAAAACAAAGAGTGACATGTAATCACTGCCAAAATATGAGCTTTAGTTTCGACCGATAATCCTGATTTGAATATGCAAGTCATACAATTGGCATCATAAACCCCTTATTAAATTTGCTTTTGCTTGATTCCATTTCACAATAAGACCTTTGTATAACTTCATACTTTGAGATTTATATGCCTCAGCTTAACATAACTAAAATTAGGAAGTATAGCGCGTCTGCAACAAAACAAAGCGACCTGTGTTTGTACTGGAAGGAATACTCTTTAAACTACAAGTACTTTGTAATTCTTTGTGATTCCTTCTGTTCCCACCAGGCAGTCATTTTCAGAAGACACCCTCAACACCCAGTTCGGTACAAACAATTTATTCTTTTCATACAATAACTATACTCTTAAAACTTCTTGATTATTTTTTAAAAAACATGCATCAATCACTTGCTTTGAAAATCAATGCCAAGTTAAAAAAAAACTGAACAAAACAAGCAAAAATATTTTTCCTACTCAAAGTTCCTTTTGGAGAGGACAGTGCGGTAGAGAGAAGTGCCTTTGGCCTGGTAGTAGGTCAGGATCATGTGGCTCTTTGTGACTTCTGCATGCACAAAGCCTCCGAATGTTGAGGCTTGGCCAGTGAAGAACTTCACAGAACCTTTGGGAACATGGCTCCAGTGACGGACATCAGGATCCAGGAAGTTTCCAGCACCACTCACCACATAGCCCACACCGGACTCCTCAATGTACTGAAAAGACGAAGAGAAAAGATGGAAATAAGGATAGAGATGCACTGAGAGTGTAACACACATCGAAATGAACTCACCTGTAGGTTGTGGTCATGACCGCAGAAGTAAGCAGTGGCGTTGTATTTGTTGAGCAGAGGATAAAGCCTTTGTAGGAGACACTCAGTGGGACCGTGTTCGGACACAGACCACACAGGGTAGTGACCGGCCACCAAGAGGAAGTCTGCTTTGTTCTTCTCCAGCCTCTCCTGCAGCCACACCAGCTGACGGTTGGCAGCGACGGCACTCAAGGGTCCCCTTGGCTTCTCATCCAAGAAGTCATTAGAGTTCCCGCACAGCATTATGGTGTCAAGCATGATGATTGTTAGAGTTTCCTCTGTGTTGGGGATGTGGAAGTTTAGCTCATAGTAGTAAGACGGAAACTTCCTAAAATGATAACCAACAGAAAAGTTGTCATTGAACATAAAGCAAGATTTAAGCTTCATACGCTGGTTTTAGGAAATGTTAAATGTGTTCTGTACCATCGGTCTGATTTTTGGCTGTACTCGATCTGGGCTTTGACGCTGCCTGCGTGGTCATGATTTCCAGCGAGCACATACCAGGGCACTTGGAGAGACTTTGCTGTGTACACGGACTCAAAAGTCTCCTGTAAAAGGGTTTTAAAGAAAAAGCATGAGGACACTTCACATGTAACTCCTGAAAACATCAATTGTACTGAACCCACCTTGAAGCGAGGGGAGTCCACACTGTTCACACCTTTGAAGTAGAAGTTATCACCCAGGGCCAGAATAAAATCAGCTCCCATCTGCTCTGCCACTCTGCTCATCTCTCGAGCAGTAGCCTTCTGCACAGCGGTGATATAGGGGGGATAAGGTACTCCACCCCAGTCTCCTACAGCCAGGAACTTAATGGAGGTTCTGTTTGCTGAAAGTAAAAGTATGAAGAAGTTAGACCATGTGGAGGCAAAAATCTCCATTTTAAAGATTATGAACCCTTTTATACTTACTGCCATTATCCTCCAGGTGTTGGAAGGCGGTGGGATAGCAGTAGGCCACAGAGATGGCAGCAAATATGATGGAAACGAGCCCAAGTGCCATCTAGACAGACAGAAACAACCGCTTTGATCAGGAGCTCGTGATGAAAAACAAAACGACACCTGAATGCGGAACAAGACATTTATTCCTAACCAAAACTGAAAGTCAGCACGCACGTAACAAAAACACAAACAGGAACATGAAACAACCTGCTGCTGCTGCTGCGGTGGCGGCTGCTGCTTCTGCTTACCATGTGAGCCTATGCTTCCTCTCTCACTGCCTTACCAAACAACAACATGACCTCCTGCTTTATGCCTAAAGCTCACATGTGATTGGCTACAGCCTGAAGCTCACCCAGCTGGAGGGAATAGAGTTAATCAGAGCAGGCGTATTGATAAGGTTGAGAGGGTTGAGCTGTCAGGGAATTTCTTATAGTGTCTTTGCTTCTTTTCAATTAAAGCTAATCTGTTAATTAAAAAAATACAAAAAAATCACATTTACCATCCTGAGTCTCAACACCGAAGGAGTAAAACTCAATCCAAGTCCTCGTCTCTACCACCCCTAGAAAAGAAAAATAGAGCTATCTCACAAGATAAACAGTCTGTCAGGAGTTGGCGTCAAGATAAAAAAGTCAGAACATAGTGATAAGAAAAGAGACTCACAGCGGACACAGAGAGGTATGTTCAGGGTGAGCTGACAGGACACTCCCCGTCGGTGCTGCTTTTCCTGTTTGCCTTTTATCAGCATTCCAGGAGGAGAAGTCTGCAGGAGGACCGGCCTCAGGACACGCTGCAGGGGCATGAACATTGCTCACACCCTGACTCAGTCTTGAGACTGACTGGAGGGTCATCTGGGACACATGTGATCTGATGGTTTTTATAGCTGGTGTCCAGACTCAAATTTTCCCACTTTAGTGTTTGACAGTTTTTCCGTCTTCATATTTATCATCTCCTGGCTTCTTCTTTGGGATGAATCGAGGGGAAAACATTGTAAATTAAGACATTTTCTGTCTGGCTTGTTTCACTGCCCTTGTCTTTTTTAAATGAGACAAAAACAGCATCTAAATCGAACTCGTATTTGTTCTGCTCACAATGTCGAATCTGATTTAAAGGGAATGTCCTCTCTTTCAGCATGAGCCGAAGTTCTAAAGAGGAGTTAAAAAGATGTCTTATGTTTTCTGTGGCTGTGCCCAGTCTCTAAAAAAGTCCCGATGAACTCATTAGTTATCTCAGATGAAGTTCAAGACTTCAAAAACTTCAAACAGAATGAAATCTACAACACATGCTTGCAGTCTGTTTACAGACTTTTCAAAGGCGCAGTGTTTAACTGGTTATGTGAGACTGAAGGTCAAATATATATTTCAACTGAAGGTCGTTCACCTGGTTACGGAAGAGGAGTAGGACCACTGGGATAAAAAAAAAAGATCCGATATAATTTTCTTTTAAATTATTATTCTAATACTAAAGGCAGAGTTCTGGGTTTAAAGTCAGAAATCTGAGATTAGAATCAGAAATCTAAGATTAAAGTCAAAATTGACTTTAATGTAAGATTTCAGATTTTTTTATCTCAGAATTCTCTCTTTAATCTCAAAATTCTGTTTACTTTTTGCTCAGAATTCTGACATTAACTCCGACTTTAACCTCAGAATTCCAACTTTTTTCTCAGAACTCTGATTTAATCTCAGAATTTTGACTTTGATCTCAAAATTCTGATTTAATATCAGAATTTGGACTTTTTTTCTCAGAATAATAATTCAAAAAAATTATATCTGACCTTTTTTATATCAGACCTCCAGCTAATTTAGATTAATTGGATCTCAGTTTGACCTTCATTTTTTTTTCCTGCAAATGATGATTTACCTACTAATTATTCATCTTATGTATAGAAAATGATCTAAATGTGGAAAATGTGTGTTAAAAAATTATGATCAACTTATTACAAATTTATGCAGTGGCTGCAGCCATTTGAAATAAATGCTTTTTAATGCATTTAAATAAAATATAAAGCATCTATCATTGTTTCATTAATGTTCCTCTGCTTGTATTTATTCACACATTTCTTTGCAACAATGACCTATTTTTTAAAAAGGTTATGAGGACTGTCTCAACTTTGCAAACCTCATTTGAACCATGCATGTCATATGCACATACTAAAAGAGTTGATATTCTGTCTGGCCTGCAGGAGCCACTTGCAGGGTCTGCAAAACCCTCCACCCGACACAGATGTGAGAAATATCTTCTGCTTTTTAAGGAAGCTCAACTTGACCTGAGATTCCCTGCCCTGATGACCTGTTGCATAATCCAGAGAACTGACCAGGACAATCACAGACAACATCCACAAACATGAGCTCCTAAGTTTCTGTCTTTGTGACTCAGATTTGACTTAGCCGACAAACCGGTCTGTAATCTGCTCCAAAGATAATTTTATTTTACAGAAAGGATCAGAGCTTTTTATACAACACAAAACAAAATAACAATATTCACTTACAGAACCAATACTAGATGAAAAGAAACCACGTCAGGAACAAGACACGATGATAAAACTGCTCTCTTTTGACACTCATGTTAATATGAACAGTTCAATGGATACTGGAGTCCAAAGAAAACAGGCGGATTTAAACCACAGAGAAAAGCCTGAATCTGTCGCCCTCATTTCTTTAAGTCACTGAATCGAAATGCAAAACCAGCAAAATCTTTGTTTAAACAGAGAAACAGACCCTTTTTCTTTTCCATTCTTTAAGTATACCAGATCACAATCAAGGCTGAACAGTCGATGTCCGAGGATGGAACAGTCAGATGAGAAAAGCGGATTAATAATTCATGTTGCTGTATCCAGAGTAAGAGTCCTGGTTCTGCCCACCAAAGCCCTGGTATGTGCTTTGCCCCTGCTGACCCCCCCAGGACTGGTTCTCCCAGCCTGTGAAGGTGGACAGAAAACCACAAAGTTAATCTGAGGAACAGGATTTAGGAAGAGCAGAATGTGCGTTATTTGTTTTCAGATAAAAACATTAGCCCTTCTCTTTATGGTCTTACTCACCGTAGTTGTTGTACACCTGGCCTCCGGTCACAGAGCTGGGGTAAGCTGTGCTGTACATGGAGTAGTCTACGTCTTGGCTTTCACTCGGACCTTGGGTCAGCATCTTCTTTTTCTCATCGCCGTACCCGTAGCTGTAGGGGCTCTGCTGGTCAGCAGGGGGAGGCATTGATTGGTAGCTTTGTGCCTTGGTTGTGTTTGAGTCTGAGCTGGTGTCAGCTGTGGAGGAATAGTTCCCACCCTCAGGGTAGAAGGTGCCGTAGCCTGATCCAGGGGAGCTTTTAGCTGCTGGGCCGGCAGCATTACCGCCGTACAGTTTATCTGAGGGATGGAAAAGACAAGACCATTATCAACGTTGTCTTTACGACACAAAAATAAGTTGTTTGTGGGGGGGAGACGCTTATTTGTCGGGGAGCCCTGACGAGTCAATCACCGAGTGCAGCGGAGTTTCGCAGCTCAAGGAAGAACATTGATGGTCATTACCTCATGGAAATGCAATCAGCAAAATTATTATCATGATGATTATTACTTCATGGAAATGATACGCTGCACTCGGTGATCGACTCGTCAGGGCTTCCCCACAAACAAGCGGCTGCTGGAGGAGAGTGGTTGAGCTGTGTTTGGTCTTTCTGCTTAAGAAATCAGGCAAAGCTAAAAGATGTTTGATTGGCTGGGACCCTGTATGTCCTGTTGATGAAGTTAGGTGCTGTTCTGAGCAGTATTTTTGTTTCGTCAACGAAAACAACACTGCAGAATATGTTTAGCGTTTGACAGATGAATTTTGCAACTCTGTTCATCGTCCACCACTAACATTTTCGTCAAGTCTCGTCAACGTAAACGCACATTCGTCTCGTCACATTTTAGTCATCTAGGACTTATGTTTAGCTCGTCAACGTCACGTCTTTGTCATGGAAAAAAAGGGGGCTTTGACAAAATATTTTCGTCAACGAAAACAACACTGATTCTGAGCATTATTTGTAAAACTTAATTTTACACTGGAATATCCCTTTAGGAAAAGACTAAACTAGCCAGGGAAAACAGCATCTTTCTACTGATGATCTGAATTGAGTTGTCCAGCAGTTATATGCATTCACACACAAACAACACTGCTACTATCTAGGGTTGTTATTATCATCATCATAAGAGAGTGAACTTACGATATCCTGTGCCAGTGCTGCTCTCGTAACTGTAGTTGGCTTTAAAAATAAAAAAAGAAAAAGGTATTATTATTATTATTATTATTACATTTTTTAAATTCTGCAAAAATGTATGAAGTGATTCTCGAGTACAAAACTAGTCAACACGTTGCGAGCTCGTGAAATTCCTTACTCTTGTTATAACTGGGTCCTGGAGGATATGGTTTGCCTCGGCCCCTCCCTCTGCCTCTGTTGGGACCCCATCCGCGAGATCCTGAGTCTGACGGGATACCGCGGATAGTGCCAAACCCTGGGATGTGCTGTTAAACAGAAAATGGCAAATATAAATCCGACGAGTCTGACAAATTATCCACAGCATACCAGAGGTCATTTTAACAGAACATGCACACAAACTAATAACATATAGTTTTTCTTCATTTTCAGTACAAACTAAGTTCTTCATATTTCGATCCTAAACTCAAAGAGCTACCATGTCAGTGTAGGTGATCTTCTTCTTTTGAAGGTTTCTGTTGGCGTTTAAGTCTCTGTCTTCCTCTGGAAACAGTTTCTCCAAAGCAGCAAGTGCAGCAAAGGCCTTTGCTTCCTTCTTATTGGAGCCTCTCCCTTTGAACTTCTGCCCGTCGACCTCCACCTGACCGACAGACAAATGGGACAAAAGTCAAACCGACACACGCCAGAGCTGCTGAGTGTATACTTTAATATCATCCTTCCAGTTTTGCTTCCTGTATTCTTGTAGCTGATACTGCAGACGGACCTCCATGACAAAACACTTCTCATGAGATCCTCCGGTCTCTGCAGACAGCTCATACTTCAGGCTGCGGCGCTTCTCATTCAGCTCCATCACGGGGTTTTTACCGTTTTTGGTCAGAATGGGACCCTGTCCACCCTGCTCACGGGAAACAGGACAACAAAAAATTCATGTTTATAAACCCTTTACCCAATAACATGCCAGACTTTCTTCTACATGGATATTGAGAATCCTCACTCCAGGAAAAGATCCAAAGTACTCACATCTTCTGATGTAGTAGAGGCCGTGGAGGGAGCTTTGACTGTCTCCAAGGCGGTGTCAGTGTTGCTGCTGGTCTCAGATTTAGATTCAGCCCCAGTTGGAAGACCAAGATCCTGCAGGACCTGTGAATGATAAATACCACACTGATCAGACTGGTCCCTGTGCAGATGACTTTTATAAAACGTATCAAAGACTCTGTGAGAGATTTAAAGAGCATTGCCTTGGTGGCTAAATTAAGCTTAGCAGCTCGCTTGGACGGTCCTGATGACTCATAGGTCTTTCCATTTAGGTCTACTGTCATTGTGAAGACTGGCTCGTGGACTGGACCGGTTTGAGATGTCAGCTGGTACTCCAGGCCTGGTCTGTACTGGTTCAGACGCATCACAGCGTTCATGTTAAAATCATCTGTGACTGTGAAGGAAAGGATTCAGAAAACATAGAAACGAGTATGAATATCAACCAAACCGCAGTAACATTTCACAGTTTCTTCTTATCCTCAAATCTTCTTTTTTAGTTTTGTTTTACAGAAGTCTTATAGGTACAGATCCAGATTTAGATCTCTCACATTAATTACTTACATGATTTTCTTTGAAAGCGTTTCTGGAACTTCAGGAACTTCCTCTGTTTGCTATTAAGGGGAGGCTCATCCTGTCCTTGCTCCACCTCTGAGTAAGGTCTCTTCGGTTGGAGGCTGAGCTGTCCGGCAGGTGGTAACTGAGCTGAGTAAAACAGAAACATCATGAATATTAGATCTGCACATAATGAACTACACAACAACAACAAAAAAAAAATACAGAGATCTTTGGGGTACCTGTGAGATCTTTGTTGGCGAAGCTTGATGATCTGCGTGGCTTTACAGGTTTGTAATCCATCCCCAACACCTTGTTCATTTGTCCAAACGCACACAGCCTCAAGGCAAACTAAAGATAACACTCACATTAGATACTTTTCAGAAATCAGGGCTTGACACTAACTTTTTCCACATGTTGAGAAAGTAAGGAGCACACAAAGAACTTTAGGGGCACAATGAAAATTGATCAAATAATGTTTGTCTTATTGTCCAAACTTAGTACTACTATTTGAAATCAATTTTAGGTCTTTTGGTCACATGACATGGAAGCTATTGAAGAAAATGTGCAAAATTTGACTTTAAATTTAACCAAAAAATTTTTTTAGAGGACAAATTAGGGAAATAAAGAGATGTGTCTTATTGGTCGACATAAGTACTATATTTGAAATCAATTTTAAGTTAATTAGTCACATGACATGGAAGCTATTAAAGGAAAACAGCCTTTTAAAGAACAACCGGTAATTTATTGACGGTCCCTTATTCAACACCTGACAATGACATTGAGGGTGCCGAGTAGATTTAACCGCGCTGCTGTTGCTATTGCCGGTTATGGAGAGTGAGAAGACACCAGTAGATCCGCAGTGAATGCCCGTCGAATAACCAAACTTAAACTTCACCGCGGTATTCATATGAAAATTACATGTGCCCCTAAATATATTTTACAATTCGCACACACCTATTTTTAGTTGCAAATGAGAGTGAAACGGTCGCACTGTTGAGCCCTGAAAATACAAAAGAGCTTTTAAAGCCTGATCTCACCTGAGCGCTCTGGGTGAGGTCCTCACACTGCTGCGCGGTCAGATATTCGGTGGCATCAACGGCTTCTTTCTCACACGGGTCTTTAATTCCAGGGCCATCTTTGCAGTGTAGTGAAAATAGCGTGTTAATATCCATGCATTTAAAGTAGAACCAGCATTTGTTACTTCATGATCGACTCAAAAAGGATCCTAACCCTTCAAAAGGATTCCTGATGCAATGCACTCGAAAACCCGACGCAGGGACTCTCCTGCACCCATCGGTCTCTCAGACGTGCCGATCGCCTTCTCTACCAGCAGCTCAAGAGCCTGCGTGGAAACGGACAAACGACACATACAAAAAGACCAAAACATGAGATGCTTTCACAGTTTTGCCTGGGTTACGCCGATGCTGTAACACGTGCGTGTGGCAACAGTTTCCTCACCCATCCTGAGAGCGGCGTCCAGGTGGGAACACGGTTACACAAGTCTCTCATGATCCGGATCACGACGACAGCAGAAGTCAGGTTGTTTACTTTAGCCTGGAGACACAAACGGAGACCAGTTCAGTAAGAAGACAATAATACATGGACGAGAACTACAACAGCTCTAAATACCTTCTTACGAAAAAGACTAGAGTTTTCTGAAAAATACACACACAAAAAAAAAGACATTAAACAAATCAAGTGACATGCTGGTCTCAGTACCAGTGACTTATTCAAGTCTGGCCCTGGTTTGGATCAGCAGACCACACTTCAAGATTAAAAACAGATTAATGTTAAGGACTACTTCTTAAAGTACTGTTACGTGTAGATCAGGAGAGGAAGTAAGAAAATGACATATCACTGAAAAATGTCAACCTAATGGAGCTGAAAGGACGTGAATGCAAACCTGGAACCACTTGGCGTGGCGGAGAGACGCCAAGGCAGTTAGGCATTTCTGCCTGTCCAGAACGTCCGGCGGATCGTTGTCTGTTCGCATTTCTATTGACGAGGTGGAGTAAGAAGAAAAGGTACAGTTTGACCAAGGGGGTTGGGCTCTGTCTTGCAGCTCAGGGAGAAGCAGCTTTTCCCAAAACGCCATGGGCAGGGAAAGGGGATCCCAAAAATTTTACGGATAAATCTCAAGTCCCAACAAGAATTATAGTCGCCTGTCACAGGTGGCAGAATGGTACCCACAACATCGCACAGCATGTTGATAGATACTGGGGGATCTACATTTACGTTTAAAAGCCCCTAGCCCGAGCCGCTCGGCTTTGGTTAAGTTCACTGCTTCCCCCTCCTCCTGAGACAGCGTGTCCAGTTGGTCAAAGGTCCAGCGTTCCTACAAAACTTGACAAACTAAGAGGCAATCAGTTGTAAATCACAAGCATTTAGAGTATCTTCACGTGTGCTCCATGCTGCAGCAAAACTGATGGAGTCCCTGAACCAAGAGCGGCCTGAGGAGCCTTTATGAAATATCAGAAAAACAATGTAAGCCATACCAGCTTTGTGCAGATTTTAATTTGTTTTCAACACTATATCTACAGAACTCGGCTGAACTATCCCCAGATTATTTGATGTTGGATCTCCTGCAGTTTAAAAGTACTATTAGTGCAGAAAATGCTGAAATGATTATATATTATAGTTAAAAAGGTGGAGTCGTATTTCAAAATATTTACATGTTATTAAAAGTTTCTTTGAACTGAACATACCAGCCTCTGTAATAAGATACATGAAAACCAATAACCTCACCGTATCATTACGATGAGCTAGGGCTGGACGATTATGGCAAAAATAATAATCACGATTATTTTGACTGATATTGAAATCATGATTAATGAAGACGATTATTCATTCAAAACTTGAGTGTTTAGCCTGGAGTATGCAACCCAACATTTAACTTTGAATACAACTTAAAAGAACAGCCTGCGGTGGCTGACATGCTTGCACTTTTTTGCCCCCTTATCAGACCACTTTATGGCTGAAAATTAAGTGATTGAATAAGTTGTGTAACTGCTGAGGATAACTTGCTAATGCTAATACACTGTGTGCGGTGCAGCGCCAATGTCCGTGCACATATGATACATATGAGTCCGAGATAGAGTCACGTAAATAAATAAAAAAATTTAAAAAATCTCCTATTTTGGGTGTGGCAGCTTTTATTTAGCTGTGGTGGTGCGCCACGATCACATAGGGAAAACCCTAAAGTTGGTCATGTTGCCTTGGGGAGTGTTACAAACTTTGCGAACAATTTCATTTTGCTTGATGTCCGTCAACTCAAAGCCAAAAAGCTTAAGTTGTCCCACCTTACTTCTGAACCAAAAGTGGCCCTTCTGACAATGTTTTTGATCGCTACCTCATATTATTGATCCAGACACGTCACACAATTGCTGCAGCTGCAAGTAACAGGGGTGCATTTAAGGTGTTTTTCCAGCACAGGAACTTAAATACACATTAATAATCTCTTTCAATTATAATGTTTTTATGATCGTAAAAAGCCAAAATCGAAATCATGGTTAAAATTCGATTAATCATCCAGCACTACGATGATCCCGATCCCCTTAAAGTTAGTTACCTAGGGCTAGTCCAGTATTGTAAGTTACTTTGACACTAACTAAATACATATCAGATACTCATAACAAGAGCTGGGTTGGTCAAAAGGAAACTAAGAGTCACGAGTTATCAGAGTAGTTTATCATTTGTTTTTGATTGTGACTCTACAGCCCCAGAGTGCAGTGCAGGAACAAACTAAAACTGCACTGAGGCCGGTATGGTTCTGAATGTGGGATTTTTAAAAAACTCCTAATGACTTCAGAGTCAGATAATCACAGCTCGATCCACACAGAAGCTCACTTTATCACTAATTTTAGCCACAGATTAGTTTATAAATGATAATAAAGTTACGCCTTCTTTTAAACTTTACTGTTGAATTTTAGTTGACCTTCTAAATGACAGAATTACTGATCAGTTTTGCTGCAGCTGGTGCCAAACTGACATGTTCAGCATCAAGTACATGCAATGCGCGCTCTTACTTGTTATTCTTGAAAAGCCTTCACTTGAAACATGAAAACAGTTTAACAAGAATAAACAAAGTTGTTTGAATGCTTGGCACTGTAGACAATATGTGCAGAGTGTTCCATCGATTAAAGAAGAAATGCTTCTCTGGCAAACGCCACTTTGTCACAAGACGACGACAGGACACTTGAGCGAGTGAAGACCCAACATTCATTGGTTGTTCACTGGCATCAGTCTGAGACAGCAACTGTACAAGCTCCACTGAGGTTGGTGAGAGGAAGATGAGCAGCGGTTTGGATCTAATACTTTTTCACGTCAGTGGAGTAGTACAGTGACTGCGTTCTGAGAACACACAGATCAGGCCTGTGGTCACTCATGTCTCACTAAAGGTGAGACGTACCTTCTTCGTTTTCTGCAGGTGTGATCTCTTTCTCCGACCTGACAAGGGGTGAAGTCAAGTGGATAGTGAGATTCAGGACTGACTCCTTGTTGCTTGTCACAACAATGGCTGCATCTTCAGGACACTGGTTCACTGTGTATGTCTCTGTTGATAACATCTGTTATCAAAAAGGAAAAACATTTGAGTAAGTCAGAGTAACTGCGTGCAAATCAAATGAAAATCTATTTTTTTCCATCTGAGGAGATTAAAAAAAAAAGTCAGGTCTACCTCCAACTGTGCCGATAACTTTTCAGCCACTTCTTTAAGCAGAGTTATCGTGGGCCTGTCTGAACAAAGCAGCACCAGCTCCAAGTCATTGTCTCCTTTCAGCAAAAGTCCATTGGCCACAGGACCAACCCGCATGACCCCACGCAGGACACGCTCTTGTGTCTTATCGCTTTCACTGTGAGTAGAATAAAAAAACAATCATAAAACAAACAGTTTAGTTAGACAGAAATATTATCAATTAAAGTGCAAACCCAATTCTTAAAGGGGCTGTGACACAGAAATAGTTATAAGAACAGATTTTAAAGGTTTGTAAAACATTTAAACACGAAACAGTGAAGGCAACATATCAGTATAAGGGGAAGTGGTATGTTTGTGACATTATGCACTAGGGCTGGGCGATAAACCGAAAATTTACCAATACTGAAATTTACGACAAAAACCAACGTCATTTTGCCCATATCAATGTCAGAAAAATAAATAAATAAAAGTTGGTTTTGGATGTGTGTAGGTAGGCTATGGTCTCATGTCCCTTTAAAACGCTGTCCTACATCAGAGACGTGACTCCACCCAATCCAGTCCATAACAAAGAGGGAAAGACAGGTGAGGAGATGGAGGACGGTTCAAAGGTTGTAGCGGCTGAAGTAGACAAAGTTAATGCAGGAGGAGGTGAGCAGCTTGTGGCGCAGTTATCGTCCATTTATCGTTATCGAGGTGAACTGATCAATATATCATGATACTGATTTGAGGCCGTACCGCCCAGCCCTATTATGCACATATTACAACAGCATGGCCCACTAACAATAGAGTCATGGTATTGAACTGCTCTGCTTGCAGAAAAAGACATTGAATTTTGAAACAAAAGAGTTATGATTGATAAAAAAAAAATAAATAACTTGTCTTTGCACCAATTAAATTTCACCAAAATAGCCTTTTAATGATAAGCAAACCATCAACCTTAATGAACCTTATGTAGTGTCCTGACTGTTTTGGTTGGGGTTGGGCGCACTAATCATAACTACGTCTGAACTGAACCATTTCGATGCTCTGCTTACCTCCCTGAATCGATCTGGTCAGACACCGTCTTTAGTGCACACTCCACATGGGAAATGATTGTCTGCACTGCCTCCAGCTCCTCTGGGGAGGGATACACTTCAGAGTGTTTGGCCATTACATGGCGATCATAGGGCCCAATGTGCACTTTGGGTGCAACAGTTTCCTGAATTGGGGAATCAACAAAGACGGTTTCAGGACAGAAAACCAAGTCGAGAGGCAAAGACATCTTCGTCCTATACTGTAACGCTACAGGTACTTTTTTATAAAACGACTGACCCACATAGTATTAATTAAAAACCCTCTAAAGTTGCTAACTTTTGTTTTTAAAGTCACTCCTGCTTGCTTGGAGGAAACTAGGAAACTCAGCAACATATGAGAGGAAAAAGGAAGTATCGTTTTAGTTGAAATGATTCAGAAATGTGTGCTTCAAAATAACATTGGAAAACCAAAAATTTTCCTTCATAGATTTGTTAAATCAAGTTGTCTTTTAGTGGTGCAGGATGGAAAACATGACGAGACTTGAAGACCTGTATAACATGACCTGAAGGTCTAAATGGTAAAACAATGAATTGTTAAAGATTGGGAAAAGAAGAACCTGGTGAAGCCGTGAATCTTCAATCTCCTCAATAGCTGTAATGTAATCATGATATTGTCTCAGTTCCTCCTCATAGCACAGGCAGTCATACCAGTAACGCAGATCCTCATATCTGGAGGGAGAGAATGAAAGGCAAATACAAGCTTAGACCTATCTGTCAAAAACAGCTAAAATACAGGTATTAATATTATCTGTATAAAAGTCATCAGCCTAATGTGGACTTACCGGTTCCTTAGTTAGTAAAAAAAATAATCTCAGGTTCTGTTTGATCTATTCATGTCTCTGTGTTTTTAGGTAATGTTTGAGGACAACTGTGATTTTGTTATTACAATTATTTAACGCAGGTTCATAAAATACTGGGATATGTACAGCTCTACAGCCATATCTATCTTAAAGGGATATTCCGGCGTAAAACTAATTCAGGGTCAAACACACCATAACACCGAGTTAGACACCCCTTCGAGAGATGAATGTTGCTTCTCTAGTTATACCAACTTTAGTCACGACCGCACAATAGCAATACACAGCGGTCTACATTACCACACACAAACCTCAACCAAAACCCCACTCTATAGCCACAAATAATGCTCAGAACAGCACCTAACTTTATGGCTGGTACTGTGGCTGGGACATTTAGGGTCCCAGCTATAGTACTAGCCACCAAACATCTTTTTAACTTTGCCTGATTTCTTTAGCAAAGAGACTAAACACAACTCACCTACTCTCTTCCCAGTTTGTAGCGAGACCTCAGGCCAGTCCATTACGGACTACAGCGGGGGGACGCAGCTCAAGGAAGAACATTTATGATAATTTCTTTATCATTTCCTTAAAGCAATAATCACCATATTAATCATTTTGCACTGCAGACGCGGTAGTTCTTCTGCCCTAGCATCTCGGTCTGATTGCATTTCCCTTAAGAAGTGATCATAAATGTTCTTCCTTGAGCTGCAAAACTCCGCAGCAGTCTGTAATGGACTGGCCTGAGGTCTCACTACAAACAAGTGGCTGCTGGAAGAGAGTAGGTGAGTTGTTTAGTCTCTTTGCAAAAGAAATCAGGCAAAGCTAAAAAGATGTTTGGTGGCTAGTACTATGGCTAGGACCCTAAATGTACTGTTGATGAAGTTAGTGCTGTTCTGAGCATTATTTGTGGCTATTGAGTGGTGTTTTGGTTGAGGTTTGTTTATGGCTCCTCAGACTGTTGAGTATTGCTATTGTGCGGTCGTTCCTAAAGTCGGAATATCCCTTTAAGTTTTAGGATATCCCTTTAAGTCGTCGTTATTCGTGTACCTGTCGAAGTCGTGCGGTAGCAGCCGGTGACCCTGTTGGATCAGACTGTCCCAGTACAGCAGCTCCTCATACGCCTGATGCTCGTCCCACAAGGATGCTGCAGCGGCCGCCATGTTCTCACTACCCTCGGGAAAGACCCTGGAAGTTTTAAAAAGACAGAAGTAAAACCTTGTTGATAAACTGTCCTGTCAATCATGTGTTAGTTTGCACCACAGGTAACGTCGGTTACTCAGGATGAGAGACTCGAGCAGCATTTCCTCAGAGTATTACCGAGTTATTTCGATAAATAATAAAACAAACACAATCTAAAATAATAATCCAGTACCCACGCAGATGGGTTTATCACCAAAATGCTACTCGGGATACTATAAACACAAGCGAACACAGTAGATCTGCTAAGCTAACCGTGGCCCCGACCGCCCACTTCAAGCTAACGATGTCCCCGGGATTCAGGTCGGTTTGTCATTCCGTGTTTTTCGGTATTACTAAGCTCACCCGTTTAATAAGTTAAGTGCACTGAATGCTCACCTTCTCTAACGATAAATAAAGTGACGGTTTAGTAGAAATATAACCACGGCTTTGCTGCAGCAGCAGTCAGCAACCGCCAGAGCTTCTTCTTCGTTGGTGATCTCATTGGAGTTGACTGGAGCTGTAGAATCAAACAGCGCCACCATGTGGAACGGAGTGGCTCTTCTTCTTCTTCTTGTTTTACGGCGGATGGCAACCAACGTTAGAGGTGCATTACCAACACCTACCATGAGGGAGTGTAAGCCAGAGGTCCCTACTCCCATAGGAAAAGAAATTCATATTTACTTTAAATTAAATTCTGTTTATTAGTTCTGTTTGCTTTAAAAATTCAAACAATGTTTTATAATCTCCTTTTCCCAGACTTAATAATTTGCAGCTGCAGATCAATTTGAAAAGCAGGAGAGATTTTAGGAGATGAAACAAATAGATGAGTAAACTCGTTAAAATGGTCTATATTTGACAGAGTAATTTTTCACAGGTTTTACTCATATAAGAGCTGAATAAATGCAGCTTAAAAATATATTTTCTCAACAGATGTGTCGTTGCTGATAGAATAACTGCAAAAAACTCAAGGTAAGGGCACATCTCATTGTTTTATTTACAATATCATATCTGTACATTTTATTTTACATTCAAGTATCAACAGAAAATCTTATAAGGTTCACATTCAGCACTTTGTTAACAACGTAAAGTAAAAAGCGCTCAAACCCCACAGTATTTGAATATTGACATTTCTTTATGATAATAATAATTAATTTTAGTGCAAAATCATAGCATCATAGCAAAGACTATAGGAGAGATACATATGACTGAATCCTTTGAACTTTTCTCAAGCGGACCGGCCAAGAAATGTCCAACTAGTTGTAAACTGCTTCACCATCTCAGCCACAGTTAGTTACTTTCATGGAGTTATTTACTGGTAACTAAATACAATCAGCCCCAACCTGTCAGTCAGGATGGCCGAGCGGTCTAAGGCGCCAGACTCAAGGAATAGGTCCTTCCTAATCAAAGGGATTTCTGGTCTCCAGATGGAGGCGTGGGTTCAAATCCCACTCCTGACAGTTGTTTAACCACCACTTTCTGGAATTTCCCCCCATTGGGACCTTAAAAGGAACATCTTATCTAATCTTAACTCACTCTCTCAGTTCAGACTTCGTCAACTTGATTCTTCTTTAAGCTCGGGAAAGACTGATCCCATCGGCCTACCGTATTAGTTCTAAGGCTAGCCTGACACTTGGTAATGAGGTAGATCTTGCGGAGAACGGTGCGACGAAGTAGAATGTAGACCCAGGGGTCGAGGATCTGGTTCCAGGTGGCTAACCGCACACCCAACACCATCAGAGTTTTATAGCTGGAGAGGTCCTCACCTATGGATCCTGTGTAAGAACGGATCACAGACATCAGGCCAAAGATCTGCAGACAGAAAACACAACAAATAGATGTCCTTCATTAGCTTCTTTTTAAGGACTTTGTACAGCCCAGATAAGGCTAGTGTTGTCAAATAACCTTACTTAAAATGAGCTTTATTGTCAAGCAAAGGAAGGTAATGCTTAATTTAATCCTTGCAGATAAAACTGAGAAAGGTGAGTACGTTCTAGAGAGATTTAAGATTGATTCAGTTTAAGAAAAACTAGATTTACACAGTAATACCCATTATCAACCCCACCTCAAGCTCCTCTGCAAATCCAGCCATCAATTAAAATACTCTACATTGAAGAGACAACTTAAAGTTGTGTGTCTGATCAAGGTGGTTGAGAGCTCTGTCAAAAAGCTGGCTATGAAATCTCTTCTGTATGGGTATAAGCTGTACACAATAACTCTGAATTTCACAGGCAGACAACAGTCCTCATTCCCATTAGTTTCTTTGGTTAAAGAAAAGGTTGGTTCCAGGATCTGAGTGTCCTATCTCTCCTGAACTGAAACACAATTTATTGTGTTTCAGTTCAGGAGAGATAGGACATGGTGTTTTTATTGGCATATATCTGTCATCTCAGTTATGGCATGGCAAGGTTTAATAAAAATACTGCCTGAGGGATGTGTCTGATTGTGTGTTTTAGTGTATAACTGACACATGCTCATGTGTCAATGTGTAAAGTAAAGATTTTAAAAACTTTTGAAAATATTATTGTCCACTTCAGAAATAGTTTAGGAGCCACAGGGCTTTGTCAAGACCTCCAAACAAATTTGTAGCTCTACGGCGACAGTAGCTCAGGAGGTAGAGCGCTCGCCCCATAACTGAAAGGTTGGCTGTTCGATTCCCCACCTATACCAAGTCTGTTGTGCCCTTGGGCATGACACTTAAACCCACCTTGGTCCCGGTGTGTGTTCTCCACTGGTGTATGAATGTGAGTGTGATGTGGTGGTGGTCGGAGAGGCTGTAGCCACAAACCAGCAAACACACTTCCATCAGTCTGCCCCAGGACAGCTGTGACTACCAAGGTAGTTTACCACCACCAGGGTGTGACAGGGCTATATGAAATCTGATGCATTATTATTATTATTATTAGTCCTCATTTCCTCCCCATCGGTTGAAGAAAAGGTTGGTTCCAGAATCGGAGTGTCCTATCTCTGAATCTGTCGGCTATTTGACATGAATTTCTAGTGCCTCCTTCTTGTACTTCCTCTTACTCACCAGCAGAGGGCTCCAACAGATACATGAAGTGACCATGATGCCGACCAGCTGCACCACCATCTCAATATCATGGGACTTGGCTGAGTGATGTGAGCCTGGCTTCCTCCTGAGCCGAGTGAGCACCAGTTTCAGTCCGCTGATGGTGTTACACACCAAGGACACAGTAAGCGAGGTCAGACCTAGTCCAGAGAACAGAGCCATGAACGCCACATCCACCTCTGCAGTGTCACTGAGCACTTTGATAAAACACCAGGTCCCCGGGTCCTGATAGGTGTAAGAGCCCAGCTTCAAGCAGGGGAGCAGGGCCACACACAGAGCTGCCAGCCAGATGACAGACAAGCAGATCTTTGTGCGGGTTTTGGTGACCAGGGATGAGTGCAGCAGCGGCCTAGTGACTCCCAGGCAGCGCTCAGCAGCCATGGCGCAGCCCATGAAGAGAGGACAGAGGCCAAAGAACACCATACTTCCACCCAGGAACTCACACATACTGTCAGAGGAGTTGAAGTCATCGGGGTGCACACCTCCAGAGAGGTACAACCTTAAAACAAGGGCACCAGGAACCAGGTGACCAATGAAGTCTGTGACCACCAGGGAGGTTGCAAACAGAAGAAATGTGGCTTTGGTGCGCCGCCGCTGTAGTGAGTAGGCATTGACCAGGATGAAGAGAGCCACGATGTTGGAGATGATGCCCAGTGTCATGGACAAGATGACCACAATAACACCACTGGTAGTGGGCTGCAACAGGGTGAGGTTTCCATATTGGGTCAGCTCTTCAACAGCCACCCTGGCCTCCACCTTTTCTCCACAGTCATTAGAGATTTGAGGGAGGAGCGGGATGGCTGAGCAGTTGAAGTGGCTCAAAGCTAACATCACTTAGCCCTGAGGTCCATAGCTACAGCAGGCTGCAAGAGACAGAAGATCAATAAGTGTAGGTGATGGATTTGTAGAGGCGCATGAATAATTCTTTCATTTCTTGATTGCATGCAGGTTGAAGAAGAAAAATTACAGAATATAGGCCCTGACACAGTAGTGATTGCAATGTTTTTCAACCCTGCGGTATATATTGCAATATGAGAATATACAAGAATTTTGATCAGATGACCTGAATAGCACTTTATGCTATTCAGAAATGCATGCCCGCGGAAAATCACATGCACCTCGCAGAGACGCACACCTCTTATGCTAGAGTGGTGTTCCGAAAGTAATTCTCGGCAGGCAAGCGTTTCTCGGCATAACACCGGCAGCGTCACCGACTCACTGCAGTGCAGGGGCCAGGTTTCCTCCTCTCTGATTTTGATTGACAGCTGGCTGAGTAGTCTGATTGACAACTGAATAAAGAACAAATGTGATTGGTGGATCGCTGTACAGCACACGCAGTCTACATGAAGTGTATCTCAGTCAGCTACCCTTGAAATTAGGCGAGTTCATTCGCCTCCGACATCGCAGGCTCATCTGTGCTAAGTAACTTTAGCTCGTAAGCTAACCTGTTGTGATAGAACATACCATATTTATTTTCACTGTCTCAAACTCAATCACGTTGTTGTCACAGCACCATTAGGTCTCGGTTGTTATCTTATGTTTATGGATTATAGTTTAATGTGCTTATCTGGTACTGGCCCCAACTCAGTACATGCTATCATGACAGACAGACAGCTCAACGCTAGTGTCTAATCAGAACTGAAAACAGTCAGTCTGCTGTTGTGTCAGTCTTCTCGCTTCCATCCGGGACGCATCTTTTTTCCCCCCGGAAAGTCACAAATTTTGTAATTTCGCGTCATAAGTTTCCGTCGTTCCCGTGTGTAAGGACCTTTAAACGATATATCGTGCAGCCCTAGCACAAGAGGTGAGAAAATGGTTGGACTGGAGAGTAAAAGATGATTATTATGGCAGCCATAAAACCACAATATTTAAACACACAAGAGTTGAGCTCATAGCGTATTGATAAGGAAATCTTCATTTGTGTCTAATTATATTTTAAAATCAGAGATCCATTTGAGTTTGTTTGCTTAAATTGACTTTTAATGCAGTCACTGAAATTTCAAAGGTTGTTATGATCATATATTTAAAGAAAGATGTTTTACAGACTCACAGAAGAGACAGTAAAGTCATCACGATTCTGAACAAACTTTACAGTCAGTCTCTGAGCAGCTTGGTTTTGCAGCTGTTCAGCTTTTTGGACAGTAATATGGAAAAACATGCTGTCATGCAGCTGTAAAACTACCAAACTCAAATCCCATCCATGATCCATCCAACCTTATCACTTCATCACAAACTGAGGGTCAATTTTTCCTCATAAAGATCATGAATTCACTCACCATTTGCCTACATGGTTCCGATTTCTCTGCTGCACAATCAGAATGTAGTTTTCCTCATCGAACAGTGTTTTCCAGTGATCCCCCACAGCCAGGAAACAAATCCACCAAAGCAGCCAAATGAAGAAAAAGAAATCTCCCTTTAATTAAATCCAAAGCATCGATGTCCTTTACAGAGTTTTCCTCACGGTGGCTCAAAGGTCGTAAAGGATCCCTAATGACACTCGGACACCCACAGCAGGTTTTATAAGGCGTCTGTCCGTCAGCCTGTGTGTGTGGGCGTCTGTGCTGCGGTACGTGCGCCATCTGACTCAAGTCTCACCGCTCTGTTGGACTTTCGCTCGTTTTCTCTGTTTATATTTACACAGACAGCACACTTTAATGTCCTTACTCACTTTATGAGTGTCACCTACACTTCCCAGAAATTTTCATCTTCTCGTTTGGAGATTTTGGAGCAGAACACGGTGCGCACTGTGCGCAACAGCTTCTGCGTCTCACTCATTTGTTTAGAAAAGGTGAAAAAGGACAAAAAGTTAGTGCAGAAATGACTTTGCAGCCCAGATTCATTTTCACTTGTCTTCCGGAGCTTGGATCGATGCGTATAGATTCAATCCCATCATATACATGTGGGTTTTTTCTGCTGTCCAGTGCGCAACTCTGCGCTCAAAATAACCCCTGAGATATCAGTTATCAGATCAGGTGGATTTAATGTGTAGTTTTCCATTACAGACCGTCACTGTTTGAGATTTTTGACTCATCTCAAAGGAAAGACGGATGCAGATTGGATTAACATTAAATATCTTACATCTATAGAAAACATCACAATTAAAACTCAAAGAAAGGGTCTGAAAAAGTCATTTTCATCCTCATGGAATATCCAGATGTTTCTGAAGGATGTTGCTGTTTGTCCTGGGGGGTTTCTGCAGAAACCTGTCACTTTATTTTATCTCCACTCCAGCAGGAAAAATCATTACTGAGGACAGGTAGGAATGTCTGTTTCAACTTTACAGGGACTGGCAGGTGGACTCTGGCATGCACATGTTGTGGATTTTTCCTAATTACTCTGTTGACTATTTCCTACTGCGGTGAGGGTGAAAAACACATGCAAATGAATTGGTTTGAACAAATATTATAATCTTCACTTCAACGAAATAAGTCAGCATGACATGCGAACAGAAACTGCTTAAAGCAAAATGCAGAAGAGCAAACAGGAAATGATGACTTGTGGACAATTATCCCAAACTACAAAAATAATAGAAAGGAACAGAAGCATATTGCATTCACTTACAAAAAAAATAAACTTTTTTTTTTTTTTAGTATTGATTTATCTATTTGCTTTTTTTCAGACTGATTTTTTTCTTCTACTGTTCTCACTTTTTTTTGCTGTTTTTTTGGGGGGGAGTATTTAATTTTTTCTTTTTTCTGTTTTTCTGATTATTTTTTTCTGTTTTTTTTTTGTACTGATATTTTTTAATCTCTTTCTGTTTTTCAGGCAAATTTTTATTCTGTTTTTCATACTTTTTTTTTTTATTAAACAAGATACTTCAAAATCCTGCGAGAATATCATACAATCAGATAATGTTAACCACCTCAGCTGCTCCAAATCAGCAGATTCTCCAGCTCCTAGATAACTTCGACCACGGGGTTAATGAGAGAAAAACATGTTATTAGTTAAACAAAGAGTATGCTAATCCTGAGATGCCTGCACAATGTAGACAAACTTATGACGATTCCATCGATCTGACTTAAACAAAAAAGTATCTCCCAGCATCTCAAACCCAAAAGAAAATAAAACTTAATTAAACTAAACAAGTGGGCCATGTTTGCGTCCAATAAATTGAGCAGAGGGGGATGAAAGTGTCTGTTTTTAAATGATCATGATCCCAGAGATTAGGAAAAACAATTAGTCTGAAAAACAAAACAAAAAAAAATCTGAAAAAATGAGAAAAACAGAAAAACAATTTACTCTGAAAAACAAAAACAAAAATAATAATAATAAAAAAAAAAAGAAAAAATCAGTCTGAAAAACAAAACAGAAAAAAAATTACTCTATAAACATAGCTTTTTTTTTTCCTTTTGGTGAATGTTGTATGCTTCCTGTAGTACGTGATCTCATCACAGTTGTGAAAATAATCCGTCATTGTTTGGGTCGAGTTCATTTAGGGTGCCCACACAAATGCCAGTAAAAGTCTGAAGTCATGAAGTCATTTACAGTTAGCCGAGTTTCTTCATTTGACAGGTTTACGTCTCACTTCACCTGTTTTTCTCCTGTTGTGTTTGTTATTCAGTCGTGTCCTGTATATTTTGTAGATATCTGAACAAAGACTGGCCTCATTATCTGATGTCTCTCCGTTTCCTGCATGCTCTGAATCAATGTGTGTTTTTAACACCTTTTCAACAGCAGTGAAAGCTGTTTTTCTTAATTTCTATCCAAGGGGGAAAAAACTCATTGGATTTTTGTCTACACCTAACCAAGCAGACCTGTTCACAACAATGTGTTGAAAAAGAAAATTCAGAGACTAGAGTGTGAGTCTGTATGAGATGACATGAAAAACTGCCGGCTCTTGGCAATGAGGGACAGGAATGCTTTGGTTGTATGATTTGTTGAGTGAACCCGGTATGAGGTAAGTAAAAGAGGGAAGGTTCTTGACTGGAGTTTGCAAGTGGTTCAGTCTGGCACATGTAATTGGGAATATTTGGAGACTTAATGAGAAATGGAAGGCAAGTGTGTGGAGAGCAGTCTGAGCTGTTTGGTAGTCTTCTTGTCACGTTGCCAACAGAGTACAGCACTTTTGCATTTGGTCGACATGTGTAGTTTTTCCAGCAAAGGAAGCCCTGCTTTCCATCTTTTCACATCTTACAAGTGATGCCATTTGGCCTCCACAGTCCACCGGCTCTTTCCAAAACTGCGTCTGTTTGAGTCTCTTTCTAAACCGTTTACCCTTCCACTGACCACAGACTGCATACCTGATGATCTCTGAGGCACTCAAAGATGGAAGGGCTAAGATTCAGAAAGTTCAGAGCAAGATCTCAGTTTTAAGTTCGAAATTTAACATCTAAGGCAAAGCAACAGCATTTGCACATAAGAATTTCACATTGGGAATGAGACAAAAAACTCTCCCACCATCATTCTTAAAGTTTCTGAAGGGAACTTTTATCTAGATTTTAAAAAAATGTCTCGCTTCTGTGTCACCTACCTCACCCAATGGAGGGAAGATAAAGATATTTCTAAATAGTGTAACTCCTACTCTCAAAATTCGTTGGTCGGTTCTGCCAATTGACGAAACAATTTACGGCGCGCAGTCCAGAAGTTACGACACTTAGACAGGGACACGAGAGGAGCAGTGAATGTTGCTAAGCTAGCCAGTGAAAACAGAGCAAAAACAAATAGCTACACATGTCCGATGATGTGATCACAAAAAGAAAACGAATTAGAACAGAAGAACAAGAAAAAAAAAGGGAAAAAGGAACGTGATCGAGCGAGGACAAAACACTACCACTTTTGTCCAGAGTGGCCGCCAAACACGACGGAAAATGAAAACTCTGTTCAGCTGCTTT